CAGAGTCAACTCGAGGCTCTTAAGCCTCAACAGCCACGAAAGAAAGTTCGCATGGATCCAAATCAACGCTTTGCAGACGGAGATACTATTATGATAGCAGTACGGGCATCTGCTCTTCTACAAGAGCAAAACAGTAGTAATCCTAGAGAAAAAGAAGCAGAGAGAGTTGCAGCTGAAACAGCTGCAAAAACTCTGCAATCTATGTGTACAGAGTGGCAATTGTAACTAGGTTGATTGAAATAATCACGATTTCTCTGAGGGGTGCGCGATTTGGGAAGTGATCAGGAACCCTGGGTGATCAGGAACCCTGTACGCTAGCTTACGTGAGGGTACCCGGCCTTACAACCTACCTACCTACAACATCGTCCTCGGATTTCACAAGGTCGGTCTTCCTTCCCCATCCCCATCAACCTTCCCATCTCAATTGACACTTTCTTTTTCCTCCCAAGTTCGAACAGTCGCGCCACGACTAACTAAGCCTGTGTAACTACGCAGTCAACTTTAATTTCCACAGCCCGAATGCTCATGGGTACTTAATTCCACGTCTCTTTCAACATCACAGTCTGCCTATGTACAGCGCATAAGAAACAGAATGTAAAGACGAAGAGCAGAGGCGGGATCTTGAACCCCTTCCTCCCTCAGCCCTTTAGATTGACTAATATACACGAATCGCCAAAAGCGGCACGCCGCCAGCGAGTGCGGTTCAGGTTTGAAACCACCCGCCTCACTAGCGACGCCGACACCCACCTGCACCGGAATTGCCACGCGTACAGGATGAGACTGTCGCGCAAGTTCACCAGTCCTATAGAAGCGCTGGCAAACCCGAGACTAGACGACGGCGGAAGAAGAACGAAACATCGACCATAAGGGGTCGACTGCCCGTATATACAAATCTGCTAAATACCGAGAAGCTTCAAGATGGGGCTGGAGTACGAGAGAGACTCCATCCCATCAAGAAAGAACATCAGAACTAGACTGAAAATATAGAACCAAGAAAAACGAAATGCCGAATCATCCGCACGGCCTGTTTGGGGGGTATATGCATGACTTCGTGAGATGGAAACCGAAAAAAACGCCTGGAAATGCTACAAGATCCGTTGCGGTGGGTACGCCTTGGCTCCGTTGAATGCATGTCGTAGGAAGGAAGAAATTCGATCGCTGGTGAGAGCGCCGTTACATGGTGAGTAGATTGGGGGTCGCGGCCGTGATCAACGGGCGAAGAAACGCCACTAGCAAGGCGGTCGTTAGCAACTGTGTAGAAAAGCGAGGGTATGGTATCATCGGATGCTCGTGGCATCCTCGAAGGCTGAAAGATGAGGGATTCTCGGCTTCTTTCTTCTCCTTCTCTCCTCCTTCTTCTCCTCTCGAGGGAGTCTCCACAGCCGGACGGTCTCGTCGCCGTCCCCCGCGCCCGTGCACACGGTTTCGCCATCTGGACTCATGGCCATGTGAACAGCACGGCGAGTGTGCCCAGTCCATGTAATCACATTCTGCATGGATGGGTAATTCCAGACTTCGACTTGATTGTCTCTGTAGCCGTGGGAGGACACAATCTCGTCGCTGTGAGGTGACCACATCAAATTGCAAACTTGACTACCCGTGTCGTGGGAGCTGAGAAGGTGTGGATCGGTCATCCAATCCGGCTTTTCTACCATCCTCTCCGCCGGGCGCGCGTCATACACGTCATGGGCGATCCGTGCGGGCGAGTCCTGGCGGTCAAGCGCAGTACGAGATGATCCGTGAACGACATCGTTGGTGTCGTCAGCGCTGCTCTCATTGATGCGACGTCGACGAATAGGGGATGATTGGGGCTCTTGATCCAAAAACACAGGCGGCCCGGGACGAGTCGCGTTGTTGCGAAGTTGCTTCTTGACTTCGTGTTCTGGGAGATTAATATCCCAGAATTTGATGCAGCGATCCGCGGTTCCACCTCCTGTGGCCAGTAAACCCCGCTTATGGGGACTCCAGGCAATGGCCTTGACGGCGGCCTTATGCTCGGCCCACGTGAAGATTGAGGTATCCAGCCGTCTCTTATCCCAGATTTTGACGTAATTGTCGTTGCTACCCGTGGCTAGGTGTCCGGTTCCCGGGCTCCATCTGACACCACAAATTTCCCCAATGTGGGCAGAAACGAAGGTGACCTCGCGACGTTGGCGGACATCATGATGCACGAGGGTATGGTCCCGAGAGCCTGAGGAGAGTATGTGCTCGTCCCAAGAGAGGGCGCCCACACGGAAGATATGGTCTGCGAAGATACGCATGCGTCGCTGAGACTGTACGTCGTAGAGATAGATGAGGCCCCTTCTCGTGCCAATGGCGAGTGTGGTACCGCGTTGGTCCCAGCTGACGCTGTTCACCGCATCCGGTCTTCCGGTGATGGCTGGTAATTCACAGAGCAGAATGGCCTCTTCCAGCAATGTGTTCCAGAGATAAACGCGCGCGCCCATGCCGACGGCGAGTATGTTCTGCGAGCCCCAGTCGAGCATGTTGAGATAGAAGTCATCCGGGAGTCCTACGGCATCCAGTATTTTGTAGGGGACGCTGTCCAGCCGCCTCGGCTTCGGTATAGGCTTCAATCCCCGGAGGTAGCGTTCAGTCTGGGGAAGTAACTTGACGGGCGATAGGTTGTATGTGTCTGAGCCGGTATCCAGATTGACGCGATCGGAATGAGGAGTGCGCGGCGTTCGAGATGGCGTCAGGGGGTCTGGTCTGGGTCCAAAAGAGAACAGTCTCCCTTGGTCCCCGGTGTCTTCGAGGATCTCCTTTCGGAGCATATTCTGGTAGCGACGTCTGGATTCGGTTGCTACGCAAGTGAGTTAGGCCAAACAACACATGGCAGGGGAGGAGGTGCACCTTCAAACTGCTCAGCGTTCAGGCATTTGTGGTTCTTCGTCGGAGTCATGGGTTCGGAGGGAAATCTGAATCTGACATTCATGTCCTCGTCGCGATTAGGAATGAATCTGGAGGGATGGTGAGTCAAGTGGGTGGCGGGGAAAGGGTGAGGGTCAGGTACCTGTCGAGTTCTTTGCGCTGCTTCTTGCGCAGCGGGCTAGAGGTAGGCGTCTGGGAGGCCATAATGGGTTGGGTTGCGAGGCACCGTTCATGCGCAAGAGGATAGTGGTGAGGGCGCTGGTGGGTGGTGCGGGTGGTGGTCTGCGATGATGGCTGGGATGGCGGGGGCGCTGGTGGTGATTGTTGTGGTGAACGGGGGCTTCGCGACGCGTGCACGATCCATGACAATCACACAAAACGGAGGGAACTGGAAAGCGCCAAGGCTTGGCGGCCGGGCACTAGTTTTTGGCGCGTCCCCAGATCCTGCAGCCAATCACAGCTAGAGCCGACCGGCCGTGGAGGGGTCCATAGCAACAACATGATGAGAGCATTTGTTTGTACAGAGTAGAGACATTCACATTCCCTAGAGTAACTCTGTCAGCAGGTTCTACAGAGCAGACTCTGACGGTTAATAAAGTATCTTGTATAGATAAACTTCTGCGACGAATCTGGGCTGTTTTCATGTACTTGAGATTCAGACAGCCTGAGCTGTATTCACACGTAGCTAGGGACTCTCATGAGTAGAGGCTTAGTAAAAGCTGTACTCTTGGTACAGCATCCGGTTCGCCCTTTTCTAGTAGTCGAGCGCTGAGATAGATCAGAGAGACATCTTCCGAGTGTCTCCAGATCACTTTGTTTGTCACCCACGCCATTCCCATTTGGGTGGTGGCTCAACCCCAGCTCTCCACGACGAGCTGTGCCTCCATAGCTCCTCTCAACATCACGTCCGTCGTCTCGAGTTGTCTCATGCTCACCAAGCCTCCTGTACGAGCCATACAAAGCTTTCTGTTACATCCGCAAAGCTGCCGCAGTTGTATCACCGCTTCATTACGTATCGCCGCATTTTGCACTTCTTCCACCATGGCTAAGATCGCATCCATCACGAGCGCTGAAGACTTCCTCTCTTTCGTCAACGCCTCGCCCACCCGTAAGTTGCCTTCTCAGGAGCTACCATGCATTGCTAATGCGGTTGCAGCCTTCCATGCTGTCAAATCAGCCAGAGAGCGCCTCGAGAAGGCCGGCTTTAAGCAGATCAAGGAACGGGATTCGTGGTCCTCTACACTTCAACCCGGCGGGAAATACTTCCTCACCCGCAACGGCTCCTCCATTGTCGCTTTCGCCATTGGCAAGAAATGGAAGCCAGGCAATCCCGTCGCCATGATTGGTGCTCATACCGATTCGCCCTGCCTCCGCATCAAGCCCGTATCGAAGCGCCAGAACGACGGATTCCTCCAGGTCGCCGTAGAAACATATGGTGGTGGTCTCTGGCACACATGGTTTGACAGAGACCTGTCCATCGCCGGTCGTGTCATGGTCAGGACGATGAGCGGCACCATTGAGCCACGTTTGGTGAAGGTGGAGAGACCCATTCTGAGAATACCGACCCTTGCGATCCACCTTAACCGTCAAGAGAAATTCGAGTTCAACAAGGAGACGCAGTTGTTCCCGATTGCCGGGTTGGCTGCCGCTGAATTGAACCGGCAAGGGAAGACCGATGAGTCCAAGGAGGAGGAGAAGAAATCCGAGGGCCCCTTCGAGCCATTGGCGACACCTCTGCAGCGGCACCACCCATATATCGTCGACATCATCGCTGAGGAAGCGGGTGTAGAAGCGACCGAAGTGGTCGACTTTGAACTTCTTCTATACGATACGCAGAAATCGGTTATTGGTGGGCTGAACAATGAGCTCATCTTCTCCCCTCGCTTGGACAACCTCATGATGTCTTATTGCAGCGTGGAGGGCCTCATAAACAGTTTGGCGTCACCGACAGCATTGGACAAGGACTCGACGATTCGGCTCATTGCGCTATTCGATCATGAGGAGATCGGGAGTCAAACCGCACAGGGAGCGGACTCAAATCTTCTCCCTGCTGTTTTACGTCGGATCTCTGTGCTGCCTGCCTCTGAGACTAATTCGGAGAGGTCCTATGACAAGCTCGAGGACACTGCAACCGCTTACGAACAGACGCTCTCCACCTCCTTCCTCATATCTGCCGACATGGCGCACTCAGTGCATCCGAACTATCCCGCGTCTTACGAGGCTCAGCATCGGCCAGAGATGAACAAAGGAACAGTGATCAAAGTCAACGCCAACGCGCGGTATGCCACAAACTCTCCGGGCATAGTTCTGCTGCAAGAGGCGGCCCGCAGGGCGAAGAAGGCTTCTTACGGCCCATCTGCAGCTGCGCATACCGAAGGTGTCCCTCTTCAGGTATTTGTCGTCCGCAATGACTCGTCATGCGGGAGCACCATTGGACCAATGCTCTCAGCGGCTCTGGGAGCTAGAACGCTTGATCTGGGCAATCCGCAGCTCAGCATGCACAGTATCCGGGAGACGGGAGGGGCGCACGATGTCGAGCACGCGGTGAATCTGTTTGAGAGTTTCTTCGTCAACTACGAGGAGCTGGAGAAGAAGATTGTCGTGGATTGACTAGATGGTCCCAAGTTATAGGCGATGTATAGCGCAAATATATATGACCGTTATTGGGCCCTTTGCGTCCTACATGAATCCCTCTGATGGCTTCGGAGGTCCATCGGGGCTCTATCTGGACTAGCGGCTAGGGCCCCACCATACACCGCCTTATTACGTCTTTTACTCAGGTCCGCGACAAGTATTTATATTTCGCCGTGTACCTGAGCCAGAGTCAGACCACCAGGAAGGAAGTTTTGGACCTCCCATAATGGCCCCAGCTTACTTGACTGGCGATAAAGCCGCCATCGAGGAGTTCATCTCCAGGTTCGATGTATCATCCCCCCGCACTGCTCCACATCAAACTCCGCTAACGGTCACGTATAGGTCTTTCTCTTTGACTGCGATGGTACGTGGGCCTCCTCTGATATGAAGGGCCAAACCGAGTATCTATAAACACGGCATGCGAACGTCATGGCTGATCGCAATGAAGGATAGGCGTCCTCTGGTCTGGAGATCATTTGTACCCCAAGATCCCCGAGACACTGGAGATGCTGCGAAGTAAAGGTACGGAAACAGCAGCATCCGGTTCTAGGGCGTCGCATTTACAAGAGGAACAGGCAAGCAGCTGGTCTTCGTGACGAACAACAGCACAAAGTCCCGCGCGGACTACAAGAAGAAGTTCGACAAGCTGGGTATACCCGCCAAAGTCGTACGTCTCCTCGCTCCATCGTTCATCACATTCGCCGCAGGAAGAACCCACACTAACCTCTCTTTTCTCCATACAGGACGAAGTCTTCGGCTCCTCCTACAGCGCTGCCGTCTACATCAACCGCATCTTAAACCTTCCCGCCCCCAAGAACAAAGTCTTCGTCGTCGGCGAATCCGGCATCGAGCAAGAACTCGACGCTGAAGGCGTGCCTCACATCGGCGGCACCGATCCCTCGTTCCGACGAGATATCGAGCCGGAGGACTTCAACAGCCTGGCCGATGGGTCGGCGTTGGATCCAGATGTCGCTGTTGTACTGACGGGGCTGGACTTCCACATCAATTATCTCAAGCTTGCGACGGCATATCAGTATTTGCAAAGAGGAGCGCTGTTCCTGGCGACAAATACGGATAGCTCGCTGCCGATGGCGCATTCTTTATTTCCCGGGGCGGGTGCAGTCGGTGCGGGAGTCGTCAAGGCGATAGGACGGGAAGCGTTGTCGTTGGGGAAACCCAGCCAGGCGATGATGGATGCGATTGAGGGCAAGTTCCATTTCGATCGCAGCAGGACGTGCATGGTTGGGGACAGGATGAATACGGATATCCAGTTTGGGATTGACGGGAAGCTGGGGGGCACGTTGGCGGTGTTGACGGGCGTGAGCAAGAAGGAGGAGTTTTTGGCGGAGGGAGCGTCGACGGTGCCGATGGCGTATGTGGATTGCCTGGGGGATTTGCTGGTGTGAATGGATGGTGATAGGGCCGAGCTTGCTCTGAAGGTGGTTGGTGATGTCTGCATTCGGCGATATCTCTTTGAGTTAGTAGAATATAGACGCCCTTGGGTATATAATGACATCCAAACAAGCATAGCATTTATTAAAACATGGCAGCGCAAGACCGTGGGTTTGACAACACGCACCAAACGCGCTCGTTCCCAAACCAGCCTAGCGCCAAAATGCGCTTTCGCGTCGCGTCGTCCCAATTCATCAACCCCACGATTCATTGCATGGCATCACACCTCATGTTGCCAGCAGCATATCGAAACCCAATAACGCCTGAGAGAAAATCCGTTTCGCAAGGATCCGACCGTCGCGACTCACCTCCTCGCCATGAGCGTCGCATATTCTCGCGTGGACCCCAAACGGCGTGCCCACATCGACCCCAAGAAGCGGCAATTCGCAAAAGCAGAGTTCGCGCAGCAACATTATGACCATCGGCTCAACTTCTACGAGATACCGCCTACGGCGGAGATTACGCTGGAGGAGTTTGAGACGTGGGCGATTAATCGGCTGAAGGGTACGATCTTCTACACCTCTATCTCTACCTTATTCCCAAGTGCTTTTGTCCAGCAAGCCAGCGGCCAAGATGAAAAGAACATACGCTAATATACCTTGAACTACAGTCCTCTCCGAACTCGAATCGTGCAGCTTCCGCAACCGCTCGCCAGACGAAACGGCAGAATACATGAAGCCCATCCTGGCCAAATACCTGCCGCTCCAGCCCAACTCGACCAGCAGCCAGCAGCTACAAGAGGAGCGGAAAAAGGACCACTACAGCCACTTCATCCTGCGTCTTGCGTTTTCGTCGATCGAGGACTTGCGCCGGCGATTCTCACGGCTCGAGACCATGTTGTTTAAGCTGAGGTACAGGGACGACGATCCCAGGGAGCGGAGGGCGTTTGTTCAGAGTTTGAAACTGGATTGGGAGGAAGTGGGGGAGGCGGAGAAGCGGGAGTTGAAAGAGCAGTTACTTGCGGCGGCGGGGTTGAAGAAGGTGCCGACGGCGGAGGAGATGGAGTGGTTCAAGGTGGACTGGGAGCGGGTGCCGGATCTGGTGGAGCAGCGGCGCGTGTTTGTGAAGAGGGGGGTGGCGTATGTGCCGCAGAGGGAGCAGATGAGTCTGGTGTTGGCGGAGTTTACGAAGCGGTTGGATGCGGCGCTGGAGGTGCGTTCTCATTTTCTCACCCTAATTCCCACATTTCCAGATTCCTGTCGAATGGATTGAATCCCGGCACATGCTAACATGACTACAGCTCACATCCCGCGCGCTCCCCCGCCTCGACGAAGACGACCGCCTCTCCCCCATCCTCGCCCACCTCTCCCAATCCTTCACGACACCAGAAGCCTCGTACTCGGAATCCTCCTCGCTCAACGGCCTCTCCGCCCTCACCGCCGCCTCCATCGACAGCCTCCAACCCTCGTTCCCCCTCTGCATGTCGCACCTGCACAGCACGCTCCGCCGGGACTCGCACCTCAAACACTTTGGCCGCCTGCAATACACGCTCTTCCTCAAGGGCATCGGGCTCAGCCTCGAAGAATGCATCCTCTTCTGGCGCCGCTCCTTCAAGCTCATCACCGACGACAAATTCGCAAAGGAATACCGGTACAACATCCGCCACGCGTACGGCGACGTGGGCGGCGACGCCAACCGCCGCGGGAGAGGCTACACCCCTTACTCGTGCCAGAAACTGCTCACGGAGCCGCTTCCCGGTCCGGGACAGGCGCACGGCTGCCCCTACCGGACGTTCGCGCCGGATAACTTGATTGCGGTGCTGCAGCGCGAGGGCGTCACGGATCGCGAGACGCTGAAGAGTGTGAGGGAGGATGTGGGTAAGCAGCGGTTCCATGTAGCGTGCAACCGGGTGTTTGAGTGGAGCCACCGGCGGGAGATCAAGAAGGTGCGCGAGGCCGGGACGTGGTCGGCGGCGGATCTGGATACCATTGTGCATCCGAATACGTATTTTAAAAGGAGTTGGCTGTTGAGGCATTTGGGGGAGGGGAATGCGGGGGTGGTGCAGCACCAGGAGGGGGAGAGAATGGAGGAGTAGGGGGGAATGGGGACTAGGTGGGTGTGATGTGTTATGTTTTTTTCTAATTCTGGTTTTGATGGGGTTTGGGATGGAGGGATGATGTTCTGAGGAATTGGATCACGGCGTGGGAGTTTGGCGTTTGCGGGGATACATCAAGGTTTTGGATTGCATGCAAGAGTCAAAGTTCAATTTCTCCAAAGCAAAGAACGTCCACCCATTTTCCCCAATCAAATCAAAGAAACAATTCCCCCCTATCATCCACTCAAACCTCCATCCCCCTTCCCTTTTTTTTCCTCTCACCACTCCCCATAAGGCCCCTTATCAGGAAACACACACACGCCACCGCAATCCGCCCCACCCTTCTGGGGATCGCAACCATCCCTCGGATCATCCATGCACACCTTCCTGCCATCGTTACAGGGCAAGCCCGCGAAACCGCCACACATCTTGTCCTCGACGCAGATGCCGAGGCCGTCGCAGGCGGGGCCGCAGCCCGGGTCGCGCGGGTCCTTGATGCACGTGAGGCCCGAGGGGCATTCGTGGTAGCCTGCGCGGCCGCCGCCGCAGATGGGGTTTGTTGGGGTGGGGGTGGGGGGCTGTTTGGTGGTTGTAAGGGTTGAGAGGGTTTGCGGGGGTGAGATGGGTGGGCAGGACTGTGGGGGTGGGCTGTTAGTATGGATTGATAGATAGAGAGATAGAGAGAGAGGGTGAGAGGGTGGATGAGGGTTAGGATGGGGGATCCAGGAAGGAGGGCGAGAGAAGGAAAGGTACGTACGGCTAGAGTGGGCTTGGGCCCGCCGCATTGCTCCCAGCAGCGCAGCTTCTCGTCGTTCATGCAGTAGCAGCCTTGTGGGTAGATCATGGGGCAGGCTCGAGGCTTGCAGGGACAGGATGGCTTTGGCTTGGGTGTCGGGGTGCTCCTGGGAGTGATGACTTCGGCGTAGTCGCGCGGAGGGCAGACCTGTTGTGGGAGTTATGGTTAGCTACACTGGAATACGGATTCTGGATGAAGGAGGGTTTGGCTTACGGCTAGAGAGGGCTTGGGCCCGCCGCACTTCTCGTAGCAGCTCTGCTTGATGCCGTTTTCGCAGTAGCACGAGTCGGGCCAGGATTGGAGGCAGGCCATGGGTTCGCAGGTGCAGGTTGGCTTGGGCGGGAGGGCGGTCTTGGTGGGAAGGATGGGGCAGGGCTATGGGAGGGCGGTTAGCTGGGGAGTTCAATTCACGAGGGGGGACGTGAGTTCCGTGGTGGAGTTTCAGAAGCGGGTGAAAGCAGCGAGAAGGGGTATTGTTGGTGGACACTGTGTAGGAGAGCAAGTGAAGCTCAAGAGTCGAGAAGACTTACCCGGTAGGTAGGCGTATATTTCGGGCAGACCTCCTTGCACTTAGTCTCCCGCGCGTTGAGACACTGGCAGAGAGCCTAAGGTGCAGACTATCAGTATCCATGGCCGACTCACAAAAGTGCGAGAAGAAAATGAGTATCATACCGCTCCTTCACCTGGACACTTGACCTGAGGACATATACACTCCTTGGTCGCCTGGTTATCTTCTGCGAGGACGAATGCTCCCAATAGAGCCGGTATCAGGAAGAGAATGGACTTCATGATGGAAGGATGGTCTGAACGCCGTCGAGAAGATGGTGCCGCTAAGCAACAGTGTTTCTATCCAGTCTTGCCCTCCTCTTAAGGATACGTCAAAGATTGAAGTGCGACGGATATTCCGCGTCTCGTTCAACTCCCCGATCTTTATATGTCCCTGAGGCCTTTACTCATTGACCTTGAAGCATTCCCGCCAAGACGTATAAAGTAGGGCAAGTATATTAACACCTAGCCTGGTTCAACCGTTCTCCCATCCCTCGCTTCCCAATTGAAGTCCTTGCAAGAGGCATCTGACCACGGGCCTTGCTTCGCACTTGGACAGTGCACAGTTGCGCCTATCCAGTTCAATTAGTTCATGCCTGAAGGGGAAGGGTCGAAGCATGAACATTCGTTCTAGGTGGGCGAGTAACGACGTACTTCGCATTCGAACTTTGCCATAGGTATTCCTATAGGCTAAGAAGAGGAAAGGTAGCTGTAGTACCGGCCGACACGAGGACCGAGTAGAAAGAATGTGTCCATTCACATTTGGGCGCTGCTCAGCTGTTCCAATCCATCCCTAGTTGTCTTTCTCATTGGGGTACGGACTTCGAGATCTCCTACACAGCTGAGCGACGCAAAAAGGTCGTACGAAACGTCCACCACACGCCCACACGTGTGCATGGCCAGCCAGAAGTCTCTCAAGTCTCGACGCCGTGGCTACGCTGACGTTCGTCTGGCAAAACGGCTCGTACCCGTGAAATTGTTTCCTGAACATTCGGAAGGGATAAACGTCGAATTGAGCTAAGAATAGCGCAGACAAGCTTCCGTGTGGCAGGGAAGAATGCGTGCGGCAAGCAGGGTTCTCGTATTCCGAAAAGGTGATCAATTTGCGGGGGTGGGGACATGCGAGTGGACTTTTCCAACGTTCGACTCAACAACGACAGACCCCCGCAAAGCACAGAGATGGCTTCGGATTCAGGAACCGGCCTGCCCTGGCCCGTGGGCAATATAAAAATTTCCTGGGGTTCTGGTGTGTTTGAGAAGCATGCATGCAGGCGGGAGGTTGATGAATTTGCCCGTTGCGATTGCTTCCGATGCCACGCATTTCGAGATGGACAGGCCTGCAACTAAATCAACCCAATATCACATCCGGACGGCAACGCGACCTTGACCTGTTCTGTAGCCTTCTTCTCGTATAACCACCTCTTTCTGCAATGGTGGGTCAAATCTGTCGACGTCGCATACCGGGTAAAACGTACTCTGGTTACCATGTTCCCCGGCTGCTGGCGTGCCTAGTCCTTCTCATTATTTTTCTCGCGTGTTCTCGAATGATCGAATCTCCCGTCCCAGGACTGGCATGAGCTATTCATGTCTCGAGCTCGTGTACCGCTGGGTCTCTTTGGCTGGCATGAACTAACCCCTCATGGAACGAAAGCATTGCCGGTTCAACCGGTCCGAGCATTAACATGGTATAACGAGCTGTAGGTACGAGTTCGGAGTCTTCTTGAACGCAGAGCAGAGTAGCTCGATCATGACATTGCATGCAAGTGAGCGGGTTGTCTCTACCTAGGACAAGCAAGCCCCGGGAAACCCTAACGTGGCGGGACGGTCTGGCCAGTGAACCGATATCTCGACGAATGAGCAACTCATGACGGGATGATCATCATTGTAGCGAGAACAATTCAGACATTGCTACGGATGGTCGAAAAGACTGATGGTGCGAAATCGGAGCGTTCATGCTAGAGGCAGGGAGAGGGAGAAAGAACTCGGGCCGGCCTTCGATGAATGGATACAGTCGGCTCACCCTTGTAGGCACAGAACAGGTTCTCGTCTCATAACAATGTTAGGAATTATTGCTGTGTAAAAGTGGGTATACATTGTGGACCTTTCGTTGATGACGTCTCATATTCCAATCGGAGCCTCCAGGCGTAGCGAATCCATATTAACATACCACAGTGGGTGACGAGCCCAAGGCGTAACAGTGACCTAAGCAACTCAATTGTAATCGAATCCAAATCCAAAAACCGCATATGGATGGATATGCTCAGCGATCCCGATCAACCTCGTCGTCCCGACTATGTCGCCGCGGGAAACCAGCAGCTCCTCGGACGGCATCCACCCCGCGCCATATAACTGTGGCAACGGAGGTGCCGAGGTCCCTTGCAGAACTGCCAAGGTTCACGAACTCTTGATGAGCATCGCTGTTTCGTGAATCGCCCTCCTCAGCAGTGTCGTCGGTCCAGTTGGCTTCCACGTCATCTCCTGCATCATCCGAATACAACGCCGACCCCGTTGGGACAGGCCGCGACGAGGAAGGCATGTCATTCCGCGTCTCGGCCGCTTGCGCTTGGATATCATCAACATCTTGACCCGTAAACCTGGAGGTGCGGGTTGGCGAGGGTGAATTCCGATCGCGAGCTCTATTGCGGTTGCGATATGAGCGAGATAAGTCACGCACGACGTCTCCCTTGCAGATGGGGCACGTGCGACGTCGGGTGACAAGCCAAGGTGTGCTGTAAATCGTCAATGACAATGGACATGTTTACTGGGATGAATATACGCACATGCATTCAGCATGGAACTCGTGGCCACAAGGCAAGCTCATAACACGGCTCACGCCGTCGACATATTCCTCGAGACATACTACACACTCCTTTTGTCGCCCGCCATAACGGCGACGCCATTCGGCCAGTCTGGCTTCGCGCTTCTCCTCCTCCGTAGCAACAGTGGCTCTTCGACAAGAGGATGATGCTGCTGGAGGTTCAGAAGCTGTCCGTGACCGCGACGGAGGATGGGGAGTGAACTCTGGAGCGTTGTGTAGAAGAAGGGGAGCCGTGGGTGAGCTAGTGGCTGGTGTAGCCGAAGCCGTCGAATCGGAGTCGCTGATGGTATGGTAAGTCCTGACAGGGAGGCGATCTACTACTGATTTGGGAGCCCTCCACCTTCTGCGGCGAATACGGGAGCGGAGGATAAGGAGCGCATACACTACGGTCAACGTGACTAACGGACTAACGACAAGGACAAGCAGGGTCTCCAAGAAAGGGCTGCCTTCCATCCCAGCTGGCGAAAGGGTTACCCAAAGTCCTTCATGCTCCTTCGACTTCTTGGGCGGGTGAGCGTCCACGTTTCTCTGGCCCTCGGTCTCCTGGCTCGATTTTGGGGCCTGAGTGGATACCACTGATTCTTGAGCCAGGGCAGAGTCGCTCTCATCCTGAGTTTCCTCGTCTTTAACGGCCTTGGAGATACGCTTTGCGCGGATTTCCCCTTTTATGCGCTTCATCGGAGCTGCATCTTGGGGTGATGGCAATGAGGAGAGCTCTCCTGAGGGTAGTAGAGACGAGAGCAGATGGGCCGTTGTGTGCGAAGTGAAAAGCGCTGGGATGCTGACGTTTGATGCAGCGTCTCCCTTCGCGAACATGCGTACCAAGGGGCCGCCACGCACATTGTCGCCGATTATCACCGCAAGAGCGCCCCGTCTCTGTGCCCATAGAACTTTTTCAATAAAAGCGCAGCCGCCTCGCTTCAGGAGGGCAACTCGGCCAACAACAGTAACGTTTTGTTCCACTGGCCGTAGCTCGGCATGATCGACGAGCTGCCCCGTACGATTGCTCGGTAGAAGGTGATTGCCTGTCCCGTCGCTGTTGTCTGCTATGTTTCCAGCGATTCCAGACTGTGGGTGCCTCCTGACCAAAGACGTAGACGGTGTTCCCATCGTCTCATTGGTTCTTTGCTTTCCTTTCCCCGACAATGCCAGAAGATGTTGTTCTTGTTCCCAGCCAGGCACATCGTTACAACCAAGCTCAACAGTTTCCATGGCATCTTCGGTGAACCCTCCCCCAGCCCATAGAGGTCCACTCAGGCCCTTTTCCGGAAGATCAGGCCCAAAGGCGGCCGGCCGAGCGAGGAAGAAAGTGGAGTTGTCATCGGTAAGGCTTATTATAGCCGAAGGGGGAAACAGCGAGACCGGGGCTGTGAAGGAAAAAAGAGCCTTGACGTCACGTTCTTTCCCGGACACTGTCCCTGCGGAGATGGAGGAGGTGGGCCCGTGATTCTTGAGGAGTTCATACAGGGCGATTGCCAGGAAGAGGAGGACGAGAGTGTAGGTGCAGAGGACGCGGAGAGAGCGCATGGCGGAGTGTTAGGTGCTAGGAGTGCGATAAGTAGGGGAGAAGAGACAGCAGTTATGCTGGAGCTCTAATCTCGATTGCGCATTCGGCAGCTCGTCGGTGACGTCTTGTGGAGGCTATATCAAACTGGTCTTCGATTGCGCCGGCGATGCTGGGCGGTAGCAGCGGGGATGTGAAGCATTCGGGTAGCGGGAGAAGGGGTGAAAAAGGGGAGTGCCCAAGTGGGGACAAGGAAGGGAAGCAGAGCCGGATGAGGTGCAAGAAGAACAGCAGGGCGACAAGAGAGAGAGGGCGTAGGGTGGAGTATTGCGAGGCCGCCAAAGCTTAAGAGAGCTAGGTGTTGGTCTCGCGCGGATGACATAGGCTGGCCAAGTGGTGCCTCACGCCAAGAAATGCGGGACATGAGATCCGACGACATGTGCTCGGACTTCATCCATCTCAAAATCTCCGAATCCTCAATCGATTCACAGGGATTGAAATGGGCGGCGCATGCAGCAGAGAACAACTGACGTTCCTTCGCCGGGGGTAATCACGGCCAGATTCTCGATCGCCCTATTTGGATGATACCGTTCACTGCGGATACCGGACGGGACGGCTCACAGATTTCCGAACCACATATAGACGACGGCAAGAGCTATGAGGCCCATGGACCGGTCTTTCCTCGTTCCTAAGTCGACATTAGAGTTTCTGGATAGAATCTCATAATCAACCCCAATGAGTGCCTTTGACACAGGTGACTCTCCGCCCTCCGTACCGCACTTACTGGCTCTTTCACGTCCGCCTGAACGCCACCCTGCGCGTCCGTAGGTTCCATTACCTGCTCTGCGCAAACCAATTGCATGCAATCTGTTTACTTCATTGGACGGTTAAGGCTCTAAGGAGTAGGATGCCTAGACAGAGTCTCTATAAACCCATCTTGCCGGGGCTGTTATATCTGTGCAACTCCTGGCTGTTCGAATGGACCTGGAAACTGCAATGTGGAAGAGGTGCAGGTGCAGGGCGGTGTTCAGTCGGACGTGGAAGGCCGTAGGATAGATGCAGGCTCGACGCACTCGGGTGTCGAGGATCAGGAGACAGGAAATCGCGATGGAAACAACGTTGTTGCCGTTCAACCCGTCCTTGACTCTTTAACTAGCCTTTTCCCCAGTCTCTTCTCTCCCTCTCTCATGTCATTGCTATCCATCCACCTTCAATTCAGCGTCCAATCCTTGAACGCTTATACGAGTGTATCTCAAACCCGAACATCCCCTCGTCACTTTTACTTTGATCCTACCTGCTTTATTCCTCCCGGAAGGCTGTCTGACTTAGTCGCATTCATCCATACCATCGCCGTCGACTATCTGTATCCATCCGCCCTTGTACCGGCAAGGAAATGGACTCCCCAAGGCCCGCCGACAACTTTGTTGTCCTGCCCGGAATGAAGCCGTCTTACACCACCGAGCCCAAGCACCCAGGGGAAACCCGTCTGGCGAAGGCGAAGTGGCTCTCGAACAGAACCCGCGTTTTGGCGGCTTCTTCTCTGGGTGAATTTGTGGGAACCTTCCTATTCTTGTTCTTCGGTTTTGCTGGCACCAAGATTGCGAACACAGTGGGTGGTGATCCGGCTTCCCGGCTCATGTATATCTCCCTAGCCTTTGGCTTCTCCCTAGCGGTCAATGTCTGGGTATTCCTTCGTGTCAGTGGTGGCCTCTTCAATCCAGCTGTAAGTCCCCAAAGCTTTATTCCTCATATCATTTGCTTATATTGCCACACAGGTCACTGTCGGTCTTGCACTGGTGGGTTCGATTGGGTGGCTGAAGGCGACTGTGCTCGTCGTTTCGCAGGTTGTCGCAAGCATTGCTTCCGCCGCGGTCGTGTCAGCATTGTTCCCCGGTTCCCTCGCAGTCCGAACGACTTTACGCCCGACAACATCCATTGTTCAAGGCGTGTTGATCGAGATGATTTTGACGGCTGAACTCGTATTCGCGGTCTTTATTCTGGCTGCCGAAAAAAGCGAGGCCACATATCTTGCCCCTATTGGCATTGGTCTAGCTCTATTCATAGCTGAGTTGACTGGTGAGTAACCGACCGTTGTCTCTTCATTCACAACTGACAGTTCCAGGTGTCTATTTCACAGGCGGCTCGCTCAACCCAGCACGATCCTTCGGTCCAGAGGTTATTCATGCAAGATTCGATGGCCATCATTGGATCTACTGGGTAGGCCCATTGCTCGGTTCAGTACTGGCAGTCGTCTCCTACCGCCTCATCAAATTCCTCGAATACGAGACAGCGAGTTCAGAGGCCGACAGCCTGCGTTATGCCGACGAACTCCCGAACCATGAAGCAAATGAGTCTCGCCATTTGGCGACACCCAGGTTTTCAACAACGGTTGCTCGGTTGGCTAGGCCGTCAGGTGGACGGAGCGAATGACCGATGACTTCACGCCCCCTCTACAATCCCATCAACACACCTCTGGTCAGCCATCATTCTGATATCGCTCGACACCTATGCTACGACGAAGCCAGCGTTCCCACCAATGATGCCTCGAACTCTACGACTCTTGGGCCTCGACGCGTACGTTTTCTTGTACGCGGACATGGCTTCGGTCTTGATGGGCACCGCTCAGGCAACTACGTTGACCATCGTGTTCGTCACAGACGCATAACCCGCACCGCGCGTTCCTCATTTTCCACCAACTCCAGTGACTGAGCGAACTTACCGTCACGGTTCCTCTTTGGAGTCCGCAGTATCGTCAACGGCGAGCACATCGACGCGGACCGGTTCTTCGTACTGGCATGACGAGAAGCACGGAGATCCATGTGGCTCAGGTCTCTGTTACTTTGCTTTCTTCTGGTTTCCCTATTTCATCATGCGGGCTTGCTTTTGTCCCTAGTGTTCATAGATTGTTGACTTTCTGTATGCTTCCCCTCTGTGCCGTTGTTGGTCGTTATGGGTTTATTAATAGGAACCCTAAGATTGGTCTTTTTGGCGTTACGTGCAATCGGAGAGGAAGGGCGGGGGTACCTGGTCGCGGGAGTGATGCACTATGCTTTACACGCTGTTTTCCTTCGAATTGACGTTTTTCATATGTTTTGTGCTGCACATCTTTCGATCCCTCGCGTTCCAGAGGTAGATTGGTAGTACGGCCTTTTTGGGAAGGTTGACTTGCGTGTTGGTGGCCTCCTTGCTCACTAGGAGAGCCATAGAGTATGTTGGTGGATCCGCCAGCAGCCGCTACCAGTAACCGTGGTGGCAGGTTATGGAGTTCTGACTTGAATCGGGGCGGAGGAAATGCAAAGACCGTTGCAAGCGGAAGAGCGGGGGAATACAGAAAGGTAACTTTCACAATGTAATCCTTCGCTCGGGTATCATAAACTCGGAAGTCCCCTTCAACGCCCTCCATACGCAAACTAATTCCCTAAATAGTCGACAGACTGAGGCCGAACTTCAATCATCGTACAATTGAGGCGCTGCCATGCTCATCCTCAATTGTCTCTCCCTCTGTTTGGCCTGCATCTCTAACGTCTCGACGGCATAGCTCAACCGCTGCTTCTTCTGCCTCAATTGCTTGTACTTCATCTCCTGCAGTGCAGTCATTCCTTTTGTAGTTTCTTCCCCTCCACTTCGACCCTGAGCCCTGCTGCTGGGGCGGAATGCGGAGCCACTGTTGTTATCGTTTCCAAGGCGGCCCTCGTTCAGGTCGCACTTCGCAATGAGGGACTGCTCTCGACGCTCGAGCTTGTCGAGGTAATTCGTAACCCGTTGAAGAAGGTTTTCGATTTCGGGACCAATTTCGGAGAGCAGGGCGGCTTGTGCACTTTGCAGGTCCGGTTCTGAGATGAGCTCGAAATGCTGGTATTGAGTTAGCAACTGAAGGCGTAAGAGATAAAGGAGGTTCCAATCTGAAAACTGCTAGAGACATAGGAATAGGCACACGTACTCTTGTCGTCTGTAGAACTTTAGCCAGGCGAGGGTAGTCGTTTACGCCGGAATCCAATATGTTGATAGATGAATCAAGCAGTTGCATGCTGCTTCGCAAGGACGACACACAGCCCTCCAGTGCCGACGCCATTATTTCTAGAATAAGGTCGCTTAAACCGGTCACGAAATCCTGCGCTGCTGAAAGGATTTGGTGTCATCCGCAGACGCGGGGTTACTGCTGTGATGTTGTTTACCTCTCATCACCACTCCATCGGCAAAACTCCGGACTTGGCACCCGGCCCCGTCCTGCGAAACTTCCGCAAAGCTACGTCTGCTGGCAACCTCACCCATCCACGTCCAAACCCAGCCATTGCCCCTCGGTCGCACATCAACATGTCTCTCCTTGGAAAGAAGTTCCCCGGCGCTGTCGGTACGTCAGTAGTCGCTCCCAATGGGAGATGAGATTCGAAGTGTCGAGATGCAATGGCTAACGTCAACTCTACGCAGCCCGGCCTATGCTCCCCTTCTATGTTTCCGGTACGTCGCTCGAATACGCAATCGCAAGACGAATTCCATGTGCAAAATTGGGAGACATCTCGAGATGGAATGGACTACACGCAGCACCCCGACAGCTCGACTGACAGAACCCCCAGGCCTCGTTATCCTCTACGGCGTCAACTCCTTCGCGACCACATTGGCAGCCAGTTAGTCACCCCGTTCCAATTCCTCCGGACCCATCGCTATGTCGAGCATTCTCCTTTTATATGCAATCGCTAACCACTTCCTTTCAGCCGATGAGTACAAGAACGACCCCCGGAACCCGGCCCTCAGGAACCAAGCCGCTGCCGGCCATTAAATGCACAATCATGGGAAGGGAAGTTCATGAGGCAGCGTACTGAGCGAATTTGGAGGCATTGTACAACACAGCACATGTGCGCGGGGCTGCTGGCATGAAGAAGCATTCCGAGATGACTGTATAGAATTCCCAAGAGATCTCTGTTCCGTCACCAGTACCACTTCATTGCACTCGGAGTTTGTAATACTGACACCGCACGTTTACGTAGCGGAAGCTCGTCTGGAAGCGGATTCAAAAGTACAGGCAAGCGTGGAGCCTGGACAAAAGATTGTCCACGTCTTGGCTGCGTAAAGTCAACGTTGGAACTGCACTGCTCGAGCTTTTCCTGGCGATTTCCAGTTGTCTGGGTATATATGGCGTGTGCTCATCTTGGCCGATTCAGTCAACAAAGCTGAAGCGTCAATTCCGATGTCTCACATGTGACCAGCCTCTGCGCATTCCCGTGACTGGCCTTAGACAGCTGATTCATCGCCCGGTCTTCCGCAAGCCGACACAGTACATACCTAGGTATGTATCTCTTTGCGCCTGATTGTATCCGTGCGAAATCCCGATTGGCTGGATCCAAAGACGACTCAGACACGTGTAGGGCTGTGTCTCGTGGTGATGTAGTTAATCAGGAGGAGAGGATTAAAATCCGCTGCGCCTCTAACATTGGGTAGAGATAGTTGTCGTATTCTGATGTAGCATTGCATTGGTGGGCTGCTTCATACTTCGGCGTTGGGTTGCGAAGACGTCGAGGTGAGCTTGTGCTTTATTCTGTATCAGAAGTTGGTTCTGGAATTCCCACACTGATGGCATTAGGATTTTGACACTTGGAATGTGAGTATAAACGTGCAGAGAAAAGGCTCAGCCCGTTATTCCACCCTAAAAGCCTGCACAAGTTCGTCCTGGTTGCGTTGGGCGCCAATCCGTTGACAAAAACATGCCATCTGATCTTGCTATACTGTGTATTTTAATGGGGTTTTATTGATGTCTGAGAGCCGAGCGCCGTTTGACCACATCTATGGCGGCTGTTCTTCTTCTAATGATTTTCATCAGAGACAAAGCTGGCATATCTAACCAGCTGTGGCTCCGTAAATCATGACCTGGAGGAGATCCCGCGGCTAGACGGGAAACTACCATGCTTGCATCTCCAAAGGCCCGAGAATCCAGTGTCCAGGCCTCGCGCATCACCTCGGATCCTAAATAAAAGCCGCAACCAGACGGGAGCAGGGTCCGGGATGTGGTCGGCGGAGCAAGTCCACGCAGCCTAAGTTTCACTCAAGCTTCTGCAACACGAATTTTGGTGCTGATCTCATGTTTTGGGAAGCCCAGGAGAATTTATATAATCCCGCATCTGCCAAACCACAAGTTTTATAGAAACTGCAGAGGGGGATCTGGTTCTCTAGGCCGGAAAGCCGGGACTATAATGAGGGCGCATAAAGGGGGTTGCGGGTAGGCGGATAGGCCGGAGTAAAGCGCCTGCTCCGGTGCATGAGGAGGCGAATAATGGGAACCCTGGAAGTATACAGGCGATCCAAAGTGCGCACTCAGGGTCAAACAGCCCGTAGAGAATACAAACAGTGAAATGACGATAATGACGGTGATGATAAATCATGGCATCGACACAAACGTGCGTGCCAGACCGGAGAACTTGCTGTTCTGCCCAAGTTAGTTGCCAACAACAAAACACAGCCTCTCAGCTGGACCGCGCAGCTGTCCAGACCCGTTGGCTCCTTCACTTTCACCACGGATCACGTGGCGGTGTAGCCGGACTTGGCGCCCGAGTTAGCAGGTTGGCGATGAAAGGCCTCTCTCACTGCTGCTCTCAACTCTGCCACTCCTCCTGTCCACCTTCACGTCTCGCACCCCTATCCACCATCGAGTGGCATTCCCAGAGGCTTATTCCGCTGTTACCCCTGCGTGCAGCTGCCTCCCCACGCTTTATTCCCCTCCACCGCCCGCAAACACGTCGTTGCACACGCAGCAGCCGCCGTCGCCGGTTGTCGTTGGGCTTCGTCCGCCATTCACGCACGCCCTGTAAGTCAACTAGCCCCGGATTTTGCGTGCCTCCCGCCACCACCTCACCCACTGCTCCATCACTGCCTCGCTTCTACTTAAGGACCAAGAAGAACACCACTCTTTGCCTCCTTTTCCTCCTCTCCTCTCTCGATTCTACTCTCTCTTCGCTCCCCTGTCCGCTACTCGCTAGCGCAGCCGGCTGACACACCGCCTCGTTGGCAAAGTCCCCGCCTCGTCACTGACCGGCATTTCCCAGCCTGAACACCACCGCATAACCTCCCGACCGACGACTCCTCTACAACTCCGACAGGAACGACGACAGGCCAACCTCCTCAAGGTTGAACCTCAGCAAACATGACCACAATGGTATGCGGTTCCCACACTCAGCTGTCGTGGCACTGCGTCGAACGCGATGCAATTTGAGCAGGGCTGACTCTCTCTTAGGATCTCCGTGTCGGCAACAAATACCGTATTGGAAGAAAGATTGGTAGTGGCAGTTTCGGTGATATCTACCTTGGTGCGTATTCCCGAAATGCTTGTCAAATGCTTCGTACTGACCAGTCCAAAGGCACCAACATCATCTCAGGCGAAGAGATTGCCATCAAGCTCGAAAGCGTCAAGGCCAAGCACCCACAACTCGAATATGAGGCTCGCGTCTACAAGTCCCTGGCTGGCGGTGTCGGCATCCCCTTCGTCCGCTGGTTCGGAACCGAATGCGACTACAACGCCATGGTTCTGGACCTCCTCGGCCCCAGTCTGGAGGACTTGTTCAACTTCTGCAACCGCAAATTCTCCCTCAAGACCGTCCTGCTCTTGGCCGATCAGCTCATCTCTCGCATTGAGTACATCCATGCCAAGTCGTTCATCCACCGTGACATCAAGCCGGACAACTTTCTGATGGGCATCGGAAAGCGTGGCAACCAGGTCAATGTGATCGATTTCGGTCTGGCCAAGAAGTACCGTGACCCCAAGACTCACTTCCATATTCCTTACCGTGAGAACAAGAACCTCACTGGCACTGCCCGTTATGCAAGCATTAACACCCACTTGGGTGTCGGTATGTTCAAACCTGTACCTGTCGATTATGCCTAGGATACTGACTTTTCTACAAGAACAATCCCGCCGTGACGACATGGAGTCGCTCGGATACGTTATGCTCTACTTCTGCCGCGGATCTCTGCCCTGGCAAGGTCTCAAGGCTGCCACCAAGAAGCAGAAGTACGATCGTATCATGGAGAAGAAGATGACAACCCCTACCGAGGTCCTCTGCCGTGGATTCCCTAACGAATTCGCCATTTACCTTAACTACACGCGCTCACTCCGTTTCGATGACAAGCCGGACTACTCGTACCTGCGCAAGATTTTCCGCGATCTCTTCGTTCGTGAGGGCTTCCAATACGACTATGTCTTCGACTGGACCGTCTACAAGTACCAGAAGAACGCTGCTGCCATCGCTAACGCGAATGGCAATGCGGGCCAGAATGAAGAGGATGACAAGAACGGTCGTGGACGCCACGTCACCACCACGAACGCTGCGAACGCCGGTACTCCCGCCGCTAACACCAACAAGCGTGGACCCGTCGTAGCACGTCAAGAAGGCACCGGAATGTGAGTTCGACATATCCGATCTTAGTAAGGGACTCCTCTCCTCTGCGTTTAGTGTTCGTTCATAACGCTCGGCGCGGGGGATTGCCAGCTTCAGACCTTACTAACATCTGTTCTCATGTTCAGGCAGCTTCGTTCGTCTAACAAGCGTGGCGGTGCGGATCAGTATCTTTCTGGCGGCTACTGAATCTGACACGGCTCTGGCTCGGCTCATCAACTTTCTTTAGTGGACGTCGTCGAACAACTCCACTTATTCAACACTTGGGAAACGCGGCAGTGCCGTCCTGCTACATCATTGGACGGCTGTCACTCTCCCTCTAAACCAGAACTTGGCAACGTCAGTCGATCCTTTTGACCAGGACCTGGATCCGGCGCTCGAGGATTGATTTCTGCCAAGGCCTGGAATCCGACGATAACTTCGGGACTATCTGACACCCTGCAAGTTCTGTCACGATTGTGCGTTGTCATATCCTTCTTCGGGCTCGATCAGAAGTGCGGATCAGCAACATGTCCAAGTCATCAGTCGACGATTCTATCTGGGAAAACTCCATAGGATGATGGTCTTCAGTTTTGTTTTTCGCGTTTGTCTCAAGCCATTAATTACTCCCCCCTGCCCCCTGCTTTTCTGTCGTTTCCTATTTCCTATCCGGACGTTTCCCTCCTTCGCGGAATGGTCTACCAGCTTGTGGGGATGTTTCAGAATGCTAAGGGGACGAGTACAACCAAATTGCACACTACAGGAGGGAATCGTAAGGGAAGCCGAGTTAGCTGGAGAACATACGGTATAGGCATGGTACGCGGCAAGTGCGGCGTCGTCATCCGAGTCCCGCAGTATTGCGGTTCTTCGATGGGTCCAGCCCTGCGCGCTACCGTGCGGTGGAGGGGTCGCTCCGGAGATGGGTGGTACTTTGGAGTTTATCTGCTATACAATGACAATGTTTCCTTATAACAGCTTAAACTTGTGGTGGGTGATCCACGTTGCATTTACTGTACTGTAGAAGGCTTTGCAGCTGCAATGGCTTTTCTGTGATTGGTGTATTGTCTAAACCCAAAGCGGCATAGTGCGGCGTTGCAGTCGCCCCCCATATCACTTTTTGTTTGAGTTCTACAGAACAGAACAGTGGCACGACACCCAATTGCCTCCAATGCTCGCGGCAAAGAGTCTCCCGGCCGTGTGCCTGCCGTGCCGGCTCAGGATATCGGCCTCACAATTCCGCCATGTGGCCCCGATGGCGAGGTCGCAGCGCCTGCAATCCAAAGTCGGAGCAGCTCCACCCGTGAAGCGCACCTTCACGACCACGACCCGGGCGCGAGGGAACGATGCCACCACTGAGACGTCGGCAGCGACAGCGACTCAGTCAGACGAAGCGTCGTCGTCCTTTTCCGAGGCGCCGAAGTTGACGGTCGAGGAGAGGGTGCGGGGAGCGCGGCAGCTCTTCGGGGACGCGTTGCCGCGCGGGGCGTTGGCCGAGGAGGAATACGTCGTGTATGAGCGGCTATACGGGACGCCCGTGTTTGTGGATCGGATGGAGGATATTGAGGGGTTCAAGGGGGTTGGGGGAGAAGAGGGAGAGGAGGTTTTTGATGAGGAGGAGGAAGGGGCGAGCGAGGGGGCTAGTGTGTTGCAGAGACGGATGAGCGATGGGCGGTTCGAGGAGGTGGAGGTGTTTGATGAGTTTTGGGAGGAGGAGGAGGATGGGGATACGGAGGTGGAAGGGAGAGGGGAGGGATTGGAGAGGGAGAGGGAGGAGGGGATGACGAGGGAGGAGTGGGAGGCTATTAAGGAAAAGAAGGCGGAGAGGTATCATCGGGAGGTGTATGATAAGAGTATGGCGTCGTTGGAGGGGATTATGGAAGAGGAGGCAGGGGAAGAGGGAGAGCAGGAGGAAGAAGACGATGGGTTCATGAGGGCGCATCCCTTGACGATTGCGGGACGGTTCAAACCTTCGCCGTCGACTGTGTTCCTCCCCAAGGAGACGCTCGTGGATCCCGTCGCGGAGATACTGACGCGCGCGAACCACAAACACCTCGCCGAGTCGGCGAAGAATATCTTTGGGGGACACGGGCTGCCGCATTCGGCGACGACGCCGGCCGCGCACCTCAACAAGGAGCAGAAGCCTATACCGCTGGATCCGTCGCAGGCGGACATGGGCAATATCGAGAGCGATTCGTACTTGGCCGCTGTGATGCCGGGCACGTACGCCACGGTCATGAGCACGCTGGTGGAGGTGCGGAAGAGGCTGGGTACACCGTGGATGGAACACCTGCTGAAGAAGAAGGGCGGGCCTCTCGTTCTGGACGCAGGCGCTGGCGGTGCCGGCGTGCTCGCCTGGCACGAGGTGCTCAAAGCAGAGTGGGCACGCATGCACGAGGAGTCGGGCAATGTCTCGCACGGTGCCGCACCGCTGGGCAAATCGACCGTATTGACGGCTTCGTCTACATTGCGGCACCGCGCCAGCCGTCTGCTGGAGAACACGACGTTCATCCCTCGCCTCCCGGACCTGGACGCCAAGGACGTGAGAGACGAGGTGGAGAGGGAGATCAACGTGCAGCAGCCGCGGAAACTGTACGATCTCATCATCGCGCCGCACACGCTGTGGCCGTTGAAGCAGGAGTATCAGCGCAAGGAGCAGGTGGAGAAGTACTGGTCGCTGCTGAATCCCAAGGGGGGTGTGCTCATCATACTGGAGAAGGGGTTGCCGAGGGGGTTTGAGGTGGTGGCGGCCGCGAGACAATTCCTGCTGGAGAAGCGGATCAAGTCTCCTGATGCCACTACTGCAGGTACTCAGGAGGAGGAAACGGCTTCCTCCTCCACCCCAGACCCACGGCAGAACGCAGACGACGCCGATCTCCGCGAAACCGGCATGATCATTGCGCCCTGCACCAACCACGGCCGGTGCCCCATGTACAAAACCCCGGGCGTCTCGCTCGGCCGGAAGGACTTCTGCTTCTTCAGCCAGCGGTACATACGCCCGCCGTACCTGCAGCGCATACTGAACGCCACGGACCGCAACCACGAGGACGTGCAGTTCAGCTACCTGGCCGTGCAGAGGGGCCGCGACCAGCGATTGCCGCTGCATGATCTCCTGGGCAAAGGCGTCGTGCAGGGCGAGGAGGCGACGCTCAAGGCGTTTGCGGGCCATGAGTGGAAAGTTGCGTCTCCGGGCTCGACTACGACGTACACGAATGGACCGACATCTACAACAACATCAACATCGTCATCATCATCGGCTCTCTCAGAATCATCACAACAACCCCTCGAAGTCGAGCCCCAAACCGCCGCCGACATCAACCCGCTCACCCTGCCGCGCCTCATCCTCCCCGCGCTCAAACGCCGGGGCCACATCGTCATGGACGTGTGCACGCCGTCGGCCACGCTCGAGCGCTGGACGGTACCCCGGTCCTTCAGCCGGCAGGCCTTCCGGGACGCGCGCAAAGCACAGTGGGGGGATCTGTGGGCCTTGGGCGCCAAGACGCGGATCGAGAGGAGTGTGAGGCTCGGACGCCCCAGGGACGAGTTTGATAAGAAGGGGAGGAGGGTTAAGGGTGGGAATAAGGTGAGGAGGCAGGTGATTGAGATTGATGTCGGGGATGAGGGGAGGGTGGAGGGGATGAGGGCGAGGAGGGATGGGAGGGGTGGGTTTGTGGATGGTGCGGATGGGAGGGGGTGGGATAGGAAGATTCGGGGGAGTGGGGGGAGGAAGGGGAGGAGGAGGGGGGTGAAGAGTGGGGAGGAGGTTTTGGAGGAGTTGATGTAGGGGTTTGGATTCGGAAATGGGAAAGGGAAAAGGGAGGGAGGGGTATGATGGGTATGTGGATGGTCGGGATTTGGATGGCAAGGGATCAACGGCGTCGGGAAAATGGGGAGGAAGGGAACGGAAGGGTATGTATAACAGCAACACTCTCATCATCATATCATCATGGGTATAGACGGGACCAATCTCATGGAAAAGGTGGAAAACGTGGGGTTAGGGTTTTGGTCAGGGTTCTCGGATTCTCTCCACATCTTCCTCTTGCAGGAGTGTACAGACAGTTGCGGCATCTCTGATCTACTTGTAATGTACTTGTACTTTTTCTAAGCTTGTAGCTAAGCTTGTACTTGTATACTAGACTCTGGAAAATATCTAGAGACGTGATTGATTGGGATAAAGGATTGAGGGGGAATTGCTCCCCTTGAAAGGTTTAACTCGCCTCTTACAAGATAGCTACAGTGCTGGGTTTAGGATCCATCGATCCATCCATCCATCTATCTATCTAGTGTTTATGCTTGTGGGTGCTACTTGTGCGGCAGGCAGGACAGGAGACTTCAGTGGTTGAGTGGGTGTTGGTGTTGTTGGGTACGCGATACATCTGTCTGTCTGTCCGTCAGTCCATCTGTCTAGATGGATAGAGAGATAGATAAAGACTTTCCCTGCTTAGTTTCTAGGGGACATGGGGGCACATTCTTAAGCACGCGTGTAAGTAAACAAACAAGCAAGTAAGTAGCTAGGCAAGTAAGTAAGTAAACAATAACACACGCAAAATCGTTCGGCCTCTACCCCTAGCTACATACAGTAAAGACTAGCTAAAACTCGCGGCTCGACTTCCTCCCTAAGACGTAGCAGCAAAGTGTATCTAGTAGTACACCCATTTAACCAAGACAAGCCAAGGGAAAGAAGGGAGGAAGGAGTGCTTTGCATGAAAACTAAAAAAAAATTGAGTAGGGGGGTTAGCCTCCAAAGGTTAGGGGGTTGGAAAATTCTAGGAGAAACGGGCTTGCAAATGCGAATGCAACAGACTAAAAGATAAGATTGCTACTTCATTAGAAGACGAGGAGGGCGAGGACTAAACAGACAAACGGGCGAACACGACTAAACAAATGAGGGTTTTTTCTCGAGAACATGGGAAGAAAGAAAGCCAAGTGCAAAGAGAGCCAGCACGTTAACAGGGAAGAAAAAAAAAACGAAAACGAGAACAACGCGTACGGTTACGTTAAGATAACAAGGAAGGAAAGACGACCATGGAACCAAGAGAGAGAGAGAGAGATGGGGTGGGAACGAGGCTGCATTTTTTCTTCGCAGCTAGACTACGCATTAATCCAGACTAAAATATGCTTACTTCCTTATTGTATATTATATATTGTGGATATAAGGTAAAAAGTTCCGTGTATTATTATATATACAGGATACTTATCGAGTACTCTTGCAAGTAGAAAGTACAAGAAGAAGGAGAAGAAGAAGGAGAAGAAGAAGGAGAAGAAGAAGGAGAAGGAGAAGGAGAAGAAGAAGGAGAAGAAGAAGGAGAAGAAGAAGGAGAAGAAGAAGGAGAAGAAGAAGGAGAAGAAGAAGGAGGAGAAAGCAATAATAGAGACAGAGACAGAGACAGAGAACAGAGAACAGAGAACAGAGAACAGAGAACAGAGAACAGAGACAGAGACACAGACGGAGATAGAGACAGAAAAGAAGCAACTCAACTTCACCGCAAAGAGTCCCGACACCACCACCACCAACACTTAACAATCCTTAGAAAAACCATTAGGCCTATTTCGTCGTCGAACAGCAGATAGGGATAGGGAAGACCTACTATACTTGTATATATAACAGCCCTCCCTTTCTCTATCAAGACCCTACCTAGTGTTTTGTTTAGCCACCCCACAGCCTTACCATCACGACACCATCACGACACCACGACACCACACCACACCACACGACAAGCACTAATCACTAATCACTAATCAATCACAAACGCACACATCTGCTAAACTCTGAGTTCCACATAAGCGTACATAACACCCCACACCCCCCTCTCCCTCTTAATCGCCCTCGCCCTCGCACCCGCGGGACTTACTCCTCCCTCCTCTCCCTCCCCCCGCACGCCCTCCGCCAGCCAACAAAACCGACAGACAGCTACAGCCACGCCCCGAAAAAGGACAAAACAGATAACAAAAAAGGAAAAAAGGTCAAAGGAAAACAGCGGACCCCTTGACGCAAGGGACAGAAGATCCTCGGAAAAAAAGGCACAAAACAAGGGCAGAGGGACAAGGGACAAATGTACCATTAAGCATGCCTCCCAGTGTGTGTGTGTGTGAACTGAAACACGCCTGCACCGGACCAGATTCGAGGAAAGAGATCCGTGACAGAGCCGGCGAACGCACGCCCACCGCACATCTACCCGTTCCATGACGTCTTCCCCCCCGGAAAATCCCAATATCCCCACGTAGACATACAACCCAGAAACCCATCCATGGCTCCGAGCGTGTACACATGCGATAAGGAACGACCGTCAATCGTGTCAGACATGAATCGTTTTTGTTCTTTTCGTCTTTGCCGCTGCACCGAGACATGCTTCATGCTAGACGTGTCCTAACCATGTATACAGTATCTCAGCTTCTTGCCGGCCGGGAGAGCCGAATCCAGAAGTACAGACGATCCCAGGCGCCGGTGCCGCCGATATGCCATGACAGAGGAAGGGCCGAGTTCGCTGCCGTAATTCGCGTCAAGCTCGATTAGACATATCGGAAAAGCAGGTTCAAAAGTGTAACACATGTCGATCGGGGGTAAGGGGTGCCGAGAAAGGAAAGTGGGGAACGATATCGATGTAATGCGGGGAAGGGGCTCGCAAAGCTGATTCGGCGTCGAGACTTGAGAGGGCTTAACAATATCGCGCTGTCTATCGGCGCCCAAATCTGCTGTAGAGAAGTTGGCAACTGTTCTGTCATGCTGAAGGGAGTCGGGGATGGGAATTGACAAACGACAATGGCGAAACGGCTCATTTGAGAGGTCCCCTCTCCAGACGCGGGGACATCGGCCTGCCTAACTTGGGAACGTACTTTTGCTTCTTTTCTGCTGGCTTCAGGATCTAAACGCGAAGACGTTAGTATTCATAACCAGCATCTTCGCCCGCAATCGGTTCTTACCTGGAATGAGCAGAGCAGACTCTCGTCCACACTCATCATGGCGCCCGCGTTGTCAAACTCGCCACAATAGTTCGGCGCGCTGAATAGCGTAACGAGCTGTCGTTTCGAGAAGAACTCATACCCGTCCTCGACAACCTGATGGGCACGGCAGATGAGGTCCATGTCGTGCTTCTGCAGGAACCGGGACACAACATCTGGGCCGAATGTGAAGGAGACGCCTCGATCGTTTTCGCTCCAGCCCGTGATGTCCTTATCGGGGTCAGACCAGAGAAGATCGCAGAGAAGACCGCAATCCGGAATCTGCGATAGATTAGAATCAGTTTGAGAGACGGCGGATCTAGACGGATGCCAAAGGCATTCTCGCAAATGTCAACTTACATCCGTCGGCCTCATAACCCGGCGAATCTGCTCCATCGAGTTCAAGTCGGGGCTCAATCCTCCATGCATGGTGAAGATCTTCTCGTCGATGATTGCAGCAATTGGCAGGCAGTTGAAGCAATCCGTGAACGTCTTCCACAGCTTGATGTTGTACCTTCTCTTGCACTCGTCGTAGAAGCCGTAGATGCGGTTGATGGACGCGCACTCGTGGTTTCCGCGCAGAATGAAAAAGTTTTCGGGGTACTTGATCTTGTATGCGAGCAACAAGCAGATGGTCTCCAAAGATTGCTTGCCACGGTCGACATAGTCTCCGAGGAAGAGATAGTTTGCTTCGGGCGGGAAGCCGCCATACTCGAACAGGCGCAGCAAATCGTAGTATTGGCCGTGTATATCGCCGCAAATCTGCTCGAGGGATCAGTAACTGCATGGGGGAAAGGAAAGGAGGGATGTGCGAATTGAGCGCATTCAAAGACTGCTCACCTTTATCGGCGCCTCCAGCTCTAGTAGGATGGGCTGCGAAATGAAGATCTCGCGAGCCTTGGTGCAGAGATATCGGATCTCCGTCTCCAGCAGCTGAACCTGCTTCCCCGGCCTGCTGCCTCGCACCTCGAGCAGTCTATCTATGATGGAATCGAGATCCACCTCGTTTTCGGCCATGGCTGGAGCGTGTTACCTGGCTTGATGTAAGGGTTCTAGTAGATGCAAGGGTGGAGGCCCTCGCGCGGGTAGAGGGTGGAAAGCAGCGGTTGATGTGCAGTTGTCGTTCACAGTCTCTGGAGAGAGGGAGTTGTGTTAGCAAGAGCAAGTTCCGGCGTGACAGAGACGCCACAGTGACTCCTGGTCGAGATCGCCAAGAGGCAGGCGACAGTGAAAGTAACATTGGTAAGCAAACTCGACGACATACCTCTCGTGCAAGTAGCGGTGTTCTGGTGTGAAGGGCAGGTCGCGAGCGGTGCTCGGAAACAGCAGAGAATGGCTCGAAGCCCCTCAGAGATGCAAGCGTGTATGGGTGACGCACGAGACTGTGTCCGAGGCTGCGGGGCTCGAAAGTTAATTGATTAGATCGACAACAGTATACCTGAGGCTGCACGGGGCCAGGAAGGCGAGCGCGCGATGGCAGCGGGAGGCTGAGGCGCTGGAGAGGCCTGAAGCTGTTGAGCAGGTGGGCGAGGGAGATTGTCGTGCTTCACCGCCTGGATGCGCGGCGGATGGAGAAGGCGAGCTGGACGAGGGCGCGAGGTTGGTGGAGAGGCGTCTGTTCTGCGATGCAGCGACGAGCGAGCGAGAATGGGCGTGTTGCTGGCGGGGGAGCAGAGTGGTGAGAAGAGGGCGGATGTTGTAGCAGCGTCGGGCCCAAGGTTTGTGTTTGAGGTTGCTGCGCTCAGGCCTCTTGGAAAGAATGTGCCCTACGAGAAAGACGCTAAACCGCTCTGGGGTGGCGCGACACGGCCGACGATGAAAAGTAGCGCAACAGGACCCCTTCGAGGTACCTACGCGATGCAGGCACAGCAAAGCGGAGACTGGGCAGAGAAAAGCGCGTAGGTACACGGGTCAATGTGGTGGGAGAGTAATAACAAACGTCCGTCTCCTGGCAGCGAGGGGAAGTTGAAGTCTCTTCAGGCCGGCCCCCTCGGGTCAGGCAGTCAGCAAGCAGAAGAAGAACACCACGAGCAGGCCCTTTCCCAGACGCCCATGCGCCACACTCCTCTGCTGGTCCCATCCTCCTATCATTACTCGTTACTCGGCCAGAGTATTATTTCATCACCCCTCTCAGAACCCTTCCACGCCTCACATCCAGCCGGATTCCCCTTCTTGGAGCCCCACCTCCTCCCCTCAAAGAATGGACGCGCAAGAATTCTAGGCCCTGTGCGACTAGTGGATATTGAAACCGTGATTTGATTTCACTGCGCCTGCTCATGCCAATGCCAATGACATATCAGAGGCCAGAAGAGCAACGGTTTTACGGCACTGCAGTATCTGCATCAGCAATTCCTGGACACCTGCTCCATACCTATTATTATATTCGCCCCGAGTACATTCGTTGAAATGCTCCTCCCTCGACCAATACTGTACCCCTCTCTCCTGTGTACTAGGCACCAGCCGGTCCGCGCCGAGAGACATCAGAGGACCCAGCCAACCACCTGCATGTCCACAGTAGACGAACTCCACCCTTTGTCCTCACCGGTGTCCAGGGGCCATGGCAAAACTACTATTGACCCCTCTAGCAGGCTTGGGTACGACATCCTGGCAATCCACGAGCCAACTTGTTGACCTTCAAGACGACAACAATAAAGACAGATTCCCCACGGACGAGGTTGGGGCGCTCATCACGTGCATCTGGAAAGGTCAAATATTCAGCATATTGCAAGGGAGAAAGCGTCGTCGTTCATATTTCGTGGACATGAAACCATGCCGTGCAATCTGCAGATGACTTGACCTCCCGTCCATCCGATAATCCCCTTCGAATCCCTTGCAATCAATAAGGCCGTTGAACATGATCCTTCCAGGGTAACCGCCCTTCACAAACCCCACCCCGTCTATGATACAATGTCGGATAGCGAAAAGACAGGACATGCAATGCCGAAAATGCATGCAGAACAATCCTTTTGCGACAATACCGCCCTCGAGGAGAGAAGAGAAACAAAACAACTCAAATGCTAAACGTACAGCGAGCGGCACAAACGCGTCGCCCAAAAGTCTTCCAAAATGTCAAATCACCCAACGCCATGCAAAAAAAAAATCTTTTGACAAAAGCGAAGCACGTCGACAAGCAAAATCTTAGAAACACATGAAGAAAAGAAGACGCTGATACGGAAAAACTGCCGGCGAGCGGAAGTTCGACCGAATATCAAGGACGAAAACGAGAACAGAAGATACAAAGATCAACTTTGGGGTATCGCAAAATGAGCATTACGAGGAACCGTACGCTCCTTCATTCGGATAACTGGCGTGGCAAGATCAAATCAAGCTTTTGGTGGGAAGAGTGTCAACCGAGAGTTCGACCGCCTGACACAATGCCTTGGCTTGGTGTACGGTGCAGGCCAGGTGTCATGCCCGGCGATGTGTATGTCCCTTCGTGGAAAGGTGTCACGGTAGGGTTATCCCAACCGTCGTCCCCCAGAGCGCTCAACCAGTTTGGCCCGAGGTCTTGCCGTAGGGCCTCGATCTTCTTCTTGTACAGGTCGCTGCCCACGTCCAATTCAGCACCAGCAGCGTGAGTTGGCGGCTGGGGCGAGCTCTTGTCTATCGGCGGCCGCTCCTGCTTTGTGGGCCGTGCTGGCAATTCGGCGAAAGGCTCTTCGACCGGAGCACATTGACTGGAGTGACTAGCGCCTATGGCGGTTCTCGACTCGTCGACAAGAGGCGTTGTTTCACATCTCACTTGAGCTGCGGGCTCGGAGGTGGGAGGAGCTACAGCTGCATGTGAGACGGTTGCAAGGGGATTCTCCGTAGATGGGAGCGCAGGCTCCGGGTCACTCTGGAAACTATCCCTCTGAGAGAGCTCCACAACCCTCCTCTTGGCTGGTTTCTTCTTCTTGTGTGAGCCGGCAAATCCACTCTTTGATCGATGGTGCGAAGCCATCCTTCGAGGGGTGTTGATAGCAGGTGCTGTATTGTCAATGGGAATGATCACCTTGGGTGGAACGTAAGGTGCGGGTGCTTCTTCCTCAGGAGGAGGCTTCATCACGGGAGGGTTAGGCAGCTCAGGCGCTCGATCGACCAGCTGTTTGCGTTCGCTGCTTCGCGGGCCTTCGGTATCTATGATAATATCCTCGGTGTATCCCGGCGTCTTTCGGAACAAGTTGAAGATGGTGACCCTATAATTCGGGTATGCTTTGCAGAAAGGGTTGCGATTCACGTAGACTTCTCTCAGAGAGTCAGGCACACCCGTTAGTCTGGCGATCTCGGTAGGATCCATCAACTTGTTGTCTCTAACATCCACGCGTTCCAACGTGGGTATCCGCTCGATGCCGGCAAGCGAGGTAAGCCGGTTAGAGCGAAGATTAAGTGTAGTGATAGCGGGTAGAGGGTTGCGGGTCAGGGAGTGGAGGCTGGCTATCATGCAGTTGGAGAGATTGAGGGCACGAAGGCACGACAACGTTGCTAGGCTGTCCGGGATCTCAACGAAAAGGTTCGATGACAGATCTAGAGATTGCAGCGTGTTCGCCAGGGGAGCCAGACTGGTGGCTGAAATATTGGTTAACGCATTGTCAGCTAGACTGAGGTGTCGAAGGAAGCGCCATTTGGTGGAAGGGAACCATCCGAGCGAGAGGAGATTGGGCGAGCTACCCCTGGGTGTCGCCGATCGGATACTCGAGGATGAGCTTCCAGACGAGCGCCTCAGGTTAGGCGCACTGTTCTTCCCGTATCCCTGAACTGAGCCATGCCGCGAGCTGTGCGGTCGTATGGGCGACGTGCTTCGCTGACGTCGCGGACCTGCCTTGGAGTTTGGACTCCCAGACTGTTTATCCACGGCGCCAGGCGACGTGGGCGGAGACTGGGAACGAGCCAACTGTGCGTGCCGGGGAGTCGGACTTCCAGAAGGATACGGCACTGACGGGGACGGAGGGACCTTGGCTGAGCGCCTTCGTCGCTTGTCCATGTCGTCCAGGACTATATGTATGAGAAGGTCGGCGGGATCGTCGACCCCTGCACGTTTCACGGTGAGGCTCCGCAGGTTCTCGGCCAATCGATCCCAGCCGTAGAACTGGCGGAAGTCGACATCGTAGATTTCCAGGGCCGTGACGTTCTTGAAGGCGAACAGAGGCACGGCACTGTCGAATGGAAACTCTTCGTATCCAGCAATGAGCTTGGCCCTGTGGTCCGGCGCCAGCCTCAAGCACGGAATCTTGGTGAAGGCGGAGAAGAGGTATTTCAAATCTTCCTGAATGGCAGCCTTCTGTTTCTCCGCCTTGGCCGCGCTGTTGGACGAGAGACGGAGAGACGACCAGAGAGAAGACATGCTGGACATGACACTGCGGATGCTGGAAACCGAATGCATCGAGTCCCGATCCGACGACCTCGACTTGTTCCGCTGTGCACTGCTGAGAAAAGACACATAGTTTGCGGGATGAGCGTCCGTGTGAATATTCTCCAAGCGCACATTCATAGGACCAACCTCGATGCCCAGTTCCTCGAAACGAGAAAGCAAGTAGAAGAGGTGATGCGGGGTCAGGGTCAGTTTCGCAGGCTTCAAGGTTGTTGAGGTGAATTTCAAGGACGGAAGCGATAAGGCCGAGGCCCAGACGCTGGAGCTGGAAGACGAGGTTGCATTGGTAGACGTGGGCGATGACTGCGAGGGTGCGGTCCCTTGTCCATGTTTGGGAGTCTGGCGCTGCAATTGCAAGGCGTTTGCGAGGGCTTTCTCATGCGTTCGTACAAAGTATGCGAGGCTCTGATGAGTATCAGCATTCCGTTGGCTTGTCCGTCACCGTAGCCTCGAGCTATGTTGGGGGATACTCGTCCAGGCATAGGCACTGCCCTGGAACTGCGTACCTTTATGAAAACCTCTCCATCCTCTGTGTCCATGATTCAATGTATAGCAAACAAGTGCATATAGGTGTAGGGTTGCGGAGCGAACTTGTACGTGGAGGAGAGGCCGAGAAAAGGCCACGAAGACCAAGGTTCGAAGGAAGACGATGCGGTGGGAGTCAGTTGCTCCTTCGCAAGGTGGGTGCCCTGCCGGGTAGGGCGAGAGTGAGAGTGGGAGGGCGTGCGTGTGTGGTGCTGTCGGCCACGGTCACGTACGGAACCTGGCTGGTCAGCTCGGTGCCACGAGATGTACAGAAAAAAGGACTCGAACAAGACTCGAAAGGCTGGTGTACAAGTAGGAGGTTGTTGTCGTTGGAGATGGGTCTTGGCAGGCTCTTGAGTGGGTTGGGGGCTGGTGGACGTACCGTGGGAGTTCCTCCTCGTGCCCTAGGGGGTGGGAGTCCTAGGTGAGGAAGAGAGAAGGGGGGGAGGGTGCAGATATCTAATATGCACCAGCGAGGGTGCGAGACGGGAGAGGAGAGGAGAGGGGAGGAGCGCAACTGAGGTGGGCGGGCGACGAATGGAGGGCGAGATAGCGCAGGACGCGGTGAGGTGCAGCGACCGGGGGCAAGGAGCAGGAGGGGAGCACGGCTGCGAGTCGAGGCACAGGCATGCGCAGCGCGGCAGGCTGCACGAAGCGGAGCAAGCGGAAGAAGCACGCCTGCAGGGAAAAAAAAGGACGGCAGGGAGGTCCAAGGAGAATATAATAGCTGCGGGTATCTCGAAGGAAAACGAGGTGGTGAAGGGAAACCAGGAAATAATGCGCCAGCAGTAGTGGACCCGACGGTCGGATAGTCTCGTCGAAAGGCACGCTGGGGTGGTGGAGGGGCTGTTCGGGTCGCCTCAGCGACGGTTCCATGTGGCTGCGACAACAACCGCGCAAGAGTGATGAGGGGGATAACCGTGAGACAAAGAAGAGGCGGAAAAGGGGAGATGAAAGTGGTGAGCTGGGAGGGGAAGGGGATGTACTCGAAGCTGCTTGGGAGGAAGAAATTGCACGATGCATATTATTATGGCCGCAGACGGGATGCAGTGCAGCACGAGCATGTGCGAGGAAGGAGCCATGAGGCCTGGAGGCCGGCCAATCACGGCAACAGCAGACCCCCTGCCGTCAAAGACAGTCTCTTCTTGACAGCCTCTCAACGCCTCTCGTCTGACCAGTGTCTGTATACCGCCTCTCTACGGCGTACCGCCTGGATATCTCCAGTTCTGGAGCAACAACTGATTGTTTGATGGTGCGAACAACAGGTTGCCCTCGTTTGCGGGTGGATCTCTGCGGGGAGAGAATGGTGCTCAAAGGTCGACTATTACAGAGGCCATCTGCCCACCACCTCCGAGCACCAAGCTTTCGAGGTGATGGCGTGGTTTGGCGAAGCGGTTCCCTGCAAGCGCGCCCTGGCCGTCGGCCTACTGTGTTAGTGTGGGACAACCTTGTTGTTGGATTCATATCTCTGTATCCTTCAGACAACTACATCTATGGCAGACAAAGAGTCCTCTTTGAAGGCAGACAGAGGCTGAGATTGTGATTCCTGTAAGTGGTTGCAGTCTCGGAAAAGTCGCGCACCCATCTCAAGTCTCTCCGCTGTATTTCGTGAACGCATATACTGTGTACTGTTGGGCACAGCAGATCATCTTCATCCTCACGCTCACCACCCATCTGATTCCCACGCCGCATACCCCTCGGCCTGCTTACTTACAAACATAAACCTCCACGCTGCACCACGCTGCTCATCTGACCACAATCAAAGACCGCACCAGTCCTTCCTCAACCCTCATCCTTGGAGCCCGACAGCGTGCGGCTACCGCGGGGCGGCGCAGCTGATCGACCATGATTGAGATTGACCCTTTTAGCCTTCCCTGCCTCGCACAAAGCTTGACCTGCCGCTGGACCCTGATTTCCGACCTCCTTCGCACCTCTCTCACGATTACTACTACGGAGTACTACGAGGCTACATACTGTTAATAATAAGGCGGCTCTTGCCCTGCCGCCGCCAACGGAGCAAGCATCGACGCTCTCCGAACTGCACCTGGCATGCAGGTGCAGCGTTGCACGGACCGTGAACCCCCAACAAGGTGAACGCCTCTGCAACATGACATCTCACGTAGGCGCCGAGGGCAACCGATCGACTCAGCTACCAGATCATTTGTGGTCTGATTTACTACTACCGTTGTTACTGTCTGGACGTTTTCCTCCGTCTCGCAAGTGCCGAGAGATTTGGCGTCGAGATGCATCGTTCCTGCCCCCCACTGTTTTCCTGATATCACTGTTTCTCTATCAAGCAGGTGGGGCAGCACTTAGCGCCTTCAACTTTTAGCGTTAGCGAACGCCCGTGCTTAACCGGGGGCCCCGCTTGATCTGATGGGAGTGGTGCCCCTCAACACCACGTCCCCATCGTGTCCTCTTCATCCCCATCCTGTCATCTGAACGTTGGCACCGCCTCCAACCGACCCTATGTCTATCTTACCCTCCGACTGCGGCATCTTTTGCCTGATCACACTTGCCCTCCAGATACGCACCGTGCTGTCTCATACAGGTCTAGGCTAGCCTATTTCCCCCAACTTGTCTACCTGGCTTGCTCCGGCATTCCAAGGCTGTGGTTCCTTCACCGCCATCTCGATCAATTACTACGCGAGCAAGTCCAGCGCCTCTTGCCCCGCCGTCATGTTATGATGTGCGACCGTGGGAGAAAAGGCCACATCCCTGCAAACCATTGTTTATCTTACCAAAAGACCAACAGCGTTTTCGGTGCCGCTATCGGCCCAATCTATTTCCGACGCATCCTTACCATACTGTGTACTGTAGTATAACCCAACTACTCACCTCTGTGTACGAGCCGAAGGAATACAACTTCCCAACCCCAGCCGTAGAGGTGGCTTGACGAGCACGTGATGACTCAGCCTCCAGCTTATTTCAACCTCATCCTCTGCTTTCATTCCTCTTCAGCAATCCACATGCGAAATCAGGATTCAGGGTCCGACTCGAAAAACCACCGGAAGACGTGTCCATTCCTTCACGCCAAAGATCACCCTTCCCACTCCACATCAATCTTGGAAGGCAGTACTAACGTATGTAGGATTGGACACGATAGCATCCCGAGCTTTTCCGCAGTGCCCATCATCGACTATCTCGCCCGCTTCGCATGACTTCGTCCGCCTTGCTGACGATTATAGCTCCGGTCTATTCTCAGGGTACCGGCACATATCGTCTCGCTCGGCGTCCTTTCTTGTCAATCGGGACCCACAGTCAAGCCACCTGATGCGGCTCTAGTAACGCATTACCTGTATTCCTCTCCCCTACCACACCGCCAGACACAGTCTTCCTACTAGTGTGGCTGCCAGACCGCCAAAATCTGCCTCCCTAACCCTCCTTTGGCGCCTCACACCGCGCAGCTTCTCCGCCTCTGCGCGCCTCACTATTGCCCACCCCGCTGCCCGGGTGATCTGCCATTTCTAATAATTGCAAGATCTACAAGTACGGCCACAGCCAAGCTCCACGCCTCTGCCGCCGCGCATGCTAGATATGTATGCGCATGCTATGCGCTGGCGCCGGCTAGCCGGATGCCCGCTGAGATGGCGTGCTGGCTTTTTCGGCATATGCGAGCCGACATCATCGTGCAGGTTGACAGCTCGAGCGCACATGAGAGCACAGCCATATTCGTCGGAGCACTTTTGCAGAACCTGTATTGGTGGGTTGGAGCCAATGGGACCGGAGAGAATAGACGTCAGCCCTCCTTTTTGATATCATCTGGTTGGGCAGATTGCAGCATATTCTGCATCATGGTTATTGTTCATGCTCTCTAACTTAGGCCCATTAAGCGTAGCATATGGAGTGCATGCTTTGTAGCCATCAAAGAGGCAAGGGGAATGTATGGCGCGCAGCGGGTTCTTCTGGGCGGCAGTACATGTGCGCATCACATCCCAGGACCATTCAGGTGATAATAGGAGGATTGACGATGCACTGCCTGCTGCAATTGTAGGCCGCACTTCAAGCATAACTATCGGACGACTGGGAGGGGGCAGTGCAGAAAGTGCAGAGTGCAATTTGCATCCTGGACCTTTTACGGTGACACCCTGCTCTGCTGCCATGACAAGAGTATAGATAGGTAGGTAGAGTAAGTATGCATTTACATTGGTGATGCAGCTTGCAAATTCCACCGGTATATTGGCTTGTATACGAATCCTCCCTGACGCGTGCATCGAGTTGGTTACCTCTACTCTGTCTGGTCTGATCTGCTCTGCTCTGCCCTGCTTTGCACTAATGAGCACATATCCTCGCAAAGAAGATAAAAGAGCGGATGGGATGCAGCATGTAGACGCAGTCGTACCTCCGTCTAAGTCTTCTGCCATCCTTCTTATTTACCATCTACTATAGTCGCATCTAGCGGGCTAGCATCCACACATGCAGCATCTCACCCACAGCCGCACCACCGCGCCAATCGGACGGACAGATAGATTCCCATCTCTTTCTTGAGTTCCTCCTCCGGCTCTTTCTCTTGCTGCCTCGCAATAGAGAAAGCCCCTGCCCTGCCCTGCCCTCCCCTCCGTTGCATGTAAGAAATAACGACGAGGGTGACGAGTATACGTTCTATGGCTATAGTACATAGACTTTAAGACAAGATCCGAGATCCGATTCAACCTGCTTTTCCCTGGCTTTGTTTTTTCTGTTACAAAACGTTTATTTCCTTGTACTTCTCTGGTGCTCTGTAGTGCCGCTGCTGTAAAGGAAGTGCAGAGGGAGCGCTGGCGGGTGTGGAAGGGGCCGGCTTTTCGCATTCATGTACTGTCTCACGAGTTTGAAGCTCACAAGCTGAGATTTGTGGAATAAGGTCCAAGGAGCGCAGATAAAAAGGACGTTCAGATCAAAGTTTGACATAATATCAATTACTGAAGTAAAAATGCACTCGATTCCGCAGTGCTCGGAAAAAAAAAAGGCAGAGAAGTTGAATGGAATGGAATGCAAATCTTCTCATAGCGGGAAACCACCTTCTTCTATCTTTTTGCCTACGCGAGGGCCCTCCTGTCCGCACGTGATATTGTACACAATCATGCAAACGCAAGGCTAACTAACAAGAGAAGAGAGCTATATTGTCACATTTACTTGAGAGCCGCCTGGAGACTCTCGAGAACCTGATCACATCGGTTAGTAATTCTCAATTCCAGGGAAAACCGTGTACTGAACGCACCTCGAGCTCAATCTTGGCCTCGGCAATGTCCTGCTCGCTTCCGCTTCCGCTGGCAATCTTCTGCGCCTCGGCGATCTGGTTCCGCACGGCCTTCAACTTGTTAGTACCGAGAAGGAGAGAGACGCAGTCAGCAGCAGTGGGTGCCCACCTCGGCGCTGAAGTCCTCCAGAGGGTATGCCTCGACGGCGTTGATGCTGAGCTGGGAGCCGGGCTGGACAACGGCGAATCCACCAGAAACTATGTCCGAGTTAGCATCCGTATCCCCATGACGATATCCGTGCAGCCTTCATCTTGCTCCACTCTTCCCCCCCCTTTCTGGCACCCAATTCGCACTTCCCCCAAAACTCGAAATAGCACGTACGGAAGAATTGCTTGCTGCCACCGCTCTCCTCAATGATCTCCACGAGTCCGGGCTTCAGCTGCTCGATCGAGGGGACGTGGTTTGCCAAAACACCCATATCGCCGGTTTCCGCGGGGAGGTTCACCTGGACGCTACATCATTGCTCCATCAGCACTGGTCCTCAATAATGCCCGAAACTCTTCGCGTTCAAGGAATAATAAATGTTTGAAGTGTTCGTCGCTTGGCCTGGACAACGGGGTATCGGTAGGTAGAAAACGTACACATCCTGGGACTTGTAGATAGACTGCGCAACGTCTCGTTAGCACATTTCCAAATCCCAATTGCAAAATAACAAATCCCCAAATATCTCCCCAACCCCAATGGCGCACAGTTTCCAACGCACCTGATGCGGGAGGGCAAGCGACAGCTTGATCTTGTCGGACGCGACGTCGGCGTAGCCCCTGCGCTGGAGCGGGCGGGCAATGACGGCCGGTCGTACCGTGCGGAGGGCCGCGCGAGCGAGGCGGACGGAGCTCATGATGGAACTGGGCGGGGGAGGAGGATGACAATGGCTGAAGTAGATTCCAGGCTCGAATTGAAGATGTTGGACTGGACTTGCCGGCCGAAGTTCCTGAGGCTTGGCGCGGATCCGAGGTTGAGCCGATGGAGGGGACTAGTGCTATTTATATAGATGTTATGAGCATCTGCCTACAAGATTCATCGTCCGTATACATCCTGCACTATGTTACATCTCTTGAGGTTTGTAAAGCCCAAGTAATACTCCATATTATATGATATGTTCCCTTGATGGCTCTGGCGACTTTTCACTTCGGTGCCGCATGCCACCCAACCAACTCAGTTCCCATATCTTCAAAAGCACCCAAACACTACACTCTGGTTGCGAGAATGGGAAAAAGAAATGGGAATCCATACCGTATCTCATCCAAGGTCATATTGTTCCTCTTTCCTCCTTCCCTATCCTCGTTACGCACTAAGCGATTGTTCTCCATTCTCATTCAACTCTTTCTGCCCTCATTACTCCGTTCTCCTCCTGTCAATATGCCAACCCATCTCATTCCCATCCCTCTCACCCAACCCTTAACCAGCCAAACCCCGCACTCCCCACCACGCCACGGCCCAGGTCCACACAAACACCCCCACCAGCAAAAACGCCCCGACTGCAGGTGGCACCCTCTGCTCTACTCTTAATCTTCTCCCATGTCCCGTAATGAAGGGAGGTAGTAACGGTCCCTTTGCGGCTGCGAGCGGAGCTGATATCGTCCCATAATCCGGACTTACGCTTGCCTCTGGGTCATCGATGTCTTCAAGGATTTCAGCATCGAGCGCTCCGTAGTCGTCGGAGTCCGTGACGGATTCGGAGACCTCTGACGGGGACACAGGTCCGGCGGTGAGAGTAATGAGAGAAGCGGACTTTCGTGCTTCATGTCCTTGATGGTGTGGTGGTGGTTCGCGTTGAGCATGGAGTAGAAGTGCGGCTGGCGTCCCCGATTCTCGAGCAAGTTTCGAGGAAGGAATGTCGCATTCTTCGGTTTCGTCGAAGCCGCTGTCTTTGTGCTGGAGAGGGATAAGCGGAGGCGGTTGAATTGTGACCTGCAATGGAGTTACGGAGTTGTACTCTTGACAAGCCTAATACGAGTACTTCCACGCTATAGGAAAACGCATCTTGCCTGGCTGGGGAATACAAGAGAGCCATGTACGAGAAGTCGAGCAAACAGCAAAGAAATGATCCACTGAACGGAACCAAAATGCAAAGGACCATGACACATGAAACGTTGATATACCTCTGCCATATCTGACCGGCGTGCTCTTTTATGAGCTCAGCTTACAACAATCTGAGGACCGACCCTCTGCTGGGGAAATAGCTCGCCTCAAGTTGAGAAAGGCGGGGTTAGGTACTGTGCACCACATGTATATGTTGCTCGCACCGGGAAATGGTTCACGGCTGTCGACGGGTCAAAGACCCAAGGTGGCAGGTTGCTCATGCCTTGCTATCCGACGTCTTCTGTGTCTGTGTCCAGGAACGCCAAAAGAGGCTGTGTAAGATTCCGCTAACGATTTTCGGTATAGCATTAACTTCAACCAGTGTGGCTAGCTGGCTTCGGTTAGAGGGTGGTGGCAGGGGTGAATACAATCGTCGACAAGGATCGAAATCTGATCATCCCCACGTAGGTAAATGGAACCGTCAAAGTAGTTATATAGATTTATAGATAGCTGCGTACATTTCTTAAGTACCGCCTACTCGTTTTCAATCTCAAATATTAAGCCAATATGCCACTGAGTTTCTTCAAGCCTAGTACTTGAAATACCCAATATATCAGAGCTTATTGTCTGTAACCTCGATTGATAGTTCTCAGAAACTCGCACGAGATAAAGACTCGACGCGTGGAGCGCTCAGTTGGTGCTCTTGCAAAGCCTCCTCCATTGATGCATCCTGATACATCACAGTTGCATTGGGCGCCGCGAGCAACGGTACGGGCACCCCTGAAGAGGGAAGAGCACCGCCAGATACACCAGCAGGACCAGGACTAGTAAAGTCATGCGCAGCCTCTCGTATACCATTGTGACCGCCCCGTTTCGACAAGGCTGGCTGCATCGCTGGCACGTCTTGAGTCGAACTGCTGGCCTGATGATTCTCTATGCCTGAAGAACCATACGCTTGTAGGTGCTTTGACGCGCTATCCATAAGGCGATTGAAAGCTGCGACTTTATCTGCGTCTATCGGATCGGCTGGGTTATCTCCCGCCCTTAGATAACCCCCCTGTGCCAACCTCTGTGAGTTCCGACTGGCAATCACTGCGCGAATCCTCTGGATGACCTGATGGCTCTGCATCGGAATGAACGGGGCTGTTCCCTGGCTTTGCCCATTGGAGGAGCGTTTGTTCCTGGAGTCAGGCGTGGGAACAGAAGGGGAGGGTGCTGCATTCACCGTGCCGCGGCTGTCTGGCATGGGGTATGTGTCCATTGCCAACATTCTTGCGAGGCTCTGGCTTAGGGATTGCTTTTGCCTCGCCCATCTTTCCAGATAGTCCAACCAGGCCTGTACGAGTTCATTCTGCAACAACCGAAACGTTTCCAAGTCCTCCATTTCGCGAGCCACCCGAGCACGATGGATAAAGCTCTCTTTTCCTTGACGTGGCAGGCCCACCTCCGAAGGGGCCATTTTCAGGAACTGGGCATAGAAGTCTTTCAGCCCAATGAACATCGCATGGATGCGAGATTTCTCGATCACGGAGGTGTTCGCCTTTTGTGCGAGCGCGGTTTCCAACATAGCTTTGTATTCGTCAAAAGCTTTATTACCTGGCCCTACCAGCATCCGAGACTTGCTGAAGGCGCAATCGTGCAATGACAGGAGGTGTTGTTGAGCTACGAAACGCGAACTGGGGGTGGAGAAACCGGACAGGGCGTAGATGCCATGGAGGGTCGGTTTAAGGACGTTCCTTAACCTTTGGAGCGGCCCCAAGACACACCTCGCGTTTGTGAGCAGCTTGTCTTGAGTCCAGTCAAAGTCACAGAAGCATATGCGAATCTCCAGCCGCGAGAGATGTTCTGCTTTGCCGAGGATTCCCGAAACCGCCACAGCGACGTAATCTGGATTAAAAACGAATCAGTTGAGAAGCGGGAAGGGTGGCAGCCACTCCCTAATGGGTTGGTGGTTGGCTTACCTCGTACATCGTACAATTCCACTTCTTCGTCCCACCAGCCCGGTCCATGGAGTCTCAGTATATGGGGCGGCATATTCTCGACCAGAATGTCTAATTTGTAATTCTTAACGGCCTGGAAGTCAAAGCGATTGATGAATCGAAACTTGTGTGACTCTCCGTGCTTGTCTGCGACTTGAAGATGCGGTGAGCCGTCTGGGTTTGTTGGCTGTAGTAGTTGGAGGCCGCACATATACAGTCCATTCCGAATGTCAATGGCGAATGGCGCGGTGGAAAAGACCAGGCCCTTTACGTCTCTATATATTTCTCGGTTTACGAGGAACAGATTCAACATGGGCATATATGAATTGGATCGTACACCGCGGAAGGGGAGGGGCGGGGGTGAATTTCCGATAGGCTCGTCTGGAAGGAGGTAGCGAAATACCATCAGCCTCAATTCCGTCGGAAGCCTTAGAAAGTAACAGGGCATATTGATATCGGGGCATGAGGCATGGTCCGAACAGAGCTCAAGGTAGGGCGGAGTCCATCTGAACAGCCGACCGCATGGGACACCATCTGGCAGCATATGCTTGCATCTGCCAGCGAAGACTTGCTGATCGGTATGGTTGGAGCAGGTCGGAAGGTATTTGAGGGCTGACTTCTCGAAGATTTGGGTTTGGCGTCGACTGAAGGGTTGTTTACACCGAGTAAAGGACCCTTTGTTGTACCCCGAACATCGCCTCAGGAAGCCCTCTGGGTCTTGTGTGTTTTCGGCAGACTTCGGACTCGTGTCCTCGGACTTGATGGTGGATACGGTGAACATTGCGGGTCAGGAGCCAGACTACATCAGGACGTTGAATGGCGAGGCTGCGACGAAGGGAGCTATGTACGGGATACCGTAGCAATATATCGTAAATAGGAATTTGGAGCTGCAACATGCGCCAGGCAGTAAGATCCGACACGCACACGGCAGTGCAGAAGCGAGTTGGCAGGTCAGTACGAATCGAAGGAATGAGGGAAATAAAGAAGCCCACAGCGAGGCCAGGCAGTGTGATGGTGAAATGGATAGAAATGGAACTCTCAGCAGCCAGCTGGGCACACGGCTGAGATAAATAAAGGCGGCCTCTTGTAGTTCTCTCCCACATGTCCAATAATAACAGAGTTCCACAAGAGTCCACTGGCTGGCTGCCTGCAGCTCAGCCGAGACTGCGAGCAAACAGCTCCCATGTGTCGCGCTTAGGAGCCACGGCGAGCAAATTGGGAAGAGCGCATTACCTATTGCTGCACACCGAAGTACTTTGCCAGCAATGTACTAATGAACACCGACCGATCACATCGAATATTGTATGGAATCCGCTTTCGCACGACCTTTGGGAGATCAATCTACAAGACCCGCCTTGGAAAAACTCATAAGCCAACTGTTGGATCCCTGCATTGTTCCGGTAACAGTGAAATCAGTCCAGTCGGACGGCATCTTGTAAACTACGCAAAATCCGGATCCGCATCGTCGTGCTACCTACAGCTCGCTGTAGACTTGCAAGCTTGGGATGGCAGACTCGGGGACCTCGGGAGATGGCAGACCAGGAGGCGCCAATTAGGGGCTAACTGTTTCTGGTAATTTACAGAAAGTCTCCAGCACTCTAGCTTTCCAATTGCAACCACCTCTCCAGTAACACCCAACATCACCAAACCGTACTCCACACATTGGCGTCCTCATTGATGGCCATGGATTGTCAAGCGATATTACGGCAGCTACTCCGGCCACCATCCTCCTATCGGGCATTGCTCCAACCATCGCCCCGGCCGCACGCTTGCTTCACGCTCGCCCATCACCATCACCGGTACCTCTCAATACCACGAGTGATCACACCGTCATTTTGGGCTTCCCTCATCCCCAAACCGCTCCGCCGAAACGCGCCCGTCGCAGCCCCGAGCGCCGCACCGAAAGGCCGACAACCCAATCCCGCTGCACCATTCATAGTCCTCAGCCTGCTGGTCGGATCGCAGGCCATTCAGATCCTATGGTTAAAGAGGGAAAGGAATCATTACATGCGGAGAGCCGAGGCCAAGATGGATGTCCTGAGGGAGGTGATTGAGAAGGTGCAAAACGGGGAGGATGTGGACGTGGAGAAGGAACTCGGGACGGGGAATGCGCAAGCGGAACAGGAGTGGAAAGAAGTGCTCAAGGATATAGAGAATGAGGAGGTTCTGTTTCGAAGTAAGAAGAGGAGGAGAGCGTTGAGGGCGGCAGAGGCGGAGAAAGAAAAGCAGGACCCGGAACTCGCGGCGCAGGGGAAAGGGACGACGGAAGCGCCAACACTTGAAGAGGATGGACCAGTGAAGGTGGAGACATATAACGGTGCAAGGTTTTACTGAGCAGTTTGCTCACATGGTGTAATACTGTGTACGTATCCCCAACGAAGCTGATGGGGAATCAATATGATGCATGCTGGCTGTAAGATAGTTGTTGACGAACGGGATACCCAGCCTAACAGAGCAATTATTCTTTCTTCTCGACGCGTTTCAAAACTTGGATACCCTCAAATAGTCCCCAGTCCCTGCTCGATTACCGTTCACCCAGTGTCATTAACACGCACTTGATTTGACTGGTCTGTTCTCATACTTGTGCCGTAGGGTGATGGGGAACGGTGGCCAGCTATCGGAAAGACCCTGTGGAGTTTTGCGAGATATACGCTTCTTTCCCGACCCTCTTATACGGCTTATGGAACTGCGGTACTACCTCGAGAGAGAAGTGCTGGACGTTGGTAATCATAGGGCGCTCTAAATCACAGTACCCGAAATACCAGATGAAGGCAACAAAGCAGACAGCATAGCCCGGACCCCAGGGAAGCCGTGCATTCTCGTCCAGTTGCATGAAACCCCCGTTGAGCTTCATTGACAACGGGCTGAGATTTCGAACGGCCGCGAGATGTAGAGGGGCTAGCGGAGCATGCTGGTCGTCCACTTAAGACTTGAGGAAGATGTAAGAGGCCGATTCGGGAGCCCACCTGCATGACCCGCATAGGCATCGAGAACCACCAGAAGGCCCCGGTGTACCAGCATGAAACGATGGCTTTGCGTCTCCCTACTGCACTCGTCGTCCTTGCGCTTTGTCTCAGTTTATGTCGGCTTTTGAAGAGTATAGCAACAAATAGCGTTGGTAGTGCATATCCTTTTCTATATAACTTATATTTCAGATATATGAATAACATGTAGTACGCGCTCTTCTGTTAGTTGCTGTTGACAAGTGAGGCAGCGCAACAAATAGTCATCAGCACGTTTGGATACCTAGGTATCTATCTTGTGAGGTAAGAAAAGGCAAAATTCGCATGCTTGAACTTTCCCTACCACCACCGAAGAGCAACAAAAAAAGCAAAACGAAAGAGGGACTAGGAATTGAACCTAAGCCGATTCGAACGGCTAACCTTCTGGACATCCCAAGAGAGACTGGAATCAGACGCGCTACCGTTGCGCCATAGGTCCTTCTTTCTCCATTGTTGACTAATCAACTTTCTAAACTTTATGTATAAAGAATTCTACAACATGCGACGTCTTTTGCGATATTAGCGACGGTGGAGGAAGTGAGGGCGCAGAGATGGTTAGATGAGGTTGCAAATTGATTGTGGGGCGGGGCGGTTGGAAGACTGGTTGCATAATGCCGGTTCGGTCCGTTTAGGACTAGGGCTGGTGTCCAATAAGGAAGTTGTGTAGAGATGAACGTCTGAGTTTCTTCTACCTCGCATGCGACTATTAATCTGAGCGGATGCGGTTACGAAATTAGGCTACCAACCCATAGAAAATATTAAGTCCATACATTGTTGAATATACAAACGACAAGAGTGTAAAATTCGCAGCATGAAACGCAGCGAAACTCAAAGAGAATGAATGGGCTACGAGTGCTAATCAAGCTTTAACATATAGGTACACCGGATTCCCCTTTCTATGACATCTATAGATATCTAGCTCACCTCTTCCACTACAACTACAAACCCCTCGCCCCCTTCCAAGCTTGCCACACTCCCCAACAATGGGCCGCCGCCCCGAGCACAACACAGACATGGAAAATCTGATGACTGCTCCCCCAGACATCGCACTTCCCTCTGCGTACCGCCTTCTCCGGCCAGCGACTAACAAAGAACCATGCTCCTACCCCATACCATAGCCCCTCAAGCAACCACCACATAACCCCTCGATTCCAAAACGCTTCACTGAACCCGTAATACAGGCACCCGTGAACGACCGGTGCAAGGCCAGACAGAGCCGTGAAGATGAAGGCCGAGGTGCGGTGAGCGCGGTAAACGGGTCCTTGGAGCCGGGGATGCAGGACGAGGAAGCAGGTTACTCCCAGCAGAGAGAAAATCATGCCCCAGTACAGATTTCTGTGGAACGGCGAATCGTAGAATCCGACATAGATTCCCGATACGAAACTCGCAAGGATCAAGCACAAGATGCCCGTGTAGTCCAGGAGTAAACAACTCGCAGACACGAGCGGAGAATGGTTCATCAGCGTGTGGTACGTGGTCGATAGGCCCAACGTTATAAGTGCAACCATGGGCGTCAGTCCCAACATGATCCGATCAGTCCACGGCGCGGTAATCTCTAGCCGCGAGATATTGAGCTGCAGGTACGGGAGGGTCAGGGCAAGACCGACTGTGGGACCGAGGTGCGTGTAAATGTTGACGGTTTCGTTGTGCATGTACGTGAGGCTGTGGATGCAGGCAGCATAGCTGTGCGAGACCGGGCGGTACGCTGTGCGGATGTAGGGATTATCTTGGTACCATTTTGGGAGGGCTTCAAAGTCACAGAGGCGGGGTGGGCTTGCGCCGTCGTCGATGTGATCCTTCTGTTCTTTTTCGTCTCCGGGAGTTCTGCGAAAGAGAAGGTGTGGTTTCCTTAGAATCAGGCCTAGCAGAGCCAGAGGTGCCATTGTGGAGTCGTCGCAATACAGATAGATATCGAAATATTATGGATATAGCAACTCAGTACACACCATCTGCGTCGTCAGGTTGGATACGCGCGATGTTGGGGAGAAGTAGCGACATGAAAGCGAAGCAGGAGCGGCAGAACCGTGGATAGGGCTGCGCCAGTGAAAATGTCGCGGGAGGGAGGTGAGGTCGTTATCAAGGTCTGCTTACGATGGATCAACAGCCGCCGAATGAGGCAATCCGATCATATTGCGCCGGGGACCCCAAAAAATAGAGGGATGCGATGGCGTTCCGCGGGTCTTTTGTTATAGCTTACTGTGGGGCGGTTCGATGTTGAGTGGTGGGAGATGCATGAAGAAAACGATGGAAAATGAGCGATTTCCCACGGTGAGGGAATTGTTCGGGTACAGATTAATTAGTATGCATTCTTATCTAAGCAGGGGACTGGCTTCATTGAGCCAACCTTAGCACTGCAAACGAATCAGGCATTGTTATCATAAATACTCAAAACGTCTGTTGAGTTGTTGTACTCGGGCGAACAGCGATCTGTGTAGCCCCCCAACAATTCTCCACGCTGCCTTATGAATTCTTCAAACTTGCTCTTAGAACAGCTCTCGCCAGGACCATCCGCACAGTCGGGCATTTGCTGGGGACTGCGATTGACAAGGACCCGGAAGTAGTCCCCAACGTCATATCCATAGCTGTCGCATGCCATCTTCTCAATGGCGATATTGCCCAAAAATGGGATAATGCGCGAAGACCGCCAGGCTCGAGCGTGGTTCTGTTTCGATGGCGGCATCGTTGCATTTGGCGCGTCGGCCCCCGAATACATTGAGTTATTGAAAAGACCCAGCGCTACCACAACGGTCGGGGGAAGTTCTCGGTGTGTGAAAGATAAGTAAATATCCTCATCGGCTTCATCCGCGAGTAAAGTCGACGCTGTAGCTTTTACCCAGGGAAAACCCAGGACGCCTGAGATCGGATTACCATAACCGACGTTATAGTGGTACCGCACGTCTTCGGTGTATTCAAAAGCCAGCCAGTCGTTGGGCGCGAAAAGGTCAGGAGAGCAGAATGGTGACGATCCTCGGATGACAGTTTCGTAGCCGCATAGCTGCTGCATTCCGACTATATCGTCCGACGTGAAGTTGAACTGCGGCGCCAGATTGCGGAAGCGTTCAATGAGTGGTTTGGTATAGAGAGCTTTGTATTCCTGGCCAAGTCAGCAATTCCGCGTAACAAAACCAGTTTGGGACAACCATACTGAAGACTCTTTACTCCCTGCCGAAGAGCTGTACTTTGGACATCCTTTGTAAGGCGTCAAACTATTAGCCCCGGCAGCCTTGTTTTCCGGAACTTGGACCAGCTCAGTACTGTTGTTCCAATCCGTGATTCCACGCATGAAAAACAAGGCGCTGTCCACTGCGCGCTCGGCGGTGGATGTCCACATCTTCCGTGGCCGCCTCAGGTTGGGGTATCGTATGCGAACAACTGTGCCCAGCATGAAAGATTGCAGCTCGCCGACCCTGGTCAGCTCCTCGAGATCGTCATCGTCAATTGGGATTTTCCATGTGGATAGGAAGGAGAGCGGCCCGGCCTTGCTCCAATCGACTGTGGTATTCTTTAACTTGTCGGTAAAAGGTTCGATATACTCCTCGTAGTCGAAATCGTTGGCATAGATTGCGGAGTGTCGTATGAGGTATGCAGCTCTGGTGACATTGCATCCTTGCGGGGGATTTGGATCGAGGTAAGGCTCTTCGTGCTCAAAGTAGGGAGAGATCCCCGCAAGGTGTTGCAGCGGATTGAAGGTATACGCTGCAAGGACAGTATTAGCTACCACTAGGTGGAAAGGGAGTGGAATCCGCATATTTGCGACGAGGGAGCTTGAGGAGAAGTTGGGGAGCACTGTTCTCCAGAACGTACGGCGTACGGGCCCCTTTGTGAGGGACCCGGGGCATCAACGTCATCATGGCATCTTGGTCTTGAGGACTGATAGGCACCATGATGGCAGCGATTGACGTGGGAAAGCGACAATGCACATCTGATATCATAGATTTGGAAGACGTTGGAAACTTGGCAGGTACCCGGCAAGTCGGCAGCTTTCCGAGGCCGGCCCGAGACCTTCACCTCACCCCTTAATAGATCATGGATACTGTAACAGTACAGCACCATCACCACAACAAAAGCCAGAAATCTTCACTTTTCTACTACGGCTTCATCCATGCGGAACAGTATTATCGCAGTTTGAAATGACAATCGTCTTCGGCAATCTGCTTTTCGCATCACTTGAACCTTGTCCGTCACCCCGTGCCACCCGTATATTTCTCCGTCAGGTGAATGCTCCGCTCGTTTTTACCAAACCTGATTTGCAAGTTGGACTATGAACAGTCAGAGGACTTAGTCTGGTTCAAAAGCAAACGGAACGTGACGGGACTGGGACCTGCGATAGTATCAGCAGTGATGGCAAGGAGGCGTGGAACTATTGCGCAGCTGATAGTAGAGCCTTTGCGCGTCGAGCACGTTGTGCTCATGGAAAACATTGGTGATATGGCCGCTTGCATCGCAACAAGCAGGATGAATGGGCTTTGGAGGTATAAGTACGATTATCTCACCGCGTCTTTTTCATACAGTCAGTCCATTCGACTTCCTGATCTCTCTTCCTTTTTGTGAAGCGTTGTCTACACGTCAATCTCTCTCTGCCGAAGAAATACATTTGCTCATTACTCTTCGATTTTCTCTGAATTCAGTTTTCGAACTCCACTGCCTGGAAACATGGCCGGACCCAAGAAGCAACCCAAGTCCCCTCCGGTCACAAAAGGTACGCGAAACTCGTCACCAGTAGAACCCTTTTCGGCAACAAGCTCCGAGACTGGCACCACCTACACAGCCCTAACTTCCTTGTCGAATCAAGATGTCGCCGAGGAGAAAGCAGTCAAAGACTACAAGCCAAACGCGAGGGTGCCAATCGCAAGGTTGCCGTACAAACTCAGAGCTCTTCCTGCTCTGTTCGTGTACGAAGTCGATATACTGGCAAAAACCGCGGACAATGAAGCAAATGAATGCGATGGACAGGGTGCGGATCCATCATCGGGAGATCCCAAGATCAAACAAGTGCTGAGCCAGAGACTTCGTCAAGAGGCCCTTTGTGAGCTTATCCTCACATTTGTCGAGCCAAAGTTCATTGGCCGCGTTGCGATTGACATGGATGCCAGGGAGGGCATACTCCATGGAAGCGAGACTGTTACGAAGCAGGGTCCTACGAGTTATTTGATCATCCCTCTCGAGGAAAGTGAGAACCCTGCCGATGTCTGGCTCCGTGGCCGCAGAGTGGAGGGCTCCATACTCCCCCTCTCCAAGACCAAGAGGAAGCAGCGCTGCCAGGGGCCGGTACAGAAGGAGGAGAACATCGTTTGTAAGATGGGTCTGGGAAAGAAATTGAACCCCGGAATCGGCGGAACAGACGGACGTCTTTATGCCAAGTGTTTTGAGACCATCTTTCGCACATATGCCAATCTCGATGGCCGGAAAGACTTTCAGGCGGATTCTGCTGATCTGCTGCTACCGAACTGTTCCTACGGTACTGCCCCACTGGGGCTCTCGAAAATTGAGCCACGGATACGGTGTCGACCAACGATAAAGATCCATGGACGTGATCATGCTCAGGTCCACTTGGACTATGACCTCGTGCCGACAATGCGGAAGGAGACAAATTTGACGGCGGTTTTGGACGATTACTTTCTGGCCACCGGCTCGAGAGACGCTCCATCCAAGTATCACATCATCTCTCGCCTTCTTTGTGGTATACGTGTCAATTACAAGCCGCACTCTAGCGACGAAAAGCTTTCCACCGGACAGTTGGATGGAGGCAGCGTACATACTGGAAAGGGACTTGACAGTTCGCCGACGTTGAAGAATGTGAGCCCAGCGTCTGCGGATACCGCTGCTCCTGATGGGTCGTTTCCCATGACCCGAGTCATCCGGGACATTAGGCCGGCGGCCGAGATGAACTCAATATTCGTCGAAACAAGCCAGGGCTACAAATCCGTGAAGGACTTAGTGGGTTCAGGTATGATCAGAATTACTTCCTTGTCTGGTTTAGTTATCAGTCGTACTGACTTGAGAATCAGCTTCCACTTCCGGTGTCACTCATCAGAAGTACCCAATAGCCAACATTGGCGGAAAGCGACCGTTTTGGGTGCCGTTACACGACCTTCATGTCGAGCTTGACCAGATTTATCGTGGGGCGGGTCACTTCACACCCGATCTCAAAGCTGCTCTGACGAAGCTTCAAGGCCATAAAGACCTAATGCGTGATATCATCGCTCATGGCCAGAACTACATCAAACAGGCCCTGGTCGCCCCTCAGCGCTCTCAACACAAATCGCAAACCCCTTATCAGCTCGCTGTGCGCCAGACGGGAGGGGGAAGTATCATCCCAGCAAAGCAGTCGAGAAACGTCGACTATCTAGTGTCACCACGCCAGCGCCGAGACGAAGCGAACTCCATCACAACACTTGAGGAAGAGAGGCTTACCGTCATATACATTTCGCATGATGATGACGGGTTCGAACTGAAGTTGAAGGAACGACTCGAAGGTCCAGAACAGTCAACGTTCCGCTTCACTGACGTCCGGACTGTGCATATTAAGTCCTTAGCGGAACTGATCCGTCAGCAGGTTGATATGCATAGTCCGCTCATGCAAGCGGTTTTCCATCCCGAAAGCTCCGTGATTATTGGAGTCTTGGACCGCAAAAACATTAGTGCTGACGCTTACGAAGAGATCAGGGCTGAACTCCAGCGATTTGGAGACAGGAAACCCGGAGCCGTGACGGTGTGCGCCCACAAGCACGATCTTGAGGGCTGCCTTCAGCGTCCTGGACGGAACCTGTTTGCCGCAAATCTCATGCGAAAGATCAAGCTCATGCTCGGCTCTCTTGTTTGGGAGACAAAAGACGTCGACTATCAAAGGTTCAAGTTTGATCCGGGAACCAGCATCGTCCTTGGAGCACATATTTCTCATCCCGATTCTGGCGCTACCAATCTGTGCCCGTCAGTCGCTTCAGTGGTCGGCAGTGTTGATGGAAATCTAACGCTGTTCCCTGGCTCGACCCGTCTCCTGCAGGCCAAAGAGAAAGAAGGGTCCGCTTTACCTAGCCGCTATATCGAAGGTCTTACCGATATGATGAAGGAAAGATTTGAAGCTTGGCAAGCTCAATCTGGCCAGAAGGCAACCCGTCCTCTCAAAGTACTCTTCTATAGGAGCGCGTATCACATTCCCGACGGAGAGACATATGTGAAAGAGATCGAAGCTATCAAGAGGGCATATTTGGAAGTATTCTGGTCACCCCTTGAGGGGGAGAGCGGGTTGGCATACATGGTGATGGGCAAGAACTCCCACAGCCATACATCGCGTACCTTCACTACCGCAGAACCTGGCAAGGAGCACGCTGCAAAGTACCAGTACTTCCTCCCTCAGGGCACAAATACAACTGGTCTAACGACGGAGCAACTGGCTCATGTGGTAAGTTATTTCCAGCCCCAACCGCTTGTGTAATCTAGCTAACCTAGACACAGACCGCGACACTGAACGTGACAGCCCAGCTTGGGAACATATCGAGCAAGGCACTGCCGCTGGCATATGCCCAGAAACTCGCACGCCGAGTGCTGGACTACTTCCGCTGGTTCTCGCACAAAGACATTACGAACTTCCCGCCCATCGCCAGGCAAGCTCCTTATGACGCGGAAGATAAGGCAAAAGAGTTCAAGCGATTTGTCGAGGAGTACTTGAGCACTACAACCAAACTTGGTCAAGCCACCAACGAACGCGACTTCGTGAAGTTTCGAGACGATGACAAGCCGCTCACTTGGAACTCGAAGTTGGATGGTAAGATGTTTTATCTTTGACCGTAGCCCGAGGTATGAACCGGGACTGTGTGAGGTGGTAAGTCTCTAGTGGTGTTACGCAGGAGGCCTCATTTCCCTTTTTCCTTCTCTTCCTTTCGAATTGCGTTTTCTCGTAACAAGCTTTTCACAGCAGTTTCCTTTGGACTCTCTTCCCGCTGCTTTTGTCCCTTGGGTATGTACTTGGTTTTCAATGTTACTTTCAGTCGGGACCGTGGGAAACTAGTCTTGTACAGTAATACCCGGTATTGATTCGGATTTGGGATGTAGCGTACTTAGATACAATGATTCCATCTCAACCTTCGAAGTCTCCTGCACTATGTGAACCCAGAAGCGTTGAAAACTCCAAATTTCATAATTACGCAGGTTTACCAGTGCTCAGCTACTCTACTACCAGCATCCGATAGCGATCACGACTAACCAGCCACCCCTCACCTCTGTGCCTATGCAGGTGGAGGTGTTGCGAGCATCGGATTCTCCACGTCTTCTTGCGTATTGTCACCCCCTTGGCAGCGGTCGCGTAGGCCAATGTCGACATCTCTTTGCGCAAGAAGGTCTGCCAAAACTTCTTCCAGTTCGAAGTTTTCAGCAAGTGACTCAATCGATTTAATATCGGGCACCGTAGAGCACTAGGTACCTTGCTATTACAAAAATACCTCATTATTATAGAAGATCAATTTCTTATTGCTTTGGACAACTCCCTGCGATACTGTACTACGTATTTTGTTTCATCGTTTTGCTGTTCCCCGCTTCTGTGCGGCGAGGATGCTTATTGCAGTGAAAGCTGCCTGACCCGCTGTTGCCGCAGCGTGACCTACTGATGGCGCTGCTGTAGCAGCAGCCACTCCATTCTGAACTGTGGAGTATGCAGCATATGAAGCTTGTGTTGCGGTAAGATGCGACCCTCCCACGGAGATCAGTTTAGCATTGGCTATCAGGACCCCCTTGACTACAAGATATTCCGTGATGCCTGGAATGTATGGCATGATGAACCGGGTATAAGTGCTCGTCTAGGTGTTGTAAATCTGTCCTTGATACACCATTAGTAACAGGAGATTGGAGAATAAGGTTTGTTTTACCTGAGCTGTACACTCTTGACAGATGGACGTCGGCGAATATAGGTGCAATGACAGCTAGTATTTGGAAACAACGGTTGGTGAAGAGCGTTGAGCTGGCTTGGTGTGAGGAGAGTTGCATTGGTATGGGTTTATTCATATTCGGCTGGAGCTGAATAGCCTCGTCGACGCTTGCTATTGCACTGCGGATGCGATAAGGCTTGATAAATACCTCAGGCGAAACGGCAAGCGGAGACCGAATAGCATGCAGGTGAGACTGGCTAGGCATTGCCCGATAGGCCGCTTAGTTTGCGGGAAATGCGTGACTGGTTGCCACATAGCGCCCGCTTGCATGTGAATGTCTGGCTCCGACGAATCCACTTCAGCACTGACAAGGCATCGCCCGATAGGCGGCTTCCTGGAGTATCAACAACCAGCACACTTTCTGCAACATGTTTCGTTTTTTCACTGAAGGCTGCCTAGCTATAGGAGTCTGCCTTATCTGCGTGCCTTTTGCGGCAATGCGTGACCTGCGCCACATAGCGCCACCTTACATGTGAACGTCTGGCTCCAACTAATTCACTTGTGCGGATTGTGTATAAAGTTCGGTGCTGAGATGGTTCTCTTGTCGACTCCTAACTCTCACTCTACAGAGCACTCTCTTCGGTTCAAACCACATCCTTACATTGGAAGAGCAACCACGCCATAACCCAGAGTATCAACGCGAAACATTCTCTTGCCGCCGTGACAAAGGATCCTCACTACCATCCGAGCAACAATGCTGCAGAGCACCGTGGTAGCTCTAGTAATGCTTGGGTTGTTGTCTGGCGTTCGGGCTGACTGCCAGTCTGACTACGAGTGAGTACTTTAGCTTCCATGGCCTCACTTCTCTCTTCTCTTGCTGATCGCATATAAACGTAGTGCTTGTCAGGACGGTAAGCGAAGCATGAGAATTATCGTAAGGGAGTGTGCTAAGTAGTATCTTTGAGATTGGTATATCTGTCACGGAAGGTATCTTGCCTGCATTGCTGTCGCCAGTTTGTTCAGCTAAATAGGCCACGTGCGGCGGGACTTTCGTTGTGGGACCTACTAGCTACCGATATCGAATATCGTCGCTGTTCTTGTGTCGCTCGACCAAGCCAAAGTAATACACAGTTGTTTCTCAGTTTTCAAGACATAGTCTAACGTTATATCAATGGTGTGATAAGATTGCAGAGACGGGAAGACTGTCTGCATTGTTCAGGATAACGGGTTATGTCACGTCAAGGGAGCCCCGCATTGCGACAAAAGAACTGGCCTGATACGAAGGCAGAGTCCGTCACTGAACACAGTAGATTGGTTATCCCGTTCCCCCGATCTCAACAAGATCGAGCGGATCTGGATCTTATGAAAGATCTCTTCAAACAGGCTCGTGATCGCTTAGAAGCACGGTATCGGAGGTCATATAATTTTATGCACAATAGTTCCCACCTTAACGTCTTCTATTAATGGATAACAGTCTACAAGAAACAATAACGTTAAATGAAACTCTCTCTACCCTTGCATAATCCTAACAACTCCCAGCCTAACACCTAACACTTGGAGAGATATGAAAAATGCTAGCAGCTAACTCCTATAACATGCATTTAAAATGACGTGAAACTTATCCCAGCAAAGAGCTTATACTAATGGGACTAACCACGGTATAGCTGTGATCTCCTCCTCGGTCAACGCCTTTTTAGTATCAGGATGGACCCGCTGTTCTCGGCGATTGTTGAAATACTTTTTCTTTTCGTATACCGCTCTAGCAAGGAACGTTCAAGCCTTTTATAGTATTCCTTCCCAAGGAGCTGTGTAACCTCCGTCCTGCTTAGCAATTCTATAGCATGGACGTCCTTCTCACCAGCAAGGGGATTTGCAACACGGTCAGTATAACTGTACTCTAACATAGAGATCTAGTCTTCTTAAGTAGCCTTCCCCCCTTCTAATCGCTCTATTTCCACGCATGGACCAATAGATGACACTGTCGATTGGCCAGCGTCATAACTTGCTTTCTTTCTTTCCGCCAGGTGCTCAGCTACTCAATACCAGGACGCGTGTCTGCCCTAGTGAAACTACCCTTGTCCAACTCCTGCAATTGGCTTTGAGCCGTCCATCAGTTTCCTAGCTTAGCGGTTGTGACAGCATCCGCTCTCTAACAAACCTGACCGAATCGTAACAGCTTGTAGAACGATTCTATCGTAGTTTTGCTAGCATTATGGCTACTTCATGATTCGACGGCGAGCCAATTAACCTTCACTGAGGCATATGTAACGGAGGACCTCCCAAGAGGATGCCCTATGTTTTGTCGTCGAGCATAGATTCTTGTTTCCATGGAGCTTAGAAAGGTTAAGAAGGACTCTTTGCAATTGGCTCGTGAGGGTCGGTAACAATCGGGACGTCGCGTTCAGTTTTGGCTTATCCTGTTCTCCCCAATCAATGTCCCGATGAACGTGTTGCAAAATCAGTATAGTGTATGATATCATATACGCCCATGGCTACGGAAAGTTAGGCCTCGTTTTCGTTCGCCGTGTCGGACCTGGTGGGTGGAATCACCACCAAAACTCCTATGGCGGTAGCATCTAAACTCCCCGCCAGACTATGTTCACGCGACAATAAAAACGTCGACGGGGATACTCCATCCTGTTGTGATGCTCAAGACTTCTTCTATACGTGAAGAAGATATTTCTCAGACGCAGTTGCATACCTAACTTATAAGGGGTTTACGTGTCCTAGCTGGAACCCTGAGACGTACCGATACACTATCATAGAGACTCACGATAACGAGCTTCGGGATTTCGACCACTACGTTTTTGTTGTTCGCGCCCGGATAGGTCAGTGCAATAGGGTATACCATAGTTGCTTCATTAACAGGGTACTAGATCGGGAGACACATGAGACGACATATTATACTGACATCAAATCCGAATCTCTGCGAAGGGTTCTAAGATCTGTCCTTAGGACTAGCCATGAGGCCGAAATCTCTGTATTTAGCCCTGTCTTGTGGAGATCATCAGCTTACCGCATTTAGGTCGAGCGACATTTCCTGTATCATTCACTTCCAGAGCTGGATCAAGTTCAGCCCGCAGACCCTACATGCAAGGAACACCTTCAATTGCTTGTCGACGCGGATTGTCGATACATTCAAAGCGCGAGACAGTTTTACGGCAGCGCACACTTTTCGCAGTAGTAAACACTACATTTCTCAGAACCACAACGTTCATAGTAGGCGGTCTCCTCATTGTTCATCTGAATCTGATAGCGACACCAGATCCTGCTCTCCCGAGGAGGCGTCGCCTGCGCATACTCCTGGTCATGCTGTAACTGATGGAGAAACTCATCTTCCCTCTTTCTGCGCTGCTCACTACCTTCTTCGCCCCACTCCCGTTGTAATGCCATTCCGCGGTCTGCATTTTGCAGGTTTATGCGCGCCAGTCGAGCCTCGTGCTCCGAAAATAACCTCTCAAGAGTCTCGGTTGGGAACTTGTAACACGTAATGTGCCTTGCATCGCTTGCATGGACCGCCCACGCTCGCGGGGTCTCGAATCGGAGATCGCATTCTGGAACGGGGCAGACGATGGGTGCCTGCGGGTTCTGTGTATAGTATGCTTCCATAGCCTGGATACGCAATACTGATATACCCATGTATAGATAGCCAATGCGTCTTGAGTGGTGGTCTATGCAAAGGAATGCCCCTACAGGCCCACGGAATGTTTTAGCAGGCGGCACTATGCTTTGTGCTGTATCTTCGACGTCGACGAGCTTCCATGTTGCTGGTTGACTGCGGTCGTGCCAGACTGGTTGCCAGAGAATTTTCCTCAGCAGAAGGCGGCAGCCGGCTACCTTCTGGAGGCTTGAGACCGACACGCGGATGCCAGCAGGGCATCTCTCGGCCAACATAGTAAGGCCGGCGGGTGCTGCTCCCCCTGATTCGATGTGGACGGACTTCAAGACAACATTGGTTGCGCAAGGCAGGCGGCGTTGAAAGGTCTGCCAGAAAGTGTCTGCCATTCGGTCCGCTGTATCCGCAGGAGGCCCTTCCACCCATTGAGATTCACCGCCGTCCCATACCCAGTTAACGAAAGATCCTGCAGCAAAATCTACCTCTACATGCTTTATCAAGGTCAAGACGGCCACGTCGTCGAGTGTGTGGCCAGAGTACCCTCCGGCCTCCAGCCATGCGCCATCAACAACATATCGCGAGCCAGGATCCGACCAGAACAGCTTTCTAGCCTCGTCCCGCGTAGCAGAAGAGACGTGCATAAGCTGGAAAAGCGTTGCACTGTTGCAGAAACGGAGGATGCGCGACTGGAGTTCTCTTGGCAGTTGAAGAAACTTCGGGAAGGCAACGTCTAGCTTACAGATCCATTCTGCCTGAACATAGTCGTGGAAAGGGATATACAGGTCGCCCTCATAGCTTGCATATAAATTCCAGTTCAGCGGGTCAGTACATGGGCGTTGAGAGACCGGAAGCATTGTTTAGCCTTGGGAACGCGCTGTACATGGACGGCAATCGACAAGTGCGAGTAGGCGTTGAAAAAAGTTGTGCAGAGAAGCATGAGCTGTTTTAGAAGAGCGCCCCATGGCATGCACGGTCCCACGGCGTGCATGATCACCACACAAAATGTCGCCTTCACTCTCAATGCTCTAGCTTCATAGAAACACCCAAATACAGCCTAAAAACATGTTAAAAAGGACTTTTGATGATGCTCTATTAAACTATAGTAATATCATAGCCGTCTAGGCGTTGTGGGAGACGTCGCTGTCGCTGAGGCCTCTGTGATACATTTTCAGCCAATGGGAATACCTTATCTTCTACTTCGACTGCAGCCTCAGAATCAGGCTCAACTGGAGCCTTTGATGGCTTCTTTTGACGCTGTTTTGGAGGCTTTCTAGCATGCTGTTCCTGCTGACGAGCAGCCTGTTTTTGTGCCCTCATCTGCTTCCTCTGAGCTATCTCCCGTTGCTTCTCCTCCTTTTGTAGCTGCTTCTGGATCCTCTCTTCCATCTTTTGTAACTCTAACTGCTGTTTAGCCCATTCCTTCTCCTCCTGTAGATCACGAGCTTCTTGGACCTTTGTGGGGCTAAAGAAGTGAGCTTTACAGTCGTCCTATGCTAGAAGCTCTTCAAATAGCGGTTTTCCATATTTCCACTTCTTCTTCTCATTGCTAATAGCATTCCTGAGGCCTTTGTTTTCAGACCTAAGAAGAGCTACATCAGTTGTGAGTTTATCAATAGTGTTTTACAGCTTCTTCACCTGAGTCGACTGGGTAGAAAGCGACTCAGTGACAACCTCTTTTAGAACTGATCTAATCTTTCTCCAGTCACTTGCTGATATTGCTGAAGAGTCTGAGGCCTTAGAATCTCTTGAGGAAGGTCTCTCATCATTAGGAGGCTTAGAAACAGGTAGTCCAATAGCAGTAAGGACAGGGGAAGCATCTAATGGATATATGCCCATTTTTGTGAATCCACTATTGATATTTTCAACGCTGAAGGCTCTTTCCCATGCAGGGAAGAATAGATGGAAGAAGTCTCGTTTTGTGATACCACATAGTCCTTGGCTTTCAAAAATGAATTGATCAAGCTCTTGGCTGTAAAACGTTGCCAAAGGACCGAAAAGACACACATCCAGAGGCTGGAGGTGATGGGTCGAGTGAGGAGGATATGCAGCAACAAGAATCCGGTGTTCTATTACCCAATTCAGGAATCTCATGTTGATATGGGACCCATGTCCATCCACCATAAGAAGCCTCCAGTCTCTTGCTTTTCGGGCCTTGTCCTTTGTCTCACGATCAAATACCATTGTAAGCCATTGATAACCAAGCTCATCGTTCGTCCAGCCAGTTGGAGATGAGGCAAAGAAGGCCTTGTGGAGCTGTGGGTCAAAATCTTGAAGCCAGGAGTCCTGAATATTGCCCAGTAGATGCTTGGTAGATTAGGCCAGGAGAAAGAGCTATTCCATCTGCACAGATATAAGCAAGTACAGTTATCCATTCCCGGTTGCCATCTTGCCCAGCTCCAATCAACTTCCCTTGCTCTTGTTGTGGTTTGGCAAAGATACGACGTAGTTTAGTCAAAATTCCGATCAGAAAGCCCTTCTCATCCAAGTTGTAGATATTGTGTGGCTATATCTCATATTTCTCTATAATTTCTTCTAATCTCTTAAAATAAAGCTGATATTGATAAGGAGAGTCCGCTTTCTTTCGTGCGAGGTCTGCAGGCATCAGGAACTTCGAGTCTAACTGGTCCTTGTGGGCGCCAATCCATCGCGGGAGCCACATCTTCCTAGATGTCTTCTTGGATATTTCAGAGACAAATCGACGGGTCATCGCAGGCGTAGGAGGTATTCCGCGAGTGGATAGCTCATTTATATAGGATATAAGGCTTCGTGATTGTTGTGTTGTGAGCAAAGATTGGCTTTCCCGATATTGATCGCGAGAGGATGTGATTTGCCTATGCCTCCGTGACAGCGTCGTTCGATCAACTCCATGCTTTTTAGCATAGTAGGTGTAATTTGGCGTGTCGTCAAGCCTTAGATCTTCAAGCGTGAGCTCAATTGCTTGCATTTTAGCGTTGCTACAAAATGTGGGAGGGGAGGAAAAATGCGCGATGAGACGTGCACGCCGTGGGGCCGTGCACGCCATGGGGCTCGCTTCTACCTTGAGATCTACGCCGCAGCGCCAAGATGATCCCGCGGCACAGGCCCACCATCCCCCTTTGGAGTGGCTGTGAAAACTAAACCACGTCGCCTCATCGCCCGCCACGCCGTTGTTCGAAGGTACATAGTCTACAATAGATGAAGACAAGCAGGACGTGCTGCGTAAGCGCATCCTGGGTGGGCAGATTAGTGAGCGAAGAAAACCGTGTCGCTGATGAAGAAAAACGGACATCTCAAGAAAGCACAGTTTACATGGGGCAGTGGTTTGGGTTGACCGGTGATGAAATTGGCCTGGATTCGTTATTATTTCGACCTGGGTCGGTTCGCTCCAGTAGGTTTGATTCGTATCAAGCTATCTATGTGTGGTGAATAAGGTCGATAAAAAATACCGTCTATTGCGCATCTATGTCTAACCAAACGAGTGTACGGAGTAGCTACTTTCTAAAACTTGAAAAAAAGGGAGGGGGAAAAGAAAACCTGTCAACTTGCCGCTAAAGCCTGTTGAGTACTACATAAATCTCCATTTCCGCCTTGCCACCGATCACCCTGACCTCGCGGTTCCTGCCCAACGGGTCTCTCTTTGTCATCCCCACACTCTAATCTAGTTGCTATCCTCGCTAAATTCAAGGCTGATCGTGCCGAAATGATTGTTAGAACCATCGAAGTACATGCCGACTTGTCCACCGACAGCAGCTAGATGGTCATCCCATTTGGCCTTCTGCGAAATGTACCACTTGACCTTCGACGTACATCCATCCCTTTCATCCATGAGCCTCGAAACGCCAGCGGAACAGAGATCGCGCACTCCCTTCGCTATATCCTTGATCGCTTCTTTGGCAACGGATGCGGGAGGGTAGTAGTTGACGGCCATTGTAAGGAGAAGCTTTCGGCGGTTGTGAAGATAGTTGCTTTGTTCATCGTGGGCGTTACTGAACCCTTTGGATACGTATGCGATTCCACCGTCATCACCGAGGCCAGTCCTGTCGATAATGGCCATGGCATCATTGCAGAGGCTGGCTGCTGCATTCGTGACGTCTTCAACCCACACAAATTCGTCGTGTAGCTTAGTGGGCACTCCATTGTCGTCCAGGCACTTTGATTTCTGGTCGATGCCCATCAGCTTCCCCAGTACCTCGACAGTATCCATTAACCCGCGGGATTGTATGCCGGAGTCGAAGTCGCCTTTGGCATCCCGATCGACAAGCTCGCGTGTCGCTTGTGGATGGGCTCCAGGAAGACAAGCTCGAAGCTGTTCCGTAGTAGGGTTGCCCTCTTTCGGAAACTTGGGGAACGTCTTTTGAACGCAAGTCACGAAAGGGGCACTCGGCGTGAAAGCTGCGCGGGGCTGCTCCTGGGCTGGAGCAGCACGAACGGACGCCATGCTGACGGCTAGAGTAGTGAAGAGTGCTGCGTCATACTTCATGTTTGGGAGTGGAGTATGACCTGGGGAAGGCTTTGCTATGGACAAAGATTTGAGGGTTGGTAATTGAAAGATGAATGAGTTGCTAGTTGGGCAGTGATGGTGAAGAGATGGATTGGTTGCTTGCTTTCTTCTTAGCGGAGAAGATGGCTCACTTTATACAATGCCTCCGCCATGGACCTGCCAGCCATCTGCCTTACGCTCTTAACAGAGTATCATAAATTGTACAGGATTTACACCGCGCAGTGGCAAAGGAGTACTTAGAACATTTGCCATGCGGCGTGTGAAGACGAAACTGAAGATCGCGGACATCTTGCTTTGCCGCAAAAGGGCTCACCGTGTGTGCTGTCGCCACGTCTCTAACCGAATCAAATTAAGCTAGACATCAACCGTGACCTTAAGGCTAGGTTGAGTTTTTCGTTCACAGTCGCGCGGATCTGAGAACTCACCTTTAAAAAAAAAGCAGACCTAGCTCTAACAGCCTGTTTAACACTAGATCTCTTTCCTGCTTTCTTTAATTCTTCTCAGAAGTAAAGTGGCAAATTGCAGTCAAAAGGCGAGAACTATAACCTTGGAAGCCTGGCGACTTGGTGTTCCTGTGCTACCCTAGGGTACTGTCCTTGCGCAAGGCTGTTTCCCGTGCTCTGCGGCACAGAACAGACTACATTGCAAGAATTCCTCCTGTGGCGAGCGCTTTTCTAGGCAAAGGGAGCTACGTACTCCGATTCCTTGTGACAAGAGAGTATAATTATGTCTCTGTGCCACTATCTTCAAACAAAGCTGTTTCCCGTGCTCAAGGGTACAGAGCAGACTACATTGCATACATCCCCGTTGTGGCAAGAGCCTTTGTATAAAAAAGTAGCTACGTGGTCTAATGCTTCGTACTAAATGAGCATTGCTCTGTTTCTGTGCCACATTCCTTGCGCATGGCCGCTCACCTCGCCCCAGACATGGAACAGACTACAGTTTGAGGTAGATTCGTCTCTAGAGACGAGAGATCTACGACAGAGCTAGTGGCCACGCGTTCCTATACTTCGTGTCAAAAGAGTGTTTTTATAGACATATATATTAGTGTACTCTTTGCCTCTCTAGGGCAACTCCTATACAGCAATTCTCACACATTCTCATTCCGTCTTCAATCAGCTTAACACACCAATTTTTCTTATATCTTGCTACCTACTCTCCTGAAAAGCACCAAGTTTGTCCATCATGTACCTGAACTTTGCCAATTCGCTGGCTAGCCTTCTTGCCTTCAGCCAGGCGCTGTGGGCGGTACAGGCCTTTCCAAAGCAGCATGATGATCTGCCAGCACACATCCTACCGGCCCACGAAGGGGGGTCTAAGAGCTCCGACATCAACATAGCAACAACTCCATGGTCCAAACGTGATCCCCCGCTGATTCCCAATTGGAGCCAGGGCCCTGGCACCACATGGTCTGGTTATTTGAGAGAGCCACAAAGCTCCGGATGGACTGAGGAAACGATTGACAATTTCGCATATTGGGCATGGCGCCAGACCCGCATCGGCAGCAGAAGTGAGGCAACACTGGTAGCAGCGCTGTGGATTTGCGGAACAGGGGTTTACTTGGGAAGTATACCCCATGGGCAGGAGTGGGGGACGTCAGGGGGCAGAGCTTCAGTACAAGCTCTGATGGATAATCGGCTTAGATACGAAGCACCGGTCATGTGGAGGTACGCACAGAACAGGGTGATAGAGGAAGGGAGGACCAAATGGCACGCAGAGGACATGGCCATGTATACGTACGAAAGGGAGGAGCATCCTAGTGGGAATAGATATCCACCGAACAGCTACATTGCTATATATGGACAGTACAACAGGGGGGACACACCTGGATTCAAGAATCCTTGCGGTGGAGCCGCAAGAATCAGGCCTTCTTGTACATCGGTGCTGGGAAGTCTGGGCATTAGATATCGGTGGCGGGGGTAGACATTCCTTTTACGGGTTTTCTTGCAACGCGTTGTAGCTATTTCTTTTGTAGATGCGAACTTGCGCTATATAGACATTTTCCTTACAACTTGCGTTTTCGTTTAGAGGACAACGCTATTGTCTTTGTAGGATTTGACACATGTGTGCAGCTTTGACTACATAGTCATGTCATTCGCTTCTTTTCATGCTATATAGTATACCTCTACTTGAATGTACGAAAGGAGGCACTAGATCTCTACGCTCCTAGCCAATTTCGAGATAATAGTTTGAGAAATCGGCAGGGCTTGCAATGTCGTTTAGATCTTATAAGTCTCACATGTCCTTACCTCAATTTAAGCTTACATACTAAGATGTACACAGACCTTAGCCTAAGAATTGCTCTTGCATTAAGGATGCGGCGTCTAGTTTCGGAGCAGGCCGTTGATTACAGACGTACATCTCGCCTCTTTTCGTGTGCTGAGAGACTGAAAATGATGTATCAGGCAACCAAGGTAGCGGGAGCGACCTTCAATCGCTATTGTGAAAATCTTATGAGGTGCTCAGGAGGCGAGATTCAGAAAGTCAAGCTGGAGCGGACAGATATCTGCGAAGATCTCCCCTTCGCCTCTGGGACCTTTTAGGGCTGAGCCTACCCCCAACGCAACAGTTTGTGTGCGTACACAGACATAGGCTGTAATGCGGGCATCGGATTGCAATAATAAGCAAGTACGAATTGTCCTATAATATTGGCTTAAGCGTGCCAGGTCTTGAGCGAGTAGATTCTGCTGCGTACAAAATTGAGCTTCAACACTTGTGTCAGATGGTAAGCCATTTTATGGGCATCTCATCTGGGACTGGAGATGAGGACTTGGAGAATTTGTCTGTACCGGTACTGAGGACATGTGGCTAGTGATTCTGCAGTGGCTAGTGCCCTGCGCAGCCTTAGCGCCCAGAGAAGGAACATCAAAGCCGGTGTCAGGCCCCAGCCTCACACACACAGGGACACACCACAATACAATCAGTCAACCCATCTTCATTCAATCTTTCTGTCACCGTGACAACTTCAGATACCATCAAATCTGACAAGAGTATCCAGCTCCCTCAATCAGGGCACGCACCTGCACACAAGTAAATGTAGCTCCACCAATATAAACCCACGGACATGGACTGTTTCGGAGCTCCCCGCCCACCTAAATTCACCGTTTTCAGCACCCTGGAGCCTGGTTCCGGTTTCCCTATTTTGACTTCCCGTAGTCTGCTGGAACCTTTTAACTTCATTATATTTGCAGGTCAGCTCCGCCACCGATATGGCACAGTAATGCCACCAATTAGCCAAGTAAATAAGGACTGCAGGGCCGACCAATAGCCAAGTAAGTAGGGACTCTAGAGCCAAGATTGCGATTCCGCGCAGGAATGTGTTTCACGGAGAGTGCAAGCACCGCCGAGTTGCCTACTGCAACAGCGAGAGAAAAGGAGCTACCTAGAAGGATGCACGATTCGAGGTGTTTTGACGTTATTATCAGCAAAGGAATAACAGACACCCAGCGTCGTTGTAGATGCAGAAAATCATAATCACGTGACTCCCGCGCTAGTAGCGGGGCAGCGAAAACTTGGAAGTCTCGTCGGGCACCAATATATAATCTTAATCAACGCTGCGACAGAATATCTTCTTATGCCAGGCTTGTTTTCTTGTCAGCGTCTAGTCACATCGCGCTGAAGTAACCTTTCTATCTACTCTCTAGGCTATCATTTCGCTGTTAAGCCCCCTATTCACCTCCTGCTTAACTGGTCGACGGTGAAAGGTTGCACACAACTCCTAACGCCCTCGTTAGGCCGCTTGGGATTAATCCAAGGAAAATACTTTTCGGCGTCCCCCCAAATTCCCTGGCGGCGCCCCCCTACTCAGATATACGCAGTCGTGATCTAAAATACTGCGAGTACAGAGACTACGTACCGTGACCAGATATACGGGGTCGCCGAGCTCCAGTCATCGGCAGTCATGGAAGGGCCAGCGCCCAGGAACGGCGCGGAAGGCCAATTTGGTGAACATCACAACTCTCACCCCTTCACCCATGCAGAACTCAACACCACGCAACCTATGGCAAAAGTAATTAATTCAAATTGAAGATTTACACTATCAGAACCAGCTTCCCAAGTTTCAGAATTTTCCAATCGCTTTTGGTGGTGCAGCAGCTCACTGTTGTGAGCTTTCTACAGGGCCGGTGATGCAGCCGAGTTGGAACACCAAACTCAAACACCATCCTGCACAGGTAAGGCCTTGCGCTTGCGCGGCTGCTTGTCCTTTGAGCCAAGAGGCCTCCTACGCTTCCTTTTGGCTGTCGGAGCCTCAGTGAGAGTCATACCCACCTCTTCATTGAACCTTGAGAGATCTGCAGGTTCTGCAGGTGTAGAGACCGGCGCGACTGCAATCTGTTGAGTTGCAGCAGGTGCAGGGTCACCAATCTCAATAGGTTGACTGGCGGTGTTGCCACGGGTAGGGTTAGCAGTAGAACTCGCGGTGAGTGCACCCAAAGATCGACCTCTATCAACCGCGCGGCCATTACCTGGAGTGTGAGAGGCGCGTGAGCGCTGAGTAGCAGTGACCTGGCTTGCTGCAACTACCTCAAAACTGGAAAGCTCTCTCTGGCTGTCGGTGAGGGTGGAGGGCCGGGGGGTTGAGCTTGTTAGATTTGATAGTATCTGAAGATGTCACGGTGACAGAAAGATTGATTGAAGATGGGTTGACTGATTGTATTCAGGTGTGTGCTTGTCTGTGTGAGGCTGGGGCCTGACACCGGTTTTGATGTTCCTTCTCTGGGCACCAAGGCTGTGCAGGGCACTAGCCACTGCAGAATCACTAGCCACATGTCCTCAGACAGTACTGGTACAGACAGTTTCTCCCAGTCCTTCTCTCCAGTCCCAGATGGGATATCCATAAACTGGCTTACCATCTGACAGTATTGAGCATATAATGGATAGACTTTAAGATGTCGTATGGATGGCCACGAGATGAGATAAGCTGCACCTTGAGGTTTTTGTGTGCTCCTTCGCCATGAGAGGTTACACTTTCTCCAAAGTCAGGATAGTCTTTGGTGTAGCAATTTGCCCAGTGCTTCCGATGGGGTATCTGGTGGTCCTCAAGATAGGAGAGAAGCTTTGGATAGACCTTGTAGTCGTCCTTAAGCTCTTCCCATATGTCCCAGAATTCAGTAAGAGTCTTGCACCCCACAAGCCCATACCATCGTGAAAGAAATGCCTCTCTCTGCTGTTGAATCTCCTCCTTTTCCTCATCTATATCTCCTCACCGTACATCCCAGGCACGCTTTGTAGCCTCAGCTTGAACGTGTTGATTAATATGCCACATACAATAGCGTATTGGGACTTCAGCAAAGTAATGCTTAAGGGCAGAGATGAGAGCATCTTCCTGATCAACAAGAAAGCAGTGAGGTGTAACATCTAACTCATGTACAAACTCAAGGAAGGTATGGATTACTGCATCATAATCTTCTGTTGTTTCTCCTAGCATAAAGGTGTAGCCTACATCAAACGTAGTATTCAAGGTAGTTACCCTAGTTATATGAAGCAACAGCATGTTGAAACGATTGGTCTTATACATGTAATCCATGATAATAACATCGGGGTTTTGTTTAAGGATCTTGACAGAAACTGGATGGGCAAAGAAAACCCAGTGGAGTCAGGTTTGCCCATCAACGCTATGGTGATGGAAATATTTGACTCCTTCACTGCCGCTGTATTCCTGTAGGGTCTCAAGGAGTGTCTATACTTTGGTATGTGAACCAAGCTCGGCCTGAAGAAGCTTCCATCGCTGGTTGTATATATCTTTGATAGTAGTGTTTTTTCCAAGATTGATAAGCTGCCGGTGGGTTTCCTTTACTGGAAGATTGCCTTCAAAGCCCTCTTTGATAACCCAGTCTCCATACTCAGGTCACTTGCGGAAGTGAGGCAAAGAAAACCTATTGATTGCAGGGTCGTGATTGTGTATAGGGTTTCGAATACGGAGAGTCCAAAAACAGCCATTGTAGTGTAAGTTTGCCTAGTATTTACACTGCGTCATTCGAGTAGATTTCCCTTTGTCCTTTGGCTTATATTTATGGGCATGCACACAGCAGAGGTGTACAACTTTGATGAGATCCTTGGTGGCCTTCCCTTTATAGTTCTTGTAGCTTTCAATGGAAACTGCATAACCCTGAGGTTCAAGCTGCTTGTTGACCTCCTCCACGGCCTCTCTGTAGTCCTCTTTCGTGATAATAGCGTCCTCTGCATTGTTATTGGCTTCTTCATCAATTAGCGGCTCGGTTTGAGTGCTTGGTGATTCAGGGAGTATCCCGGAAGGGCTCATATTCGCCATCTAATTGGCTGCATTAGCTTGCTGACCTGCAACAGTGGGGAAGGCACGGTGTTGCTACCCATACGGGACTAGGCGTAATGCTGGACTTACTGTTATCTGCTACAGAATCACAATGCAATGCTCAAATTTGATGAGGAAGGTAGCATTTGAAAGTGCTTAGCGAGGAGAGTAGATTTGAGCTCCTAAAAAGTAACTGAAATGGTGGTGCAGTTAGAGGTTGTGGCTGCGGAGAGCAAGTTGAGCTTTAGTGTTGCACCAACAATGGCACTGTTTTGGCTAGCGTGAATTAAGCGAGGTCTAGTGGCAAATTCTACCAATTCACTATTTCTAAACAGGTGATGCAGGCCAATGAGGCTGCATACCGAAAGATCGGAGTGGGATACGTGGACGGCATGGATTAACATTTTCTGAGCCTTGGCTCTTGCCGTTGTAGGCTAAGCATGGCGGATTTCACATCACGACTGTGTACATCTGAGTGGGAGGCCGCCACTAGGAAATTTGGGGGGGCGCTGAAAAGTATTTTCCTTGCGCAATGATACAAAGGTCGCTGTAACTACTACTAGCACGAGGGACTCTGCTGCCTAGTTGTTTACAAATTACAACAGGAAAAGGAGACCAGGCAACATTGGTTAGTTATAGCAGGGTAATCGCCACAGCACTGTTAGCTTACGATTGCTAGGGTACAATATCCTTCGTGTCGAAACTGCGAAGGATGATGCAACAGTTACAGATGCGTTAGTAACTCTAGTATGCTTAATGTTTATAACTAATCTATTGTTAGAGCTTGTTGTATGTCGGCGGCGCCCTGGTTCTTTAGACCTCATGCAGTACGAAGTCTAGGAATGTTTCAAGATGGAGGACTGCAACACAATAATCCAGCAAGCATTGCACAATGGGAGATGAGGTTTATTTGGCCAGGTAAGGATAACCTAGATTTTATGTTATCCCTTGGGATAGACACAACAATGCCTAGTATCTCAGGTAAAGACCGACAGCGCTTTTACCTATGGCTGTTTCGAAGCTTTATATGGAGCCTTGATGGAGAGGATGCTTGGAAACGCTTCCTAAACTCACTATCAACAAGTTCGCGATATCGTTACCACCATTTAAACATATGTCTGCCAGGACAGGAGCTACGGTTAGACGATGTTGCAAAGATTGCTGACCTAAAGACGTATACAGCACAATCAATTACCCAGGATGCAGATATAATACTAGTTATAGACTCTATAGTCGCCAGTCTGTTCTACTTTGAGCTAGATGACTTGCCTACCCAATCCTGTGGTAGTTATCACTGTTCTGGGCAAATAATGTGCCGCCTGGACCTACCTGCTGAAGGGCATCGTTATCTCTATGAAAGGCTCCATCAGACATCTTCCTGGTTTATTGTTCAAGGACGTCCTGTTCAGTGTGTTGAGTACATCCCAACTAGCCTTCCTCCGTTCCAACATAGGATAGAGTTTTCAGTAGAAGCTCTTGACGACCTGCTTACAATATCACTTCGAGGCATAACTAGTACTGCCCGGTTAATAAGCGGATTGCCAGCTACAGTACAGAAAGTTATTGATGTGCAACAACTTGAAAGTCCTTTTGGGACTGCAACATATGCAAGACCTGAAAAGCTCTTGCCAGCAGTACCCACGAAACGTGCTTATAGGTCTAAGGCACACTATCGAAGGAACAGATGCCGGATAGATGAGTAGAGGTCGCATGTAGTTGTAATCTAGATTATTGTCTATCTAATCCATGTGACCTGTATGTGTTGCCTCTTGCTTTTTCATTGGAGCTTCTCTTGCCTTTTCTTTGTCAAGATTGACTAGTGGTGGGAAGAAGCTATTGGTTGGGGAGAGAAAAGATTGTGATATTGCTTGAGGTGGTGGACCGGAGCTACGCACCTCTATATCCATGAAGCTATGCCAAGTCGCCAAATAAGGAATGGTTACATGCATACTACCTTCACAGGAAAGATGCTCAACATCGATGAGATGGGGAGCTCACAGTGGAAAGATCGCCCTACTGCCTACGGCCAGAATAGGAAATGAGAACCTTTCAAGAATCCTTATCTAGATTCTCTGCGTGCTCTACTTACATTCGCCGAGTTTTGGCATCCAGAAAGATAGGGTTCTAGAACCTCGACAAAAGAGCTATGCTAGCATATAACAGTGAACGCAAGGATAGATCAAGAGTAGTTAAGATTGTTTAGTGCTATGTAGCCACTTATGTTATGGAACAAAGTGAGCTGAAATAAACTGAATTAGCTGCTCTATCTGATGAAGGGCCGGATGGCCACTATAATACACGATGGAGAGTACGATTGCACAGCAATCGTAGGCAAACACAAACAGTAGAAAATCTATACCCAGACACCGAATAATAAGCGCCAAACAGGCACACAAACCTGAGTTGGTGGAGCCACTAACATATACCAACAGCAAAATTCAGGCATCTGCCATCTCATCGCAAGTCCTCTTCCAGTTGACTGCTGAAGGGGGAATACCATGGTCAGCGACAGCGTGCTTCCAGAAATCGTTGACACCGCCAAGCTTATGCTCGCATAATGGGTGTGGGCATATCTGAGGGGGGGAACTCTTGTCAAGATGGCCCTTCAGGTGCTTGAGCAAGTGATGTCCCTCGGAAAACTGGCACCATCGTTCCTCTGGTGCAGTGACTGTATCTCCTAAGCAAAATAAACAGTGCTCTACAACTACTACTAATCTGTTCCGATGTATTATGCTGCAATAGCTATTCAGCTCCTCAATGTGCTGTCGATAGTGCTTTGACCACAGGCTATCCGCTGCAAAGTACTCGCCATGTTCGTAACAATAATAGATCCTCGTAGGGATAGTCTGTTCGGTTGGGATCTTGTGAATGGTAGAAACATGGTAGGTAAGATCGATCTTGTTTCCGCTACTATAGCCACAATGATTCCAAAGACACTGTGAGAGTGCATTTGAATCAATATACTAGTAACATGCTTTGAGTACGTATTGCACGATTTCCTCTTGAAGTAGAAATTGCAACTATTCCAGCTACAACGTTTTAAATCTTTCTTAAAGTAGTATTGCATCTGAGCTGTTTGTTTTTGCCTTAACCGCTTCTGCATGCAGGCAAGGAGATGAGAGTGTACGAAGCGATTGTTAGATAGATCCTTGTTGCAATTAATGCATCGATCTTCCTCTGTAAGTCCTGTTTGAGGATAAAATAAACGCCCAGAGACTGGGTTTGCTGTGCTGCACAGCATTGGAATTACATAAGATAACCTCACATCTTTGTTCGTGAACAGGGAGGTACAGAGTTCTTTCCGATATCTGTCATAGCGGAGATATGCTTCAAGATAGCGGGACAGTACGCACTCCATTGTTATCTGCCGCCAGGGTTCGACGACTGCTAAGGCTCCCTTTTCAAAGAAATCTTCCTACTTCTTCAAGTAAACGTTCTTTCGTAGTCGTCTCTGAATTTTGTCCTTCTTTTGCGGAGACATAGATAAAGTCTGCGTTATGTCTACCCGTTGATGCTTGGTTAGTTGGGAACCTGGCGGCATTGGAGCAAGCAGATTTCTCCGGGCTTTCATCGATGTTGCTTCCTCAATCAACGCCTGATTAGGTGTACATCCTTGGGCTAGTGATTGTGTGTCTGCACCAACAATTCTAGAGATGTAGTGTTGGAATGTCCCATCCTCGCAGTGACCTATTAACTGTCGCCTTTGTGCTTGACTGACAGCCTCTGAAACCTGTAAGCTTATGCTTGCAGGTGAAAATATTCACGAACTTACTGTCGATAGTATTACTAAAAACCCTCCGGAAGCAATATGCAGTGAGATTCTCTTCATATCCAGCTCGTTGACCTAACCCAATGAGCATGTTACTTATGCTGTTGAATTTCCAGATTTGATCTTGGTGAATAACCCCCTTTTGATCAACTGACCGAAGAATTGGAACATCAAGCATGCTAGATTTAATCTTAAACCAGCATGTGTCAGTGCCTAGAGGTGTTGGTGTAGCTTCAAGGGAGGTAAACGAGTTACATCCCTCAATTGCCTGGTCAGCAAGAGCCAATACAAGAAAATATGCAACAGGACAGAAGAAGCACCTCTTTGGCTCTTCGTAGAGAAGTAACTGAGGCCTAAAAAACAGTTAGTTTAGATACATGTAAATAGAATTTGGGAACTTACGCATACTTTTCAAGATTACAGGTTCTCTTTCGATACCACAAATGAACAAGAAGGAAATATCCAGAGTATGCCTTGGTTGATTTTCAACCTAGTTAAAAGTCCTTGTAGTGAAGGCCCTCGTTGCTTCCGTAATACACAGTAGATTCTACAACTTCTCCTAGCCGACATCCTACTAGAGCAAGGATAATGATTAGGAAAGCAAGCTGCAAACGGATCCGGGAGTGCAGAAATTCATACTCGTCTGCCTTCCATAGAAAGGTTACAAGGTCTTCAGCAACTTCAAACAGAGCAACTGGTTTGTGGCGGACTTTTGTTGAGATCTTTCCCTCTGCAATAAGGTCTTGTTTTACAAAGCTTGAAAGAGCCATGTTCTCGTTGCGCCCGTAGACATGGCCTGTACGGAGTCTTATAACTAGTGTTAGGGCTGAAAGCCGATGCAGAAGGGTAACATCTGTTATGTTCTTCTCAAGGATGCCCTTTGTATGGTGCGCATACCATCGGAGGAATATCTGGATCTCCTTCACACTTGGAAATGTAGAAAGACACTCCTCAGCGCTTTGCTTCAGGATTTTTCAGGAGAAACTTTGATTTCTTAGCTAGACCTAGTGAAGCACCTATGACGCAACATACGTCTGCCATTTATTTAATATGTGTTGATATTGTTTATACTGGTCTGGCTTCAGGTGAGTTCGGAGCTCTTCGTCGGTCGGCGTGCCGGGGGTGCTTGACTCTTGTGCCAGCGCTACTAGATCGTCATCGTCGCTGTCCGACGTGCTGGTCGAGTAATCGCTTTCGTTCTCCATATAGATGCAAAGGGGGAATCGCAATAATGGGGCGTTGCAACAAAAGAGAAGCAACCTTGAATGAAGGGTCGAAATGAACGATCGCAAAGCGGTTGCAATGAAGCGGTTGCAAATAGTAGGATCACAGTAAAGGAAGGCAACTAAGGGGCACAATGAAGGATGCAATGAAGGGGGCAATGAGAGTGCGCATCGACGGAGGAGGACTACGTGTGCTGGACCTGGGCGCATGATAACTGCATACCAACATCTGTTAACGCGGAACCGAAATGTGCTAGTGTCATTTTACAGACGGCATATCAGCACGCGAACAACGGGAATACAAAACTCGGAACACAGAATTGGGTGAGCAAATTGCCCTAAATAGGAAACCAGGAACATGGCAACAGTTTATTCTGCGCTTAGTGTAGTCGACGTTCGCGGGGAGAATTGGGCCTCTCGTCCGATCGACCATACACAAGCCGTGTAGCGCCCGTTGAGTAGTACCGTGGGTGACCAGGTGCGAATAGCGTGGTGTTGTATGTTTTTTGTTTTTGCTCAATGGCCTTACACCATCCATTAGGCCGACGAAAATGGACTTGGCTTTTCTCTGATTCCTCTGCACGCATGGGAGGGCATCCGGAAAGCCCTTCTATTTTTCGCTAAGTGAGGTAAGCCTTTGGTGGAGCAGGCCAAAGATCGAGCTACTCGCTTGCGAATCTACCCACTGAACTTACTATGTACAACTCATTAAACGCGCCCTACCCGTCCCACGAACCACCTTACCGAGCGAAGCGAGGGAGTTCGTGGGACGGGTAGGGCGCGTTTTCATCTTCCGTTGGAAACGGATATTGCAGAACGCCTAGATTTCAATCTACTAAACATTCTAGTTTCAGAGAGCGCTCGCCGTTATTACCTGCCCCCTAGATTCCTCTCCCATTCTGAATAAGGATAAAAGCAAGTAATATTGTTCCTATAATCTGGCCTGCTGTGCCAGTATTACCTCCGGGACTGCATAGCACAGCCACCATTACGCCGCCACACCGGCTTCAGAAACGATGTGCTGTGCCGCACTATATTCGTCCCATGCACTTGAGAATAGGAACATGTATGCTTCCTCTCTCAACTTCAAATAAAGGGGCATAGCTCTATGAGGAATGTAAAGCAATCATGGGCCAAAAACTCTCACGGTGGTTTTTAACGCCACATCCACTTCCAACCGTACAAGAGCTTTGCGAGAGCTTCAAATCTCCTTGTGAGTTAGCGCTGCCTGATCGTGACGAGGTGCTGATATATCTCGATTTGAAAGCACATGTCCGTCAGGAACTGTTTGCACGACTCTATTCCAACAGAAGCCCGGAATCGATTGTGGACAACGGAGACCAGTGTAAGCCTGACCTGAGCATGAACATATACTATGAAATCTACTAACGCTGATCCAGATATCAGCGAAGAATGGCTGACCAAGCGCCTTTCACACCTTTACCCTGGCTTCGACAATACAGTCGCCGCCGCGACGCCCGTCTTATACAAGATCATTCTCCACCACAGCACATACCCCTTCAAGCCACTACCCAATGCCACGCTTACACCAGTTAAAACCGCTATTGCTGTGGCCCTTCTATCTGCAAATGATAGCACGATTAGCATTACACGTCGGGTAGATACGCACGCATTCTGTACCAGTCGTCGTAACTGGAACGACCGCATCCGTCTCCTGTTTCAAAGCTTATGTGATACCGACTGGTCTGAGCCATCAAGTAAAGAGTGTAGAGAAAAGGAGGATGACGAAGATTTGGTTGCGGTGATATTGAGCCTTCTAAGGTGGCAGTCGTGGGTATGGCACAAATATAGGGACGAAGAGCGCCTTCTCCAGGTTGCGAGCACGCTGCCTAGCTCGCATTCGCGAAGTTTGGATGGAAGCGTTTCTCTGGCTGATATTAGAGTTTTATTGGCACTGATAGTCGCTGCCAGCGTGGGAGAACGGCCAAAAGAACCGGCCGACATGCAAGTGGCAGTTGAGAGTAGAGCTCTCGCCCTGTCAAGTTGCTTCCCAGATCAAGATGGCCGTATCAGCTGGGAGGGATTCCAGCAAACAATAGCGGACTGCATGGTATGAGCTCTCTCTTGAGACATCATGTCGAAATCGCTGATACTGTAAAGCCACTTTTGCTGGCGGAGCTGACCGCCCTCATGTCAAATCTGTTTCGTGTGGAGAATCGCGAGGACTCTTTTGGTTATTTAATTAAATACTCGTGGAGAGTACCACCTGCGGTGAATATACGTGCCAAACTCTAGTAATAAAGCTTCGCTGACAGTAACAGATTGGCGGAACAGAATCCCAATCTAAGATATCTTCTCTCACAATGCCAGAGCTCGCCCAGCTCGGACTGGTGATACGTCGACAGGACTTAGATGACCTGCGCCTGCTCAGGAAAGATGATCCTAAATCACTCTCGAGCTCAGACATCAGCAGATTGTTCAATGACTCCCCCAAGGACCATACTCTCCTGCTCGTGCGCGGCAGAATGAAAAACAACATACCCATACTAATCTGTACCGTTCCATTTCTTACTGCCCAGTGGTCACCCGATGAGCGGTATTTCCTTTCGGAGAATCGGCTTTCCACTGTAGGGATGGACACGGACTGTATCGTGCAGTTGCTACCGACGCATCGCGTGCTGAGAAGTACCTCCGAACTTGCGCAGGTGAAGACTAGTGCAGTAGAACCAGACGATCTGCTGATTGATCTCGGACGCATTAAGATGCGGTTTGCCAAAGGCCTCGAAACAGGAATGCTAGACTCAGGATCGGAAAGTGTGTCTTTTACGGTGGAACTGATGGAGGTCTGGGGACGATGAATACCAGCCGGTTATCATCACTTAACAAAATGCTATGTTCCCTTACCAGTGTACCTCCGATACATGTCTTGCAGTCGAACCAGCAAAACGTTCGCCTGGAGCCAGATTTTTGAACCTCACTACTGCATAACTTCGGATTAAGCAGAAGTAGCTATGCTCCCAAGCAAGTACTATATGCGGCCAATCCCACATTTTCCCCGGAGTGGGCGCATTCAGGTGATCCATCAGCTCGCTGCCCTGCAATCTCGGCATCGGTATCTACTTTTCTCTTAGACTCTACGTCTAGCGTCCTCGTCCTGGTTAATGCGATGCGACTGCGCTCGCCAAACGTCCAGAAATAGGCCTATGCACGGACACCGAATCCTTCGACTCTGGACGCGTAAGCGTAAGAGAGCGAACACTAGTGGAATCGCTTTAGGGGTAACGGCAATATTAATGTATAATAACAGGCACGAGGCTCCATGATAATCTCCAACTCGAGGCAATATGAAATTCCTACTCTTGTCACTCGTTCCATTGGCGGCGGCCACCTCGATCGCAAGACATGTCAGAGGCGCGGACACAGACGCGTCTAATAATCTCATCGTAAAAGCGTCTACTGGAACTTATACTGGATTAATCGATCCGCAGTTCCCAAAAACACGACAATTTCTCTCCATCGCATTCGCTGAACCGCCAGTCAAGTCCCGTCGTTGGTTGCCTCCGAGAAAACTTCCCCGGTCCGATCGGCGCTTCAATGCTTTGGAGCTACCTCCGTCCTGCCCGCAGTTTGTATCTTCGGTTCCATCGCTCCTGAGTGAGTACTTAGCAGACGGTGCTCTCATCTACAATGGAAAGGATAATCACACCTCGGGGCTTGTTGGAGCGGCGACCTCGGAAGACTGTCTTTATCTAGGCATATGGACTCCTGCGAATGTGACATCCAAGTCTAAGTTGCCGGTCTTATTTTTCATGAGCGGAGGCGGGTTCCAAGGTGGGGGTGTCCATATTCCATACCAACTGCCCATGGAGTGGGTTGAGCGTTCACAATCGCACATCGTTGTCACGATCAATTACCGTACCAACATCTTCGGTTTCCCCAACGCAGCGGGACTCTCGGAACAGAATCTTGGGGTCCTGGACCAGAGGATGGCGCTAGAATGGGTGCGCGACAACATCGCAGCATTCGGCGGTGACCCAACGGCCATCACGCAATGGGGTCAGTCCGCCGGCGCGATGTCTGCTGACGCACACGCATATGCCTTCTACAAAGACCCTATTGCGAGAGCCTATTTTCTGCAATCTGGCACATCATTCAGCGGGGGCGGAGTCCTCGACAACACTTTCTCCAATTTCACCTTCGTCGCCCAGCATGTGGGCTGCAATTTCACCACGTCGAAGTCTCCACAGGCACGAACGCAAGAGCTGGATTGCATGCGGAAAGTACCATTCGAGCGCATCTCCAACTTCGTCGGGCAATATGGCGACAGTGGCGCTGCACCGGCACTGTCATTCCTGCCAGTGGTGGACGAACGCATCATCTTCTCCGACTACGAAGCACGGGGGAAGTCAGGCAAGATTGCACGCCTCCCGGCGATATTGTCCAACACGGCCAACGAAGCCTCGTCGCTTGTCCCATTTTCGCCTGCTGGATTCCCCCAAGACGTTATTCTGGCAGTCGAGCTAGCACAGTTCGTCTGCCCGACGTACAAGTCCACAGTCCAACGAAATCAACTCTCCGTTCCGGTCTACCGATACCAATTTGCGGGTAGATTCCCCAACCTCAATCCTCTAGAGTGGACCGGGGCCTATCACGGAATCGACATTCCAATGATTTTTGGAACGTACGACTTGGTGAAGGGACTGGGGGATGTACCCGAGCTCGAGAGAGAGACCAGCCGCGCAATCCAGGACCATGTTCTTGCCTTCGCCAAGGATCCTTATAACGGTCCGCAAAAGCTCAACTGGCAGCCGCTCGACACGCAGGCTCCTCAGGGTGGCCAACTCATTCGCTTTGGGGCTGGGGGTAAGGCCGTGCAGTACGTCGATGGCGTCAAAGTGGACGGTGTATGCCAGGGAATCGGGGAGTATGACGCATTCCCGTAGAGTTGAGAATGTTCGAATCGTATTCGGATCCGGTATTCGCCTTAAGCTTGAGGGATATGTGTTATCTACCGTAGGGTACGAGCTACGTCTAGACTAGATTTTTGGAATTTCCGCAAGGGAAACACTGCCCAGTTTCAATGTTTGTAAGCATAATACAGGACTAATTTACATTACGAATCCTGTTAGGGTATGGAGCAAGATTAGTAGATATTGATAAGCGAGGCATGTGTAGAAACCAGGTTGCGACTTCCCCCACATTTCCACTCCATTCGACGAAAACCCCAGCGCTTGAGAAACCGCATAGCGGACCCTATTTTCCTCATCCAAGTCATCATTGCAAAAAGACAAACTATGTTGTCTAGTCGCGGGCAGAAATATGCAGCACTGGACCTAGCGGCACTTTATACGAACATTCGCGCAGGGCCATATGACAAGGAGAAGTGCCCAAATGGATTCATCTCTCTTACAATGGCCGAAAATGTGCGTATTAGAAACCGTCACAAGTCCCTCTCCTTTCATGGGCTGCGGTGTGAGCTGAAACAATGTAGTTCCTTATGTACGAGGAGATGCTGAGATACATCAAGACGAAGGTCAGTGTGCCAACTATACCCATGAAGCGAAACAACAATCATCTGAACCTATTTAGTGTCTACCGTCAATCTACGCCTCTGCGTTGACTTATCACGAAGGCCCGTTCGGATCGATGCGGTTGAGAACAGCAATGGCCGACTTTCTCAATGGAAAAATATCGCCTGCATCATCCATTTCAGCCGACAATGTATCTTTCGTCAGCGGAATCACAGCACTCAACGAGATTTCTGCTTTGTGTCTCACTGAGGAGGACGAGGGCGTACTTCTCAGCATGCCCATTTACGGCTCCTTTGCGCGGGACTTTGAAACAAAGTCAAAGTATGCTCCATATCCGTAATTGAAACTGTGCCTCACTCACAGGGAATATAGCTGCAAGTTGATATACACACCTTTCGGTGACGTGGACCAATTCAGTGTCCATGCGATCGATCGGTACGAGCAAGCGCTGGAAAAAGCTGAGAAAAGTGGCACCAAGATCAGAGCACTGATTATCAGCAACCCGCATAATCCTTTAGGTAGAAAGAGCAGATCTTCGCCAGTGATCATTGCTAACGTTTAAGGTTAGGCCGTTGCTACACTCGCGATGTGCTCAAAGCTCTGATGCGCTTTTGCAACGAACACAAAATTCATCTCATCAGCGACGAAATATATGCGCTATCTGTGTATCATACAGACGATAGCCACCCAGCTTTCACTTCGGTGTTGTCTATTGACCCAAGCGGTATCATTGATCCCAACCTCGTGCACGTCTTGTATGGCATGTCAAAGGTGCAGTACATATCTCCTTTCGCGAACCTTATAATTGAGGGCAGTGCACTGATGGGCATATGAACTTCAGGATTTTGCTGCCGCAGGTCTCAGACTTGGATGTCTGATTTCCGAGAACGCCGAGATGACAAAGGCAGTACGGTCGTTATCGTGAGTTTCCGACTCAAATGTGTTCCAGGAGTTCCCCGCTGCTAACGTGGTTTGCAGGCGTTTCCACTGTGCGTCGCCGTTGACCTGTGACATTGCAGCGACGATCCTCGAAGACAAGGAGTTTCATGACGCATTCCTCGAGAAAAGTAATGCTGCTCTACGCGAGCACCAGGGAATTGCGACGAAGATGCTCACTGAGGCCGGCATCCCCTTCGCTCCCAAACCGTATGTGCACATTCTTTCTGGCATGGTGATCCTGGCGCACTTGTGGCTTACATCGTTCCAGAAACGCCGGATTCTTCCTGTGGATTGATCTTTCCAAATGCCTGCGTGGCGAGGACTGGCAGGCAGAGACGATACTGAAAGGGAAGCTTTTTGAAGCAGGTATAGAGATGTCGTCTGGAGAAGCGTATCATGCGGAAACACCGGGCTGGTTTCGCTTCATCTTTTCGGTAAACAGGGATGTGGTGTTGGAAGGTCTCCGCAGGTAAGTATTCTGATGGTCGATGACTACCCTAATTGCATCTGATAATGAAGCAGGATCGTATCTTTCTATAAGGCCCATACTTTCCTTGAGAACTAGAGATCGGTCTTATCTCCTGGATGCGACAGAGCTCTCGTACCGGAAGAAAGATAGAGGGTCGTCTTGATCATTTCGTTAGAGAAACGCTAAACTCTCTCTATGTACACATATACCAGCGCCAGGCAAACCTAGCAGCAACGCAAACAACAATGAGCGTATCGCATACCTCTATTTAGTTCTCCAAAAGCAGAAACCAGACACGACCCCACATACCGGCATTGTTCCTGCAAAAACTGAGTAAACAACGGTGTATGCGGATTTTTGAATGCCGGCGAAACAGCTATTCCCAGTGGGCTTACAGCCAATGTAAACATATACACAGTCGCATAGCGATGAAGGCATTCCGAATAGCTTGTTCGATTGGAAAAGAAGATAATAGGTATAGCGAGAGAGAATGCGGAAGAGAGAGAGAGAGAGAGTAGGGAGAAGGATGGAAAAGGATAGAAGGGAGGGGAACCGAGTAGAAGGAGGGAGAAGGAGATCGATATCAAGAGAGAGAGAGAGGAGAGCATAGTGAAAGCGGAAGCAAGGCAGCCTCGCCAAGACTAGTTCACCTGGCTTCACCGTCGATTTGACGCGGCTACTAAAACGCCCTAGCTTCTGTTTGCTAGCCTTTTCTACATAGTACAATATCTATCGGAAGCCGTCCGTCTCCATTGCTCTACAGTCAACTCCAGTTTCTCCCATCACTGTGGGATACACACACGCGGCACCTTGGTCTCCGATTCTCAAATCCCAACAACACGATGGAGGGCGCGTTGGCCGAACTGAGCGTCATTGCCGAAAAGGTCAACCATGTCGGTGAGGAGCTTGAACGAAGAGCGAGGGAGCGTGAGCGGGAGCTCTCCGAACACTTGGCTATCGTGACAGCTAGGGCGGTGCTCCGAGCCCGGGATCGTGTACTTGTCGCGACAAAGGCGCGAAAGGAGGCCGAGGAGGCAATTAAACCGCTTCGCGATAGCATGGAGTACCTGGGGCCAAAGTTGGTTGCAAGTGTTGAGGCCACATGGTTGCAGATCCATCGCGCTTGGAGTGATCAACTGAAAGACGCTATTAGTGAACTGGAGCCGTCACTACCAGCAGGCGTGGATTGCGCCACTGTCAAGATCGAGTTCAATGGAAAGCCGATCCGACTTGAACTGAGCAAAGGGAAACATCCGCAACCCAACGCCAACCCCAGCCACGACGCGGACTTCTTGACGCAGCTTGGTTTCGACGACACGTTCATCAGTACTGTCTTGAAACAGAATTCGGATGCCATGGAGATCCCTGTCGACACAGATACCAATATCAACTCGGAGAAGCGCAAGAATGAGAAGAAACTGGGCTCACTGCGCCCCGAGCTGGATGAAAACCCTGGAGCAGTGGGCGCCCCATCTGCTCCCTCGAATGGAGACCACGACGCACCAACAAAGCCTTCTACTGCGCCAGGTAATAGCGCAGTGACTCCGACCAAGCGAAGATTGGACGTTGAGGAGGGTGAGGGTGAACCAGAATCGGCTAAGAAGCAAAAGAAAGAGGAAGAATTTGACTTCAAGTGGTATTACTTTGAGTGGTTCTACCTATAGGGGTTTTCATGTGTTTAGGAGTGAGGTCTGGGCGGGACGTCCACGGCGGAAGAGAACTCAGGCCAATTCTAAGATGATCGCCACGGGAATGCGATTCAGAGCAGGTGAGGCGGCCAACTATAGCCAAATAGAGACATGATTCGACGCCGATGAAGGTGAACATTTCTAGTAAACGTTTGTGCAACATCTACGCTTCCCGAGCCACAAGCATCACGCCAGCTTCACGCGAGCAACATCCCCCACTGGTAATCCATGTCGAAACAACCTGCTACCGCAAAGACCGCAAAGGGACGCTCCGAAGGCAAGGCACTCCTAGTTATTGACGGTCAGCAGCTCGCCCTAACAATACAACAGCAACGGACGCCCTCCAAGCAAAACCACCGACAGCGGAGACGCTCCGAGCCCTTAGAGGTGAACACTGCCCGTGATCGCCTTTTTCCGCATCGCTAACAAAGCCGAAAGACCTATCGTTAGAAGTTTAAGCGGAACTGCGCAACTTTCCGGGCCTCTGCGACAGAGGATTCTGGTTGGAACTTGCTCGGGATGCAGACAACGCCAGTAAGGAGGCGGAGAAAAGGGAGACTGCACGCCCTGCAGAAACTGGACATGTTGTCAAGTCGGAGTCGGATCCGGCCATGGAGCGTCTAGATCCTGCGACGTGGCACCCATTGGACTTCGTCCGCATCCGCAATTCGTATCGCTATGCAAGATCCTCTCCGCATTGAGGTCAAACGCGGGTGTAAGAGCGAGCCGGGAGAAAGGAGTGGATACATTCTGCCGAAGATGGTGTAATAGCATTGAACCATTACTCGGAATAGAGCCGCTAGCCGAACAAAAGATGTGCCTGAACCTGTCACGTCCCCGTGCTCCTCGATCCCTATACTAAGAAAAGATGGAGTGGGTGGTCTTGGGCATAGTGGGCATAGCGGCGGATGGTATAGAATTGGCATGATACCGAGATCGAAGCCTGCGCTTTGGCGAGTGTGTTCAGTGTCACTGGCATGCTTTGGCGATACAGCTGTCGCACGGCTATACAATGAACGGGCCCTTACATGAGCACTGTACTCATTAGAGTCATGGAGACGTGCTTAAGTTTGACCTCTCAGGGTGACGAGGAGTTCAGATCATTAAAGTTCACGAGGGTTAGGTAAGGTGGAGCAGAGTCCAGTATAGCGCAACGCGGAACTGACTGCCAGATTTCGAGCCGGTGTGGTTATGCTTAGCAAGACAACATAATATCCAGGGCTGTATACTGTCCCCTTCTCTTCGCCCACATTAAGATATTATCGCCTTCGCTCAAGTCGCCTTACATTGGGTGTTCTCTAGAACCTGGAGTAATCTAAACATTTCCTTTGTTGCCTTGTAGTATCCTCGTGGAGAAATGCGAATATTAAAGAACGTGAGGCTAAGGAGTTGGTGCTTGGCCATTCTTACAGTGTCAGACGGTTAATCGAAAGAGTAAACTCACAGCTTGTAGGTAGATTGAGTACTTACTTTTAGGGATAAGGAGCGTATCACAGCTCATCATGTTCGTTTGTGCGAAGCATGTTAAACGGATTCCATGGTGTAGGAATAGCATCGCCAGGCCGTGGCGGCGTCCACTCTTCATATTTGACTCCCGGGGCGCAGAGGTTCGGCGTCGAACCAATACCCGTACACAACCCACAGATATGCGTTCCGCACTCCACTGGTGGAATATCGGTGACCACCTCGTGGCAAATCATTAAGCCAAACGTACACTGTGCGCAGGTGTGGGTAGGGATGCAGCACGGCTTTTCGGCGATATGAGGACCGCATCGTACGCATCTCTGCTTTCTCCCTGTGATACAGTAGCCACCATCGCCAGAATTGCTGAAGATACCAGTTGCTCGAGAGTTAGACGGACAGGTTGAGTCGCAGAATGGGGCTGTGCCTTCCCACCAGCATTCGCATCCCGCGTTGGCGATGCTCACTGAACCTGCAATCAATAAGAGGATTCTGTGAACGTAATTGAACTTCATTTCGAGTAGTAGGAGGCCTTGGAGAGAAATATGATATTTGGAAGTCCTGCGGGACACATTTATTGATTAAGCTGAGCTTCTTCTGTGAGAGTGGTATATCTATTCTTATCTCTACTATCTTCCCATTAGCTTCTTTTATGCTTCGTGATGGTGTGACTTTACATCATTCTTAAATCAACTAGTATTGCGGGGCAATTAGCGGCTCGTACCGTCCTATCAGAAACTACTTGCCTATGTAATTGTTTCTCCCGATCTCCGAGTGTGAAGCAGGGCAGTGCTCAGGACCGCCATCAAGAGGTTTAAGTTAAGCAGGTAGTAGAGGTTTCCAACTCGCTTGTGGATTACGTTAACGATACGGTTAGCTGTGTTGAGTTGCTAGGCGAAAGATGCTCGGTTCGGTGTCGGAGACCCACACGGAAATTTCCAGCCACCCCGTCGGTGAAAAGCACAAACTCACCACTCCCAAAAAGCAACCACAACTTCAAAAAGTTGATCACGGCAGGATTCGAACCTGCGATCTTCTGATTCGTAGTCAGACGCCTTGCCATTGGGCCACGTGACCATTTGTTGAAGCGAATAATTTTTTTGGTTGTGAAGAAAATTCATATAGTGGTAATAGGCCAACACGGCATCTTCAAAACGAAGAACTTATCACTCGTAAATGTGAAATTCTTCGGGGAAGCCAAAGAAGTATAGGTACGTCTTGTAGATTTGGGCTAATGGTATAGTTCCTTCCTGAGAAGAATAGAAATCGCAAACAGTACTACTAGATGGTCTATTCCTTACTGTTGAACTTACTGCAGAGTTAGAGATACCCTAGGGTGCGCCGCGGTCCGTGTATTGACCGCAAAGACTGTTGTCTAACTTAGGCTCACCTTTATTCTGCTCTATGTAATGAAAAAGACCGCGATACTTCTGAATGCAAAAGCTCGAGTAATATCTTGCGCATGAAGTTACATCATGCTTTGTTTGAGGCAAATTGCACGATAAAAGGGTGTTGAAGGTGTAGCAGGAGCCTAATTATGCCTACGGTCAAAGAAAGTGCTGTTCCTAAGAACCTCACCATACAGAAAGCGCCCATGCCTTCTTCATCTATCCAGAGGAAACCACCTCTTCTAAACACTCTACTCACCCCTTACTTTGCCTCTATCCTCCTCGTAGCCTTCCGGCTCACTTAAAAGGATAGGGAGGGAAACAATGCACTGCGGATTAGGGATAAACGGATTTCAGAGGCAGTGTTACCCAAGCATGTCCAGATGACTTTGCAGATGACTTCTCTTTCCGCTGGGTTAAAGAGCGATGCAGGGTCAGATGTCCGGCTTCAAGGCAAGAGCATTCATCCCCGATGGTCTCATATTCTAGACACCCATCCAAAATAATCACCGGACCAGTTCAGTCGGGTCATCACGGTCGTTTCGTCGCCTTGAGTGGTGGAGAAATTCTCTTGCGTGATGACGCTTAGAATACGCACCCGGTCAGAGAGTGTGTAGGAATAGAATCGACAGAAGCAAACACGCCCGTCAACAAACATGGAGTCATGTTGATGATAAGAAATCAGGCGTCCTCATGGGATACGCGTGTTCCGCTCATTGACTATGAGCTGATCAAAGTCAACTATCACTCAGCGGCTACGCCGGCATGACCTCTTGTCAAGGATGCCTCACCGCTCAGAACTTGCAGACAAACAGAGTTTGAAAAGACGGCTGGTAAAAAGGTCGGAACCCACCGCGGATACGATGTCCGTAACGCCCCGCTCGCAGGGACGCCTAAGAAGCAGAGATTCGGCGGTCGGCGCTGACTGATGCCGAAGTGACAGCTCAAAACGGCTGTAGAATCCTGCAAAGTGGCCTCTGAACGTGCAATCCATGTCCAAGTTGTCACCAGATTTTTTAGTATGGCAAAGTTTCCATATCCGCGGGATGTTGGATGGGAGCAAGGGAAAATGTTGGCCTGGGACTGAGTTGAACCAGGTCCTCGGGAACGCTATCAGTACACACTGCAGAAGTTGGTGGCGAGATGCAAATTCCTTTGGCACGGACAGTACAGGTATTGAGGCGAGAAACCCTGGTATCCGGTTTGCGCTAGTAGGCTGGACATGGACTTGTGAATAGGAGCAATGCATTACAGGTGCCGCTCAAACTAGGGTATGCATCCGTCTCTATAGGAAATTTAGCTGGGTGGAGAAGATCATCCGCGCAACGTTTGTTAGGTTCGTATCGAATCCCATTCGAATCACGGCAAGCGATAGCGGCATATGGCCTAGCAGTCTAGAGTAATCACGAGTTAAAGGCGCTCAAAGTCCGATGCAAAGTCCGTCCAAAGCCAGCTGAGATTGCTCTAGGCGAATCGTGACCCCATTGCTTCCTAGAAGATTATTCGCTATTGTAATCGATCCCTGTGTACCTCGCACAAGTCCCGCAACTCATAACATCAGATGATGTGGCTGTAAGAAGCCCTGTCCCAAAAGGCTTCTGGAGCTCTCAAGCTTCCCTGTCAGAGGCTTCTTCAGACATCCCACGTACGCTATCGGTAGGACTGCTCTAGTGCGACTGAGGCGCAGGATGCAAGTGGATCCACGTGCATGACACATAGAGAATGTGGATATATTTCCCAAAATGGTTTCCGGTGTGCCGCTCTACCGCTTGTAAGCTCCATGTTGCGGCCTACGGAGTAGTTTTAGAATGCACGGTACGATCAGGCCTAGGGTTCAGCGGAGCCGCGTACAAGCCCCCGCCAGACATGAGGCGTAAACGATGGTCAGTCCGCGGTATTGGTTGATGACGAGTCACGAAAGCGGGACCAATGAGATTCAATTCGTGTAGATGATGCCTAGGAGTATGCTGCGACCCTTTAGAGCTTAACATTCGGCATGATCTCCGAAAATATGAGGGAAAAGAAAATGAGTTTTGACAAATAACTTCAAGGAATTTTCAGTCCTTTCCGGTACTTGACGCGAGTAAAACAAGCAACACTCAAGATTGTCGGGCCCGTACCGCTCCCGTGCACTACGTTAGGGTATTCGGCTACGCGGCCGCTATACTAGTTGCAGTGTGGATTGCCAGAGGTGCTTAAAATAGATGAAAATCCGCGACCACTAAACGTCAAACTAACCAGTACTTGGTACCTAGTAGGCTAGCAAATACGGTGCGTTCAGATAGCTTGGTGGTAAATACGAGTGACACCTGTAACGAAGGCCTATTTGATCACGGCAAGTCTGTTCCTCGCAAATGCCGAAGCTACACCATGCATCAAATCATGGCTATATCCGTAAATAACTTCCGCTGTGTCGTGTTACACAGGGTAGTATATGGCATACAAACGGGCGTTTCGAACTGTTTCACGCCGAATAGATCTAGTCCCATCGACCGTTCGTGCCCAGCTACTTTTCACACGATTCTGGCCGCCTACGGAAGGGATAACGGAGTCGAAAATCTTGAGCCTCTTTCAATCTCCATAGTTTCTCTCTCCGATCCACTGACGCGTTCACCGCTTCACTGCGTCGCTTGCAGACTTCTACCGATGGCGGAGGTCTCGGTTTGCGGGCAGCAAAGCCGACTGAGTCAGCCTCTGCGTAAGCCCTCAACTGTAATGAGCGTTTACTGGCGCTGAAGTGCCCAGTGCAGCTTCCAGAAGTCACAGAAGGTTGGTTTGGCATGTAGTTGGTGACTTGTTCTGTTTAGTGGCGTCGTGCGAAGGTACAGAGGAAGCTAGGAGATAGCAAAGTACATACCCTTGGATAATGGGATGCAGGGATTGCACGACTGGAAGCATCGTGTGTCCCGAGGCGGGTCGACCCCTTGTCCCGTGGCGCAATAACCTGCAGGTAAGCACAGATGCATATGCGGCTGCGGAGGATGGGACAGGGCTTCCATGTGGATCGCGGATGGCTGGCTCCCTTATCAACTTCCCGCTGGCGCCTAGCAGGGTGGAGGATGACTGTGTGGCGTCAGTATTCTCTACGACACCGTCGTAACGATTTCCAGAACGCACTTAATGCATACTGCGGCTGCTTCACCTCATGGGAGGGTTCGACCAATAAGCCCTACATCACTGACGTTCGGCTCTGCCATTCTGCCATGGGTCTGTATGTGGGTCGGCCGAGGACATCTGTCTGTTGTTCAAGGGTCATTACACAGCTTGAGAATGCGGATTTGGCAATTAGGCAAAGAGATGCAGGTGGTGAGATCATAGATTGGGAGAACTACCCGAAAAGCACTCAAGCCAACGCTAAATTGAGGGAGGAGCACACAAGATTCATGACAGCCCAAAGATGTCACAAGACATTCCACGACAAAAGAGACAATATATCTAAATCCTTCCGAGACCAATGCGGCCACCAAGATTCCGACAAGCCGTGACAGATGGGGTTGGGGTAACTGTTATGGTCCTGGTCCACGTGGCGCGAATGGTGACTGTTGTTGTCGTTGCCGTGTAAGTGAAAGCGAGTTGGGTCCTTGTGGGCGTCGGCAGTGTCACAGTCGAGGTGAAGACGCCTGAATAGATGGTGGTCGGGGGAAGTGTCGATATCGAAGTAGTGGAGACGATGACGGACTCTGTGCTGGTCACTGGTGCAGCAGTCTGCGTGACGGTTGTATTGACAGGAGTGGATGCCGTGACTGTCAACGTGGGCGCATCAGGCGCACGCTCCTCAAGAGGTGCGGCCTTAGCTTTCAGATCACGCTTGAGCTTAGCAGCCTCAATGCGACTGCGTGCATACTCATAATCAATTGCTCTGTCGGTTCTGCGGACATAGCGATTGTACTTGCCGCGGCTGGGTACACCAGTAGGGGTTTCCAAAGCGACGGGATGAATCAATGTAGGTGAATAAGTGAGTGGCTTATCCTTTTTACCACGGCCGGGTATAGTGCACGTAGCGGTGACAGTCTTCGTGGTAATACGGAGATCATTCGTCCAGGTCAATTTGGTTTGAGTGAACGTCTTTGTTAACGTAGTGGTGACGGGCATGGGCGTAATCGTGCTGGTGCGCTGAGCGGTGGCAGAGGGAAGGGTGATGGTCGTAAAGGGCCCAGTCGTGGAAATGATAGTCTGGGTTGAAGTTGACGTAGTCACCACCGTCGGCGTTGTGGTTATACTGAAGGTCACAGTCGGCGTAACGGTGGTCGTGGCTTGCGGCCCGGCATCAATCGAGATATCTGCCGAAGGTTAGCAATGTATGGAAGATACGTGACGGTGTTAGAGTTACCTCTTTCCCACGCGAATGGAAAACCATCATCATTGTTACCAACAACAATGATGATCCACTCTCCCGATACCATTTGGTTTTTCAGGATGGGGCATGTAGACAACTTGGGAGTGTTGCCAGGAGTTGTTCCAACCTGGGAGCAAAGATACTCATCCCCGCTAGGGTCAACAAGAAGGATATCGGCAACATCGTCATTGCACCCTTCAAATGTGGAGACACAAGTGAAGCTCTCATTCGAGTTGGTATTAATGAAGTAGTGCCCTTCATCTACGAAATCCACTCCGTAGGAGAGACAGACCGAATTGGGATCAGTGACTGCCAATGTAAGCAGAGCAGCAAATGCTGAAAGAGAAGTCAAGCGAGGAGAGAACATGATGAAGAAAAAAATTAGACCTGAGGAGGATGGACAACACGGGAGTCGAGACGGGTGGGTGGTTGAGCTCAGTGAGGGACAGCGCAGCGGTCTTTTGTATGCTCCCACAATGGAGCTGAGAAATTCATAGTCATATCAAGGCGTTCCTGCCGCGCCCGTCCTCCGAGCTCTGGCAGCCAGCGCTCTCGTTTGATGGAGCCATCGAGCTGCCTAGAGGCACAACATGCACCTTTTGGTGCGGTCCAGGTCACCCCGAGCGGAGAGGCGGAAGGAATAGGCCGTGCTACTCGAGTACCTCCATGAGCGGTCCTCTGGTCCTGCTTGCGCCACCGCAGGAATGCTGGCTCGTGTGCCTCTGGTGCGCAAGAGAGACATTCACTGCACATGGCCATGGGTTCTCGAAGTCCAAAAGCGGTGACGTATTAGATAAGCAGCCTTGGCATGATCGGGAGCAGGGGTCAACTCGCCTCAGGTCCTTATGATCCCAATTATAGCCGCCGCAACCTCACCTCTTCCCCCGTTCGATCACAGAATGGATCACAGAATGCCAACGACAGCTCACCTGCAGCCCGCAGACGCAACCCACCCTACCCGACGACTGATCGTTCCTCGCAGGTGCCTGGCCTCGTACGCCCTGCCCTGCGCTTGGTAGTAACAGCTGCATTGCACACTCGGATCAGCCCCATGACGCGGACCCGACAGCCCTCCGAAGCCTCAGGGAGGCCCATGTAGCTGTGTTGAGCTGCACGACGACTGCTGATCTCCGCTGTCATCCCGGCGACCCGTCTTCCACGCTCGTGTTCCCGACCGGCCGGGAGATGGTTACCACGGGCACGCCCCAAGCATGCGCTTCATGCCTACTCTGAGGACCATGTATCACTCGACCGCCTGTCTCTGAGGCCACTCAATGGTCCAGCTCGAACAAGTGGGGCTCTGCCACGTTCTGTCCCGCATGGTGCTGCTGGACCTGACTTGAAAACACGAGGTTTACAAGTCCTAGCTGCTGACAATGACTTGTTCATGCAAGCTCAAAGTAAGACATTCACTGGAAAACCTGGGAGAACATACCAGGAGCCCCGCCGCCTTCCCTGGGCCCCCAACACTGGCTTCCTACTTGGTTCAATGTTGTATTGAAATGCCGCAGCTACGTTTCCGTGCGTACGTGTACGCAAAGCCCGGGACTTTGCAATAGGCCTCTGACTCCGGCGGTGCATTCGCAGTCGTTATCATCACGTTCGGGTCCCTTTGCCCCACACTTGTGGCTTCTTCTGCAGGATGCATCTCGTCTCTTTTTTCCCAGTTGGGCGTTCTGCAGGAAGTACCGTTCTGATGTTGCCGACTTCGTCTGGTGATTGTGCGGCGCAAGTTTGATGCTCTCGGCACTTGGTCGGCTTCTCATTGCCTACGGAACACTACATGCCAATGCACCATGGACACCTCTCAATAGGAATTTACCTTGCCTTTGGGTCCCAGGGTCGCACATTGACCGGGCGGTGCGTTTTACAGGTCTAAGTCCCTAGAACCGGTTTACGAGGATCCCGTCTGGAGCAGGGTTGAATGATTCTAACGTTACAGGAGTCAGGGCCGGAAGCATGACCATGGTCGCCACTTTTACCGTGATGGTCAGCCTTCCTTCGGACTTGAGAACATCATCGCCCAGTGCAGGGTGCAGCTATCGAATTTTGAAGACCAATACCAATTCCTCAAACGGCCTCAGCTCCGGGTATCAGCGCCACGCACTGAAGCGTGGTCCTGAAAATAGACTTCTTTTTGCGATGACAGCGGATTCAGGACTGACATGACGAATATGCCGTGCCTCCGTCGTGACCGGAACTTTTCCCACTGCATCGACCAAGGGTGTAAAAGACAAAATATTGGCTACGCGGCACGAGCCACGTGCTCTGACCCTCGCCGACTAGGACGACAAGCCACCAGCAGCCATTAGCACAGGCACTCAGCTTGTAGGATGTCTATATCCTTAGTCGGTACCTGAGTAGCGCCACCGCTCCTTGGACCCGTCCAGTCCAATACGTAATCCCAGTCGTTTTCTCATTTCCTATTGCAAAAGTATCTTATATATCTGTCACCCCAAGCTATTTCCCACCGCATTCTTCAGTGTTTCCTCTGATAAGCTTGTCATCTCTAGGCTTTGTGAGGTCCCATCCATTTTTGATATCTTTATTGTCTTGTCTCGTTGGCCCACTGGGCTCCCTCGAAAATGTTGCTTCACCAGATAGCATGCTGGCTGTCTTTTGGTACAGCTGCCTTAGCAGCAACCATTCCTCGTGATCCCTCTGTCCAGCAGGGTTCACCTGTCATCGTCGAGAGACAGGCAACTACAACTACTCCAGTTCCCGACGGAGAGTGCACCAACGGTCCTCGAACGAGGAATTGTTGGTCTAAAGGTTTCAGCATTGCGACCGACTTCGACGCGAAATCTCCACCGGCCGGCAAAACTGTTACTGTACGAAGAGCCTGAGATTTCATCCCATATCCGCTGACTTTGCCAGTACAACCTTGTTATTACAAACACGACTTTGGATCCCGACGGATCCGGGCCAAGACTTGCCATGGTGGGTTTTCCATTTTCCATGACGGAGCTTCTACTCACGGTCTTTAGCTCATTAACGGCACATATCCCGGTCCGACTCTCAGAGGTAGGTTTTGCGAGGCGACCACATGCCTGATGTATACTTACATGCGCAGCGTCTTGGGGAGATACTCTCGTAATCAATGGTAAGTTCCTGTTGAGTTGTGATTTAGTCCCGCTAATCCTTCTCAGTGAAGAGCGAACTGCAACATAATGGGACGGGCATTCATTGGCATGGTGTGAGGTGCGGCTTCCCCCACTGGTTCGACCAGACCCATAGCACCCAAGCATGGCAGTTGGCTATGCTGTTGTGTCACATTCCGTTTCTATTCTCAAGATCGGCACTGACCTAGTTTCATACAGACAGTTGAACTCGTGTCAGCACGACGGAGTTGGAGGAGTGACGGGTACGATTCCCCCATAGGCAATGAATCCTTTGCTAACACTGACTCAGAATGCCCCATTGCACCGGGCCACACGCGGCAATATGTCTTCAAGTGCACTCAGTTCGGTACCACCTGGTATCACTCGCATTGGAGCGCGCAGTATGGCGACGGAGTCGTTGGTACTCTCATCATTGTAAGTGGTGTAATGATCAATTGTTGATGCAATCATTGACAAGTGAAGGATGGCCCGGCCACTGCCAACTACGATGAGGACCTTGGTGTGATGCCTATCACAGACTGGTACAACAAGCCTGCGTTTGAGTTGAATGAGCAGGCGCAGCTGTCGCGGACCGGGCCTCCTGTTCCGAACAATATCCTGGTGAATGGCATGCACAAGAGTAAAGGTGGTAAGGGTGAATACTACAAGTTGAAGGTTCAAAAGGTAAAGAAGTGAAGGCGGCAACCCATGTTCCGAACCAGGCTGACGCTTAGTGTAGGGCAAGAAATATCGCGTCAGATTGATTAACACGGCGGTCGACAGTGTATTCCATGTCTCTTTTGACGGGCATCCATTCACAGTCATCACTTCGGATTTCGTGAGTAGCCTCCCTCCGCGTCTGATTGGGGCTAGTGCTGATCCTGCAAGGTTCCCATCAAACCATTCGTGGCGACGCAGTTGACTCTCAACATTGGTATGGCCCTCTGCGTGTTCTAGCTGCTCACCAACTTTGCGTTGTAAGAAAGCGGGTCTGACTTTCTCTAGGCCAACGTTACGACGTCGTCATCAATGCCAATCAGACAGTGGGGAACTACTGGGCTCGAGTGGCCGTTGGCACTGATTGTGGAGACAACGAAATCATTGACGCGGGCATTCCGATGGGAGCGATCTTGCAGTATGAAGGAGCGCCCGACGCTGAGCCTACCTCGACCGGTGTTGAGATGAGAACCAGCTGCGTGGACGAGACCAACCTTGTCCCCTTCGTGCCGAACACGGTTCCTTCTAGCATTGTTCCGCAGAATGAACTCGCTCTCAACCACGTCCAAGACGCCACGACGAACAACCTGTTCAGATGGACAATCGATGGTTCTCCCCAAGTGGTCAATTGGACGCAGCCCAGTCTGAAGACGACATTGGAGCAGGGGCCCGATTACGGCAACCACAGCAACGTCTACGAGATTGCAACCAAAGATAACGTAAGCCTTATGCAAGATTCTACACATGAAAATGTGTTAATGAATAATAACAACAAGCTGACGCTTTCTTCTAGTGGTATCTGTGGTGGATCCAGACGCGCACCTTCATCCCGCTCCCCCACCCCATCCACCTCCACGGCCACGATTTCTACATTGTCGGAAAGGGCTCCGGCGTCTGGGACGGCAACACGGCGGGACTGACCTTCAACAACCCCACGCGTCGCGACACGGCGACGCTCCCGGCGGGCGGATATCTCCTCCTCGCCTTCCCCGCCGACAACCCGGGTGTCTGGGTGATGCACTGCCACATTGCGTGGCACGCCGCCCAGGGCCTCAGCGTGCAGTTTTTGGAGAGGAAGAACGAGATCTCGCAGGCCATTGGCAATCGGGATGAGTTCAACAGGGGGTGCCAGGAGTGGGCCGAGTACTGGCGGCCGGGCAATCATCCGTATGAACAGACCGACTCGGGGCTTTGAGAGGAGAGGAGAGGATATACCGAGTGGGTTGTTTGACGTCCGTTTTTGTTGTTGCATTGGGAGTACGTATAAGGGGAACAAAGTCAATTTTTTTGGTCTTCTTTTATTTTTATTTTTTTCCTTCGTCTGTTGATCTTTCTTCCTTGCGCTCTTTCGTCATAGAGATCAATTGGAGCGAGAATCTCCTCTCCAAGAACCGTACATACATACAAGGGAATCCACAACATGGTACCATATGTACTCCGTACAACCGTGATGATTGATGAGAAGCTCCTGCTTGCTTGCTGTCTGATTCTTGATTCGTCTAAGCTTTCCTCCCAGTCTTGGCGAGAGAAGGAAACTGCACTGCCACAAACATCTACTACCAGTAGTATCATGCATGTGTGGGTCCCGTCGTCCCTGCGGTGGGTCGATCAGATGCAACAACTCTGCATGGAGCGGCAACGTCGATCATGATCGACGATTGATACACAGTTGATGGATTGAATCTGGGCGTGTGTATGGGGTGGAACATGTTAGCGTTGAGGTTCCCTCATTATTGGGAAAAAGATCAATCCCTATCTTCACAACCCCGATCCAATTCGGAGACATGGCACCCGAAATTCGCGGCGTGTATAGGTATGGGATATTGTGATTAGGATTATCTACTTCCAAGGCGCAAGATGGAACCAAAGAAAAAGCCACCCTCTCCCTGCCCTCCGTCCCACCCATCCTCATTACCTGCATCCATCCATCCTTGTCTTCAGAGAGAACAATGAGTATCACGACATCACTTCATCATAGCGAGCGTCTCCTCATATAGGGAAAAGTTAAGGAAAAAAAGGGATTCGAAGAAGCGCCGACGCTGAACCCGTCACACCGAAGAAGAAAAACAAAGCCGCCAACATTCGGTTCCCTCCGCCACGTATGCTGTGTAGCTGCCACGCCTTGCTTTTGTCTATGCCTTGACAAGGGTCAATGGTCGCTAATGAGAAGCGCAAGCCATTTACAAGGCGATCATGCCCAAGAGACCGAGGGCACCGACGACGCCGGCGTTGATCATGCCGGTCGGGAGAGCAGCAGCGCCGCCAGAGGACTGGGAGGACGCGGGCCCGGTCTTCGAGGCCGAGGGCGTAGGGGACAAGACGCTGGTGATGGAGGTCACGTTCTTGCCAGAGGGGCTGCCGCTGACGGTGGGAGCGGCACCGGAGGACGTCTCAGCACCGGTGGGCTCGGAGGAGGGGGGAGTGGTGGTCGCAGGGGCGACGGCCGGGTAGAGGAGAGGAAGGTAGCTCTTGACGTCGGCGGGGAGGGACTGGTACCAGCCTGGGGTGCTGCCGGCGGAGAGGGACGAGGCGAGCTCGGAGGAGAAGGCGGAGGGGTCGGCGAGGGCCGAGGAGACGGATTCGGCGGGGATGGCGGTCGCGAGGACGTTGAGCACAGAAGCGGCGACGCTGTGGGTGGGTTAGTCCTATGTAGGGAGATTTGAGTTGGGGGGTGACGAACGAGTCGGTGATTTGGAGGCCCTGGGCAAAGGCGCAAGAAGAGAGGGCCAGAAGGGCAAGGGATGCGGAGAGCTGCATGGTTGCTGCGAGGTGACGAAGTGCTTAGGAAACGAACGGTTTGATGTGAGAGTGTGGAGATGAAGGCGGGACAGCGAAGGTCGGTGGAGCAACAAGAGACGGGAAGTTGGACGAAGCACGAAGCACGAGCGTGGCAGAGTGAGCGAGGGAGATGGAAGGGCGGAGGGGGGAGAGGATCTGTCGGGGTATTTGAAACACGGGGGGTGCCTTTGTTTGCGCAACCCTAATCCAGAAACGGGTCCAGCTCACGATGGGAAGGCGCGCCTCTCGTTTAAATTGGCCTCTTACCTCAGGCAAGAGCGACCAATATTGGGCGATGACAAAGACATGTTACCCCAAGCGCCGGGCAACTGTTGGGTTGTCTCGCGGATCCACGTACGCAGTGGTGGCGATGCTGCATCCTCGTCGTCGCTGTGAGAGGTCCAACCTCAGCCCCAGCGAAGGCTTTGCCAGCGCAACACCTTTTCTCCTACATCTCTCAACTGCTATCGTGACATGGCAACACTGAAGGCCTTTGGTGTCATTAACCACTCCATCTCCGCAATTCGCGAATCAGACCAATCATGGCAGTCGTCACCTTCACTAGCCGACTGTTCATTTCCACCAGCCTCGACTCCTTCAAGGATCCGCCCCAGTAGTCGGTGTTTGGGCCATTGACCTGCAGCTTTTGGGAGAACAGCAAGTTGGAGAGAGAGAAAGGCTTGTGATGCACCAAAGACGTGCTCTGCAGCCTCAATTGCGAGTGCCGATTTGAACTGCAGCTTGTTTGGCCTTCCCCATAGCGAGAAGCTTCGAGCCTTGGTGAGGTTTAGGACCGCAATATCTCCCTGGTGATTTGACAGTGACCCGGGCCATTTTGGTCAATGTGCCCAATCAAGCCCGTCCTTGGTCATCGATTCATTGCCTGTTCGGGCCCAGATCTCCAGGGCTGGAGATCACGCTCACGTGCTGCGTCCCCTGACCTCGATCTTGGGCGGTCCCCACTCGTTCACCATCCTAACATTCAAAAAATGTCAAAGCACCGAAGTGCAGCAATCTCTCGCTACTCCGTATACAAGCAAGAAATGCAATAATACGATTGCCCAACGCCCCGAAGCGAATCCTACGACAGGTCGCTCGGTCCGCAGGTCTCACAAGGCAGAGTACGGAGTACCTCTATAGCTCTATTCTGATATAGCGTAGCTGGTTGGGGTCCAGAAAATCCCAGGCCAGATCCACCACCTCAAAAATGGCCTCGCGCCCCCGCCCGTTGCTCGAAGCCCAGCTCGGTGACTCCTCCATCCCTCTGAAATACACCTCTCCCCGGACATGGGAATCATCCGCAAAGACCCTCTTCATCTCCACGCCCTCTGCGCATAGCACCCCTCTCCAATAGCTACACTACTAGTACCCACACCCACCGACGCACACAATGACACACCCCTCGGACCCCTCGGAACCCCCCTTCTCCCTCTCCCTCAACCTCAAGAAGCACCCTGCAACACGCACCTTCGACCCCACCGTCCCCGCTTCCACGGCCGCAAAACCCCTTCTCGTGCCCCAGCCTGCGCCGAAACCGAAGCCGCCTCTCTATGCCATACCCATTGCCCTCGGTCTTGCCATCCTGCTGGCTCTGGTGGTCCTGCTCATTGTCTTGGCGAGGAGGGGGAAATTGAACAAGTTCGGTTCGAGGCTGAACCCTTACACGCGGCGGGCGAAGCGGCAGGCGCAGATTGAGCGGGTGGCTAAGGTGGAGGCGGAGAGGGCGAGGGGGTTGGAGGAGATGGGTCACCCGGTAGAGAACAAGAGGGAGAAGAGGGGAGGGAGTTGACAGCAAGACTGTTGTGAGACTTGTGCGTTCGTTGAGCGTAGGATTGCCTATGTGATTCGGGAATTCTTGAATGTATTCCAGATAAGGATGCAAAAGAGAGGTGCCAATAAGACGAAGGCGCACGACAGGCATAGTGAAGGGGACACGATGTGCGCAGCCCTAAAAAGATATCGCATGCGTCACGCCGGTGTTATATCAAGGCACACCAACAATTACAGCCTGGTATCCTGGAGTTCTACTCTCAAAGTCATTCGATACCAGAAGAGCATGCGTCTCAAAATGAAAGAAGAAGACCACAGAACGATTACTCCAACTTTCCCCTTCCAAGTCTTGAGACAACAATATCATCTCTATTCCTCCTCTGATCATAAACATCGGTCTGACGTACACACGCAAGCGCATGTCTATGAAAAGAGCACAGAACAAGAATGAAGATGGGAAGGAAACGCAGAGTCAACCCTGGCGAAAAGGTAAATGCGACTGAGCTGGTTCCTCCCCTATCGAGCGTAAACGCAGGTAATAGTAATTCCCCTCCACGTCTTCTTCCTTGTACAAATACGGGTCTCTCCGGTACTCGAGGTAGTCAAACCAGTTGTAATCCCGCCGTGAATTCTGAGTCCGTGGTATCTTCTCTCTTGCGAGCCACCCTTCCGAGGGCTCGATATCCCAGACTCTGGATTGTCTTGCTGCCCGCAGCGCAACAGTCCTCGCTATGGTCCCAGCTCTGACGCAGATGTTGCAAAGCCGTCTCTGCCCCTGGATGTCATGATATTGCTTCGTCCCATAGAGTCTCAAAACCAGAGCTTCAACGTCCACACGCAGGACGAAAGGAGGGAAGCCGCGGACTCCGTTGGCGCTCAGGTCGGTGCCGGAAAGATGGAACTGTTCCGCAACTTCGTTGATCGACTTTGTACACATGCACATCAGCCTACACTGACCTCGTATGGCGCAATGGGCTTGACTCACATAGACCTGAGCATAGAAACAGTCTCGACAAGCAGAGATTGGTCTCATCACACTGCGGTGAGGGTACTCGCTAAGTAACACATTGCAATAGACACACAATCTTGGCGCATACTGCAGCCACAGCTTGCGGTAGACGATGCCACTCGGATCCGGACTTTCTGTCGCTGGCTTGCAGTGCTCGGCATGCGTTACCGGTGAGTTGGCCTTGCCGTGAATCTTCACCAGGTGTGCGCAGAAACGCTCAACATGCTCTCTCATACGTCGTGAGGTCATCGCCAGTACATTGAAGGGATGCTGGTGATCCCTCCATTGAAACAGATTCACTGCGAACCGATCAGTGTCCGGCGGCGCCAGGCGGCTCATGTAATAGGCTTTTCTAGCCTCTGTTTTCTTTTCCATCGGATAGTCATGGTCGCTTTGCCGTTCGCTAAGTCCAGGTAGTCTCGAGCGGGGATGTGTCAAGAAGGATAGAATGATAAACGCGATTTCAGTTGGTAGTTGTTCGATGCTGCTCAAACCCGCCATGGACCATCCAGTCCTCGAGTGTTCTGATGACCAGGTGGGGAGCAAGGAAATAGAGCGGAGCGGATATCAGTAGAAACGTAAGAATCCACACTTATGATAAAATCATTATACCTCAGGGTAGACACGGGAACGGCAAAGGAAAAGGAAGTGACAGGAAAGGCTGAAATCAGGCCGCAAGGCGGGGTCAATTTGGGATTGGCATTGCCCAATAATGGTAACACCAGGTACCTCACCTGAGCAGGTTCACATCTGGCGGACCCGATGAAGAGGTACTCCCACCGTATATACCACGAATGTGGCATTACCTTTTCCTGTTGCGTTGGCATGCATGGAGTTTGCTGTCCCTCGACCAAGATCTGACAGGGTCGACGTATCGTGGCGCCCGATCACTCCAGTGGTTATCCGCTTCGGCTACATGGAGTGGACAGGTTGGTGCTTTGCAGCTGCGAGGACGGCGAGGTGAGAGCTAATCAGGCCCTGGGAAGAAGACGAGACAGCAGATATGCCCGTTTTACATAAGCCTCATAGCGTCTTTTTTTGAGAACGTGCTCCCGAGGTCGCCCAATGATCATAATTATTTGACGACGCCAAGGTTGATTTAGCGGATATACCCGCCTCCGCTAGTACGAAAGTAGTCAAGATTAATTAGAACCCCTGTCCCACAGCCGAGCCTACCCTTCTCCCGTACTGACATTCATCGTTCTCTCAACTTGACACACTACAAGTACTTTCTCCCTACCACCACCGCACGCCGCTGTGCGCGCCACGACACCATGTCTGCCGCCGTCAAGGCCACCGCATCCGACGTGGAGAAGGCCGAGACGCATATTGTGGCGCGCGAGCGCGCCGCTTCCAATGCTGTCGAAGTCCGGCCACCCGTTGCCGCCGGTGAAGCCGTGTCTAATGGTGTCGTGCCGACGGCAGGCGGATCAGTGTCTCCAGCACAATCGGAAGACGATGATGACATCCACAGTATTAGCACTGAATTGTATGAGATCATTTTGGAGTCGGAGGGATATGCACACATTCAGGATGATAATACAGTCTGCACTCCGGAGGAAAGGCGAGCATATCAGAAACGCCTCCACGAGGTGGGTGTCGATCAATTTATCAGGGAGACCATAAGTGCGGAAACGATCACGGCACGGAAGCTCTGTACTGCGTTCGGGGTATCAATTCCCGTCTTCATGGAAGGGTACCCGGACCACGCCTTCTATCGCTTGCTAGGACTAGCGATCAACCGGGAGATAAACAAGCGTCGTACATTGGAACAGTACAAGACTATCGATGATGCGGCTATGCTTCTGAAGAAATCGCAGAATATCATCGTCATCACTGGGGCGGGTATATCGACAAGCCTAGGCATTCCCGACTTCAGGTCCAAGAACACTGGATTCTACTCGAGGTTGCGAGAGCTAGGCTATCAAGAACCAGAGGAAGTCTTTGACATACACCTCTTCGACCAGGATCCTACCATCTTCTACAGGCTGGCGGGCAACATCCTCCCTGACTTGGAAAAATGGTCGCCTACACATGAGTTCATCCGGCTTCTCCAGGACAAGGGGAAGCTGCTGACCAACTACACTCAAAACATCGACAACGTAGAAGCGCATGCTGGCATCCGCAAGGAAAAGCTGATCCAGTGCCATGGCTCCTGGGCGACCGCGACATGCCGGAAATGCAAGTACAAGATCCCCGGTGAAGAGCTTTTCCCGGCCATCAAGGCTCAAACGCCCGCGGAATGCGAGAAGTGCATCATAGCTCTTGCTGAGCAGAACCCCGGTTTGAAGCGGAAGCGGGTTTCCAACGGGAAGAAGAAGCGACGCAACGCTGGTGAATTCGACTCGGATTCCGATGAGGCGTACGATATTCCGCAGCCGGGCATCATGAAACCGGACATCACCTTCTTCGGCGAGGCGCTTCCCAAGGAATTCTTCCACCGGTTAGAGAACGAGGATAGGAAGAAGGTGGATCTCGTGATCGTGATGGGTACCAGTATGAAAGTTGCACCGGTATCGGAGATTCCCAACTTCTTCCCCAAAGATGTCCCTCACATCTATATCAACCGAGATGTAAGCGAACTTGTCTATGTCATGGAGAGCTCGAACTGACTGTGTCACCAGCCTGTCAATCACATCAACTTCGACATCACTCTCCTCGGCGACTGCGACACCATTGTCGCCGAACTTGCTCGACGAGCCGGCTGGGAACTGAAGCACAGGATGCTTCCTGAAGAGCAAAAAGTCGACATTGTTCCCGTTGGCGAAGACGGCCACGTGCATAGTGTTAAGGTTCGACAGCCGGAGTCCAACGCCACATAAGTCTCTATGAATTTTTCCTTGCAGCATATATATATCCAGGCGTTGAGGCGGCATTCGTGGGTTCAGTGTATTCATGCATGGGTTGCCAGTCATGAGAAGGGGGATACCTGGGTGTATGAGTTTCATGCGATACCCGAGTGTTTAAGTGGGTTTTGGATGTTGTGTTGGTTCATGGCGTCTTGAGGGCATATGGTAATGGCATGTCGATGAGTATGATATAGGGTACTCCTTTAGAGTAGTACATATGGCGGTATAACAATCTTTGTGATATGATGGCTCAACACCGAAACAAGGACACTTCGATGACCATCCAATTATCCCAACCACTTCCTGTGAGTACCTACACTGTGTACGCACGTGAGACCGTGTCTGCCAAGGACCAACTAACGGAAACCTTGGCGACAAAGGCCGCGTCGGTCCATTCGCAATATCTTGGATAGCTAGATTTCGCAACAGCCCCCGCCTCCCCCTTCCCCAGCCCGATATTGATAACCGTCAGAAATGCTCGAAATCTACAAAGAAGCCGACGGCGTCTCGCCCAAGATCCACTTCACGCATTCCCTCCTCCCAAGCTACATCGATCCGCAAAATGTCTCGACGAAGAAAAGGCCCTTCTCTGCCTTCAACGCACAGCACTTCTCACATACGGTATGCCCCCACCTAGACCACATTCCTCGATAACCAAAACCACGAGAATGACGAGGTCCTAACGGGGCGCAAAACAAAAGCTCGATCTCGTCCTCCCCGAAGAACTCTACGCTCTCGTCCGCGCACGCCTCGAATCCGACGATTTCGGCGCCGCGCAGTATGCGCGCGTCTACATGAAGCTGGCGGATTTGCTGGAACGGGATTTTCTCGATACGTATGTCAAGAGGGGAAATGTGATGATGCGGTCCGAGGGGCGGGCGCACGTCGATAACATTTTCAGTTTGTATGATGGGGTGTTGAGGTTGGAGTTGGATAGGCCGACGTACGAGAGGTGTGGGTTAGAGGGACGGGCGGTGGAGGATGGGGGCAGGAAGCATCAGCAGGGACGGTGGGGTAGGTGATTTCAGGATTTTCAATGCTACGCTCTCGGCATCGAGTAGCACTGTTGAGCCCACGAGGCCATATGAGATGACAGGAAAGCTGACGAGCAACTGCTAGTTGTGGAATTCGACCTCCGCGCCCCGCACATGCACCACGGCAAAAAGCTCTTCGGGCGTCTCGAATGGGCGGCCAAGAACGTGCTCAATACCAACCTGACCTGGCTCTTCTACAACTTCAACCCGGGGTCGAGGGAAGCGCTACGACAAGGCAAAGAACCGCTTTGTATCCACCAACCGTCCATCATGAACATGCGTCCCTCGGCCGTCCGGATCAAAGGCGTGTCCACGCCTATCCTTCGAGCGGGGAGGTTGGATAGTGTCTACGAGGAGGAAGAATCGCTAGCCCTGCTCGAATGGCTCCATCTCATCTTCCTCGAATCACCCCGCGTGCGCGCAGAGGACCACATTGATCCTTTCCTCTCGCGGTACGAGGTCCCGGATCTGGGCTTCGGCGTGGAGACGAGGAAGATGGTGCGGGTGCGGTGGAGGGGGTTCATTGCGCCGCAGTTCGTCAGGGAGGTGTTTCTGGCGGTGAGGAAGGAGGCGCTGAAGATTGAGAAGGAGGACCATGATGGGGAGGGGGGAACCAGGAATGAGGAGGAAGGGAGGTGGATTGCGGTGACGGGGGAGGGGTTTGGGGGGGATTGGTATACGATGGTGCAGGTGGCGGGGAGGGAGACGTTGGGGTGGGAGAGCGTGGGCGGGCTTGGGGGTTGAAGCGGAGATGATGCATTTCCAGACGCCGACATTCTACATTCCCCTTGAATGAACAAGTTCGGAGTATCTACCAAAGTTGTGTTCCCAATTGTGAGCCAACCACTCCAGACTCGGTACCTGTTGCTCTTATCGATAGCATCGCGCTACCAAGCATACGCCACAATTCCCCGCCGCGCCACCCGCTCGCTCCCGGCAAAATCCTCCCTCACCGCCTTGCCTCACAGTACAACTCCATACTCTCCTCCAAAAGTTATCCCTCACTCTCAACCCCTCGACCATCTACCCACCACCACCGTTTCCAACCCGCCGTACCACCCACCCACAAAACCCTCCCTCAACCAACCAACCGACCAGAAAAATGTCCTACACCAACCCCACCGGCACCGCCATCAACACCACCACCACCACAGGAGGAACCACGGGAGGCGCAGGCGCAGGCGCAGTAGGAAGCACTGCGGAGGACCGGGCGCGCTTCGTCGAGTACACGTGCGGCGACTGCGACGCGTCCGTCAGCCTGAAGCGGGGGGAGCCGATCCGGTGCCGGCAGTGCGGGCATCGCGTGTTGTACAAGCAGCGGACGAGCCGGTGAGTTGTGACTTTTCCCTTCTTTTTATTATATTAGGGAGAGGGAGGAGTTAGGTTCGCCGGGTGAGGAGGGATGAGGAGGGATGAGGAGAGGGGAAGAAGAGGGGAAGAACAGAGAGAGGAGGGGAGGAGAGTAGAGGCAAGAAGATGGAGGAGCGATATCATCTTCTTCGAGACATGAAGGACACGTGCTCTTTCTCAACTGAAGAACCAATCCGACTGACTATTCATTCCCCAGGATGGTGCAGTTCGAAGCGCGATAGACTCCGGGTGCGCACGCCCATATCTCCAGCAGAATACGAACACCCACCCACCCACGCACGAAGCGAAGCCGGACAACGGAGAAGAAGAATCAGGGTGAGGAGGCCAGAAGCATCATCGACGGGAAGTCCCTCCTACCTGTAATTCACCATGGAGAAGAAAGAAAAGGAGTAAAGCGTCATGAGGCATTTGTCTTTTTTCAAAGCATGGCGCATACGGATCACTACAAATAATAAAGCTTTGCATGCTTCAGTCCTACGTAATCAACTGAGCACAATCAATCACAGGAAAACATGAGCATCAATCAGAACCACGCATATCCAGATATAGAGCTCAAAACCATCCGCATTTCGTGCGGCCATGCATCAATTCACTCTTGCTCTGCCAAGTGCCCTATTTTGCTCCCTTCGCGGCCTTTCCCTTCTCAACCAGAACCATGGTCAGAGAAGCACAAACTCGAACCATGCACCTCTAATGTGTGTAAATATCCCATGCGATCCACTCATTCCCCAATGACGCTTTCCTATATGGAAACCATGAACGGCAAGAGAACTAGATATGGCTACACTTGCATAAGACTCCGAAGAGAATCAAACGGAAGAATGCCTCGCGCGCTGCTAACATGTAGGCAATCAGGTATGCTGACGGGAGCACCAAGCTGAAGAATGGACAAGGGCGTGAACATAATATTTTTTTATGCAACTGCGTCTTCCTGCGCCTGTGTAGGACGTCCTAAGCCATGAGGAATCGAGGGGCTAAGCTTCGAAGAGAAGTCTTGATGCGTTCTAGTTCGCCTCAGAAGTCCCACATCCAGATCCCACGAGCTGCAGAAGACCGCATTATGATCCTCTAAAAGCGTCGAAGCGCTTGTACGTGTACCCAATGAACGGCAAGCTCATTTCTGCCGCCAACTCGTCGCCCGCTTGCGCCGTCTGTGCGCGTAGCGCTGCACTATTGTCGTTCTGGTCGATCTCGTCGACTGGGAAATGCTGCGTGTCAATGTTGGAGGATAGCTTGGGCTCGAAGGGAGCGCGGATGCGGCGGAGACCATCCCACTGGACTCCGCGGAAGAAGGGGTGCTGTTTGATTTCATGGGCGCCGTGGGCACCTCCATGGCGGCCGAGACGATGTTCCGCATCGCAGATCAATCTGTCCTGTCAGTGTCTTTTCCTCTTTCTCAATGCATCCCGAAGGTCTTACCGTCTGATGAAGTCCTCCGCCTCAACTCCGAGCTTCTGGTCAGGAGGGAAGTGTAGATGCCTTGGCCAGTCCACAATCTTGCGGTATGTGTCATGGGGTTCCTCAGCGCAGAACGGCGGCCAGCCAATCAAGCACTCAAACATGATGGTCCCAACGGACCACCAATCGCATCCGAAGTCATAACCCTGTCCACTGAAGATCTCAGGAGCAATGTAATCCGGAGTACCCACAGTGGAATAAGCCAGCTGGCGACGAGACTTCCGCCAGGTATTGATTTGGGCGCGGTTGCTGACAGTTAATTGGATCTGATCAAGGTTCATCGAGTTGCGGTTATCTCGAGCTGACCGGTGTGCACCTCCTGCAAGAAGCTTCTTGTAGTAAGACGCTTCGTGCTCTTTGTGGAATCCGGTTGAGAGACCGAAATCGGTCAACTTGATATGCCCACCACGATCCAAAAGGATGTTGTCAGGCTTGATGTCACTGATTGTTGTTAGTTCCTCGTAGGGACGGAGAAGACAGAGGGGACTCATACCGATGGATGAAGCCGAGTTTGTGCACAGCTTCAATTGCGAGGGTAATTTCGGCCATGTAGAAGCGCGTGATGTCCTCGGAGAAGACTTCGTACTTGATCAGCATTGTCATCAGGTCGCCGCCTGGTAAGAACTCCATGAGCATGTACAGGAACGTGCTGTCCTGGAAGGTAGTGTGCAGCTTGACGACCCAGGGGCTGTCTGACTCGGCAAGGATATCGCGTTCTGCACGAACATGTGCAAGCTGATCTTTCTTGAACTGTTTATCAGTCAGCTTCGGGTAGCTCAGCAACCCTTGCGCAGTGGCTCACCATTTCATGCTTGACGAGAGACTTGAGAGCATAGATCTTGCCATCAGTCTTCCGCTGAACGAGCTTCACCTCACCGAACGCGCCCTTGCCAATAATCTTAACGGTTGTGAAGTTCTCAGGACGCTCTTTGGTGCGGAGGAAGCGCAGGTACTCGGCCTCAGCACGGCGCATCTGATTTTCCTTTTGGGCTTTGCGGGCATCGGAATAAGACGGCTCCTTCATGATCGCTTCCAGTTCCAGCGCTCTGTGATGTTGTTAGTGTCTGCCCGACACAAATATGGGGTTCGGCTGTACCTCTGGTTCCGGTCTCGTGCCCGCTGGACACTGTCCTTGAAGAAAGTGCTGACAAGATTTATGGAAACCTGCGCCTGCTTGAATACATTCTCGGAGTATTTGCCGGGGTTCTTCGGCGGGGGCTCCTCATCGTTGAGAGAGGGTTGCCGGGGTGCTGGTTGGCCAAGGTAGTTCCCATATTGCTGGTGTCCGCGGGTCTCAGCGGTGCGCGGTCGCTGCTGGTTCGGAGACGGTTGCCGACCATAAGGGCTACTGGAGCGACCTCCTCCTAGATGCTGATGGGAGAGTTGGTGGACCAAGCCATTGGCAGCCTCATTGAACCGTTGTTGACTTTGCGCCTGTAGGTTACCCTGCTGCCCCTGATACTGAGCCTGCTGATATGGATGGCCCATGAAGTAGCCATTGCCGCCGCCATAGCCCTGGGGCTGGGTGCCCCATACCTCTTGTTGACCCGCCTGATTGGGATAAACGGGTTGAGGGAAGGTGGAAGGGGTTGTGGGGAAAGCTCTATTGTTTGGGTCCTGGTTGTATTGGTTTCGGTCTCCTCCGCTGAAGAAGTTGAGCTGCAGGCGGTTCCCCTGCTGCTGCTGATTGTTCATCGTGGACGAAGAAGAATGCTGAGGGACCCGTCGGCGGGGTTCTCGGAGGGGGTGTGGCGGAGGTGGGTGACAGCTGAGTGTTGTCGAAAAGGGGAAGTCGGCGGTGCGATTGAAGGGGGTGGGGGAACCTCGTGAAGCGCCGGAGCTGAATCAAGTCGCGAATTCGAGCTCAGAGGGTTGCACGACGCCAGGGAAGCAGTGGAAGAGGAGGGAGGACTGCTGGACACAGGTGTGGCAGGAGAGAGAGAGGAGGGGAGGAGTAGTGGTAATGCGGCGTTGTTGGTCAGGGATGTAAGGGTTGAAACAGCGAGCGAAGTGGGTGAGGGTTGCGGTTGGGCAAAGGCCAGGCTCGTGCCAGGCGGCTGGCTGGACTCTGATTCGCTGGTGGAGCGCGGGCCGACCGAACGGTAGGCAGATTGGCGGGGGACCTGACTCAGCGAAGTCTGTCCCATCTGGAGTTGCAAATAATAAATAATGAAGACAGTTGAACTCTGTGTAGAAGAGTCTATCAAGTATGAGAGCAGAGCCGCTCACAAACAGGTCAGGCCATGCGGGGTGGGGATAATAAGATCGGACGGGACCATCTGCGGAGTCCGTAGGATATAGACTACCACCGTCCTACCGGACTAGTACCACAGCTCCCACTATCAATACTGTGTAATAATAAGTCCCATGCCAACAGATATTGCGCCGTGGACAGCGACAATGAATCGTATTTGTGGTACTCTGTAGACGGTTGACAAGCTCAGCATAGTCATGTCGTCGCAGATAGCATTCTTCTGGCTGGGAGTCGTCCTGCTATCGTCCTGTCTTCCTCTAGCCGCGCGCCTTATCGAGTACCGGTACCCCCTCCCAGTACGGCAACTGACTGCACGACAGCTCATCTACAAGGTAGGTAGTGCATGTAATTGTACACCGGACTAATAAGATACCTCCTATTCGCTAACCTCTACTCCGTATCCGCCTGCATGGTCGTCGGGCATCACTGCGCCGTTGCCATTCCACTCACGGTTGCATGCATACCCAAATAGTGTCATGACCGACTGATAAGCCGCTCTCATAGTATGACAGAGGACAGAAAGGGCATAAGTGTTCTCTTCGAAGCCTCTATGAAGCTACCAGCTAGTCTCGCAAGCCGATTCCCAGCCATGATATCATTACAAATACACGGGACAAAGGCCCAACGCTGCTAATCCCTCCTCCGCATTTCCAATAAGAAAAAAAAAAGCAAGAACTAGCAAGTCGCGTGGACATGCAAAACCTAGAAAGTAAAATGCCGATTGCTTCCATGGCAATGGCATCTGCGTTGGTGAAAGGGTATCAAAGTTCTGGGACCAACCCTCACCTGGGCAATCCCTGAATGGTACAGCAAGCCGCATCTGAAAGCGAGAAACCGTCAATGACGGGACGAAGGAAAGGACCGAAATGGCGCTGTAAATGCATGTGATTAACGCCGGAGCCCCGCTCGTGTCGACCGTATTCGTCTACCCCGACATTCGGTATTAGGAGTTAGATGTTCCCCATAAATTCGGGATGTATCATGTCGCGTGTCGTCTAGTTTTGGGACATGAGAGCCTTGACTTTCTCGCGCTCGGCAAGAATATCCGCTTGGAGTCTTCTAGTCTGCCTCATTGCCTCGTCCCTGTCAAAGAAATTAGCCTCCGATCCCAAGAACATAAAAGTTGACTTGACTTACCTTTGGAACTGCAGATCAGCAACCTCAATCTGCGCCATGTTCATCCTGCCCACAACCTCTTCCATTTCGTGGTCAGCATCCCTCAGCGCCTTCTCAAGCTCCTCCACTCGCCTCTCGAGCAGCTCCGTCTTCGTGGCTTCAGCTATCGACATGGCTGGTCCACTGGTCGTCTGGTCCAGGCGCGGGAACTTCTGCGAGAAAGGCGACGTTGGCAGCTTTGGCGAGAAGGCGGCTGGGCTGAGCAGTCCAGACTTGGCCCTGCGCAGGTGATTGTTGTTGCTTTCTTTGAGAGCCTGCACCTCCTCTTCGTGTTTTGCAATGGCTTCCTCAGAGGACTGCTGGGCGACCATGACCCTATCCTCGGCAGCCTTCAGCCGGCGTTCCAGTTCAATGATCTTCTCAGCGGACTTGGATTGCTCCTTCTCTCCCCTCGAGATGGCCTCTGCCAGGCGAGCGCGGAGAGAGCGGTTCGACTCGAGTTGTACCTGAATCCTGCTGGAGAGGTTGTCCATACGAGTGGCGGCAGCATACAGTTCCTTGCTAAGCCTTTCCTGGTTCCCGAGGTGCTGGATCTCAGACGCTTGCAGAGCACGAGCTTGCTCGCGATACTCCTCGGCTTCCTTCTGCGCTGCATCCCTCTCAGCCTCCGCGTCCGATATGGAGCGCATCAAAAGATCAAGTGTCTTCTCAGCTTCTTCACCGGCAACGCCCAGTTCATCCTCGGACTCCATCTGCTTCAGACGAGCAAGCGATAGTGCGTGCGTGGTGCGTAACTCTCTGTAAGCCTTGTCGAGGGACACAGGCTGGTCGTCAACGCGAATCTCTGGAATGGCAATGTCATGCTCCTGCAAGAGTTCGCGCAGAGACGTGGTTTCCTGCTGAGCGCGGTCCAAGTCCATACGGAGACCGCTCAGACCCTTTTCGCACTGCCACTTCTGTTCCAGTGCATCGTCCGCCCGACGCCGGAGGGAGTTCACTTCCTCCCTAAGATGAGCCACCTCTTTGTGGAAGGTACTCCGACGTGGTGTCAGATTCAGAGCGCGATCCCGCTCGGCTTCAAGCTCCTTGATACGCTTCGCAAACTCCTTCTGCTGGAGCTCCTGGCGCTGCAGCAAGTGCTTCAGCGCTTTGTGCAGTGCATCTCGCTGCTCTTCCAACTCCTTGACAGGATTGCCGCTGAGCGGTCCCTCACGGGGTGACTCTGGAACAGATCGGTCCTTGACCGAATTCGACCGGGAGAGTGAACCTCTCTTGGGGTTGAAGGCTGAGCTTCGCGCAAGCGAGTTCGATCTCGACAAGCCAACGCGCTGGGTAGGAACCGGTGCAGGTGAGTCAGACTCCTCGGCAATTGATTGAAAGCGGGATTGCTGCTGGGCGAGGTCTTGTTGCATTCTACGCGCATTGATAAGGCTCTGGTTCTCGGACCGGAGCTGCTGTATCTCCTGCTGCATGCGCGTTGTTTCATAGATGAGATTCTGCGTCTCAGACACTTCGGACTCTAGACCCTCCAATCGAGCTCTGAGCTGCGGCACCACTTCGTCGCGGAGATTGTCCCGTTCGTTCCGATGCTGCTCGAGCTCCTCTCGCAAAGCTGCCAGCAGATCTTCGAAATTCTCCTTGACCTGCTTCTCTTCGGCAAGCCTTCTTTTAGCATCCTCCAAGGCGCTCTCCAGCTCTTTGACTCGCTCAGGACCAACGGCGGACGTGGTGCTGGGCTGGGTACTGACTTGTTCTTCAAGGTGTTGTACTTGCTCTTCCAAATCCCTTCGTCTGCGAAGCTCTTCCTGTAGGCGCTCTGCCATGTGGACCTTCAGCTGGGCACGCTCCTGCTCCGCCTTGCGCCGAAGCGCTTCCACCTCTTCCAACTTGCTCTCAGTGTCGCTTATGGGGTATCGGACGGAGCTTGCGCCAGAGTCGGAATAGTAGTCGCTTGTCCGACGATTGTCCGTCAAGGCCATGGAGCTTTCCTGCTTATATCTTTCAATCTCATCTTCCAGATCCAGTTCTCTCCGTATTGAAGCGGCAAGCTCGGAGCTCAATTCGCGAAGCTCGCGCTCCAGCTCTTCCACATGAGCGTTCATTTGTGGCGACGAAGACAGGAGAGGTGTTCCGGGAACATTGAAGTAGGAGGTTTGCGCATAGGAGTTCGCGGTGGGTATATCAAGACCGGCAGGCTTGCTCCGTGCAGGTGCCGACGGTTGTCTCGGGTAGCGTGGCGACGCTGCCGGCGACAATGACTTTTCGCTAAACGTGGTCGTAGGAGACTCCGTCTCGTGTTGTGCTTTTGAAGAGTTCCATCCGAAAAAGGATGTGAATTTTCCGGGCGCCGGTGACTTGGGCTTGCTTGCAGGTGGCTGTGGTGACTCGGGTGTCACCTCATACGGGTCCTCGTCAATATAGTCCTCCGTCACTCCATCTAGCCGTAGCTTAAGGCTGGGTTGGCGAGGATGTGGAGGGTATGAAGCCATGTTTGGCATTGTTGGCGACCGCACGTGGATTCCTTTGTTCGGGGCGACAGTCAAATCCTCAGTAGAACGGCGAGAGTGAAAGCTGCTGGCCGAACGATCATGCCGCGGCGCACCTGGGACAGAAGGGAATGAATATCCGAGAGAGCTCTTTCGAGGGGGCGCGAAGGCGTTGCTGGGGGCGTTCGCTGTCAATGGAGTAGCTCCATGTGGGTTCCTGCCACGAGGGTTAGCAAGGAGAAGTGGGTTGCAAGAACAGTTCATGTAGCTCACTCATCCAGATTCCGAGGGACAAAAAGCTCATAGTCATCCAGGGGGGTTGGCTGAACAGCGTTGGTACCGTGGGGGTCGCGGCCAGTTGTAGATGAACGGTGAGCGGTCTGTCTATGAGCACCAGCTCTGGCAGGGTCGGTAGATTCAGCCGAAGGAACTGCTCCAAACACTGGGGAATCCGTGGGCAAGGGCTTGCGTCGAATAGGTGAGGCGGTTGAGGAGGAGTCTGCGCGGGAGCGGGAGCTGACCAAGGTCTGGATCCCCTTGGTAGCAATGCTCGCCAGCGTCGAGGGTTTCTGGCGCGGTGGTGAGGGTGGTGAGGGTGGTGAGGGGGAGAAGGAGGGCAGGAGAGGAGGAACAGCCTCGCCTGGGCGCTTGGGCGGGACGGGGTTCATTGATATTGCAGGTACAGCTCCCTATCCGGCACCAGACTCATGGCCATGTGCACAAATCGAAAGCCGAGCAGCGAGCGGTGGGAGAGAGTTGCAGACCGCAAAAAGGGGATGCGTTCAACCGAGTTTGGCGACGCGATTTGCTGGGCCAGGATCTCGGCGGACTTGTTTGCTTGGGAGCACCTTTCAGAGGATCGCCGACGTGGAGTTGTTATTGGCCACGAAATAATCCGTGTGGCCAGCCGTCGAGGCGCTCCCCAGGTTTGTGCGGATGCTGTCGACAAGTGCAAGCGGTCGTTGTGCCTTGAGGGGACGGAGAGTGGAGAGGGCGGGCGGCCCCTGCAGCTAGCCCCTGAAGCTTGGGAACAAGCGGACGCAAGTTGATTCGTCCGATCCCCTGAGAGCCAGTTGATGAAAGATCGACGAAGAAATGCCGTTCAGGGCGAAGAGTGGTTGGTGATTGCAATCGTTCGTTGTCCAGGGAAGAGAAATTGAAACGGCGAGAACTTCAAGGTCGTGGTGAGATTGCGCACGCTTACGCTGGAGGCGCCGGACGCGTTGGCCTCTTGTCTGCCATTACTATCTATGCTATAGCTATGTACTCCGTACGCAGTACAGCCTCTCAGGAGCCGCCGCTGCTGAAACTGTGAAACGGCTTGTCCGCACGCCATCTCGTACGGATTTGGTATCGTCCAGGTACCTAGGGTCAAGCCGATGCTCATGCAGCGGCGCTCTCGATGGCTTCGCACTTCTGTTCAACCCTTCCTGATCTACTTGTAAATGTCTATAAACGTACTAGCACTGTAGAATACGCCCTCTCAAGGTTCTCAGAGAAGAATCTGCTTCTTGGTACCTATAGCTGCTTAGATGTTGTAGCTACTGCAGTTACCTAAGGACGCTTTTCATACGGAGTAAAGATGCTTGCGTCTCAATAAATAGGCGTCTCTTAATAATATAATATTCGGGTACAACGCGGTAACTATACAAAGGACTAAAATTTGTCCGTACCCTGCCAGCAATGCGCGCCCGCCGGCCCAGCAGCACCACCTCTGTGCTCCCCGTACATGGTAACAACGCCCATCTGCATCCAGCCCCAGCTATTCAACTGCCATGTGTTATCAAAGCAGTCAGTCCAACTGTTATAAATAATCTAGCGAAAATTAGCACAGCTTCGATATAAAGTGGTGATTCTGGTCCAGGTCGGTGCGGGACGTACCGTTCCACTTCCGGAAAAGTTGACCAAACCAGCGCAATCATGCGGCTGGCCACCATCCCAATTCCTTCTACGCATATCGTGGAGGCACTGATGCAGAATGATCATATCGTACGGCTTCCCGTTCTTGCCCACGCGCGGAGTGGCTATGTCGTTCCCGGTTTTCTGCTGGGTGATGGTGCGCCAATGCCGGTCGTCACCGTCACGCCACCAGTTGTCGCCGTCGCCCGTGTAGATGGCGACCCGGTTGGCTTGCGGGATGATGTACCAATGCAACGAGTTCTTCAGGAACTCGCCGCCCCATTTCCAGCTGGAAGAGGACAATTAGCCGTGAACGCCGAGTGTGGATTCACCGCGTCTTACTTGTACTGATTCTCCGTCGGGTCCCAGTCACAGTCGGCGCTCAGAGCCCTCAATTGCTCCGTACAATTCTCTACAGTCACGTACCCAGTATCCCAAGAGGCCCGGATAATAACCGAGTTCAAACTGTCTGTGTTGTACGACCGCTCGAACGACCCCCCAGCAGCATTGTTGAGATTGCCCAGATCTTTGCAGAATTCCTGGATGTTCGCGTCTAGTAGTGCCTGATCGACGAACTTCCACTTCGTCGGGTCGTCCTTGACTCCGTCGGCTTGCTTGTAGCAAGTGATCTGGTCAGGGGCCGGCGGTGGAGGCGTGAAGGTGAAGTCGCCGTCCTTGAAGATGGTTTCGAACTCCGATACTGCAGCATTGTCGACGGTGTACGGATCATCATCTGGCTCAATGCAGGCACAACTACTCTTGATCAGTGAAGCTCGAGAAAAATGTGTGAGGGTTGCTTGCCCTTTATATTGTCCGTTATTGCCATTGCAACGTCCACTAAGTGAGTCGGCTCCACCGCATTCTTGACAAAAGAGGCCATACTTGCCATTGGTTTTCGTCGGACAATCGCTCTTTGTGCAGCTGCACCCTTGTAGGAAAGCCGTACACACAGCATCGTCGCCACCCTCGCACAGCACATGAGAGCATGAGACATCTTCCACTGCAGGACAAGACAGCTTCATCGACCCGCTCCTGCCAAGGGCGAAATTCTTGAAGTTATCCGGATGGTTCCAAATTTGTTGAATGGCAAAGTTCATCGTCACGTAGACGAACCACAACTGTGTGGCAGTGTCAATGACCTCAAAGGCCTGCTCCAACAGTCCAACTCCGATGAGGGCACTGCGGAGGAAAGCTGCTGCCTGAGCTTCGTCGCTCCACTGTGGCAAACTATCCATATGCTTGATTTCGGCCGGAATCGGATTTCCCTGCAGGAGCTCGATGACGTTGTGTACATATTGGGCGTTCTGGGCGAGTAAGGTAGCCGTGGTCACTATGCAATCGGTAATCGCATCACGTTTGAAAACTCTAGGTCCACGCTTTGCCCTGCGGGGGCAAGTACTGGAGCCGATTATATTCTTGACCAGGTCAGACAGGTGTTGGTCCGCGTGCACGACTGTGGAATCCGTGGAGATAGTAAGCAGGCCTTGCGAGAAGTCGCCATCTTGCCTAGGCAGGATAGTTGAGCTCTTCCGGCAGGGCGATGGAAATTTGTTGGCACCAGTCCCCTGAGTTTGACGTCGTCAGCTCAGATGGATGGGGAAATTAGGATCACGAAACCGTGACAGACCTTGATGCACTTCAACTCCGCCATATCTTGGGGTGGAGAGACCGCAGAGATGGAGTTGTCATTTTCCCAGTCCGATTGCGTAGACCTCGCTGTGTTAGAGACCTGCCCCATGGTGGACCAGTCAGCTTCTGCCGTGCCGGATAACAAAGGCCATGTTACCTACCTTGGAGTGGGCAGACACCGATCTTGCATCTACCAGGTGCCGACTGACGCAGAGCAGTACGGCGGTGAGGCAAAGAAATAACATGACGACTAATTTTGTGGTGGAGAAAGCGACAGCCACCTTGGGGCAATTCAGACATGACCAAGCTCGTCGTGATATATACTGTGTAAGCTTTTGTCGGTCTCAGGCGTCGTTCTGCCCCGGGAAGGGCGAGCCGTATCCGAGGGTACCTGTATCGTAGCTATACGCGTCCGTGCTGCAAATAATGCCTGGCCCGGCTGCGCAATCTGGGTTGGATGGTACTCGCACCACATGCCAACCAGAGGTGGGCACTACTCAGCCCAAAACCAACACGCACAACCTCTGGGTGGCATGTGGTGGCGAGTACCGAGTGGCACATCGTGTTGGACGTCGAAATCGAAGCCCCTCGTCCCTTAACGCAATTTCAACCTCTATTTCTCTTAATTGCCTCTTTAAGCTAAGTTGTTGTGCCATTAGCTTGAAAGGGGTTGGCGTGTTTTCGCGAAATACGGCGCTGGTCCTCGCTTCACCGTGCAACACTTACACGGACCTGATCGATGTCCACGCGTTCGTCACCTTTTGAATTCGAGGGATAGCAAATAAAAAGCTATGTTTGGTCGATGCAGTATTTGGTTGGGGGCCAGTGCCCAAAATGCTACATGGGCTGTGGCACATTTGATGTTGCAGGCAACGGGAAGAGAGGGTATGAGACCCGCCATCAAGTAACATAACTAACCCGGGACCTGCAACTGTCTCTTTGCTTCACTTAGAAACCTGTTACATCATCAAGGGCGTGGATCTTCCCACAAAGGCCAACTCAGCCTGCCGGTCCTCTCTCTCCAGGCATGTTGTGCTTGAGGCTGCTGCATGCAGCAACACTCTCGTTCCTGTTTTTGTCTGCGTCGGCACAAAAATACTACTGGATCTCGGACGGATGCTCTAACGATGTCAAAGACGCGGTGACCGAGGTTATCTGGGTCGCGGGTCGAGTGGCAGAATCTATAAGTTTGAAAGAATCGTGGCTGGATGAACCCATGCAGTGGATGTTTGGCTTCACGACCACGAGCAGTGCCGCTGATTACGTGCAAAGTATGCTTTCCTTTGACTGTTGCTGGCTACCATTCTTGAATATTTCACTTACGACTGCTATTAGGAACCTTCTCCCGTATAGGTGCTCTCCAACAGACTCATATCGACAGGTTGAGTGCCCACGTCCGCATTTACTGCGGTAAGTCATGCCGTTCCCATTTGCGGTGAACATAGACTTACAGAGCTCAGACAATGATTCCCGCTACCAAGCTGTCAATTTGGAACATCAGAACATCGACCGGCCCAGTCCTCAGACGCCCCAGTTCAAGACTACAAGATTCTATGATCGAGATAATGAGGCAGTAGTTTTGGGCATGAGTTTACTGTGTGAAGACCTTCCAGATAGCCCGGGGGTGTTCGCCCATGTACTACTTGGCATCGAGAGCCTCTATTATCTGCTGAACCACCAGCAGCACTCCACTCAGTTGGCTGACCGGCATACCATGACCGTAAGTGGACCATTTTGCACTTGATTATATCCCTCGAGCTGACCTAATTCCAGCTTTGCGACAAAATGTTAGCAAGAAACGATGATAAGAGGCCGTACACCTGGAAGGCTTTCGCCAAAAGGAAAGTCCAAAACCTTTCGAGGCTCCAAAACATCTCCCCTCTTGCCTCCCACGTCCTAATGCACGAGGTGAGTTAGCATGTCACGCTTAGACACGCACCGAACACTAACGGGTCTAGTTTGCGCACGTTGCTTTCCTCAGCGAGCAAAGGCTTACCATCGACACCAGCCGAGGCCCTCTTGAGGAGCCTAACGGCAGGGACTCGCATCCAGTCGGTACCAATGGCAAGAATGGCTACTGGATGCCGGATGACACCCAGACCCTTGCAGAGAAATTGCAAGACATTGACTGGACAATTATGAATCCAGACAGCTATGCGTTCCTGGCCACAATACATAGGATGAGGGATAAGAAGTGGATACCATACCGCAACGACAAGAAGTTCATTCAACTCAAGTACGAGGACAGTTTGCCCCTGAAAGGAGATTGGCCGGGTGCGCTGAAGACTGAGCCCATGAGCCAACCTGGGATGATTTGATTGCATCCATGGATTAGTTAAACAAAACAAGGAACTTATGTAGATGCGAACTGAACAGTCCCTTATTACGCACGGATCAACAGGGGGATAGACATTGTGACTGCGAAATGGGAGACCGGAAGAAAATGATGATGCTGGGCAAGTTGTCCATGCTGTGAACACCCTGATGGTCTCCGGACCCGGAAAATACTTCTAGCCGACAGTCGGGAAAGCTGCATGACGGCATAACAATCTCCGCGACACGGCATTTGTCGTGCTTCCTACACAGTAGACTGCAAACCTTCCCCAGGCCTCAATTGACCACTAATAGGCCACATCTGCGCATACGGCTATACGATGTCCTTCTCTTCACCACGATCCTGGCAACATCTCTTCCAATACAACCCCTCCACCCCACCCCCTCCTCCTCCGAAGCCCTCCGCTCACTCCAGCGGCCGCGAAACACCCCAATCCGGACCTCCACTCCCTCACCTGCCACCGCCCCAATCTCATAGCGATCCCACTCAAGCTGCCGCACCCACATACCCTCCAGCTCAGGACCAGCCTTCCCTGCCACCACCCGAGGATGGCTGGCTTCCAGATATCCTCAAGGACAAGACGTACGTCCATCCCTGAAACACGTCGAGTCCGCCGCTGAAGGTCGTAATCAGAACCAAGGATCTGCAACACGTACTGCAAACGCCCGAGCTCCAGCACGCCATAATACATAACCCCGAGACCACGCATCCCTCGATACCCGCTTCAAGGGCACCACTGCAGGCGCTGCTTGCGCAAAACATTGCGCTCGCTGAACAGTTGAAGAATCTGGAAGCGCACCTGCGACACCAAAGAGAGAGCACGCAATCGCGGCTTCTGTCACTACGTGCGCTAGAGCGGCAGTGGCGTGCGAAGCAGGCAGAGCAGGATGAAGCTCTGAGGGACTTCAGTCCACCAGCTCTGTATCAGCGGCTCAGTGCTGCGGTAGCAGAGCAAGATGCACTATGTCGAGGACTGGAGGAGAGCTTCCTGGACGGCGAGGGCTTCGGTGGCGTAGAGGCTGTGGCTAGCGAGCGGGAGGTTGTGGAGTTTGTGAGGAGACTGAGGGAAGGAAGGAAGATCGCCTATTTGCGTGCTGAGCGGAAGGAGAGATGGGATGAGGGGAGAGTGGGAGGGTGGCGATGAAACCTCAATCACGATTCAATCGCCTTGCTATTCTGATGCGGCTGTTGGGATGGTTACGCTGGGAGCTCATGACGAAGTAAGAGCGGGCGTTACTCCTGCGCCCAACAGGTCTTGACAAGCCCAGCGCAAGGCCCACAACCAACATAGCGTCGTGCTCACTTTAGATCTTGGGCGGATCCGCGGTCTGGCGAAGGGCAGCAGCTCCTGCCATTCGGAAGTCGATCCGTAGCGCGGATGAATATGCGTGAATTTCAGGATCGCAGAAGACGATCTGTAGCTTCTGCAAGTACAAGTGGAGCGCTCGATCTTCTAAAGACGCCACATGCAATATCCTTCAATCATATACTTCCTTTCCCTGCTTCTCCGTCTCAATGGTCTTTCTCCCGTCGCCTTACTGCAAGAGACACATCCTTTTAATCATATCCGTGAACTGCCATCACCTCCAATGGACTGCCGTTCGGCAACGCCGCGGTGTTCTCTTTATGGATCCCGCCCCTCTAACAACCACTACTCCCAGATTCCGAACCACTTCTTGACTCTCCTCCTCCGCACACCGTACGCGTCAACCCAATATCTTGGGTCCTCCAGATATTCCTCTCCCCTCTCCTCGGCTTCTCTTATTCTTTGCAGTCTAAACTGCATCCTCTTCTCAATATCGTCTTCCCTCTTCAAACGTTTTGCCTCTGCCTGCTCCGACAGATGTTCCTGGTACATTCTGAGCACCTCAAAGAACCGCTTTAAACTCGTGATCGGGTGGCGCATATATTCCTTCGGTTCCGGGAGGAGATCATTATAAGGGTTATTGCGCTTGAAGGTCAAATACCACGCTGAACCTCCGAGGGTGAACAAGATGCCCTAAGTACGTTAGTGCTGTCCTTGACACCGGCGCCTTGGCCATTGGGCTGGCTATCGCATACCAGAGTAATGATCAAATGAATGCTTCTGTTATGTAAGAACCAATGGCTGAACGTGCCCTCGGGACTCATCATATTCGGATACTTCTTCGTGCGCATTCTCTCCCGCTCCTCTTTCGATAATGGCGGTCCGTACGTCTTCTGTGTCGTCTCACTCCTCGGCAGCCGCGTTCCGTGGGACGGTGGTCTGTATTTGTCTGGTTGGCCAAGAATGCGCGGCTCCGTCTTCTTGGGTCGTGGGGGAAGGATGGTGGCATGGCGGAGGTGTGAGATGGGGAGTATGGGTACAGGAAAGGCCCGGGCACGGGGTATGGAAGGGCCACGAGGGAGGAGAAAGCGAGGTATCGTTTGAAGGGACGCCATTGCGGCAGTTTGGCACCTGAGGTGCTGAGTGATGCAGCGGAGAACTGATCGACTCGGACGGCTCGATCGGACGAAGATCGGGTCGGAAAAATAAAAGGCCGATAGGACGCCATTTGGTCAACCACTACAACTCCTCTATTATACACAGCACTGTTGTACTCTCTAGACGGCAGGCATCGAAAATTGTATTGAAATTGACAAAACCAGCAGTGAGCCACTTACTAATGCTAACAAACTCCCTAGTTTCTGACTCCTCCATGTCCAGCTGCAGGTTCCAATGCCGCCTCAACCGCCATCATTCGGGTCACAGGAATATTGGGATACAAGGTTCACCTCTAATTCGAATCCATTTGAATGGCTTGAGGCCCCGACGGCATTGGATTCCTACCTGGTAGAAGCGTTGAGGAGCACAGAAGACGAAAGTCCACAGATCTTGCATATCGGATGCGGTACATCACTGTTGTCCTACCACCTTCGCGCACATGTCGACAATCCGGAACTGATACATAATTTGGACTACTCCGATGTTGCCATCAAAGTAGGAAAACAAAGAGAGATTGACATATATGAAGGCGAAGTGGCCCAGGACGGGCTCGAGTCCGCTAATCCTGCTGCCTCCGCAGACTTGGGCAATGCAGAGGTCGTTCAATCACCCGCAAACCGTGACATGAGGTATATGCGCTGGTCAACCGCAGACTTACTATCCCACTCCTCACTCCTCCACGTCTGCAACCCTAACACATATTATGTGATCGTCGACAAGTCCACATCCGACTCTATAGCATGTTCCGAGGACGTGTATGTACCACTTCCATACCCTATCGGCACTACGTCTGATATCTCTACGTCGCCAGTGGCCGAATCACCTGAACCGATCCATCCTTTACATATCCTGGCCATCCATCTGGCGCTGGTCACCAAACCGGGCGCCTACTGGATCTCGTTATCCTACTCGGAGGACCGATTTCCCTTCTTGCCGCACCCATCAGCTCATGCTTCCGCTACCCACCATGACGTGTCGCCAGCATTGAGCTCCTCGAGACCGGACGAACCAGACGACGCGGACGACTCCGACGATGACTACGCCGATGACCTCAACGATATTCCCCAGGAGCTAATCGACAATGGATTTCCGGATCCTGGTCAGCTATGGAGGTTGGAGGCCAGGCATGAAATCGAGGTCCTGCAGTCGCCCACTGGAGACGCAGCAGATAAAGTTGTGCATAGACCTAGGGTCGTGCACTGGGTTTACGTTCTTCGAAGGACAGACGTGGAGGTTTTCGTGAGGGATCCATAAGACGCGGCCTACGCATTCTACCTATCGTAACACCTTTGTTCCTGAACCGTTAGTAGACCTGAGATTACGATTCCACAGCGCCCCTGATCTTCGACTCAGCCGCAGTAGACTCCCGTCAGAGGAAACGCCCCACCTTGGTTCTGACAGCTGCTGCTGATGCCCGACCTAGTGCTCGGTTGAGAGCTTTTGTGATGCGGACACATCCTTCAATTATTCGGACTTTGACCGGACCCATACAAAAGTCTATGTTGTCCACACTCGAAAGGGACTATGTAGTGGTCGATGCCTGGGCTAGAGAAGGTGGTGAATGCGGAATTTTTATGAAAGCCTTTGACGGTGAGATATGGTGAAGGAAAATTCCTCCCCTTCGAGAAGAGATGCCTCAGCCGCCCAGTTACCATAGCGGTATGGGGCTCTAGGACCTGTCACGCATGCCTCTCTCAGCGGAGCGGAATACTTCCACAAAACAGCCAATAGAAAACATTTGTGGACGTAAATGGCAATTGTGGAACTGACAAATCCTATCTATTCGGAGGCTATGCGTTTGTAATGGAGTCATCTCGGAATCGATCAGGGGACGGGCCGGCCCGAAGTAGGTGCGCTTACACAATTCTCTTCACATGGAAATCTTTCGTAGTTGTTCATATGCATCTTGCGAGGTGTGACTAGGCGCATACATAGTAGATACAGATATGAATTAACCAACCGTCGAACATGGATAAGTGTGCAATGGTGTTGAGGGGCACGGCTAGAGAGGGGTTTCCGCGGCCGAGGTGTCCCGTCCCAGCCCCTCCAGCCGAAATGGTTCCACATTGCAACGGCTACACCGCAGGGCGCGGTCGATTACAAATGAGGCCATCCGATATAAAGACGGTGTGAGGCTTCGACAGAAGCAAACAAGTCCAATTCCCATCCAGAGTACATTTTGAACCGTTATAACTCTGATTCGTCGAACCGAACGCACACAAATTACAATGGCTCAAGTCACGCTCTACGATATCCCCACTCGAGAGCCGAGGAAGGGCTGGTCATTGAACCCGTGGAAACGTGTGTACTCGGTCCTAGAGGGGAGCTCATGCTAACAATCTGCTCAGCTCGCATGGTTTTGAATTACAAGGGAATTGATTACAAGACGGAATGGACCGAGTATCCGGACATTGATGGCAAATTCAGATCTTTGTAAGTCCATATCCGATAAGTAATTCAAGGGCCCGTTTAACGCAAATAAAAGTGGCATCACACCACATGATCGGAACGACCCGAGCTTCCTGGCAGAATATACCTCTCCAGTTGTACGCTTCGACGACGGCACATTTGTGATGGACTCTTGGAATATCGCACACGGTACGTTTATGCACTTGGAGCAACCCATGGAATAAATAAATGATTAACACTCTACAGAAATCGAAAAGCGCTACCCGACTCCCTCTTTAGGCCTTGACGAACCAATCGTCGTCCAAATCAAAGAGTTCATCTCCAAGCTGTTCGTTCCGTTGGCTGCAGAGATTCTGCCCAAGATTCCTCGAAACCTCCTGAGCGCACCCTCTGCCGAGTACTTTGAGCGTACTCGCGCGGCCAAGTTCGGCATGAGCCTGACCCAGTTCGAGAAAGAGAAGGGTGGTGATAAGGCCTGGGAGGCTGCCGAAGCGCCTGTCAAAGAGCTGGCTGGTATCCTGAAGAAGAATGGTGGTCCTTACTTCCTGGGCGATAGAGGTGCGTCTTTCCCGCTTTCAACGGGTCGATCTGGCTAACGAGTGGTAGTGACTTATGCTGATTTCATTCTGGTGACGTTCTTGGAGTTCCTTAAGCGTATCGGCGATGGACTGTACGAGAAGTTCACTGCTTTCGATCCGGCCTTCGAGAAGTTGTATGATGCTTCGAAGCAGTGGCTCAACAAGGATGATTGAGCAATGAATGTGTCGTGCAGGTAACAGACGTAGCAGCACAAAAGCAGCAATATAACGAATTGATGATCACACATACCCCAAGTTGTACTTCGTCAAATCTGGTGTGTGCGGCTATCTTTTTGACGAGCCCACCAGCTTCAGAGCATTAAGCAGGACTTCACGATCCGTTTGAAAGGTCAGTTTCTCAACGGCCTCGTCGCATGAAAAGAACTCTGCCTTGAAGGCTGTTTCTCCTACCAGGGGTTTGCTCCGCGCTCCATCGTCCAGTGCAGCAATGTACCACCATATAAGCTTCACGCTGTCGCTATCAAGCTCTCTCATTGTAAACCTGAATGGCTCAGTCAGATGTGGGTATATGCGAACTTTGTCCGACACATTCGCAGGGTCGTCTGTTGATGGAGCACGCGTTGCCATCCTCACAGGATAAATATGGCATCGATAGCCAGTCTCCTCCATGACTTCCCTCACAGCAGCATCGCGACGAGACTCGGACTGGTTCCGGCGTCCTTTGGGAAGATACCATTCGTCTGTCTTGAGATGATGTAGGAGGCACACATCGAGTGTGGGGCTGGCGAGGTCGAACAGAACGGCACCGCAGCTCTCGACGAAGTTTTTCGACGTGTATTGTCGGGTAGTGAAGGTGGACTGCGCCATCTGGTTTCTGGATAGTGCAGTAAAAGGGATTGGCGGTGTTAGTTGTGCTGCCTGAGAGTACTTAATCTAAACCGCCTGGAATGACCCCTGTCGATCTGATCACAATGAGCACTTGGGAAGGGCCAAAAAGAGGATCGTGAAGTTTTCTTACCTGATCAGAGAGCTGGATGAATCGTTAATGAGCCCCTCATCGCCCCTGTTGAGTTTGTTCAGGTACGGGACTGAAAGCCGAGACTTTCCGAAAGTTCATTCCGAAATTCTCGGAATGCTCCAGTCACTTCAATTGAACGTCATAGATCCACACTAACATCGATTAGCTATCTTGAGCGTGCCAATGACGAAATGCTGGCTTGAACGATTGGGCGACTTAAAACCCTTTCTATGAGTTCACCTATAGATCAATGTTGAGACCTTCTCTTCGCACAGCAACCTCCAGACTCTATCAACCAGCATTACACTCCATCCGGCGCTCACCACCTCATCAATTCCGGTTCCTCACCATGGCTCACAACCAAACAATGTTCAAGCTCAACACGGGAGCCCAGATCCCCGCCATTGGCTTCGGAACCTGGCAGGATGCCGAAGCTCAGGAACAAGCCGTTGTCACCGCCATTAAGGCCGGCTACAGGCACATCGACACTGCATTCGTCTACGGCACCGAGGAGGCCGTAGGAAAGGGCATCAAGAAGGCTGGAATTCCGCGCGACCAGATTTTCATCACCACAAAGTTGTGGAATAACGCGCATCATCCCGAGGATGTTCCTAAGCAGCTCGATGCGTCACTCAAGGCCCTGGGTGTGGACTACATCGACCTCTGGCTCATGCACTGGCCTTCGGCTTTCGCCCGCGGGGATACGCTTTTTCCCAAGGACAAAGATGGTAAACCGATCACGGGCGATACCGACTATGTCGATACATACAAGGCGATGGAGAAGTGCCTGAAAGAGGGCAAGGTGAAAGCCATTGGTGTCTCCAACTTCAGCAAGGCGGAGATGGAGCGCCTGCTTGAGAAAACTGATGTGGTAAGTAATCTGCTTGAGCTCAGTCTTCAGAGATAACTGACGAATTTCTAGGTTCCCGCAGCACACGAGCTGGAACTGCACCCGTGGCTCCAGCAGACCTCCTTCACGGAATGGCACAAGCAAAAGGGTATCCACATCATTGCGTACTCTCCCTTCGGCAACCAGAATCCAATCTACGACAAGGGCAAGGACATTGGAAAGCTGATAGATGACCCCACTCTCGTTGAGATTGGCAAGAAGCACGGAAAGACGGGCGCGCAGGTCGCGCTGGCGTGGAATATTGCAAAGGGTCACTCGGTGCTGCCGAAGTCCAAGACCGAATCGCGTATTAAGGCGAACTTTGAGGGCGACTTTAAGCTGCCCGAGGAGGACGTTAAGAAAATTGATGGCATCGATAAGAAGCTTCGTTTCTGTGACCCGTCGGAGAGCTTTGGATACAAATACTATACGGATCTGGACGGAAAGGAGTAAGCGATGGGACGTCTAGCTGACGATATTAGTCTAGACGCTTGAAGTGTCTTAAAGTAGGATTCAATGTCTGTTTATGTTCAGTACGACAAAGTAACATGGTGCCGTGGTGAATGTCTCATTAAGGGAGGGAAAGAGCGCATCTTTCGCAAACCGCCGAGTTTCGAACATAGTCAAGCGTACGTGGTCTACCAAGTGTACTGTTGGAACGAGTGGCCCCTTGGCCGATATAGATGCTGTCAGTATGCAGCTCTAAATACTACGACATGGCCCGGCTCGGATCATCTGCCCCACCGAACGGCGCACGAGCCACACGACATCCCACCTTCTTCATGGCTCAACGCGCGGTGGGCCTTCACAAAACTTTGGTGCTCATTCGACGCGGGAAGATATACCTACCTCTCTACTCCCTAGACGGTCTTCTAGTACGCGCGGTACACGGCCTGACGCGGTCTCGAACGAACAACATCTCACTCCAGCCCATCGAGGGCAGCGACCTTGGCGCTCGCAACATGGACGACTTCGTTAGCGATACGGATAGCGACTATACGAGCTATTGGCGCGATTGGGTATGTAGTTGAGGAATTCTGCGCTTTTATTCATGAATACATATGTTTCGCCCTTGGATCGAGCACGGAGCAACCTGCCGTTGGGAAGGGCTGCTATCATGTGCTTCGAATAAGCCTCACAGATCTGGTATCTGGCGACTCGGAGGACTTGGATGCTTGCTTTGACCCGGAGACTTGAATGCGCTTGGAAATGGACTCGTCCTCTCGATACGTCAAGTCATTGCTGGGCTTTCGGGCATTCGGCTGGAAAAGTGAAGGAGGATGCCCTCGGACAGTCCTCCGGATGGCTCTTCTTCTCTGCTTGCTTGATGGATTGCAAGCCTGCTGGACCGATTACATAGCAGCATTCGACATACGCCGTTCACATCTGTTCAATTTCTGGCTCGATTCGTTGCATGCGTTCCGAGGACTGTTTGTTATTCTCCACGAACACCAGGCTGACATCTGCGCCAGTTCATATCCTCCCGCGGAAACGAATACTTCTGCGAGATCGACGAAGACTACCTGACCGATCGCTTCAACCTCACGGGCCTAAACGCCGATGTTCAATACTATCAATACGCGCTGGACCTCATAACAGACGTCTTCGACGTAGACTGCGACGACCAGCTCCGCGACGCCGTCGAGAAATCCGCCCGGCACTTATACGGCCTGGTACACGCCCGGTACATAGTGACGACGCGCGGTCTCGCAAAAATGGTAAGTTGTCTCTTTCCCCCCTACGCTGGAAAGGCCCAGTCCCAGAAAACTTACATCTCTCCTCTCCAGCTCGAGAAGTTCAAGAAATCCGACTTCGGCAAATGCCCCCGCGTCATGTGCGACTCGCACCCGCTCCTCCCAATGGGCCAATCCGACCTCCCAGGCAACTCGCCCGTCAAGCTGTACTGCGCGCGGTGCGAAGACATCTACAACCCCAAGTCGTCGCGCCACTCGGTCATTGACGGCGCCTACTTCGGCACCTCGTTCCACAACATCCTGTTCCAGGTATATCCGACCATGTTGCCGTCCAAGTCGTTGCGCAGGTACGAGCCGCGCGTTTTCGGCTTCAAGGTGCATGCTGCGGCGGCGTTGGCGCGGTGGCAGGATGAGCAGCGCGAGGCGATGAGGGAGCGGTTGAAGGCGGCCAAGGTGGATGTGTTGTTTGAGGAGGACGAAGATGACGAGGAGGAGGGGGAACCAGTGAGTGACGAAGATGAGGAGATGGATGTCGGGGAGCAGGGTGCGGCGCTCGTGGCTGCCAAGTGAGTGAGTGACTGCATGAATGCGTCGCTTGCACCGCGGTATACGTATCTGGTTAGCATGGGGTATGGCGATAGGCGTTCGGGTCGGTAGGGTAGCATTTGAATACTTCGACAAACCACTTTTTTTTCATTCTTCTCGAATCCAGCTGGCACACCCTTGAGTAAAAGTCCACCAGTTCGTGTGTCGTAGGACGCATGTCCGGTCTCCGGGTGAAAATATCACATCCCAAACGAAAAGGAATTGTGAACTCGTTATCGCAGTCCTTCATGTGTATCAGAACTACTTATTTCGCTCACTCATGATGCTCTTGACACAGACAGAAATGATGACAAGACCGCGGAGCGGACTCCGGAATAAGAAGCTGAAAGGGGTATATATTCTCACTCCTCTGTATCTCCTACTCAAAATCCACCCCCTACTCTACCACTTGAACGGAATCCTCGTACACACACGAGATCCGCCTTGCAAAGAGAAGAAAGAGCAAACGCCGGTGCCGCTCAACATCTTCGAAAACACCATCATCATCGTCGTCATTGTCATCAACGCACTCAACAGACAACATCGGCATACCATGATCCAGCACCAATGTAAATAAGCGAGCCGGAACCATCGAAGAAAAGACCAAACATCAAATCAGACGCCGCCCAATGCAAGTGCAACTCAACCACTTCACTAGACAACCACCCATTCATCAGTTAAGCGGACATGCACGCACACCAACCTCAAACTCAACCAAGAAGATTTAATCTCCCTACCCAAAACCCCCCGCGATCTTCTTGAACCAACTCCCCCTCTTCGCACCACTCTCCATCGCCGGCCTCCCATCCCACGTCCTAAGCGGCGCCTCCGCATACCCGCCCATCGGCTGCGCATAACTCTTCCTGCGGCTCTTCCTCTCGCGGTCCTCATCACTGCCACCGCCACGTGCACCCTCATAATGCGAAGCCCGCCGTCGATGATGTCTCCTCTCCCGCTCAGCTTCCCTCTCTCTATCGCGTTCTTTCTCACGCTCACGACGTTCTTCGCGCTCGCGATCGCGCTTCGGACCTTTGCGGCCTGCAATCCGGAGACGGAGATCTTCGTCCGCCGAAGGGGAAAGCTCGTCCGCATGGTTCGGGTCGCGGGTGTCTGGCAGACCGTCTACAACCGTCTCGGCAATAGGAACTGGGAGTGGTTGTTCGTTGGAGAGGGAGTCCACCCAAGAGGACGTCTTATCTCCGCCTCTGGCTAGGTAGGGCGTGTTTTCTTCCTCCTTGGGGCGATGCGAGCTGCGATGGCGGGAGCGATGCGCCGCACCGTTGCGCTCGTCGAAGTAGTCTTGGATGGGTCCGCCGTTTGCTGGTGCTGGGTATTCCGAGTTACGGCGAGCAGCACGGCGCTCTTCACGGCGACGACGTCGCTCTTCTGGGTCTTCATCCATGTGGGAACGACGACGCTCCCGTTCTCGGTCGCGGTCTTTGTCTCTGTCTCTGTCCCGTTCTCGTTCGCGCTCACGCTCACTAGGACGACGAGAACCCTCCCGTTCCCTGTCTCTGCGCTTAGAAGAACGGTGCTCACCACGCTCACGCTCTGACTCTTCCATTGCCCTACGTTGCTCGCGTGCAGCTTTGCGCTGTTTCTTTTCCTCCATGCGACGCAATTCAGCCTCAGCCTCCTTGTTGCGTCGCTCCAGCTCCGCCATCTGCCTCGCCTTCTTCTCCGCAAGGATCGCGCTCTCCTTCTCGCGCTCGCGGTTACGACGACGCTCCGCCTTGGCTTCAGCCGCTTCCAGATCAGCGCGTTGTGCTTCCTTCTCTGCCTGGCGTCGAGCTTTACGTTCTGCGCGTCTGGCCTCGCGCTCCGGGTCAAGATCCTCGCCAGGCCCAGCACCACCGCTCATCATGTCTGCTCCGTCAGGCATGTGAGAGGAGCGGCGAACACTACGTCGCTCATGACGGAGCCGTTTCGCTTCGTCTTCGGTCGCTGCACCTCGCGTGGACGATCGTTTACGGCGGCGGCGTTCGTCTTCGGTCTCGTATGCATTCCTGCGACGCTCGTGCTTGTCTTCCTCCTGACCCTTCTTGCGCGACCCAAGTCCAAACATGCTCATCAGGCCGCCGGCAGCGGCTGCAGCAGCCCCAGCCGCAACCCCCGCAGTAGCTAAGTCTCTTGCTTTCGAAGTGTTGCGGTCTCGTCTCGATCGCTCACTATGGTGTCTTTCGACGTGAGGAGGTTCGACAGACATTGGATCAATGTCAACGGGATCATCGGCACTCGGTGGTGCAGTCAACGGTTCAGCTGGAGTAACAGCGGTAGGCTCCCGCGACGACTTGCGTCGGGATGACTCAGCCTTGGGAGCGGGTGTGGGTGATGCGGGCGCATCATCATCCAATGGCATGTCCAGATCGTCGGGGATGGCATACGCGTCTGGTACAGCTGAGCGCTTGTTAGCTGGATTTGTCCGCTGATTATGAGAGCCAAGAGGCCATCCCGCTTCTTGGGGAGCGAGTGTCTTACCTCTGGATTTGCCCTTGTCCCTGGTACTTGATCGCCTGCTGACGGAACCTTTCATACCCATGACTTTTGCCGCCTTTGAAGGCACCTTGACATCTACATCTGTATGAGGCGGCGACATCATAGCAGCGTCGCCATCAAACGACGGTCTTCGAGACATCGTTTTGGGAGTCGCAGAGGTCCGATGTGACTTTGCACGCGACGAAGAATGCGGAGGAGGTACACCAAACAGTGCGCCCAAGCCCGTCGCAGCACGCGCAGGCTTTGGCCGCGTCTTATTCGTCTTGTCTGACCCTGAAGATTTTGACATGACGTCCTTGTCCTTTCCGGGAGAGACCTGCGATGATTTGGAGCGGCTCAAGCTTGCCTTTACTGGGGTTGCACTGGCGCCATCATCTGTAGACTGCTTTCTTGCCTGCTTCTGTCGTGATGCAGCCGCCGCACCGGCAGCGACACCCCATATACCCCAATTCGCTCCTCCATTAGCGGGTCGCACCACCTTTGCACGTTCCTTCTTTACAGGTTCAGGTTTGACTTCAGGTTCGGGAGGCGGTGTCGGGAGCTTCTCCGGGGGTTCGACAATCTCCATATCGAGGGTAGGTTCGGCAGGTTCGTCACGTTCAGCCGGTGGAGGTGGAGGTGCAGGTGGTTCAGCTAGGTCAATAATCTCGACGATATCTGCAGCATCAACAATGGCTTTGCTGCTCTCCTTCGCCTTCTTCGCCTTCTTCGCTTTCCTCTCGGCCTTTTTGTCGACGACGACAACAACAGGTTCAGGCTCTGCTGGCGGCGGCGGCGGAGGAGGCGGGTCCGCACGGGCATCGACCATTTCCGCGTCATTGAAGTCAAGCAAGTCCATATCGTCGTCCATGGGAAAGCCACCAGGCACGGGTGAGGGATTCTTGGCAAGTACCACAGGCTCAGGATCTGGAATCACCACAGGTGGCTCTTTCACCTTTGACTTTGACGAGGATTTATCCTTCTTGGACTTCGAAGACTTCTTCGTCGTTGTCTCAACGACTTCAACAAGTGGTGGTTCCGGTGGTGGCGGAGGAGGTGGAGGTGGTTCCGGGGCTTCAAATTCAAAGTCCAGTTCTGCAATCTTTGATTTATCGCCACTCTTCTCCTGCAGTGCCTTTAGCCGTTCCGCAACCACACCACCCGACTTTGCAGACTTCTTAGACTTGGCTGCCTTGGGGGGTGGTTCGTCAGCGACAACAGGTTCTGGCACGTTCGGTTCCTCCATAAGCGAGATGTCACGGGCTGACTCAACCATGACCGCATCTTCCTTCGGCGGTGTCTTCTTGGTTTTGCGCAAGGAAATGCCCCAAGCACTTCCCCATCCTCCTGATGTTTCTTCTGGAGAAGCGGTGTCTTTCTCTAGTTCAGCGAGTAGATCACCCGCAGGGACATCTTTGACCAGATCGAGCAGATCCTCGTCAGCGGGAGGAGGCGGCGGCGGCGGCGGAGGTGGTGCAGGCTCTTCGACAGCGCCCTTCCCCTTCTTCTTTTTCTTCTTAGACGAAGTGGTTTCGAGGAACTCCTGTTCAGCAGCAATGCGTGCAGCTTCAGCTTCTTCGGCCTCCTTCTTAGCCTTCTCTGCAGCTTCCGCGGCTTCTTTGGCCTCACGCTCCAACCGCTCCTGCTCCTCGCGCTCAGCTTTCTCCTTCTTTTCACGAGCCTTCTTCTGGCTAGCCGTCTCCTTTTTCTTGAGGCCACCCCAAGATCCCCATATGCTGCTGCTTTCCTCTTCTTTCTTCTTGGCGGCCTCTTCGGCTTCTTTGGCTTCCCTTTCCAGTTTCTCCTGCTCCTCTTTCTCCTTCTCAAGGCGTTCCTGTTCCTCCCTCTCAAGCCGTTCCTGTTCTTCCTTCTCAAGGCGTTCTTTTTCTTCCCGTTCCACGCGCTCGGCTTCCTCCCGCTCGGCCTTCTCCTTCTTCTCACGAGCCTTCTTCTGAGTGGCAGTCTCCTTCTTTGTCGACTTCTTCGATGCTCCGAAGAGTCCCCATCCAGAACTCTTCTCCGCCTCTTCCGCTTCCTTCTTCTTTGCGGCCTCCTCGGCCTCTATCCGTGCCTTTTCGGCTTCCTCAGTCTCAATTCTCGCCTTCTCAGCTTCCTCAGCTTCGATCCTGGCCCTCTCGGCTGCTTCTTCTGCCTCTCTGGCGTCTTCTGCCTCGCGCTCTAACCGTTCGGCTTCCTCCTTCTCTAGTCTCTCCTTTTCCTCCTTCTCTTTCTTCTCCCTCGCTTTCTTCTGTGCCGTCGTCTCCTTCTTTGCCTTCTTACCAAATAGACCCCAGCCAGAGCTCTTCTCAGCCTCTTCCGCCTCTTTCCTCGCCTTATCAGCCTCCTCTGCCTCCTTCCTCGCTTTCTCAGCCTCTTCCGCCTCAATCCTGGCCTTTTCCGCTTCTTCCGCTTCAATTCGGGCTCGTTCAGCAGCTTCCTCGGCCTCCTTTGCTTCTTGTGCTTCGCGTTCGAGGCGTTCTTTTTCCTCTTTCTCACGCTGCTTGGCCTCCTCCTCCTCCTTCTCTTTGGCTTCCTTTTCACGCTGCGCAGCCTCCTCTTTCTCCCGTTTCAGGCGTTTCTTCTTCTCCGTTTTTGTCTCGTTCTTCGGCGGCTCAGGCTTCTTCTCTTCCACCTTGGGAGGTTCGTCCAGCTGAATGAGATCTTCAAACGTATCCTTCGGAGTGCCTGACTTGGAAGCAGACGAGTCCTTTGTCGCGGTCTTGCTGAGTTTGCCGCCATCGTCGACCGCTTCGTCCTTGCCTTTCTTCTTTTTCGAGGAGCTGAAACCCCAGAGATCGTCGTCTACCTTCAGGTCTTCCTCCACAGCTGGTGGCGCTTCAATTTGCTTCGGCTCGGGTAGCTCAACTTCACCAGGCGGTGTGGGAACAGGTGGCGGAGCTAAAGTGGAGCCCTTCTTCCCCTTCTTCTTCTTGGTCATGTTGAACTGCGCGCTGCCCCATGGGTCATCCTCGTCGGGCTTTTGAACGGGCGCCGAAATATCATCGGTTACTTCCACCGGCGTATCCTTCGAGGACGACTTCTTGACCTTCTTGCCCCAAGAGGGAGTGCCCCACTCATCTTCTCCCTCTGCCTTGGGTTCTTCGACACCATCGGGACTTTGCACAGTGGTTGTGTCTTCAATGATGGGTCCGGGCTCAGGCTCCTTCTTCTTCTTCGTCTTCTTGCCTCCCCAGATGGAACTGAAGCTCCAATCATCGCTCTCCTTCTTCTCAGGTTGGGGTTCGGGAACGGCGGGAGGTGGCGCAGGCGCAGGTGGGAGAGGCTCCTCCTTACCTTTCTTTCCCTTCTTCTTCTTCGTCGAAGTGGTGCCCCAAGCTGAATCTCCCCAAATATCCTCTTCCTTCTTCTTCTTCTCTTCCTCCTCAAGCCGTGCCTTTTCCTCAGCTTCCTTCCGTTCTCGTTCCCTAGCTTCTTGCTCCTCGCGCTCCTTGGCTTCTTGCGCTTCTCTTTCTGCCTTCTCCTTAGCTTCTTGCTCTTCTCGCTCCTTGGCTTCCTTCTCTTCCCTTTCAGCCTTCTCTTTCGCCTCCTTCTCCTTCTGCTTCTTCAGTTTCTTCTTCTGCGTATTACTGAGCCCGGCATACTCATCGATCTCGGGCTTCGGGGGCTCAGGCACCGGCTCAGGTTCCACGACCGGTTCCTGCACAGGCTCGGGCTCCGGTGCCGGAAGTGTTTCCTCGACCTTCGGCTCTTCCTTACCCTTCTTACCTTTCTTCTGCTTGCCTGATGTCCCGAACGAAGCCCAGTCATCTTCAGCGGGTGGGCTAGGCTCGGGAGGCGGAGGTGGAGGCGGCGGCACTTCTTCCTCCTTCTTCCCCTTCTTCTTACCTGATCCGACGGCTCCCCATCCACCCCATCCATCATCGTCCTTCACGGGCTCCGGCTCAGGGGGCGGCGGCGACGTCTCCTCGGCAGCGCCTTTTTTCTTCTTCTTCTTGTCCTTTGAGCCGCCGAAAGAGAAAGAACCCCACGAGTCCTCTTTCTCAGGCTCCGGCGCCGGCTCCTCCGTTGCCTTCTTCTTCTTCTTATTCTTGCCGAAGCTACCCCAGCCGTCATCCTCGTCTTCTGCAGGTTTCTCCTCGGCTACGGGCGGAGGCGCAGACGACGTGTTGAAAGCGTCGAAGTTGAAGTCAAAGCCAGACGAATCCTTGGAGTTCTTCTTGTCCTTGGGTGAGCCCCAGGGATTGTCATTACTCGCGGCGTCATTTCCAGTGGTGGTGGAGTCGAAACCCCAGCTGCTGCCCTTGCTTCCCCATCCACCCCATCCACCCAATCCGCCGAGACTTGACTTGGCCCCGCCCGAGTCTCCAAACGACATTTCGATCTTGGGTGCGCCGCTCGAGTCATCGAGATTGATGTCGTCGAATCCAGCGCCCGGATCTGCTGCAGGGGGTTCAGGGGGTGGAGGAGGCGCGGCCTCGGCGCCCTATGGTCAAGTCAGCTAATGGAACGATTTCCCGCAATCCAGTCTTCCTACCTTTCCCTTCTTCTTCTTACTCTTCTTCCCTCCAACGGTAGCAAACGAGGCCCAATCATCCGCTGCCCCATTGCCATCCGCCTGATCAGCCCAGCTAAGATCCGCAGCCGCAGTGGCAGCAGCAGCAGCAGTGGCAGCGGCAGCAGCAGCGGCAGCAGCGTCTTCCTCCTCCTCCTCCTTCTTCTTTCTTTCCTCTTCCTCCTCTTTCTTGCTCTTCTTCTTCTTACCGGCGGTCCCCCAAGCATCCCACCCATCGTCATCCCCACCCCCATTCCCGTCCTTCCCCCCATCACCCCCGTCGTCTCCTCCACCACCCGCTCCGCCGCCATCAGCAGGCGGGTCTCCCCCAGGACTGTCACCGCCATCAGCGGGCGCGTCCTCTTCCTTTTTACCGTCCCCGCCGCCTCCTCCAGAGTTGTTATTCGAGTTTGTATTCTTCTTGGCGGCGTTATTCTTCTTCTTCTTGGCGTGGGATTTGATGCCTTCCTCGCAGAAGCCGAAATCGATGTTCGCATGAAGACATTTTTCGTCGAGATGGAAGGATAATGGGGAGGCGGAGCGTGTGGATAGGATGCTGCTTAGGAGACAATCGGGGATGCTGGAGCAGAGGGAGGGGTTCAGGGAGGGAAAGGGTGTGTATTCGGGGACTTTGGCGGTGGCGAGGACGTCTGTGGTGGTGTAGTCGGGTGGGAGGTCGGCGAGTGTGTCGTCGTAGGAGGGTGGAGAGGAGTCATCGTGGGGTGGGGATGCGGAGAGCCAGAGGTGTGGGGACGAGATATGGGGAAGGTAGAAGCTGGAGAAGGGCTCGAAGGGTTGGTAAACCTAGGTTGAGTTAGTTGCGGAACCACAGCAGCTGTCTAGGTAGTATATGATCCAAGCAGCACTGGTGGGGAGTAGAGGTGAACTAGAGAACGCGGGGTGGACGAAGATGATACGATGAAAGGAAACCAATGTCGTCATACCGAGTTCGCGCCTTCTTCTTCTTCACCTCTCCGCCCCTTCCTTTGATTCCTCCTGTCCAACCTCGCCAATGCACCGCAAATATCCTCCAAAAGCTCCGTTATCGGCTCTTCCTGCTCTTCTTCCACACCCCAATTCCCACGATCAGATATAAAGTCGTCGTCGCTCGCACGCCTCTCTCTGCCAGCCATCCACCTCTGAAACCACCTCTCGCGCGCCTCACCCAAGTCGCCTCGTTCCGCACGCCGTATCTTCAGCCGCGCATACACGGCTTCCTCGCCGCCGCCGCGATGCAGGCGCGACCGTCCCTCTGGCATGGTGCTCGACGCTGTCAAAGTCTAAGTCCAAGCCGGATGATGTGGGAAGAAGTGCGCGCGAGCAGAAGAGGGTCGGAGACGGGCACATGAGGCGCCACTAGGGGGATCCGTAAGGATTACGGGACGAGAAGGGGTGGTTTAGGCTGTGCGGATTGCGGATTGTATTTGCGGTGCGCTTAGGGCGAGGATTGTACAGGTGCGGTTGTGACGGCGGCTGCGATGCGAAGGGTCGCGCGGGGACTACGAGGGTCGTACAGACGGGTGTGCGAGGCACGACGCGGAGAGATATCTTGCTGGCGAGGCGTAGCGGTGCAGCAGGTCGGTAGAAGCATGCGAGACTGGCTCTGCAAGTCGTATCTATGCGGGACGGGGGAATAACGTGTGTCGTGGGATTTGGTGAATCGAATGTCGCGGCGCGTACAGGATCTATCGTCCCGAGGAAGAACAGCACGCTTTCCACCCAAAGCAGGAACGTGCAACGCAAGCAAACGGGCCTCGTGTATCCCGTACCGTCGTCCCCGGCTCTTTTGAGGTGGTCACAAGGCGGGAAAAGCGAGGCGTGGGTGTGCCTGCTGGGTGGTGTTTGAGGAAAGGTGTGTTGCCGATGCCGTGACGTCCAAACGGGCTAGACGGCTACTCAAAACGAGGCAGGGAGAGTTGCGCTGCGATGGCTGATATTGGTGTGAGGGATTGCGGGGGTCTGGCACACCACAAGCCTGAGCTAGCCAGCAACGACAATGGTCTGGATTTGCGAGGGAGCGATGTGGAGGAGGGGTTGATGACGATGTGGTGGTGTTGAAGTCGTGAATGAGATGGATATCAAAAGCGAAATCTCGAGACGCAAAGATTATGATACCACAGCCAGCAACACAAATGAGCCAGCTCTCGAATCACACGAGGCCGGGATTCCCCACGCGTTAAAAACCTCTCTCAAAGTCCGTCCCCTCGAACGCAAATTCTCTCCAACCACACCCCAGCCGCATTGCCATCCGCATCCGCATCCGCATCCGCCCTGCGAATCTCTGCTAGTCTACATCGTGTATCCTCGGACGCATGTCTCCCTGCGCCCGCAGCGCGGCTGTCTCTGGGCAGCGCAATTGGCCAGCCGAACGCATGTTTTGAGGAGCTGCAAGTGCTGCGTGGCCATGGTGGAGAGAGGCTCTACACCGCCAGTTGGGCTGCCGACCTCTCAGAAGGCGGGAGGGGTGGGTGCAGTGATGGCGCCGGCCAATGGGGAGGGCCAAGGGGATTGGGGGCAATTTGGGTGCTGGGACGGGAAAGGGGATGGACGTAATAAATGATGGCAGATGCATTGCTGGGAGTAGCCAAGTAGGAATGCATTTAAGTTGGGACTCTGGAGTGGGTGTGCACTGTGGAATCGGTGTTGGTTAGTGGCAGGAGACGGTGGGAATATATAAGCCGCTGCAGCAGCTCGGGAGGAGGAGATGCCCACTCTTCAATGGAAAGATTAGTGGCCTTCTCCTCCTTCTTCAGACTTCTGGACTCATCTGTCAAGATCCTCTATTCCAGTTCATAGCCTCGACGCAGTATACAGTACTCCGTACTCGCACTTCACATGCGGGTGGGGCGCGCCAACGAACAGCTGTCAGCGTCACTGTGGAGCGCGGGACCCATCATGGATCCATCGCAGGGCTGTCCTCCCGAGGCACCTACAAGTAAGTACAAGTACACACGGGAGAAGACGAGAGGGGATTAGCGTTGTTGCGATCCCATGGGCGATCCATGGATGTTTGCTTGCCAGTGATGAAGTGATTGTGACTCGAGATCCTTTTCACAATTAGCTACAAACAATTTAGGAAAACCGCCACAGGATCGTAGCAATTAGATTAGAACAATGAGAATATTATATCTATCCATTATCGAGCTAACATACGACGACCCACACCCCGCTCTCTGCTCATCCGGGTATCTGATATTCATAGCAAATAGCAAACAATACTACGAGAGAAAATACTAGGCACGTACGTACGTACCTGGGAGAAGTCTATAAAGGATAGGAATGGAAATAGAAACAGTCGTCTATGGCCACCAATAAACGTAACAAGAAAAGAAAGAATGTTCAGAAGAAGTAGAACAGAAGAAGTAGACTAGAACAGAACTAATTCCGCTGGAAGCTTAACTCGAAAAGATAGAAACGATTGCTGCGGTGCTACATTGAGTGGATGCGGGTATCCGTTTGTGGGAAGGGGACCAGTCAAGTCCGAGGCCAGTGTTCGTGTGCATGGGCACACATATTTTGAAGCTGGGAAAAACGAGAAAAGCGAAGAGCAAGATGCAAAGTGAACGAGAAGGAGAAACAAAGGAAAGAAACAAGTGACGCTAAAATGCAGCAAAACACTTCCAGAAAGTAGACATCAAATATCATCCCTCCCCCTCTCTTTATCAGATCCATTCGAGAAACATGAGAAATTTGAACGAAAATGAACGCACTTCACGAAAGGAGCTTTCCGTCCTCCACCTCCTCCCCACTCAACACCCTCCTTGCCTCGTCCAACCTCCTCCTCCACTCCTTCCGCTCATACCGATCCCCCGCCGTACTCTGCAGCCTCGCACACACCTGCTGAAAGCTCGCCGCCAAGCCGTATATAAGCTGTTTCTCCTCCTCATTCAGCGCAAGGCGTACCTCCTCCTCTTGGGATGACGACGGGGGCGCTTCGAGCAGGATGTTGTAGATTTTGGAGGTCTGCAGGCCGGAGGCTAGGTCGGAACCGGGAGAGGAGCCGCGGGAGATTTGAGAGGCCGTGGTGAGGGCGGGGGAGTGCGGGCTGCTGCTGGCTTTGTTGCGGACGTTGATGGCTGAGTCGGAACGGGGCGCTGTGATGCCGAGGCCGAGAGCGTTTTTGGTTGTGTGGTTGGAGAGGAAGGATTGCTGACTGGGCAGGAGACGTTGGGAGAATTGGTTCAGCTGCGCGGATTCTTCTTCTTCGTCCTCTCCCTCGTCATCGGATTGTTCCGCTGCGGCGGTAGCGAACGAGGCGACGGTCGAGACGGAATCGACACTGGCATTCCGTTGATGCATTGACAGCCTCTTCTCTGACACGTCGCCATCGTAGAGCGCGGTTGTCGGCCTAGTCGTCTCCACGGAATCGGCCGAGCTAGAGCTGGATCTGCTGCTCCTTCCAGAACTGTATGATCCCATGGCGCTGTGCAGGAAGAAGTGCTCGTAGTCAAAGGCGTCTATTCGGTCTTCGTGACGTTCAGTTATCGGAAATTCGTAGACGGCATCCTCATAGACACTGTCGCCGCCAGTCTCGACGTCTGCGTCCACAGAGACGAATTCGTCGTCGAGGCCGTCTTCGGAGTTTTCGTCATCGTAGTCTTGGAGGTCTTCGTTATAATGCTCGGTCGGTGAGTCCTTCTGATAAGCGTCGCCTGAACTTTCCTTGATAGACCTCTTTCCGTCTGCAACATACTGCGATGCTTCATGTTGGGAGCTTGAACCCGCATGTTTGTCACGCGGCTCCTCCTCCTCAAACAAAGTCTTCCGTACCGGCGACTCGGTCTTCGTGCCCACTCCGGCATCTGCCGTAACAGGTGAAGCGCCCGTTTCATATGCGTCTCCACTGGCATACCACGCCTCTGCACAAGTGAATGGACTAGGCGTTCGCAAGCTCTGCAGACTCCGCCTCCGCAAATTATCCTCCTTGGCCTTCTGCTTGAGACTGGAAATGCGTCCCTTAAGATCCTGCATCTGCGCTTTCAGATCCCCCGTGGTAGACGAAGGCCGAAGCTGCTGCTGCGGGCTGTCAACGTCCTCCGGCAACGTCTCGAGCGTCGATGGTGAGCGTGAACCTCTGGAGTCGTACGACCGCAAAGACGCATCCCGTTCTTCGTGATTGCTCCATGCTTGCCGGGCATCGCGCACTGCTTCCAGACTGCGCGACTCTCGGATGGGGAAACGGCCCTGGCCGAACCCCTCGGGGGACCAAGGGCCACTGGCGGCACCCATTGCGCTCGATGCGCGCTTGTTGACCAGTCTGCTTGTGTATGCAGGGGTGAAAGGTACTGGGACGGATGTTTCGCTCATTCCTCTGGAGTGGCCCGGACTGCTGTTCGATGACAACGGAGAAGAGTAATAAGGTCTTGTGCGTGGCGGTATAGGGCCCTGTCCCGCGTATAGCCTCCTATCTCTCTCTCGTACCGCTGCCAGTTGATGGGGTAATGCTGATTCCGCCCTCATGCTGGTGAGTGTGGGCGATATGACAAGCGACTGTCGTGCTCCTCGAAGATTCCCTTCCATGACCTATCGAAGTCAGCATCGGCTCTAAAATACGTGCTCCCCATTTCACAGGCGCAAGGACGGAATTCTACTGCAGTACATACATTCAAGCGCTTCTTCGCATTCGCCAATATCATTTCCGCCCGTCGACTTAAGGCAGCCGACGAATACGCCTCTTCATCCCCATCACTATGCCCCTCCAGCCATCCCTCATTCTCCATCTCATCCTCAGTGCCGGAAATCTCAGGCAGCCTGTCCCGCTCCTCCCCTTTCTCCTCAAGAACCACGCCGCTGTCGTCAAAAGCAGCAGCGCCGGGGCCGTCGAAGGCGGGCCAAGTCATATCCTCCAGATCTTCGCTGTGCATGGAGCTCGATGCATTGCTCAACCGCTTTTGTTCATGATGCCGCCAGTCGTTCAGTGGATCTCGTGACATCGCGTCCGCAATGGTCGGTGAGGAAGCAATTGTGTTGTCGGTTCTCAGGGAGCCATCTTTCCCCTTTGCGCAGGTGTCGGCGCTGCCCATGGTTCGCAGGGTCGAGCGCGAGGACCTTGAAGAAAGCGGCGGGGATCTTATATGAGGAGATGGTTCGCGGCGGGCTTGGGGAGTAGCAGATATCACGGTAATGGTACTTGAGGCTCGCTTGCTGCACGTATAGGACAGGCTCGGCGGTGAGGGCGGGCGCTCTGCGTAGGGGTTTGGGGAGAAACTGCGCAGAGGTGCCTCGGGCAGAATCATGTCCGCGCAGGACAACGTTGGGGAGCGCGGAGACGGAAGCCCAGAGGGCGCCGCTGGTGGGAGAGGTTGTGCTTGTGCCATGATGATGATGCTGCTCGGGGGTTATGTTGGGTTGCAGCGGGACATGGCTTGGATTCCCGGTCCAGTTTCGAAGCTTGACTCTGTTTGGAGAATCGAGCGCGGCGCGTTGTTTTGTTCGTCTCGGGCGACGGCGAAACAGAGAGGGGGCGTCGAGATGGTGAGGATACGGAGGAGAGGCGCGTGCGAGGATAATGAACAATTTCCTCACAGCTGGCAACGGGCAACGGCGCTGGGCACGGTTTCCGAGAGAGATTGGGTTTGGCTGCACTGGCCACCTATTCCCATCTCAAGTGCTGGCACCCAGCGCCCAGGGGCAGCTTCGGAGATCACAGGATTCAACGAGATGGATCGCCCCGGTAATGACCACGGACATGTCCGCCCGGTGCGCTTCTTTTAGGCTCAGGGGAGGGACTGTCATTGGAGTGTCGCAAATGGAGCTGTCATGCTAAGGGCATCCCTGCCAGGCACAGTTTTGATCCAACTCTTGAAAACACATGCGCCATGCGGGGAATTCTACCAGCAAACTGCTAACTTGCCAAAGCATTTTAGATATTATCGCTCGAGGGAAGACACTTTTTGTCTCAATTACGTGTATTGGCGGAGGTTTGCACGTGTTCGCCTCTGCCTTATCCCTCGATCGAACAGTGCACATTTCAAGAACAATCCGTAACCTGAATACCGCATTACCACAGTTGTATTCACCTTCAATGCGCACCACATAGGGGCAGGGACCGTTATATGTCGTCATCCCCTAGATCCCGACTCGCAGTTACACCCATGCTCATAGCACAATCTGACATCTCATCAATCTTTCATGCATTCCATCTTGATCTTATTACCTGAACGACATTACAGGTGTGTACCCTCTATGAACACCCGTGCCTAAGATGGAACCGTCTCTGTATACATAGTAACGCCATTGAAATGCTCTCTTGAAAACCGAACTCCGTCTTTCGCTCATGCACATGCACCTTCGCTATGCAAAAAAGTAGAAAGCAAGTTCGATCAAAAAAAGTCATCATCGTCGTTCCAGCCCAGAGCGTCGTAGATTGACGTTTCTGTGCCTTCGTTCGTGTTGGAAGGGCCAGGTTCGGATTCGAGCAACTTGCCTGGTTTGATAGGTGTGGCCGCTACAGCTGCGGGGGCAACAGCTTCTTCGATCGCCTGGTCTTTGATTGGTGTTGCAAAGATCACTCCAGTCTTTGCAGTTGGCGAAGTGGGTGGATTTCGTCTAGGTTTGAGAGGTGTTGCGAAGATTGCGCCTGGTGAAGCGCTTACACCCTTTTCCTTAGACGCTTGAGCCGGCTTGCCCGTTATAGTTGTTGTTGGAGCAAATATCGCCCTGCGGCATGCCCCTGGGGAGTCGAGAATTTTACGAGTAGGCGGCCTGCTTGGGGTTTCGGTGACTGCAGGTGCAGTGGCTGTCCGTTCTAGAACGTTGCGCTGCACTGTCGCAGGAACAACAGAACGTGCGGCCGAAGACGGGATACAGAAGCTGCTTGACGGTATGGTTTCGTTGAGATCCCGAGCAAAGGGGTCGCGGCGATGGCTGGGGGTAGCTTCTACCACAATTTTGGTCCTGCTTCCTACTCGTGGCGTGGCAGACACTTGCACATCTTTCTGGATCTTGCGAACAGTAGTGGCAGGCTTTCTAGATCGGTTGTTCAAGCCTAGCCCTAACTTCTCGATTTCATCGACGTAGCTTCCGGCCGCAAGCCCCCTATTCGGCTTCTTCAGAGCGGTGATGGCCTCCCTAAGGTCTTCTTCGACTCTCTTCTTCTGTTTGAGCTTCGCGGCAGTTGCTGCTGACGGTGCACTCAAATCTATCTGCCGCCCCTTGAGATGCTTGAAATGAGACAAAGATGGTCTGGCTGTGGCAGTCGAAGGGCTGCGCTGAAAAGGTATCGCAGCTAAGGGGACTTCACTCGCTTCCCGCTTTATTCCGTTGACGAGCGTAGAGTCCGTAGCGGAACGGTTGAGCGAAGGTGTAGTCCCCCTCTGAGCTATCTGAGAAACGGTGTCAGTAGCCACACGATTCAACGAACGACGCGCCTTCTTCGCTTCAGGTTCTTTGGGTTCTCCAGACTTGCGCGATGTTAGGGGAGGCTTTGTCGCTTTTCTTTTGGGGGGTGACGCCTGCACTGGACCGCCCAGCTTCTTGCAAATCATGACAGCCTGCTCAGGAAGCCTACTCATGTAGAAAGGAATGATGACCTCTACGCAGAAGCTTTGGAGCCTATCGCCACCGCCAGATTTGGCAGTCTTCGAGGGCTCACCTCGGGTACTCGGTGACTTTGCATCAAAATCGAGAATCCCGTCCTGATCCACGGACTGCCAGATACAAAGCTTGTCCAACAACAGATCGAGCAGCAGTCTGACATTATCCATCTTCTTCTTGCGCTTTTTGTGCAATGCGGGTGGGTCCCCGGCCTGCTCCTGGCCTTGTTTGAACGGATTGGAACCCTCTGGCCGTAGATCATTTCCAGCGTGACTGTCTTGCTGCTCATTGTGGCTGGGGTTTTGTGAGAATTCTTTACCATTTGACAAAGCTTCAAGCGCAATGATCTCCAACATCAAGATCATCTGTGCCAGGGTCTCGCGAACCCGCAAATCACCTACCCGTCTCTTGATACGTTGCTCGAGGGTTTCATCTCCATGATGGTCCTGGCCTGGTATATCAGATACCCACCATCTTCGGACAATGTCATCCTCATGCGGATACATTCCCTCTCTGCTTATTTTCATCTTCTTCTTCGACCTTTTGGGCTTTGAAGAACCATGCGCGGGTTCATCGTCCGAGAAAGCCGCGGGTAGAATGGCTTTAACAACTTCCGGTAACTTCTCTAGGTACTTTTTTTCGCCTGCCTTATGGCTGAGCAGCATAGACCTCAAGAAGTCGACCAATTCGCAAGTACGTGGTGCGCCTTCTTCCGCTGATGTGAACACATTCCGTACTCGAGTAATCGGTCCCTTTACGAAGTATGCCAATGACGTTTTCGACAGATAGACGGCATCCAGATATTGCTGTACAAGGCTGTCGAGTAGTTGTTGTGGGTTAGGAGCCTGCAGGGGCTCGACCAAATGTGCTTCTACGCCGATGTCCGGCACTGAGGACTCTTGGAAAGGGTCCGGCAGGTTGCGGCCGACTTCCCCAATTCTCTCTACTTTCTGCTGTGGGCTAGGTCTCAGCATAGCTAACCTGGGCTTCCTGACGGGCACCCGCCACGGCTCAGTCTTGACAGCTGCTCTCTGCCACCATGATCCAGCCTCAGTGGCAGCGTTACCACTCCACAGTAATGAGGGACGCATGTCGGTGTTGTTGGAGCCCGATAGCAATTCTATGTCACGTTCCTTCAGCCAACCGGCAAGCCTGCAGAGGCTGTATATCCCCGGCTGCACCCGTTCGATCGCATACAGCATGTCATCTGCCCGCCTGCGAGCAATGAGCACCTTGGATATCGTAACATCTTCGTCTTTGGAACCGTTTCGCGTTTCCAACACTTCCAGGTTTGCCGAGAATATCCGACTCGTGAAGCTCTGATCCGGCGAGGTATCCAGATACGTCAGAGGCAGATGTGCCCTACTGATGAGACGCATGCGATCGAAACTTTGTGGAACCGCGGCATCTGGAGGGTAGGATCGAATACTGAATGATGATATGGAATTGTCGCGCGCGCCGGTGCTCTCTCGAATATGTTCTTTCGGTTCGGAGTCGGGCTGTGGAAGTCCGAGGATCTGGCTAGGAACTTTAGACATGGAGTTGAGCATGGTCTCCGGGTGCAATGCGTAACCAGACATGGGAGGTTATCATGATTGCGCGGTTTGGGTCGTAGAAGTTGATACTTGTAAGAATATCAATCGCCGTCGTTGAGGTGTTCGGCGCGTCCAAGTCGTGATGTGCGACGCGCGAAAACTGGTCTGTGCGTCTCGGGATGCGGACACTCAACGCCGACCGAGAACCCAACTGCAACGAAGCCGATAACAACCAATGCCATCGCTATTACAAGGTAGCGCTCATTCGACCTAAAATATACGGACTTCCCGATCGAAATGGCTAAACCATCACCCTGCACTCACTTCTTCCACCGTAACCTCAAGGTACCTTGAAACGGAACCCTACGGAACCCTCCCATCGCATTCAAGGTCTGCGCCAACGTCCCTTGCAACCGCCTCCTTTGCGCAGCGGAGATTAGCTTCTCGATATTCGACTGGCTCCACGTTCGCGGCTCTCAGGATCCCTTTTTGGAAACGAGAAATGGAACGACAGTATCCTGAATGACGACGAAAAGGGTCTCACGCGGACGCGCATCAAATAGCCGAAGTTGTACTCGACTGCGCCTACATGTAGTGCTCCACGCGCACCGAGGTTACGAAGCCCCTGAACAACATGACCAGTTACATGGGATTAAGTTGCCAGCATTGAGCGGATGCGAAAAGTGGAGTTTGTACTGTGTACTGTTTGTACGACATACCAAGCCTGATGGTGCGTCGGCGGACTGCCGCTCAAGCATTTGAACGGTCACTGACCGTCCGTTTACTGTGCTACGTGGGGTTGGACACTTTCTTTTCGTCCTCCGCATACATGCGGAATGCGGAAAGGCCAACTCGCAACATTACCAGCTGTTACATTTACACGCCCAAAATAGGGGCACAAGGGGATCTGATGCATATACTTGTTAATGAGCTCTGGGAAGGGAAGCCGGGGAGGTATGTGTCGCCCAGTTTGAACTCTTAGGAAATGTGGGCCAGATGCGAGATAGAGCAAAAGTGCGGGCAAAGTCGTTGAGAACGTCAGTCCGTTGAAATACGAGGGCTTCAGTAGATTAAGGGACAAAATCAGTATCTGAATCATGATTTTTATGTTTCGTTGTCATGTCAAGTCCCGTCTGTGTGACGATAGGATGAACTTCGCGCCTGCGGCCATGTGCTTGCCCTGCCCCTAACGGCCCGCCCGGCTAACTGTGGGGCTCCCGAACGTGGCTGGCTCGTGTGGCTGCTACCTGGTCCATGCGCTGCCATGCCAACACACGGCAAAGCGTCATACCGATAATCACACACGATTGACGTTCGCTCCTCTGCTGGACAATTGCTAACTGGCAGTTAGTCTACCTGGTTTCACTGCCAGAGTGCGTCTTCTTATAGCAACGCCAAATTCATCGCGTCCTACCCACTGGCCGATCAACTTGTTTACCTCACTTTGCGGCTATCGGGATTAAGATAAGAAACATTTTTCTACCGACGGAGGCGCATTCCACGAACCCGGCTACCATCTAGCTCGAAGTTGAGAAGAATGCGGAGACTCTTGAGTGCAGCGTTTCTCCTGTTCACCATTGCGAGTGCAGCGCCAGATTTCGTCGTCGACTTCACCCAACCACAAGCTGGAACTCCCGCAGTGGACAACGACACTATCGCAGACGATGGCAGTCTAGAGCTGGTAAAAAGGCAAAACAACTGCCGTAATGGCTACTCTCCCTGCATCAATCTCAATGCACCCGGCCTCTGCTGCGAGATCGGTGACGTCTGTTCCCGCGACGCCGCCAACAACGTCGCCTGCTGCCCTGCGAACTCAGCATGCACAGGAACCATCCGACCCGTAGTCCCTACCGGTACCCCGACAAGCGCATCCTCCTTCGTGGCCGGCACAACTCAAACAACCTCGTCGTTCGTCCTCGCCACCACCACCACCGGGACATCGAATTCGTTCGTGCAATCCAGCGCGGCGGGGTCCTACGTCCGATCCATGGTACCGAATACCTTCTACCCTTTCCCATACATACCGACGACTTACATCAACGCAGCCGCTTGCTCTCAGGCTTATACTAGCTGTCAGGCGGATGCTATGAGCTGCACGAGTGCTCTGGCGAATGGCGTTCCCGGAGTCACTGTTTCCGCACCAAATGGAGGAGCTACAATCACGGCGATTGCAAGTCTGGGACCTGAGAGGGCGGCCGCTGTGTGCGCGAGTTTGAGCAGTCAAGCGTGTTCGGGGCTTATTGTCGAGGCGTGTGCGAGGTTTGGGGACGGGGCTGGGAGTGCGGGTGGAGCAAGGACACTGTGCGGAGGAATGTACGGGGTAGGCGCTGGCGTGGCGGTGGGCATTGCTGGCCAGCTGCTGCGGTAGGGATGGAATATCGGCAGTGTGAGCTTTCGATTCTGTGTGGATATAGGTATGGGATGAGTATAAATGGGTGGGTGATGTGTCACGACATTGCTTTCGCATGGCGTTGGAAGTATGCAATTCAAGGGTGTTTAAGCGGGCAATGAAGTTCATGGAGGAGAGTATCTTAAGTTTCGAGAGTCCATGATATACACAGTACTTTGGTTTTGTGTCAGCGTGGTATTGATATCATTCCGGAAAGTCATTCATTGTACAAGTGAATTCACAGAACGAGTTATAGGATACATAGGTCTTCCACTCGTCGAGTTTCTTACAGTTCTCGCCATGCAGGCCTCATTGGCTGCTCCTCCCTGGTTCGTCACGTCGAGACACAGCGGCTGGGCTGGCAACCAGCTGAAGGCTGCAACTGGTCTGATCCAGCGCGTTTTTGTCCATTCTTACACCACACCATCACCGCTATGCCTCGATTCCTTCGCGGTTCACCCGCAGAAACTGTGCGCACGGCAGCTGGGCACAGGCTTATGGACTGGGAGGGATTTCTTGTAAGAATTAATGGTACGAGTAATTGAACTTAGCTAGAGGTTTACGCCACACAGACAATCACACACAAGGAAGCGAAAGACCTGGTACAGGAAGAGCCGAGTACAAACTGGCGAAGACTGCCGGCCTCCAAAAAGCAGACTGTATTTCGGCGGGTGAATGCCAAACTTGCCGCCGAGGGGATTCCTCAAGTCGAGGAAGACGTGCTCATTTGGCGAATGTCGCAGGCTATCCGCGCTGCTAGGAAGGCTGGTAAGTATTATTCTCTTTGAACAACCTTCCTGCAATAAGTATGTGTGCAATGGAACGTCTTACGGAAGTACCTGACCTGTATAAGTCAACAGAGAAGCCGAAACCGCAGTCTTGAACTCCAACACAGCGGCTGGTACTCGTCCCTTCGATCCCGTGAGGGACTCACTTGCCATGCAGTCTTCAAGGGTTCTTTGCCCTCATTCAGGTGATAGCTAGCATTCGCGCCCTATTACGTATATAATCGGTGACACTCCCGTAATTCAATTCATTACTACGTTCCGTACTCCTAGGCTTTCTGTTTGAATTAGTCGTTGAAGTTTGCCAGTCAGAACACCAGAATTTAAGCTTCTTGGTCCGTGAAAACATGTTAGGTGGGACAGTCTTCAATGCGATCTCCTCGTCATGACGCTTCTCGTTAGGTAGCTCGACCGTATATGGATATCTTCTACCTGCAAAGGTGCACGAAAACAGGTACGCGCGCAATGCCATTGTCCGAGAAAGGAACCTGGTTTCGAAATCACCTCTATGGAAATAGCGACCTTTTTACAACGACATCCTTGGAATCCTTAATATACTCCAATATGTTTTCACCACATGAGGCGACACCGATACTCCGCAAGGAATGCACTAGGCTTAAGGAATATCCCGTAAACACCTGTAGTCTCGCTTGAAGGCGAGGCAAACCTCAGTCCATCAGAAAGCCGCCCGGTACTCCGTACATGACCTAATCCGCCTGACCAAAGAACGAGGACCCGCTTTCACTCATATACTGACACAGCTAGTAATAACGACGATGCGCTCGCTGCTGTTTCTTCAGCTGCGCTGCTTTTTGCCTCTGCAGCGCGGACACATGGGATTGCCACCCGCTCGCCCACTGCAACCAGTTCTCCATTTGCTCTTGTACGTCGTCGACGAAGCCGTCTATACCTCGAGCGTATATCCAGAGGGATACCGTCGCTATCCCAGCCCACATCACCAGCGAGATCCCCAACCGGATCCATGCTATCACCACGCGATATGCCGTATGTAAGATTTTGTAGGCGGCGAAGAGGACCAGAACGAGGATGAGGATCGATTTGAAGTCGGGTTCTGTCGCCACGCGGTTGACCAGAGGTCTCAGCGCGGTTTCGGCGGTTTTGTAGATTCCCCAGACGAGCGATATTATCGACGTCAACATGCTGATTACGGGCGAAGGAAGGACGTATTGAAGGAGGTCGAGATAGTCTATGGGCTCGTTAGATGGTGGCATTCCTTTCTTTCTTTTTTTTTTGTGCTGAGATTCAAACAGACCCACTATCATGTCCCAAATGGCTTCATGATCAAACATGGTGAATAACGTCCGGATATCTGTTGCGAATGTATGGTCGAGTAGGGAATGCGAAATGCGGTCGCAGTAGGTGTTAAAGGTCTGAGTCCCGACAGCGGGTTGTTTTCGCGACGCCAAACAAGGGAAACCAGCGGTTCTTTCAGTTGCGGTGCGTGCGACGGCTGCGTCGTCACCGTGGCTGTTCCGTGCTCGCGTCTGGGGAAGTTGCTGAGCAAGGGTGCCCTGCAGTGGGTCTTGGCGTGAAAGACTACACTGGAAAATGCAAGTCCGCTAAGTCCTTCACAATAACGATTTTTACACGGATTCTTCGTGCATCCGATTGATCGCTGCTCACTATTAATGGCAGATGGTCTCGCTACCCTCGGCTCCAAAACTCCCCGCCTGGTTATGAGGTTCAGAACTTTTTGCACCATCAGTTGTAGTTCTTTTCTTCCGTCCTGATCCAACTCCCATCACAGCCGTAAACTATGGTAGTATTGTAGACTGGTGACTTTCTTGATCTAAATGTCTCTGCCATGGAACGCTCTGACAAAGGTTCCTCAAAACACCGAGGGTTTGGGGCTTAGTGTAGTGGCGCAGAAGAGATTAGAACTGGCCGAACTTCGAACTGTGGCCAAGTAATTGCGGTCACTAAGCGTGTTCCCTGCGTTAACCATGTTCATATCAAGTCCTGATACGGAATTAAAAGGCAAGGTAGATGAGCTACTCCACCGGACGCGCACCCAGCTTCCAGCGACCTTTCCTCCCAAACGGAGATTGCGGTACCGGTCTGCTTGTAAGATATAAGATGGAATGAACGCGATTCAAACAACTGTTGCTGTAAATGCTGTGACGGCGGATTCTCTTACGAATAAGGACAATGGACGCCAGCCTCTCGTCATATGTTGTCCAATAACAATTCGCACACAACTTGCGTTACTGGAACATGAATTTGAGCTCTCCTATTTTGATTGCACCTTCAGCACATTTAAACCCATCCATGATACGATTGGTCCATGCTTTGTTGTTGCACAGCGATGCCGTAAAGGATGCGGCTACACTGTCTCGCGGGCCCACTTCGCCCAAGGCTCCGAACCGACGCACTGGACAACAACAAAAGCATAATAGCAGTAACTGGCCCCTATTGTGCCTAATACTACCTGAAATAACATTTTCCCCATGTCTTGGCTGTTACCAATGCCGCCATGTATTGCGGTGGTCGCTCCGCTCGCTCCGTTTGCCGTCCGTCTTTCACCGACGACTAGCTACGTCACCCACGTCCTATCCTTCCAAAGGCCTCTCAGGCTTTCGGAAACTTTCCATGTCTTTCGCCGCTCTTTGCTGAGGTAATCGCCTCGCTTAACGCTGCCCACACAGTATATAAATCTCTGTTGTGCCCGCTCCTCCCTCTCTCTTACTATCCACTCCACTCCACAACACTCAACTTCAATCTCTGTTTCGCCACCATGAGGCGCACACAGTATGTTAACACCTATTGTTACTTCTATTTCACCCCACTGAGCATCTTCAGACCAACCATCACGCCTTCTTCCACATCCATCACGGCCAGTAGAGGTCCGGGTACCGCACGGGGTCCCGGTCTCACTGGTCGCATGCCAGCTGGGGGTCGGCCGGACACTTGCAATGCATTTGGCAGTGGCTCTGGGCTCCTCACCGTACATGCTATGCGCGCGTAAGTGAGGCGGTGCACGCAGGCTTAACAGCCGGTCCCGTCCGTTGAGGAGGGTCACCCATGAGGGGCATTGGCAACGGGTCTGGGATACCCTAGCGTAAGAGCACGAGGTTCCATTTGAAATGCAATTGGCAGTGGCTCTGGGCTCTTCACCTCATATGCTCTGCGCGTATGAGTGCGTCGGTGGTCGCAGGCTTAGCAGCCGGCCCCGTCCGTTGAAGAGGGTCATCCATGAGGAGCAGGGACTCAATGTTGGCTCAACTCCAACAACACTCAGGTACGTTATCACTTGTCTATTCTGGTTTGAGTTCCCAAGGTTCCACTGACTCTGAGAGTCACAGGCCACTCGGCCATTCAAACGAACACAAACTTCAAACACTTCACCACACCACATCAACACAAAAGTCTTACGCGCCAATGGGGGACTATAAACAACAAGCCAGTGAGTCAATCCACTGTCAGATCCATTGAACCTTCAGCTACTGGCTCTCCGCAGAAATTTTTAGCTCCGCCTCTCGTCGCGACCTTCAACATGCATCAACACCGCGAACTCGCCTTTGAGGCGCCTACTGGGCCCTCTCATACCAACAAAACAGCAACGGTGACCAATGAACAATGGGTCAAGGTCAGCTGGCATTGAGGCTCAAGAACATGGCTCTCTCGCTCAGACGAGAACCTATCATGTATTTACATTGCCTCCCTGGAAAACAAATATGTTCTCACATCAATGACTTGACCTCGTTTGCCATGACTGTTGACCGTGAACTGTCTGTTTGTGTTGATGTGATGCTAGCTGATAAAATATCGCATGGCAGGCAAAGTCCGTGCAGGTGCGCTTTCGTATTCATCGAATCAACAGCTGCGGCTTGCCTTGCTCCCCGAGCTGATCTGCTTCACTGAGATATTCCGGTCGCTTGTTGAACATACCGCCAACACGGCAGACACACCCATCGCGCTTTGACAGATTTTCTGAATAAGAAAAGGAGATACCAGCGTTGTGGCATGCCATAGGGTATACACTGATTCATTCTGGTATCTTGCAGAACTTCGCCACGACCTAAACCACATGATCCCGCATCCTGCACACCTGCACAACATAGCTACAGTGCATCATCCAAGCGACAACACGTAAAGCACAGCAGCAGCGCTTCCCTCACGAAACCCCAACAAGAACGAAATACAAAAGACAAGCAAAGCGGCAACAAGCCAACGTGTGTGACAAAAAGTGTCTGGTATCACTAAAGAAGACCTCCCATAAAGAAAAAAAAAACATCCCAAGCAAAGGTTCCGTAGTCGATCGTCATGAAACTTATATACGAAGAAGGATAAGGAAAATAAGGGTGAACATTTCAAACGAGACGAGGAGAGTAACGCTGGGTCGTAATGAGACATGAGTGGAGTAGCTCTGAGCGAGAGCGATGTACGTAGCGTTTGGTACAGCGGTAAAGAATGACAGTGCGACGGCAGTCGTCAGTCCCGCCAATAGGGTTGCCCAACGAGACATCACAGGCCAGTATGATGTCTTACTTATGGGCTCTCTCCATAGCGAGCATAAGAGTAATGGAGCGGGCGGTCCGAGTGGTGCGACGGCCGCGGCGCGTTCTCCCGTGGAGGCGAGCCAAACTCTGGATCGAATTTGAAGTCGAATGTCGACGCCTCGGACATCAAAGGGTAGTGGGGGTAGGGCGTCGAGCCGGACTTGCGGGAGGTGTGCGAGCTACGTCGAGGGAAATCGGCGGAAGGGGAGGTAGGTGAGTAGGGTGTTGGTGGCCTGTCCGCGATGGAGGATGAGACGCTTGATTTTCGTCGAACGCGCTCAGGCTTCCGAATGGGGGAGATCGGGGAAGCCTTAGTGGTGGGCAGAGGTGAGGGGTCCCGAGGAAGTTCGTAGCTGTTGATATCTTTCTCAAGAATGGCGGGGGTCCTAGTTGTCCGGACAGTGACGGCTGGCGTTGTGCGCATGCTGGTCTTCTCTGGACGTCTGGTGTATTGACTTGGTCGTCTCCAGGATTCGAATTCGGCATCGTCGAGAGGAGTGACGGCTCGGAGAGAGAACCCGCGGAGCCGTCTCTTGGATCGCTTCCAGAAGAACAGAACCAATGTCAGGACGAGAAGGAGGACCAGAGTTCCGAGGACGGCAGCGAGGATAATCCAAGCCTTCTTGTCCAACATGCTGACGGTACTGATTGCTTTGGAAACACAGTCGTCGACAAAGGGACGGCGTGAATGTAGATAGGTAACGACTGGGCGGGGTCTCCGTTGAATCGGGATACCCTTATCACCGGGATCACTCGACCTCGGAGTCCGTTTCTGAGTATCGATGTGGGGACGAGAGCGAGGGTCAGTTGTTTGTCCAGCCTGGTCCGCAATTGGAAAGTCTTTCGGATATGCGCCGAGTGATTGTAAAGACTGGCGGGAATATTGTTAGTGAGGGGCCGATCGATAGCCACACAAAGTATAATCCTAGTCCACCATGGTTGAATTTGGCGAAAGGCGGCAGACAGGAACAGGTAATTCAACAGCCCGCAGAAGAGCGGAGACACCAAGGGATGTACGGATTAAGTATTGTGGGACAGGCGGAGGGACTCAGCAGACAAGGTCCAAGGTCATGCGGAGAAGGTTTGTTCCACTGAGGACGAAAGAGGAAATGTGGTGTGCGGCCAGCGAGACCTCCGAAAGCCTCACGGCAAAGCGAACGAGAGGCGTCAAAAGAGGGGTGTTATTGTACCTTATAGAGCCCAACGCCTTGGCGACGGCTTCTGCAGGTACCAGAAGGTGGTGGTGGGGTGCAACAAGTTGCAACCAGTGGGGAGACTCCGAGGCTGAAATATCGGTGAGGGAGACAGTGAATTGCGGGATTGCCATCCATGGTGAGGTTTAATTTTGCATGCCTTGATTTGTACCCCGCCCGTTAACAGCAAGGCACATAACCCTTGATAGGAAGCTCGACCGCTTCTCGTCTGCGGTACCTTGCAGGGGACATCTGATACCCCTCCCAACTGGCGACAATGTGGCGGCAGGCATTATTGCGTGAGGACAAGACAGGTGAGTACGTATGTAGCCTACCAGAGGGAACACGATTGCGCAGGGTCTTGAAGTATGCTACTAATAGTCCGATATAGGATTGTGTCAATCGTGAAGGCACCTCGTCGGCGAGATAGATGTGCCGTGTGCAATGTACTGTATACAGAATGGCCGATTCATGTCGCTATTGCCGTCGAGCAGTCAAGGGAGTATGATCAGTAAACTCCGCGCTGTGGCTGCCCCGGACCACGAGCAAGTTATTTTTTGACCGTCAAAGAAAAGTCGGAATTTTAGACACTGCCCCTGAGACCATGGGAGGATTATTGGTAAGGTCAACTCTGTTCGAAGCACACCATATCGATAGCGGGCATGGCGCCCTTCCAAGCCTTCCAAGCAACGACCAATCTCCTGCGAAGAGCGGGCTCTAGGGTCCACCCGCTTCAACCATCCCAGCCGTCCTTCCTCGGCGGACTATAGCCTGGCTCGATCAATTGTTCAACAATAACGGGTGGGACAAGCGATGTTCGTTGTCAAATCTTTTGATGGCGGTGTTGCCAGCTGGCAGTAGACTCCTCCATCATGCTGGGTTAAGAGGCATACTGTGGCAAGGGGCCCTGAGATTCTTGCTCACCACTGACCACTCAGACGAGCCAGGCGATACAAGACTCAAGAGCCGGGCATACCTGGTTCGTCCCATTTCCTCACGCAGGTAACTGCGGTCAGTTTCAAGAGCAGTGATCGTTACATGCTTTGAAGCATCGTATGGCCATGAGATTGCCACATCAGAAATGGTGGAAACTGTCTGGAGGTGTGAGCAACCTGGGAGCAAGCCAGCAGTTCCCTGCTCCCACACCACGACTCCGGCCAATAGGAGGCAGCCGATTGGTAGTCGGTGAATAACTTGGTTCAGCCTACATTCCTCTGGACAGCGTAATAACGCTCATCTGGAAATTTATCAGAGGATGAATTCTCACTTTCAATCTCTGCGAATCCGGGTCATCCATACATCGCAAGTTGGACTAGAAACGTTCAGGGGTTAACTTATGTCCCTTGGTTGCTTGAAGCGCTTCTGGCGCCAATAATTCAAAGGAGATGGAAAGATGGCAGTGGTGGTTCTGGAACAGAGTAGGTATGCGCGTCATCGACCTCGGTTCCTTTGCGGTCTCAAAAGCAATTTCAAATCCGTCAACACTTCTGACACGCGCAACTGCGCAGAGAGGAACGCGAGTCAGACCCGCGTTGAGGTCTCGGAGAGGCCCAAGTTGGCCGTCCCGCAGTTCTGATCTCCAGAACCGTTCCGTAGCCGAAACAGTTTCCGGGATATTCCCCACGAAGACTGCACCACGTTGAAATCGAAACATGAATTATGTCTTCTCGAGAACCAATGCATCTCTATCTCAGACTGTCGGAGGTTCAAATGTACGACTGTATCCTGTCGTACAAATCGGAGACGAGCGATGCCGTGGATTCCGGGGCCTGGCTCGGTAGTGAACTTCCTAGGTTTCTTTTCTCTGGACCTTTTGTCTCGGCTAAAATCGGAGAATGCACGTGGACGTCGATCGTCCGCGCCATCGGACGAACCCCTTTCCGTTAAAGGATCCTGGGCAGCTCGAACGAGCAGGTAGTCCGGCATGAAACCTGATAGTCTTTATCTCTGTGGCTTGATGTCAATACGAAGTACAATGAAGACAGCTTGTGGATGATGGAGCAGATGATTAGACGTACGGAGAATCGCAAGCACTTCTTCTCGATGTACCGCAGTAACAGTACAGTGCACAGTATGTACAGCGCAGTCACAACCCCGCCAGCGTTCTTTCGGAGATGAGGTCGTTTTTCTACAAGCTGCAGCAAGCCAATCTTGGCTTCCACCAATCGTACCTCTCGGATTCGGGCACTGGATGACTTCGATACGGAATATCAAGCGAAGTATCTTTGTTCTTCCAGCTACATTCCCATCCAGGCGGCTAAGAACTCGCATCCCCTCCGTCATCACGGCTGAAGATTGGGGCAAGCGAGGGCTTCCATGTATTTTCCGTATCAAGGCTCAATATGGTCACCTGAGGAATTCTGAACGGTGGTGCTGACCACCCAACCAACATCCTACCCGCCAATTCGGAATTCCAATAATGTTGTCTAGGTCAAACGGAGAACTGTCTGGAACAGTGTCTCTGGATGCTCGCCCACGGGTGGCCGTTAGTCGCGATAAAGCCTACGCAACCCTACCTCATATCACTGGCTGTTCTTGACAAGGCTCCCTCGTGGAACGGCCAAACATGTTCATGAATCCTTCCATGTGTGCTGACATGTACCGATCCCAGTCGGTACAGTGGTTAGTCATCTGGCGCACGGGCTCACCTGACGCACACTTTGGCCGGAACACCAAAATTACCAAATAATACTAACTCGAGCAATATGGACCCAATTGAGGAGGCGATTGCAGCGTTGCAATCCCTAGAGCTTGGAGAAAAAATTAATATCTCTCAGACTGCAAGAAAATATGGTGTTGAACGATCAACTCTGTCATGAAGGTGGCATAAAATTCAAGGCTCCCGTGCAGCCCAATATGAGAATCAGCGAGTTTTGAACAACCATCAAGAGCAGGAGCTTGTACAGTATATCAAGAGATTGTGTGAGCGAGGCCTACCACCTACCAAGAGCATGATACGCAACTTTGCTAGTGAAATAAGTGGCCAACAAGCTGGGAGCTCATAGACAGATCGGTTCCTCAAGCGTCACCAAGTCGACCTGGTATCTAAATGGACAACTGGCTTAGACAAGGAGAGAAAAAGAGCTGATTCTGCCTTCAAATATGCGCTATATTTTGAGCTCTTGAAGCGTAAAATCGAGGAATATAAGATTGAGCCAGCAAACATGTATAATATAGATGAGAAGGGCTTCCTGATTGGCGTGCTATCAAAAACAAAGCGGATCTTCTCTCGATGGAGGTATGAAGAGGGCAGAATCAAATAGGTTGTACAGGATGGCAATCATGAGTGGATCACAACGATTGCCTGCATATATGCTGACGGATCATCGCTATCTCTAGGCCTCATATACCAGGCAGTTTCAGGCAATATCCAAGACTCATGGCTGCAGGATTTTGATCCTGCAGTACACAAGGCCTTCTTCACCTCATCTCCTAGTGGATGGACAAATGATAACCTTGGGCTTCAATGGTTGAAGACTGTCTTTGATAGAGAGACCAAGACAAAGTCACCACGACGGCAATACCGACTGCTTATCCTCGACAGCCATGGCTCCTACATGAATATGAGGTTCATAAAGTACTGCGACGATAACCTGATCCTCCTAGCAGTTTATCCTCCTCATAGTACTCATACTCTACAGCCGCTTGATGTCTGCTTGTTTGGCCCTCTCTCACAAGCATACAGCTTAGAGATAGTACGCTTTATGCAAGAATCACAAGCTTTCTCTGCTATAACTAAGAGGGATTTCTTTCACATGTTCCAGACTGCATGGGAAAAGGTTTTTACAACTACAAACATCCTCTCAGGGTTTGAAGCCTGTGGTCTCCATCCTTTTAACTCTGAGGTTATCCTGAGCCGATTCAGTGATCCTACGGCAGAGCGACCTTTCTCCAGTGAGAGCTCAAGGTCAACTGTCACAGCTACAGACTGGAGAAAGATCTCGAAGCTTCTGAGGGCAGTTGTTGATGACGTATATGACACCAAGGCCCGGCAGCTCTCACAGACAATACACTCACTATCAACTCAGAATATACTCTTGGAACACGAGAATAAAAGCCTCAAACGAGCATTAATAAATGAGAAAAAGCGCCGGCAGAGAGGTAAGGCTCTCCAGCTTGATCAGCCTCCTAATCAGGATGGTGGAGCTATCTTCTGGAGCCCAAACAAGGTGCAGCAAGCTCGCGATCGTGAAACACAAAAAGAAGCAGAAGCAGAAAGAGAGAGACTTCAAAAAGAGGAGGATATAAAGCACATGGCTGAGGAGAAAGTAGAGAGACAGCGGGTACTAGAGGAGCGACATCATCTGAAGGCTACTCAAAAGGAGATATGACTCCAAGAGGAGGCACAGAAAAGGCAAGAAATAGAGGATAAAAGGCACACCCGGGAAGCAGCTATACAACTCAAAAAGGACATCCAACTTGCTAAACAAGCTCAAAAAAGGAGGGTTCAACAATCTACTATCCCTCAGGAGGTTAGTAGTGGTGAGCAATCTGTTCTTGAGGTTGATGAAGCTCCCAAAGCGATAAATCGCCAGGGGCGGCAGATCAACCTCCCTTCGAGGTATCGTGACTAGATAGCAATATAGAAATATTCTCCATACTTAATTGCCTATTTCTCTACAAAATCTCATAATATTACAATGTATATTGAGCTGTACAGCGTCAAATGCATTTATCGATTCTCAGCGAAAATCGTGCATCAGGTGAGCCCGTGCGCCAGATGACTAACCACTGTATTTTGTCCGGGAGCACACAGGGACAAGAGAGGCAATGTATACGTAGGGAGGCACGCATGATGAGGTATTGCGGCCTTTCGGATGTCCGTAGAAGGAATCCATCAACCTTGCAATTCTAGGGAGGAGGTTGATAGGAAGGGAACAAAGTGAATTCTTCCAGCGGGCTCATAAAGTGCCCAGCCGATACCTAAACGGGGTATCGTTAAACAGCCTTTCGGAGTATTTCGCGCCCGAGTCCATTTATTAACACAATAACTTGCTCATCCTCATCTCCTGTGTACTGTGTAAAACAAGGATGAGTACCAGCTGTTTCTGCTTATATCGGTTCTTTGGTCGTGGTTAAAAAATATGTCGTGACCCCCACAATAGTACAAGTTAAGCGTGGGGGTGACCTTAATATGAATCCGTCCATTTGGTACCAGACGACATATCGTAGCAACGACGATGGATGTGATCCCGTCATCTCAATATTGCAAATTTCGGCCTCCCGACTCAGTGAGCGTCATGCGCTTATTGCATGCTCCTGCTCGATTACATTGCACTGCTGCCGCTTGTACAAAGATGTTTTGCAATAGGAAAGTCTAATACCAATTGTTGCTACTATCAACTGAGAACCCAGGATGATTGTTACATCGTTGAAGGCGCATCTCAAAGTGGCTACAACAACGATAGAGCCAAGATATAGTTATTGAAGCTGACTCGCCTGATCTATCCTATTGGGATCGGCCGAGAGTTGAGGAGCGTGAAGCTCAGTGGTCTGATACCAGACAACCTCATTGAATCTCAACAATGTCGGGAGTTTTGCACTTAAAAAATTGCGTGCATCCTTTTTCAGCCTTCATTCCTCATTCCGTACAGACTTTCAAGCCCTTCAAATTCGAAAGTCAATAAGATCAACCGGCACTTGACGGTGTTGCCCGTAGCGAGAACATAACTGCGCTGCAACTCATCATGCATATGGATTTGTCTGGCTCTGGTTGCACCAAGTTTCAGGGACCTGGGGAAACTACAGTGCATTAGTGACGAGGTTGCTTATTCGCATTGCTGAAGGTATCCATCCATGACTTTGTAAGTACACCGCCTTCAACGTACTTCAACCCTAACAACCGCCTCCGTGCCTTCGACCCAGTTCCCAACTAATCTCGTCCCTGGGACTATCTCTACTTCCCGCATGACCTGCTGCTTTCCACCTTTTTCTTCACCCTCGGAGTCTTCGTCAGTGCTCTCGGAATCGGAATCATCACCGGTTTCAGCTGCGTGAGGCGCATGCATCCAATCCCCCGTCTCCCATATCAGTTTGCACTTGATGGGAGGCAGGCCAAAGTACATGCCCACTATTCCCAGAACTGTGTATGCTGTGCATGATTTCGGTATTTCCATTTCAAATCTCCTCTCGTCGTGTTTCAAGCACCGTTCCTCGAGAGCGTGTTTTGCACTTTCGCCCAGATAGAAAGTAAACCGTATAAGCCGAGCAGCAAGGGAATTGGGATTGACGGCAGTGGTAGTCCGATTGATGACTGGCACACCATACTCGGAACTTAGGTAGGCGTAGCGGGGATGAGAGGCCAGGATATGAGATTCGAGATGGGGAGGCGAGTAGTTGAGCTCGCGGCCGATCAGAGAGAGATAATATGATTCCGCATTGAGGCGCTCCTTTGGAGATATAGGGCTGTAATTGAGCACCTTGAGGTTTCCCAACCTCGCCAACGTCAGCATATAGCCATCTTCTGCGCTAAGGGCTCTTCCATCTGGGGCCTGTAAAGATTGATACAGAGGGTTGTGGGAGACGCGAAGAGAAGTCAGGCCGGGGAAGACGGCTTCGAGCTTATCTATAAAAGACCAGGTTGAAATCTCGTTGTAGGAGAGATCGACTTCTGTTACTGTTGAGGAAAAGATTGGGAGACTGGCTCCCGCGCAAGCCACCTCAGTGATTTTGTTCGATTTGAGCACCAGCCTTTGCAGTTTCGGTAATTTCGTCAGAGGGTGCAGGTCAGACAGTGAAGTAAACTCATTCTCATCCAAACTGAGATCGGTTATGGTCGTTGTCAAGACGTGATTGCTAAGCGTGGAGTAGGCGTTACTTGATGCGACAAATGTTGTAAGGCGGGGAAAAAGAGTCGTGATATCCGTAATCTGGGGTAGAATCAATGATCCGCATAATAGAACACTTGCATAGCCACGCACCTGTTCCCACTGAAGTAGAGTGTTTGCTAAACGTAGCGAGCTAACGTTCTCGAATGCCTTCATACATAGTTGGCGTTCGGTTGGCGTCAAGCTCATGTCACGAAAGCGGTTGCTACTGTAAGGAAGTCAGCATACAGTTGTATGCACATGGATCTCCAGCATACTCGACTCGTAAGCTTCTCAGTTTCCCTAACTGCTCACAGATAGAAGCTATTTCTCTCCATTCCTCGAACAGATTCCGACTCAGGTCGAGTTCGGTAACTTTAGGACAAGTGTCCGATATGTCAGTGAGATTGGAGGGCCATGCATCAGCATCGGTGCTTTTATTCCTTGCACTCAGCCGGGCAATGGGCCGCCACATGCATAAGCCGTCTAGGATAACGATACGCAGTTCGTGGAGGTCGGCAAGCTGTTTTCTGATTTTGTCGAAACCAACTTCTTCCACCTCTTTCCCGCTAATACGGATGGGTCGATTCTGTTGACTGAGGGTGTCTTTATTCGGATCTGCTTGAACGAAGACGATCTGCACATCGGGATCTTCCGAGTACTCGGAGGCATACTTTGCCTTCAATGCTTCCACGAAAGAACGCGGTGTATCGAATTTGCGTGTTGGCCGTACAAATGAACCAGCCGTTGGGTTATTGCTGATACCTGACCCGTCAGCGTCAGTTCGCTACTTCGCTTCTCGATGTACAAGCAGCGTGGCGGATTTCGTGAAGCAGTTGCGCACATTCGAAGTATTTCAATCCTCCATGCTCCCCGGAGTGTTTTCCGCGGCTTGGCTCATCCCATTCAACACCGAGCCATTTCCCGGTTGTCCCCTTTACTTCCCCATAATATCTCACTGTGCAGAGCTGCCCGTCGAAGGAAAGCCGCTTGCCAGCATAGAAAGCCTCATCCATGGCGGTCGCTGGGGAGAAACCCAGAAACAGCACCCGTAGTCTTAATCACAAGCCCATAAATTGTCCAGATCATGTAGGAGGAAACTCTCTTGTTGGCGGATAATGTAGTTCGTGGTCGTCGAAATAGCGAAGTTTGGGTGAGGCCACACGTGACTATAAACCAGATAAGGCTAGCGTGGGTGGCTAACGCAAGGACCATCTATATGTATTTCTCCTCGACCTTCGTAGCTTCACTTCACGCCTACAACTCCGTACAAGAGTCCCAGTTGAGCTCCACGTTCACGACATGGACTACCAAGTAAGCTCTGGACCCCCAATTTGTTGATCCCCTATATTAACCTCACGAGAATCGAGCAGGATCCAAGTTCGGAGGTGGAGGTGTCGCCTCTACCTCTGCCACCAATGCCGATCGCCGCGAACGTCTTCGCAAGCTCGCCCTTGAGACCATTGATCTCGACAAGGATCCATATTTCTTCAAGAATCATGTTGGCAGCTTCGAGTGTAGACTGTGTCTGACCGTGCATCAAAACGACGGCTCGTACTTGGCTCACACGCAAGGACGGAAGCATCAGACCAACTTGGCGCGCAGAGCGGCAAAAGAGCAAAAGGAAGGGAAACAAGACAACATCATCCCTGGTTTGCTCGCTGGTGTACAAGTCCGAAAGAACGTCATCAAGATCGGCAGGCCAGGCTACAGAATCACAAAAATCCGCGATCCTGTTACAAGGCAGTACGGGCTGCTCTTCCAATTCCGGTTCCCTGAGATTACAACGGATACGAAGCCCCGCGTTCGATTCATGAGCGCCTATGAACAGAAGATCGAGGAACCGGACCCGAACTACCAGTACGTTGTTGTTGCTGGGGAACCCTACGAAACCGTCGCCGTAAAAATACAAGCGCGCGAAGTGGATAGAAGAGAAGGAAAGTTCTGGACCTGGTTCGATGAAGACAACAAGGTGTTCTGGGTCCAACTCCTGTTCAAGACGGAGCGTGATGAGCGGTTCAGCGCTGTACCGGGTCTTTCGACTGGGCGCAGGTAAACAGACAAAACGCTTCGACGGCTGGGCCCGACATGCCGGGTGCGATAGGCGGATCCGATTCCTTCGACATCAGACTGTAACGAAGAGTATCATGGCCGTCTAAGCAATGCACTGTTGGAAGGTCCGAAGTCATCATGACGGTTCAGGATGTTCCCATATGCAATCTTCATAGTTGCATGATGGAGCGACGACAGAAACGGATTGAGATGTGGGACAGATGACACTACTCAGCTTTGGGTCGTCGCTCTAATGTAAGTGAATTCGTCTTCCTCATTCCCTTGCCATGGCGATGCCAAGCCATTGGCCTCTGCACGACTTCGATTGGTGGGCGTTCCGGGACTGGATGCAACTGGAGGGAAGGACGGAGTAAAAGGGTCGGAAGCACGGTCGGGGTTATTGGCGTTTATTGGCGCATAGGCGGCGATGCGGCGTTAGGACGGGCAACCCATCTGTACTGTAGGTGCCTCCAGAGCACCAAATTCATGTATTGACTTGGCACGAGTTGCAGATGAACCTCAACATCCTCTTCAACGTCGAAGTTCTATGACCCCCATCTCTCTCCCGTCGCTTGACCGATAACGTTCAGCTGAGACAAAGGCTACTAACGAAGCCGATGCCGCAAGCCTGCTTCAAGTCCACTCACATTTCGCAGAAAACACCAGCTTTCATTGGGACTTTCCTTTCTCCAGGGCTTTCTGGGTTATCTTCACTGCCGCAGCCGGGCAGCTCAACCAATACGAGAATGCCGAAGCTCGACTTGGTCATCTGACGCTCTTGCATGATGGAAGCAGATATGGAGCGACAGGTACATACAGCTGCCTGTCCGCCTGATCGGTCTCGCCGGGAAGGCAACAACTACAATCTCCACCTGATTGTCCTGTTAAGCCTTCGCCATGAATACTTTCTCGAGCGATGCAACTCTATACCCATCTTTTGAGACAGCACGTCGCAAATGTGCAGATGCCTCTGGGGGCATTTGTTACCATGAGTTTTGCTTCCCACCACTGAGCTACGGCACATGGGAATGCCTATGATTGACAAGCAGCAGTAAGTCTCCGGTCTAAGACGGAGGCAGCTTCCAATCTGAGACGAGAGATTCGAGAGCCATTAGCGCTCCGCAGCAGGATGAACGAAGACGTTCGGTTCAGGTCTAGCATGGACTGCATAGACTCTCCCCATAAAACTCCTAGGATGGTTGGATGGGAAGTATTTCCGGCGTCACGACAGTCTTAGCGGTATAGAGCACGCATGGGACTCACGAAGACTGTTCTTCTGGCCTTTGTGCACGCTTGTCAATGACTGGATGTATGCGTCTCTTTGGTCAGAATGGCCATTCTTGTACGACCTGAAGGACCTCTGGCTCTCCTGTTATCGCTGGATATGTCACAACTCGCCTCGTCTCACTGGTTGGCGACTGATTAAATGATTCAGCTCGGGGGACCACATCGTTCGGACGTGGAGAGCGCTGTACTACCAGGCTTGCGCCGCTCTCAGCACTTCGGCGGATTTGGACTCGTCGAACGCCCGGCACTGGTAGCCATGTCGAGAAGATAATGGAGTGGACGGGAGTGGCGCTGTTAGGCCATCGCCAATGATCCCTCGGAATCGCCAAAGGAGTTGTTGGCTGCAGATTAAGCTATTCTGGACCGAAAGACTGGGAAGCGCGGAGGAGAGGATGACTCGTTGTGATCAGCGACCGCTTTGAGCAAGCCTGGCGGCAACGGTGATGGCGATTATTCTACAAAGGCGGGTCCCAACAAAACGGCTCGACCATGTTCACCGTTGAGTGGCATCAGATGACCCCGTTGGTGTGGATGAGCAACTCGTTTTCCTGTTTCCCGACACTCTACCTAGCCTCCTTCGTATTATTGTGCGATTTGGCCAAAAGGACGACATAGAGACCGTTTTACCTCTCAACAGGAATTGATACTCCCGGGCAGACGTGCTCATCGGTCTACTTGGAAGAGGCTGTTTTGTCCTCGTGCGGAACCTGCGAGAGCCCACCAACACGACAGCAGTTGTTATGTTCCATTACGCTATTGTTTGATCGCGTTGAAGAGTCATGGATAGTTTGGAACTGGGTTTGGAGTTATCAAGCACTACCAAGGTAGGCTAGCCCCGCCAAGACGGTGAAGGCATCTGATCACGCAGAGCAGTGGGGTAGGGAGAGCTGCGCCGGCGTCGTACAAGCCGGCCGATGAAAGGCCATCTGCACCTTCACGGGATCATGACGCGCCGGTTGCACTCTATGCTTGATTCTAGCTGGCGGGCGGACAAGGCTACCGAAATTCCGCGTCGCCGGTCAATGTACAGGCAACTCGATACATTTGTCATTTCGTGTTCGTCTCAGCCACTCGATACGGCCGGCCTTTTGTTGGGAATGTCAGTCAATATTAGGTTCTGTGAGTTTGTTCACAGCTGATGAGCGGCAGCGGCACTGGGGTACGTTTGACTTGATGCCAGGGAGCGGGCATGGCGTTTCAAAGCTCGGGCTACGAAGGCGGGAGTGGTGACGGGTTGCGGAAGCCCATGCAAGATACAAGCAGGTCGCACAAACGGAGATCGATAGATGTGCAGCACGGGCGGGCAGGCTGTCGAGTCTGTGGGGAAGGGCACGACTGTGGGACGGGAGAGATGGGATGCGCCGAGTCGCTGGCTGTACTGTATATGGAAGTGCAGAACAGGCAGTTGGCGACAGTCCAGTCACTAAACAGTGGAGAGGTGATCCATGGTAGAGAGGGACTGCGGACTTGCACATTCGCTCGAACCGGGCCGTGGGGAAAGCGCCCGGAGCAACGGACCCTATCGGCGAGCTTCTATTACACGGAACAGCTCCATCCCATATGTGGTCTTGTCCGAAGTTCACTGGCAAAGCGCGTCCCGCACGGAACAGGCCGATTCGGCACTGGCAGATCACGACAATTGCAAGACACATGTACTGCAGAGTACGGTACCGACATGAGCGGGATGCTCGGGGTGGCGGTTCATCATGCTGCTCATCCTTCCAAGCATTCTCAAGATGTACTAGGAAGTCAGTGAGCAGTCGGAGAGGATTGTGCAACTGGATGCGGAGGAGCAGCCTTGATGGGGCTGGCGCGGGTGTGGTCAGGCGATGCGGTTCCAGTCGTAGTAGCGGCATGCGTGTCTTATTAAGAACAGGATGGCGGATGCATAAGCGCGGATGCAGAGAGAGGGTGCTAGTTCCAAGGTTGCATGCAGGCTTCTTCTGCTGGGGGCAGTGGGAGCAATCAGAGACGGCCATCTGACCTTGGGCGTTGCTCAATTCAGCAGCGACAAGCAACGAGGTGGAGCAAGGAGGAGGATGAGGGGGAGGGGGAGGAGGAAGACGACGACGACGACGACTAGGCGAGGAGCAGAGGAGCAGCGCCGGAACTGGGTGCATTGTGCGGTCCTGTAGTCTACTGTGGTCGTCCATGATTGTCCAGGCCCAGGCTATGGGGGAATGCGGAGATGGTTGGGCAGCATCGCCAAGCTTCACGGGCTGTGGCTGCTTGCAATATAAACCGGTATTCACCATACAGGTATGTCCGTTATTCACCTCTGCAGCAGTTCCCAGCTCGGCGCGGAGGGCGCAGTAGTGACTGTGGCAGTGGCAGCAGCTAACAGGAAGCGGAATAGCTCAGATAGACTCTGGTGAACGAGAGACGCGAGATGATGAGTAGGGATGGGCAGTCCAAGCCGGCGGTCACTCTCAGCAAGATTCGCTCATCATGCAGGTCATCTCTCTCTGCAGCACGGCAGCACAGGCACACAAAAGGGCCAGGCCAGAGTTATGAGTCCAAAAGTGCAGCGGCGAGGCTTGCAATGCGCGCACCTCCTCCCATTTCGCCGTGTGGGTTTCAACCGCGAATTGTATGATGATTCATACCATTGCTCGCTTGATGCCTTTTGTAGCTGCGCGGGTTTGCAACATCTTGGGGTAAGTTTCAAATGATGGAAAATGACGGCCAGGTGCACGCCATCGACACCATTCTTATTATTAACAAGCCCCGCTACCTATTATTATTTTCCATCGTCCTAACTTCTAGTGCTCCCGTTCCGCCCAGACCCCAGGCTCCCATGATGCCCATGCCCCTGCCCCCGTCTTCTTACGAAACGTCTGATGAGAGCCTGGGAGCGCTCTCTCCAGACATCCAAGCGTCTTTATCGATTAGTAGGCAGCCCCTCCATCCTGCGTATGTAATTCGTCACCTTCGCCCGCTCCGTTAGTATTGATCTTCCCGTCTTCCCCAGCTGCCGGAAGCCCTTTCTTTGCCATCCACAGGTCCCAGTTTTGCTGGTGTAGCCTTTTCGGCCCTTCTTCTCGTCCCTGTCTCGCCGGCCCTGTTCGCCTTGCAGCTGCTGGGCTCTTGCTCTGCCGCTGGAGGTGCATCTTCGCTATACATATCAAGCATCACTGCCCACCACACCACCACCACCAGTCGCCAACCACCCCGCTCAGTCGAGGCTCGAGGGTCCGACGGGCAACCCTCCCTGTCCTCCCTGTTGCCGCTGCGCGCCCTCTGCCACCACACACACGCACCAGTAGGACTGCGAGTACGTACTGTGTACAGCAGCCTTCTGCTCGTTCGTCTCTCCCCACTCGCACTCACTTTGCGCACACGCATCTTCCCTCGAGGCTGCATTGTCCCCGTCCCGGCCGCGGGAGAACAAACCCTTCCCTCAGCGCCTGCAGCAGCATCTGCACTCGCACCAACAGCAGCACCGGCACCGGCAGCCTCGTCCAACAAGTGCCTCCGTTAATCAATCCTCCTGCACGGCACGGGGTTCCTCACACCTCCCGACGAGCCAACCCTGTTGACTCCGCACCACCACAGCGCGGCTACAGCTCCTCTCGTACTGCTCTGCAACCACCCGCTCTCCGCCGCCCGTCACCACCACCACCACCTCCTCCTCCTCCAACGCCAGGCCGTCTACTCCGTCCCACTACCATAACACCCGCGCATTATTACCCACCGACCCTATATCGCCCTCACGTGGCTGCTCCATCGCACACAGGCCGCACCCGTGGACTGCGCTATCGCTGCTGCTGCCCCGGTCCCTGATCGTGCGTGGTGTGCTTGTGCTCGCACCGCTTCCCGGCGCAGCTCCCCTTCAGCCCTGCCGCGCCGCTTCCGCTTCTGCTGATCAACATCGCCATCGCGACCCATCCATCCATCGCTACACACCTGCATCGCGACACCGTCGTCCGGCCACCTTTACGACCTCGTCCATTTCACCCTGCTTCACCTTTCGCATGTGCAACCGCGTCAGTATCCTCTTGTCTTCTCCCTTCGGTCAGCCGCACCTTCGGCTGAGTCGAGGAAACCGTCGCCGCACGACTTTCTCACTGGCAGCCTGACGGGGCAGCAGCGCACGACGTTCCCCCAGCACGTCCCCCAGCATCGAACCCCCATCCCTCATCCCACTGCGACACCTACTGTGGTCTTGACCACCTGCCAACTCGGACCCGACTACGCGACTCTGAACGCTGGCCGTTGCCTGCGCAGGTGCGCGGTTTACTTGTTGTAGCCATCAACAAGCAGCACTTCAGCTTCCGTCGCCCAACCCGATCTGAATATAGTGCCTGGTCTGTGCTTCTCAAGCGGAAAAGCGCATCCTCTGCCGGCGCCGCGACTAGTCGACCTCCAAATCCAATAATCCCACTACGCATCATCGCCACCGCATGCCACACCACGCGTCCCGCTGCCGTTCTCGTGCCCGTCCCTTGCAACAACTTCGCCCTTGCGCGTCCGCTCCCCTCACGCCGCCCATTACACTAGGCTAGGCCTTCGCCGACGCGCCCGGAGCTCCCCCAAGCCTCGGCCGCTCCCTTGCGACGCTGCGCATGTACTCAATGCATCCCGTCCAGGCCCTGTCGAGTAATGCTTCCATTGGCAACGGCATCATGGACCCCTCGGGCACCATCAATCCAGCTGCGCTGAACTCTGCAGGTATGTACTGCTTGCCCGTCTCAACACAGCCTCTTCGCTGCGCACACCACCATCACCCACAACCACGCGACAGCGCACTAGCATCCGTTGCTGTTACATCCGCCGCAGCTGCCCGTCTGTAATTTGATATCGCTGACTGTTCTTCTGCCAGCAGGATTCGCAGGCTCGCCGTCGCAACAAGCCGTCGCAACGCAATCATCTCGAGGAGTCAAGCGGAGTCGCTCCCCGGACGGCTATGGAGAGTCGCAAGCTGATCATGACGGTATGTACACCTTCTCTCTGCGTCTTGGGCTGCTTGTATTGCCGGACGCCGTTAGATGCGCAGCATTGACAGAAACCGCAGAGCATGGTAAATCCAGAAAGCGCGTTCGACCAAAAGGCCACGATAGCCCCGCCCGCAATTCGCACCTGCCTCCCACCCCTTCCTCGCAAACAAGCGCTGCCCCGCCTGTCCAGACCCCCCAATTACCGAATGCCTCGATCCCGCACGCCTCGCCGCCACAGCTATCCTCCTCCAAGCCGACACCAACTAAGCCATCCGTCATCAAGGCACTGCCCACGGTCCGGGACCATACCACAGACCAGCTGAACCCAGAAGGAGATGAGTACATACCCCGTGAGATTGACGAAGCAGGGGAAACAAAGGTGACGGCGACGGGCCATCCTTTGGGTGGGCGAGAGTACCGATGTCGGACCTTCTTCGTTCCGAACCGTGGAGATAAACTCTTCATGCTTGCGACCGAGTGCGCCCGCGTGCTTGGCTACCGAGACTCGTACCTACTCTTCAACAAGAACAGATCTCTGTACAAGATCATCGCCACGCAGGCCGAAAAGGATGATCTGATCCATCAAGAGATATTGCCATATTCCTATCGGTCTCGCCAGATCGCCATTGTAACAGCGCGTTCCATGTTCAGGCAATTTGGAAGCAAACTCATTGTGAACGGCAGAAGAGTTCGTGATGATTACTGGGAGAGCAAAGCACGTAAGCAAGGATTTACTGAGGAGGACGCCGCAGGTGAAAAGAGACCAGGTGCGGCGAAGGCGAGGGAAGCCGCAGCGGCTGAGGCCAATCATGCTACTGCCCAGGCCTTCACATTTACTCAGCCAAGTCCCTATACTGGGAAGCTTGAACAGGACTACCTGGGTGCTGCAGCGAACCCGCATCAGCCATTCGGAGGCATCAATCCTGCGCCGGGAGCCGTGCCTACGGGAAATGCAGAGCCATTCAATCAGCGACCTACGACGGACCTTCAGCCTCGAGACTACAGTGGAGTGCAGCGGGGCAGGCAAGATCTGTCGGGTATGCCATACCAAGATATGACCAGGCCCACCAACGCTGGCGAGATTCTCAATCAGGCCGCACAGGCTGCAGATTTGAACAAGCAGATCACTCAGCAACGTAAGCACCGTAAGGAATACCTGGAGAGCGTCTGGGCGCGGCCACATGAGCCCTCCCCCCAACCTCAACGTCCCGTCACCGTCGAAGGCGAGAGCGCACCCCAGGTGACGACCCAAGCTGTGCAGTCTCCGCACATTCCCCCTTCGAATCCCGCGGCTACCCCGACCCAGTACGGTGTAGTATCTGGAACGCCTCAGCGCGGTCAAGCAATGGCTCCGCAACCGTACCGCCAACAGAGCCTTCCTCAATCCTCCATGGTTCCATCGCCTTTGGCCCCCCAACATACTCCTTTGCGTCCCGATCAAATGCAAAGACGTCCACCTAGTATGGGAATGCTTCCTCAGGGGATGCCTCAGGGAATGCCGTCCTCCGCCATGCTTCCAAACATTGCACATGGTCAAGCGCCCGCTCACGGCTATGCGCCTTCCCACATGTGGCCTCAGGGACCGCCGCAGCCATCGCCACTGTCCCAGCAGCATAACATGCAGCCACAGTATGCACAGCGTCCCCCACAGCAATCGCCTCTTCCGCAGCCTTCGCCCATGCATGCATCAGCCCAACTTCACCAGCCTCAAAGCACCGGGTCCATGCATGGCACTCCTGTTCAGCAGTACCAAACAATGGCCGCAATGGATCCGGGCTACCAAGCGATGTCTCAGAACACCTATCCACAGACTGCTAGTCCACAGCAGTTCATGCCCCATCAGAGCAACCCGACACCGCAACCTGGTATGAGTGGGTGGACACAAGCGCCACAGGGGCCTCAACAGGGCTGGCAGACATATTGATGATGGATAGCCGATATCTATTATGTCTGGCACGTCAGCAGGATATGCTGTAACATCGTCAATTCCAAGACATCCGATGCTGGGAGGAGGTATAGGCATTGCTGTTGACCAATTCCCCACCCTAGCTACTCGGATTGGAGACCAGCAATGGGGTGCGAAAGCATCTCCGGTGTTTCGGCCTGCCCTGAGTCTTCCTGCGTTCCCCCTGCACTCCAGCGCAACTCAGCTTGAATGAACCAGCCTGGAATCCGATAGACTCGTTGCTGCGACTACTGACCCGTCCATGGTTCGCACTCCAGTGAGGACAGTAGCTTCTGCTGTTCTCTTTGCGCTATTTGAAATGCTACCCGCAGACTACGATGCCCGAGAATTCACGACGTCCCCGACGACGCTGATCATAGTCACGAATTACATGACTGCGATGTGTTGAGCCTACACAGGGTTCCATTCTAGTTTGGCGCTTGTCGGCGTGTCTGTGTTGTCATCCTTTCCAGCGACTTGATCTGCCATCGAATCGCGCTGGTATGCGCGACGTTGGAAGGTTTGCGCATGGTATGATATACTGGATCTGGATGTTTTGCCTTGGTCAGAAGCGCGCTCAACTCGGCCCATTCCCTTGTCAAAGCACACTTCTTACCTTGTTCTTCTCGCGCAATTTCTGTTTTGGATCTCATTGTTCTCATTAACACGGTCTATCCCCCTTTGGGCGGCTATGTAACATCGTTTGTCGGTTGGAACTGCGATGATTCCCCCTTCCATTTTGAACCCATCTCACCATTTCTCGTTTCTCCTCTCAATTTTTTGCGAGCGTTTGATGTGATGGGAAATTGCAGCATTCCTGTCTTGGTACATTCGTCGTGGAGGATATGCATGCTCAGATTACGGACGATCAGATTATGGGAGGGACCGCGAGACTGCATGCATTACTCGGGATAAGGATGGATAGGGATTCCGATTTGGGACACGGGAAGTGGATGTTTTGGAACTTTCCAGGGCCCTCTCATCTTACCTTTATACCACCCCCCTTTAATACCATTGTAATTCGTTGCGCGTTATATTTTTCTTTAGTACTGACTATCAACGGAGTACTACCTTCGCCATCTGGTAATACTTGCATGTCTGTTCCTGCATATGGAGAGGCGCTTCCCTGCTATGGTGTTCGCATGAGGCACAGTGCAGTAGTACTTGTTTGGATACGTTTATGCGGTGCGGCTGTCTCAGAATATGCAAGTGATGGAGGAACGAGTGGGGTTTCTGGGGTCGGGTCGGGCCCGCCCCCGTTCCTGTGGGCGGCCTGACTCCTGAGGTTTGGGTATGTACTCCCGTAGGCCGCATAATGGGTCAAACGTTGGTGTTGCACGGTGGGTACCCTGTATATCATAGTGACATGTACATATGGGTTCTTCGTCATTGGGCTAGAGCGCATGATATGATATGATATAGGTGGCGGGCATCCGGTTTCGTAGTATATAAGGATTTCGTGGTATACGTGATAGGGCTTGTAGGTAGGTAGGTAGCTGGGAGCGAGGTTTCATCTCCCTATCGCAAGCTAAGTCGGAAGTGTAGACTTTCAGACATTAGACATTAGACTTTAGACTTCAGACTTCGTAGGTAAGTAGGTACTTACGTAGGTGCTTTCTTTTTCAATGGTACTGTAAATAGCCGAGAGTAGACGTTGCCGTGATCCGAAAACTTAGACGTCGTTGCTATCCCTCCCCTTGCTACATATCTGCGACGTTTGGAACCCCTAAGATGTAAAAGTCGAGTATACGCCGTTTCTCATAGCATCATCAGATGGAATCGGAGAGGCGCTTGTGAAGACGTTAGAGTTGGAGAGAATGGAAGCATAGATTGTACAGAGTACATGCACACACGACTGGCATCCCGCTAACTATGCTACTATGTATGCATGGCAGAGCAATCACTCGCACGAACAACATATTTATCAATCGCTCACTCTGCCATCGACAAAGAAGGGAAAACACCAAACTGACATGGACATCCCTCGTCACTCCACACTACACAGACCACACTACACACATCACACTACCTCACCGCAACCTCAACCCCCCTCCCCTCAAAACTATACCTCAACCACTCCCCCACGGCCCTCAAACTCTCCCACCTCACCCCCTCCTCCTCACAACCCATCAACTCCATGACCCTCCCCTTCAACCCAAACTTCTCCAACAAGCCCCTCTTCTCAGGCACCTCTTTCACAAGGCACGCCACATCATTGCACCCAATAGCCAGCACCTGCCGATCATGCACCCAGTCCTTTGCCAATATCTCCGCCAGCTTGCGCGGCAGCTCGGCATTGTTCTCCTCGAGGATGCGCCGCGCGTTCTCGGCCCAGAAGGTCGCGCTGCGGTGCGGCGGGCTCCACCGCAGGTGCCCGCTCAGCAGCTCCGCCCGGTACTCGTCAAACGTCGTCTGCGTCTTGGTGTACTCGTCCAGCAGCTCCGTCAGCGATTGCAGGTCCTCGAGCGCGTCCGGGTCCGTGAGGTGCCGGGTTTTGAGCGTCGCGAGGAGCGAGGGGAGGCGGGCGAGGACGGCGGCGGGGAGGAGCGTGGTGCGGTTGGCGACGAGGAGGTTGAGGAGCGTGGAGAGGAGGAGGCGAGTGGTTTTCTCCTTGGGCGAGAGCCGGAGGAGGTGCGTGTAGAGGATGACGATGTCGTGTTCGCTGGGAAACAGGAGTGCGGTTAGCATGGCTGTCCAATAGAGTTGGGGGTTTTGGGCAAACAGCAACATACTCTTGCAGCCCGTCGCCGACCATGTCGCCTTCAAAACTGAGCTGCCAGATCACGAGGAGGACGTGGTACAACAGCTGGAGCCCCACGCCTCCGCCAATGGCCTCGGTGGCCGTCCGCGTACTGTTTGCCCCGCTCCAGAGTGCTGAGTCCTGGTCTTTGGTCGTCCCGGATGCCGAGCGAAGGATGGTGAACAATGGCTCCAGGGTCTCGCTTCTCTGTTTCCAAAACAACTCTCTTGACTTTTTGTTCCGCAGCAGCGCCGAGTATTCCTGCACTGCGATGTCTTGTAGCCCAGCATCGGAGCTTGTCGCTAGAGAGCCGAGATAGGTATATATTTGGGGAAGCGCTTCGTCGATTTGAGAAGGGTCTTTTGTCGGGTGGGTGAGGGCGTAGGAAAGGAGGCGGGAGAGGACGGAGGAGGTTAGGAGGGGGAGGGCGTCCTCGACGTTGGGCGTAGACTTGAGGAGCGGGAGGAAGGGTTTGAAGGGCGTGGGGTGTTGGATTAAGGCTGCTGTGAGGGTGGGGATATCTAATCGCGTTAACATTCGCAAGATTCGGATGCAACTCATAGAGAACCCAACATACCATCAATCAAATCCCCCATCAACACAAGCATATACTGCACGATATCCTGCCGCTTCGCCGCCGCCTCGAAGATACTCTGCGTCCCGTTCCCGCCCAACAACAGCGCTACAAAGCTCCCCATATCCGCCTCAATCGTCTGCTTCCGCTGTTCCTTGCGCACCTTGTCAATCGACTTGATCTTCTGCAGGTCGGCATCTGTGATCGTTTTGGCGCGCACCGCGCCCTCCCAGGATATGGGCCGCGCGCGGATGTTGTTTTGGAGGGCGAAGATGTAGGTTGGCGGGTCGAGTGACATCGCGGTTGTAGATACCGTTAGTCGGAGGGAAGAGAGATAGTGGAGGAAGACGTGGACTAGGTAGCGGCGTGATAACTGAGAGGTGGTGGGTTACCTGCGGTTGAGGCACTCCGTCATCTGGCGCGGAGCTTGGACCACCATGACCAGGGTTGCATTTGGAGCCCCGGAGAGCATTCGGGTTGAGCAATTCTATACCCTAATCTCCAGAAAAATATATAAGGTAGATGGAGAGGACCTAGGAAATTACCTTCCATAAGTTTCATAGCTTGTGGCCACTACCTTTATCCAACTTTCACAAAGTGTATAAAAACAATATCTACTGAGATACCCCCGTCCATAGGTCTGTTTCGGTCTAGCGACATTTTCAACTCTGATATCTTGGCGCGACCCTCTCCACCAGAATTCCCTACAAACACCACCCGCAGGACGGCCATCGTCATACAGCTACCGACCGGACCTAGATCGAGATGGAATACTTCAGCCTTAAGCGGTCCAGCGCTCTTAATCGGGGCCAACCCAACCTCTCCAGCAAGGTCTACGTCCGGTCCACTAGAAGTGGCAAGGTTCAAAAGATTGTGAGAGAGGTTTACCTGCGGCAAGATATACCATGCTCGTCGACTTTGTGCCGAGCGTGCTTTGACAATGCGCCTATGGACTACACGCAGAAAGGTTCGGATTCTGACTTCACGTGATCTATCAAAGTGACTGACTTTACCAGTGGCACCATTTGTGCTCTCGGATACACCGGCAGGGTCAAAAGATTATCCCAATGGTCTGTATCTGGTTCCCGACACGAATGCTTTCCTCACCGGAATGGATCTGTTTGAGACTGAGACCGGGTTCCGCGATGTTGTCGTCTTGCAGACAGTCCTCGAGGAGGTTAAGAATCGCTCCCTACCGCTCTATCATCGTTTGATCGCTTTGACGAAGAATGAGGGAAAGAGATTTTACGTCTTTTTCAACGAGTTTCGTCAAGAGACTTATGTGCCTCGAGATGCCGGCGAGACTATCAACGACCGCAATGATCGAGCGGTGCGGAAAGCGGTGCAGTGGTATAATCAGCATCTAGTGGAGGCTGTAGCCGCGAAGAGCAAGAAAGCGAAAAGGGTACCGTCCGTCGTTATGATCTCCGATGACAGGGACAACCTCCGAAAGGCCAAGGCAGATAATATACCAGCTGTGACACGTGAGTATGCCCACGGTAAAGGGCAACATCTAGCTAATCAGCTCCAGTATCCGACTATGTTTCCGGTCTGGAGAATGCGGACGAGTTGTTAGATATGATCAGCGCTGCTCAAGAACAACGTGAAGTCAGGTCAAAGCAGGCAGAAGTGTTCTATCCAGAATACTACACCATGTCGAAAATGACTACAGGAGTCAAAGCGGGCACTATGCATCAGGGCATCTTTAACGTCTCGCAGTACAACTACCTTGAGGCCTCGGTTCATGTTCCGGCATTCGAAAAATCACTTCTCATCCTTGGAAGGGAGAACGGGAACAGGGCTGTCTCAGGGGATGTCGTCGTCGTAGAAGTATTGCCACAGGATCAGTGGAAAGCACCATCAACCAAGATCATTGAGGAAGAGACCGTGGCCAAGAACGATAACCCCGAGACCGAGGGAGGAGAGAATATCGTTACAGAAAGAGAACGCAGAGCGCTTCAAGAAGAGGTTAAGCGTGCCCATGACCAAAGCACAGAAGGCAAGCCACAACCCACCGCCCGGGTCGTTGGCATCATCAAGCGTAACTGGAGACAATATGTGGGACACATCGACAGGGACTCGGTCAAATCCACATCTAAATCCAGCAGGCAACAGCAGACGGTATTCCTCATCCCCATGGACAAGCGGATTCCAAAGATACGAATTCGGACTCGTCAAGCTGGAGAACTTCTGGGCCAACGCGTTTTAGCCACCATAGACTCATGGGAACGAGACTCACGATACCCGGTCGGTCATTTCGTCAGGTCTCTCGGAGAGCTTGAGTCGAAAGGAGCCGAGACGGAAGCACTTCTGCTGGAATGGGATGTTCAATATCGGCCCTTCCCGAAGACTGTTCTGGATTGTCTACCACCAGAGGGGCATAACTGGAGAGTTCCGGCTAGCCTTGACGATCCGGGATGGAGAGGACGAAGGGATCTTCGCGATCTCCTTGTCTGTAGTATTGATCCTCCTGGTTGTGTGGACATCGACGACGCATTGCATGCCAGAAAGCTCCCGAACGGTAACTTTGAAGTCGGCGTACACATCGCAGATGTTTCCCATTTCGTCAAGCCGAACAATGCCATGGATAAGGAAGCCAGCCAGCGAGGAACTACAGTATATCTGGTCGACAAGAGAATAGACATGTTACCGATGCTTCTAGGTACAGACCTGTGTTCACTGAAACCCTACGTCGAACGATATGCCTTCTCCGTGATCTGGGAGATCACTCCTGACGCGGACATCGTAACAGCCGACTTCACCAAATCTGTTATTCGATCACGGGAAGCTTTCAGTTACGAGCAAGCACAGATTCGGATCGACGACAAGTCTCAACAAGACGATCTTACGAACGGCATGCGGACTTTGTTGATGCTTTCAAAGAAGCTCAAGCAGAAGCGCATGGATGCCGGTGCACTCAACCTGGCGTCACCTGAAGTCAAAGTGCAGACGGAATCCGAGACGTCCGATCCAATCGACGTCCAGACAAAGAAGCTCTTAGATACCAACTCCCTGGTCGAGGAATTCATGTTGCTCGCCAACATTAGCGTAGCTCGTAAGAACTACGACGCATTCCCTCAGACTGCTCTACTCCGCCGGCACGGTGCGCCACCCAAGACGAACTTTGAAGAACTAGGGAACCAACTGAAGGTTAAGAGGGGCCTCGAACTTCGAACTGATAGCTCCAAGGCCCTTGCGGATTCCCTGGACAAGTGTGTCGACCCTAAAGAGCCGTTCTTCAACACGTTGGTCCGCATCATGGCAACACGCTGCATGATGTCTGCCGAATATTTCTGCTCTGGCACCCAAGCATATCCCGAGTTCCGGCATTATGGCCTCGCGAGTGAAATTTATACGCATTTTACATCTCCCATCCGTCGCTATGCTGATCTCGAAGCCCATCGCCAGCTCGCGGCCGCCATAGAATACGAGCAGCTCGACCCCAGCCTCCACTCGAGACACAAGCTCGAAGCTGTCTGCAAGAACATCAACGTACGTCACCGCAATGCGCAAATGGCCGGTCGCGCATCCATTGAATACTACGTTGGTCAAGCCTTGAAGGGTAAGGACATTCAGGAAGAAGGCTTCATTATGAAGATATTCTCCAACGGGTTCGTGGTCTTTGTTCCACGATTTGGCATCGAAAGCTTGATTCGTCTGAGAGATCTGGCAACGCCGGAGCCGGATGCGGAGTTTGATGCGGAGAATTATGTGCTCAAGGTGAAGGGAGATGTGAATAGGAGTGTTGAGTTGTTTGAGAAGGTGACGGTTCGGATTACGGATCTGGTGGAGGAGAGTACGGGGAAGAGGAAGGTGAAGTTAACTTTGGTTTGACGGGTGTAGTGCGTGCAATGCAATAGATGGGTTTTTCGCCCTGGTGTCAATAAACTGAGCCTCATGCTCCCGATGCGTTTCTCCTTCAAGGAAATCACTCGATGTATAAAAGCCAATAGCGAGATGAAAACCAATGCATTATGTTACCCCTTTCCAGCGAATTATTCATGCGTGCTTCCTCGTCCCAAAATGCCACTTTCCCTTACTGCTTGCCTATTGTTGTGAGCTTTTCTCCATGGTTGCGAGATCCTCAACCCATTTACAAAATTCGTAGGTTACAATAGTTAATGATAGTCTGAATTCGTCTACCTTGGATAGAGCTACCTAACAAACCAGTAGTGGGCGTGAATCGAGAACCATCAGGGGCAAAATGAGTGGACACAGAACACTAGTAAGGGAGAGGCGAATGTGCAAGTGGGAAAAGAGGATGAACCATCATGCAAAAGCAAGCAAAGTTGTGAATGGTAATAGTGTAACAGACAGTTGCAAAAAGCGAAGACCTAAGCCCCTTTTTGTCTTGGTCCAGCAGTTCAGAAGAATAAACAGGAATCACATCGGAATGGGATCTAAGAATCGGGCCAGGTAGGGTATGGGTCCCTTAGTCCCAGAAGTCCCAGAAAGTAGGCGCCATTGGAATCCCAAATCGTGTGCCGCCTCTTTCCCTTATCACTTTCTTGAGCTCGTCCCAGGTCTTGGTATATTGAGCTGGTTTTCCGAGACTATACAATGGGTCGTGATCGAGTTGGTCAAGAAAGGCTTTCTCGGCTTCATGCCGTTTCGCACTCCCTTCCTCGCCCCAGCTTTCGACTATCTGATACCGAGAAGTTTCGAATCTCACCAGGAGATCCATCGTCCGCTTGTGTCGGGCAAAAGCGGGTCGAAAAGGTTCGGGCGGGACTGCGTCTTTGTCATGGTCGGAGTTCAGCGCATGCATTGTCCATTGCCCGGGACGGTCAAACTGGGCGCCGCACTGTGGATCATAGCATTTAAAAGGCTGGTTCGTTCCTGGAAATGATGTCTTTCGATTCGTCTCGAGCAGAAGAAACTCAACGCCATTCTTCTTATACTCGAAGCACGTGCGGTCGAACTTATTGCGATGAATCAATCCGACTGGAGTGTTTCTGGGGTGGGATGATGCTTTTCCGTGACCACGAGCAATCAACTTTCTCCCACTTCTTTCCCACAGAGGCACTGGGCCCTTTCCGTTTCCACAAAGTTCTCCTCATCGAGTGAGTCTCCGGGTTCTCGCAGTGCTGTAAAGATGCAAAGACGTCCACTTGTCTGGGACATGCGCTTAACCACTTGTCAAAGTTTTCCTCAGCATCTTTAGGCAGAAAATCTGCGTTTGGCCGTATCCAATGCTCAATTAATACAATGCGAGTTACCTCAGGGCATACAACGCGCAATGTTCGCCAGAGATTGCCTAGTTTCTCCCTGACTGGGTATGTCGCTGCCGGGTCGATGAGAGAACCATCCCCTCGCGTGAGGTCCTCCAATTCATTATACCATAGTACGTCTTCCACTGTGATCTCGATCTGCTGTATGTGTGCAAGGAAGCCTACGTCATCCATAGTACGACCCAGTAGCTCTGCTGCATCGAGAAATATACCCCAAACGCGGAACCATGCAACGGGATTGCTCCAGAAGTATCTCTTGGCCTCTTTGCGGATAGCGGAAGATACGTGCATGAGTTGGAAGAGACTGGGAGTGTCACAAAAGGAGATCATCCGATACTGTATCTCGATTGGCAGCTTGGAGAACTGTGGGAATTCGGCTTGCGACTTCTCTCCGGATCGCACATAATCCGGAAACCGAATACGGAGCTCTCCGTCGAGGCTTGTTTCGACATCCCAATTCAGAGGGGTTGCCCAAGGGCCGGTCGGATTGATAGCGTGGGACATCTCGCTCGTAGGGTATTAAGAAGATCCCGCATCCAAGATCCAGGGATAAGGTGTAAATGAAATGAACCATGTAGAGACGAACAATTGGCAGCTGTAAGTCTATCGCTCCCGTAAATCTACTTCGGAAAGGGTGTTGTACTAGCCAGAGGATGCATCGTTGTAAGGGAGAAGTCAGGGCATGTGGGACACTGTCGCAAAGTAGGTGATGTTTCAGAGTGTTCATCTAGCCTGTCAGCACTCTTGGCGAAGCTCATCCATTAGATACATAAGTAGCTGCTGCTAGTAGTGCCAATGCCGTGCCAAACCAATCTGTATAGAAGAACGATATAAACAAACACCGTCATGGATCAGTTACACTAGCTGGGAAACCGGGTTGGAGGCGCTGCGTGAAAGGTGGCAGAGAGGGGTCTGCATGGACTGTCTTCTGGTAGCGGGCATCAGGCTAGATGATGCGCGGTTTGCCAGTGCGGAGCTCTACAGGAAGTATCTGTGACGGACGTATCCTCAAAAGCGAAACCAAGCCGCGAGACAGGAGAGGGCGCGAGTGAAACATCATTATGAACTTTGATTGCCAGTCCCGCCTATCCATTCCGCCAATGTCATCTTGCTACAGCAGGCAAGACTATAGTAACTCATAACCAGTGACACCCAGACAATTGTCGGAGTTCCCATCCATCGATATTATATGAACCTTCCCTCACCGTATCCCTGGGTATCCCAAAACCGAACGCCAGATAATGCTCCTAGAAAAATGCCCGCATTCCGGACTGTGCCGCATGTCTAAAGCTTTACCTTCTTCACTGACTTTTCACCATCCTCCGTGCGGGCCCTTTTGAATATACTCTGTTTCTTCACCTCAGGCTTCGTAGTGGGCAGCGCCTTGGGCTTCAATCCAAAGCTGATCTTGACAGGAGCTTCCGGAGCGCTCTCCTCTGCAACAGGGGACTGTGATGTTTCTTCCGGTGACTTCCGAGCGCCCGGTTCCTTCTCCTTTGTTCTTGCCTCTGCTTCTTCTCGTGCCCTCTTCTCCATCCGCTTGAGCATCTTGTCTTCCCCTGCAACGTTTCTAGCCTCTGCTGCCTCCAGTTCCCGGATCTCCTCCCTGCGCCGGAGCGCTTGTAAACTGGTGTCTCGCCATGCGATCATCAGCCCGTCCTTTTCATCCTCCTTGACGTTCACGATACCCTCTCTCCCGAGATATTTGACGAACTCTGTTAGAGACTGCCATTTCGTCGCATTCATGTGGATATGCTCCTTGTCGCGAATGTACTCGTTGTAGAACCTGTTTCCAGTTAGTTTTTGATCTCATATGGATCGAAATCGCTCGCAGTATGCGGGATATGGAACTCACCGATTCGCTCCTATCCACTTCTCTCCGTGTGCGGTTCGGAGTAGCTGCAAGAAGTCGCGCTGGAAATCGTTGCTGAATCCGTTGATATACTTCTTCGGATCTTCTCCGACGAGCTGCATCTGTCGCACATGGGGTTCCGATTGAACATGACACTTGAAGCCGTTGGCGTCGCGGCACTGTTTCTCACAGGCCTGGCAGTACCAGCGCAGGCGTTGAAGTCCTTTCGACTTCATCTTATTCGCCAGGTACTTGTTGGTTCCGACTTCTGCGCGCGGCATGGTGGCGGGTGCGCCGAGGCGAACTGACTGTCCACGGGTAGTTGAGGGGGATCCTTCTGGATAGCGGTAGTACAACCAGGGGCACCTGGATATCCAGATGAGGATGCGGGTCTCGTGGGAAGTCCGTTGCAATGGGGGCGACTTCACGATGATGGAGTTGCTGCGACTCTATGGGGTGAATCGGTAGGTACTCAGGTTGAGAACACCGCCACTGACAAGCCGTCGGCACTCGGTACAACATTTTTCCTCTCAAATCACGTGACATAGTTGCTGTTCTGTCACCAGGCAGTACTAGTAGGGCTAGGCAAGAGTGATAGTGCACGTTTCTGGAAATAGACTACAGTAAAATCATTGAACATGGAAAGGGGTATATTGTTCTACTAATAAAAGGTATCGACCAGCTCATACTCCTCCCCGCCGCTTACACCATCTCGAAATTGCCTGATATGGTAAAGCGCCTCAGCATGTCCGGTCCAAGTCCGCAAATCCCGAAGGTGTGGTGGGATGGTGGTGTTTAGGGCGCAGGAGCCGCAACACTCGCAATCACGATTCCTCGGAAGCCAGAAACCGGTGTCCTCCTTCAGCTCTCCGATTCACTCTTGCGCTTCTTCTTTTTCTTCTCCTTCACTTCACCATCATCTCGTTTCCGCTTCTTCTTCGTACCATCCTCAGCCGGAGGCACAAAGTCCTTCAGACGTTCCTTCCTCTTTTCTTCTTGTTTCTCTTTCATCTTGGCCTCGCGTTCTTCTCTTTGTTTGCGTTCTTTCGCCTGCTTTCCGAGGAAGTACTCTCCAGATTCGATCTGCAGATCAATCTTGCTCTTCTCCTGCGGTGGCGGGAACGGCGTGTAGACCTTCTTAGACTTGTCGGTAACCTTATGCGGCACCCGTCTCTTGCTCAATGTGCGCTTCTTGAAGTTAGGAAGGAACCGATCCCAACTCTCGTTCTTCAAGTCCGGATTGCTCTCAAGCTCCTTCCTGACCATGAGTTCCTTGATCGCGTAGATCGGGTGAATATTCGCCATGGTATCTTCGACAATGCGCCGCATCGTCTTCAGCCCTTTGAATGGGCCCATTACTGCCACTGTGTTTCCTTGCACGAGCATGTAGCATCCTGTAAGCAGCTCCAACGCCTTCAAAGTTGTGCCGTTCGGGCCTAACAATCTTTGCCTTCGCTTCACGAATCTCTCTTTATTACGGACGAGGTTCTTTATCTTGATGATATCGCATGCGACGTCGTCTTCCAAGATCTTGACTGCTTGAGGCGCAGGCACTGACTGGGACAAGTCAGAAAATGGTGGAAACACGATTATTGGGATCCTTACCCTTGCCAACAACTTCATCAGATCCCGCGCATTCAGAATCGCAGCCGGGTCGTAAGTTTTTCGCGTTGTCTTCACAGTCATAGAGCCCTCCACCAAGTCCAGCGTGCAAGCTATGCCATGTTTCTCGAGCGCTTTTGTGATGAACGGCCATGCTCCACGAAGGTATTGTTCGCGATATTTCGGAAAAAGAGTGACGAAGGAGCTCTCCTCCAGGAACGTGCCGCCTACATTGTCTTCTGGTGTGAACTTCTCGATCTTCCACTTATCGATGTCGTCGGTATCCCTTTGCCAGGTCAGCGAGACACAGCCTGATTGTGAGATGAGCGTCTTACCAAGGTTTGTCTTTTTTGTGCGTGGAAGGCATTGTTGTAGCGTGAGGTGGTGATGATGTGGAGGCGATTGGGTTGGCGGGTGTTGAGAAATATCTGGACACCGCCTGGCAAAATCATATATGCCAAGAACTAACCTTACCATAAATAGTGGGTGCGCCTCAACGAAGGCTCACATCAAGGCTGCGATACAATCATGAGAATTCCAGAAGACATGATCGTTTTGAATCCATGGCACTGCACAGCTAAGGAGGCTTCACTTTCTTTCCAGGTCATTGTCCGGACTCTGGTATTAGTGATTCCCAATTCATTCTTGGCGGCTTCATGATTACCCCTGGTCGTCTCACATATTCCGTCTCAACTTCACCAGACATATATGGTCCAAATTCCCATATCACGATGACTTGTTCCGGATACCTCCTCCCGTTCGAGCCTTCATAATGTTCAAGTCCGCAGGCTTACTCGTTTTTGCGCTCATATCTCTTGTTACACCTGGTTTATCGGAAAAGTCCACATCCCACGTAGCCGTATTGTACTCACAATGTTGGCACGAATTTCCACTTTCTACTGCAATATTGCGTACTTCACGTGATGGAAGCTCGGAGCTTGTCTCGAAGGTTAGCTTTATTGCAAATCCATCGCAGAACCAGCCTCCACTAGATCGCCTGGACAACTACGCGCCTTGGACACATGAACCGATCTGTACTGGTGTCTTGCAGAGCCTGGATAGCAAACTCTGTGTGTACACAAATGCTACTTTCAGCAATGGACGAGGGATATCGATAATCACTACTCCTCGTATCGCGGATGAGTTTGCAAACTTGCCCATCTTCCGCTCAGCCAACGCGCTTGATGGTATCAACGTCTTCTCTGGGGCATGGTACACTGAGAAACTGCCCGGAAAGGGCGTTGGGATGCTCGCAAGGAAGCAGTTAAAGTTCAAAGACCGAGTTACGGCCTATACACCTGCATTGGTCGCCCTTCTTGAAGATGAGCTTAAGACGATGGAGCGGGAGCAATTGTATCGAGTTGCTGTAAACCAACTGCCTGAAGCAACCAGGGACGCATATATGGACCTCGCCTACGTCTACGGTGAACCCAAAGTACGGGTACAGGACATTGTCAAAGCAAACACTTTCCAGCTCCATGTTGGCGGACAAAATCATCTTGCAGTGTTTCCGGAGACCTCGCGGCTGAATCATGCTTGCGCTCCAAAGTAAGCCTTCCTATTCCCATGTCTTTACGCTACTGACACTTTAGTGCTCAATATTACCTTGACCCAGCGTTGCTGACTCACTTTGTTCATGCTACTCGTCCTATCTCAATCGGAGAAGAGATAACGATATCCTGTATGTTGACAAACGCTGCACGAGTTCCCGACTAATCCGTCCAGATACCTCTCCATTAGAGCTCACTGATTCACGTCAACGACATTTACAGGAAGGATTTCACTTCACCTGTTCCTGTCCCAGATGCAGTGCGAAAGCCACCACGGACGCGACACTGCACAAGATAGGAGATCTGCAGACCGCGTTGAACGACTGGTCTGCTACATCCACCGCTACGCCGAAGTTGGCAGAGAAGCTGATTCAGCTATATCGAACGGAAGGCCTGGATGGTTTCCTGGATGTGCCGTATGGCTTTGCTGCACTGGCCTATAACGCCGTAGGGGATACGACGAGAGCCATCAAATACGCAAAGTTGGCCAAGGAAGCCATTCTGCTCAAAGATGGGCCATGGACCCCTAATATGCAGATCTGGACGGAGCTGCTGAAGGATCCAACCCAGCATTGGAGTTTCAGAAGGAGGAAATAGGAGACGAATCCTCGCTGCTTTTACTCACTTCGCTCCTGAAAACTTGAGTCGGGCTACCACAGCTGCCGCCGAGATTGCTTGGGGATGCTGTCCAGTCCCTCCCCTGAGTAGCTAAATGCTCTGGAGTTAGCGGCACAGAACGATTGCACATGTCAAGGAGAGGGAGTACGGTATTTCAATTCAGTCCGAGGTATATTGTAACACAACGCATCCCGATATTGACCAGCTTTCAGCTGCTCCGACCTCTCAGTTCTACCCTCGGACTGTTTCTGGCGTAAGTTTCGCATGTAATTGGCGAACCAAGTTTTGCACGACTCGTGCATCTGCCACCGATCAGTGTGGATACGGCTGTATGCAATATCTGGTGGCAATATCCCGCCCTTAGCAAGGTCGACATTTTGCCCTCTCAACCTGCCCACGAGTGCAACCGCGGCGTCGTCAGTTCGAGACTTCCGCCGTTTGGGATATAGCAAGGATCTTCCATTCCCAATCTTCATCCGACCTCAATCGCCTGAAGTGCCTTGATAACCTCCTCACCCACACCTCCATCCTCGACTACCATCTTCGTCACCTGCGAAACCAACCCTCGTCTCATACCCCCACGAGGCGGTGTCCATACCCCAGAATTCGCCAATAACTCTCGCTGCGTTAACGCATCCGCACTGGAAGTAGGCACCGTGCCACCAGTAGCAGAATTCATCGAGTTTGGTACACCAGGCGGTGTGAGGTGTGAAGGAGGGTCAATTGTCCGGATTGAGACAAGGCGAGCACCAGTGGAGGAAGACTTGGGCCCGGTACATGCGATGGCTAAGACGGCATCCGCAACTGCGAGCTCTTCCTTGCAGGGGTCGAAAATGATATTTTGCCCGACGGCCATAGCCAGTACGATGACGGGAGGTTTGTCGATTGGTTTGGTTGAACCATCTTTCCCGTTGTCCTTGGGGTATAGCGGAACAGATTCATCCCAGTCGTCGTTGAAGTGAGGGTCTTCGTCCTTCTCCGAAGTCAAAGCGGGTAGGCGGGCAGTGAGGAGCGCAAGGTGGGTGGTCATAGACAAAAGGGCAAGTGGGTATGAGAGCGGCGGGGAGAGTAGGAGGATCTAGTGGCATGTTAGCTCCGGTCCTTTGGCCGTATAGACCTCCTTACGCACGTCAACATATAGCTTCCAATGATACCGGCGATTGATGTACAACCGATCCTTGAGTTCACCGCTTGCGAGCAAACTTTCCGTGAGCATCGACGCTAGAAACACAGGCAGGGCGTCGTCGTCGCGAAATCCGGGGATCTCAACGCTCATTTCCACCCAGGAGTTCTTCCCTTTGCCATTGCTCTCGTCTGATTCTTCCTCATCCAGAACCATTCTCTCTCCTTCAGTGACAGAGACTATGCTCCTATGTTCAAGTGGTGGCCTCCAATGGGACTGCTCGACCTCTGCCTTGACACCCACGAGCGCTTCTGTGCCGTCTTCCAAAGCTATACGCGCACTACCGTTTGCGCCGGGCAGAACATCGTATTCAGCTCTCATGGACCGAAAATCGCGGGGTCCTTTGGTATAATCCAGTCGTATGGGCGGTGTCTGCGAGAGGGTCGAGCGCAAGAATGAGAGCTCGGCCGGCGACAGGTTGACAGCAGCTTGGACGGGAGCCATTGCGACTGTAGGCGGCTATTTTGTGGGCGTTGAGAGTTCTGCTTGCCGCGGCGAGACGGTCAGTTTGTTTCGCGGTTCCAAGCCGTGCACGAATCAGAGCAAGGGGCCCCGGCTCACAACTCCAAGCGTGACTTCATCACCGCAACCTCCGTCATCCGCGTCGCTGGACCACCTCACTACGGGTGTGCTGCTGACTCCGCGCAGTCTCATCGTACCGTTCTTCTTGTGCTATCACCCCCTTCTCCTCCCGAATTCCTCGCCATGGTCTCCAGCTAGCCGCAAATATTCCCTTCGTACCCCAACGCGGCGATGTCTCCCCCAACCTCCAGCCGCAGCAGCAGCCATGGCATAGATAAGCTAGACTACGAACGCAACCCGGCGCGGCGACCCCTTCTAGCTCCAGAAGGACATGTGGAATCCGGCCGGACATCGCAGGCGAACAGCTATGCGGGCAGTTTCTTTGAACAGGTGGCCGAGGGCATCGCGGAGCGCGACAGGCGGCGCTTGAAGCGTGAAGCCGTGCGATGGCTGAGCTTCATCTGGGCAATAATCAACTGTCTCTGTGCGGGAAGCATAACAGCATACTCGCTCTACGGGCATAGATTCCAGAAGGACCTCCATTACAGCCAGTTCGAGGTCAACATTGTCTCCATCACCGCCGAGCTGGGCATGTATCTGTTCGTACCGGCCTTTGGTTATCTATGCGATCGTCTCGGACCTGGAATACCGTCTCTCCTTTCAGCATTCTTATTTGGATCAGGCTACCTCCTAGCTGCAGTTGCATTCAGGAGCGGGCCTCCTGTATCGGCTGGTGGCCATGGATGGCCGTTGAGTGTCATGGTTTTGGCATTCGTTGCTGTGGGCATGGGCACGAGCTGCATGTATCTGTCGGCCGTCACGACATGTGCTAAGAATTTCGGTCGTGGGAACGCCAAAGGGATCGCTTTAGCAGTGCCCATAGCTGCTTTTGGACTGAGCGGCATGTGGCAGAGTCAGGTGGGCAGCCGCTTGCTGTACGTGAGGAAACCCGATGGAAGTAGAGGGGATGTTGATGTCTTCCGCTATTTCCTGTTCTTGGCCATCACTCTGTTCTGCGTAGGCGTGGTAGGCACCTTTACGCTTCAGATCGTGGACGAGGAAGAAATGATCGATGAAGCAATTGAAGAGCTGGAACGGTCGGGCTTATTGTCACGAGACGAGTTCTTCAAACGAGCCGCAGACTTCCACGGCTACGGAACCATGAGCACCGGAGACCTATCGGATTCTACGTTCGACTTCCTGCAGACCGAAGCCCAGAAACTCAAGCTCCAGGCCGAGGAGGAGGCACGAAAGAAAGCATGGCTTTTGAACGAAGAAACACGTCGCTATATTACCGACCCAACAATGTGGTGGCTAGCAGCGGGATTTTTCCTAGTCACCGGCCCCGGAGAAGCCTTCATCAACAACCTTGGAACCATCATCGGTACCCTCTCACCCCCTCACACAGCCTCGACCACTTCCCCCGCAACTCACGTCTCCATCGTCGCCATCACGTCAACCATAGCCCGTCTGGTCACCGGCACCTTATCGGATCTCCTCGCGCCACCTGCCCCAACTCATCAGCACCGCCGCGGGGCCGACTCTCTTGAGAACTCGCTCTCCTCTCTTCCTCCATCACCCGTACGAAGATTCACCGTCTCCCGCGTCACGTTCCTCATCACCTTTGGCCTCATCCTCTCCGCAGGCCAACTTCTCCTCGCCTCTGGCCTTATCCAAAATCACCCCTCCCGCTTTGCAGCCGTGTCCGCATTCATTGGCGCTGGCTATGGCGCCGTCTTCTCCCTCGTCCCAATTGTAGTCAGCGTCGTTTGGGGCGTCGAGAACTTCGGCACGAACTGGGGCATCTTAGCTATGACGCCTGCTGCCGGAGCCACCCTTTGGGGCGCCGTCTATGCGGCGGTGTACCAGCGTGCGGCAGCGGCGAGGGTGAAGACGGACGATTTGCTGTGTTATGGGAGGGATTGTTATGCGCCGACTTTTCTGGCGATGGCGCTGAGTGTATGGTTGGCGTGTGGGTTGTGGATGTGGGCGTGGAGGGGACCGGGAGGTTGGAAGAGTAGGGGTGTGTTAGTCTGAATGATTCATTCAAGGTGGTGGTTGAACAGAAGGATTTTCTGCCGAAACTACGATATGGAGTACGCAGAGGAAGGTCAGGCAGTGATGAGTGCTGAGCTGCCAGGCGGGAGTGCTCTTCCTGTTGGCAGCGTATATGACAGGCGAATGGCGGAAGATGTTTCTCCACTAACGATTATGGAAGCATTATTTCCCTTTCCCGTTTTGATCTACGTCTGCATGTTAGGGGTTCAGTTGTTGTTTGCATATGATTGCATCTTTTTCCGTCACAATTACATCCTCAGAGAATACATGGGAATTCGATGATTATGTGGTTAGGGCTTTGTTGCCATGTATATAGCTGTGGAACATGGATTACATGAGGCTTCTGAAAGGAATATTGTCTGTTATGCTTGCTCCATCGCTGTACGTGTAGACGAGGTTCAGCTTCCACGGCCATTCCCACATGGAGTCACTTTAACAATTACTTTTTTACAGGTTTAGATGCTTCCTTTGTCGATATTTACTGTAAGGCTTTCCGGAATATTCTGATCTGATAAAATCCCACGGTCAAAGGGCCAAGATGTCCCAGCCGAGGAAGTAATCAAACTTTTGCCTTGAAGACTTCCGCGTCGCCATGCGCGTGATACCGAAGCACTCAACGTGTGGACCATGTTCCTATATGCACATGCCACGCGTGCGGTGAAACCGAACTTTTCCGGACATGGCGATGAGATGAGGACGATGCTTGGCGTGGTGTTGAGATGCAGCGGGAGACAAGCAAGCTACCCCGCAACCTGTTCCTGGCGGCGGCCTTGCTATTATCCCCAGGCACAAATAGCTCCGCAACCACTAGCTCGCCGACCATTTCATACCACCACCAAGATGGATTCCGAAGTATTGAAGCAGTACCTGGCAGATAGCCCACCGACGATTGTCCCTCTGGCAATCAAACCTCACTTTGAAGCCCTCACTGACAAGGAGAAACTCTACGCTCACCACATCTCCGTGTAAGCACAGCCCACCTCTCTCTCTCCACCGAGGTCAAGGAAGCAAAAAGCAAGAGGTAACTGACAAAACCCACAGAGCCTCGCACGCCGGAACCCGCATCGTCCTCCGCCAAGTCTCCCCCGAATCAGAACCCATCTACGACTTCATCCTCACCCTGCACAAGCACTGCGGCGGCGACTACGACAAGCTCGCGCGCTCGGCCGGTTTCAACAAGGAGGAACTCCAAGCCTACCTCGACTACGCGGCACAGTTCCTGGGCAACCTAGGCAACTACAAGTCGTTTGGCGATTCCAAGTTTGTCCCGCGGTTGGCGCCGAAGCGGCTTCTTGCGCTGGCGGCGCTGACGCCCGAGGCGCTGAAGCTGTATGAGAAGTTCAAGCATGCGATTTTCGCGGGCGACGATGTCGCAAAGTTGCACCTGGGGTATCCGAGTGCGGGGCATGTGAGCACCTACTACCCCGATAGTCCGGGCATCACCAAGGAGGAGATATCCGGGGTGAGCGATTTCTTGGAGGGTAAGGGACTGTTGCCTGAGAATACGAGGGTGAGGAAGACGGCGGAGGGGTTTGAGGTGCTCATTGCGTCTGCGGAGCCGGATCCCAGGGCTGAGGATCGGGATCTGAAGGAGAGCGAGTGGACGACTGGGGATGGGAAGAAGATCAAGCTGGTTTTCGGGGACCACGTAAAAGAGATGGAGACGATTGCGGAGCACTTTGAGAAGGCGAGGGAGTATGCTGCGAACGAGACGCAGGCGAAGATGATGGAGCAGTACGCAAAGAGCTTCCGGACGGGGTCGCTGGAAGCCTTCAAGGAGAGTCAGCGGCTGTGGATCAAGGACAAGGGTCCTGAGGTCGAAGTCGACGTGGGCTTCATTGAGACCTACCGCGACCCTCACGGGATCCGTGGCGAATGGGAAGGCTTCGTGGCCATGGTGAACAAGGAGCGGACCAAGGCGTTTGGCAAGCTTGTAGAGTCGGCTCCCAAGCTCATCCCTCTCCTTCCCTGGAGCAAAGAGTTCGAGAAAGACACTTTCCTCAGCCCGGACTTTACCTCGCTCGAGGTGCTCACCTTCGCCGGCAGCGGCATCCCCGCCGGCATCAACATCCCCAATTACGACGACATACGCCAAAACCTAGGCTTCAAGAACGTCTCGCTAGGCAACGTGCTGAGCGCCAAAGCCCCCGACGAGCCTATCCCCTTCATCAAGGAGTCGGACCTCGCCCTGTACCGGAAATACCGAGACGCCGCCTTCGAAGTCCAAGTCGGCATCCACGAACTCCTAGGCCACGGCTGCGGCAAACTGCTCCAAGAGACCAGCCCCGGCGAATACAACTTCGACATCCACAACCCGCCCATCTCCCCCCTGACCGGCAAACCCATCACCTCGTGGTACAAGCCCGGCCAGACCTGGGGCAGCGTCTTCGGCTCCTTCGCCGCGTCCTACGAGGAGTGCCGCGCAGAGTGCGTCGCCATGGCCCTGAGCTGCGACTTCTCCGTCCTGCGCATCTTCGGCTTCGGCGACGGCACCCCGGACCTGGACTCGGAGGCCGGCGACATCCTGTACGCGGCGTACCTGTCCATGGCGCGCGCGGGCATCGCCGCCCTCGAGTTCTGGGACCCCAAGAGCCGGAAGTGGGGCCAGGCGCACATGCAGGCGCGCTTCTCCATCCTCCGCACCTTTCTCAACGCGGGCGTCGAGTTCGCCGAGCTCGAGTTCCAGGATAAAGAGCAGTTGTCCGATCTCACGATTCGCCTCGAGCGAAGCAAGATTCTCGAATTGGGTCGCCCCGCTGTGGAGGAGTATCTGCGGAAATTGCACATCTACAAGGCGACTGCCGATGTCGAGGCGGCCAAGCGCATGTACGACGAGATTACGGATGTGGAGCCGTTTTATGAGAATTATGTACGGCCGGCTGTGTTGAGGAAGAAGGTTCCCCGGAAGGTGTTTGTGCAGGCGAATACGGTGGAGAAGGACGGGGGGAAGGTCGAGTTGAGGGAGTATGAGGCTAGTGCCAAGGGCATGATTGAGAGCTTTGCTGATAGGACGTATGCGTGAGTTGGAGGGGGAGGTGCAAGGCCATGGTCGTGAAAGTGGGCATCTGGGAATGGATTTATCTTGTGAAGGATACCCAAAGCGCTTGGGATAAGGATGATTTCAAGCAGAATATTGCACATGCATTGAGATCCATCAAGCAGACAGGAAGCGAAATGATGATTTGAAAAGCCCTCCTCTTCCTCCTCGCCCTCACTGCCTCGTATCTAACCCGTATACACCCACAGCTCCTTTTCCCTGCATGCAAAGGAAAGAAGTCCATGTAGATACATGTACATGATTCACGTCGTGACGTCCTTGGTGACCACACAGGCACACTTATCCATCTGACGGCTTCCTTCTCTCCCCTCCCGTCACAAACCACCAGTAGGGCATGTAAAGTCGTATAGTTGCAGATTCGATGGATGAATACCAAGGAGGGCATAAGGACATCTCGAAGGGGGAAAGAAAAGGGGAGAAAACAAACTGCCCAAGTAAAGAGCAATCTCCCAAAGCAAAACACACAAGAAGGGGGTGAGAAACAAAAACTGAATTAAGGGGGTAAAGAAGCGAAAACGAACAAAAGACAGTTGAGCGTAGTGGCAATGGTGTATCGGGGTATAAACGTTCCTTAGCATAGCATGACGGATTGCGGCAAGACGAAAAGCAAACGACGACGACGATGATGCGGAGCAGGCGGTCATACACACATACATGATTGCATGTACTCCCGTCTCCCGCACCACAGACCTCTTCCCAGCAAGAAGAGAGACGTAAAGACAGTGAAGGAAGGGCGTGGGGACTCACAACCGCCTCAGAAGCAGAAGCAGTTCGACTTCCAAGAGAACCAAGCATTTCAGCTTCGCCTAGAAGCAGTTCAGTCCCCCCTTCTTCTTCTTCGTCTTCGACAGCGCCGACATCCGCGCCTCCAGTTGCGCCCTCTCCGCCTCGACTCTGAGCCGCATATTCCTCTCCTCTTCAAAGGCCTGCAGCGAGTGTCGGGCCATGCTGCGCTCCTTGCGCATGACTTCGAGCTCTTCTTCCAGGCTGGCGCACTTCTTCCGCCAGTTTTCAATGTCCTGCTTCGTCTTTTGACTCGAGGCTTCCAAGTCAGTGAGCGCGTCTTCCAATGTCGCGGTAAGCTGTTTTTCGGCAAACAGGTGCTTTTCGATAGTCCGGATACGCGCTTCCTGGTCTTCGACGAGCTGAGCCTGGGCGATGTCTTTGCTCTGGTGGCGGGAGGTGGGCGGTGACGGGGCGCTGGCCTGAGGAGGCGGACTGCCAGGAAGGGGAGGGAGAGGAATGGCAGGAGGCGGAGACGGCAGGGAAGTGTGAGAGGTGCTCTTCCGCAGATTGGAATTGTTCGAATTCGATCGTTGAAGAGACTCTCGTGGATCGACAGACTCACGATTCGAGTGTCTCTTTGCGTCCACAAGCTGCGACTGGCGTGTCTGTTAGCTGAGTAATCATGTGAAGAAGGGTTGATCTGGCTCACCTCCAATAGGGCAATCTTGATGCGAGACTCTTCCACTTCCTTCTCCAGATTCTCCTTCCGCTGAAGAGCTTCTTGCAGCTCCTGGCTGCGCTCCGTCTGAAGGGCAGAAAGACGATTGGCAGCAGCCTCGTGCTGGTCGTAATTCTGATTGAGCTGATCTTCCAGTTCCTGGACGAGACGCGAGCTCTTCCGCTCCTTTTGGCTTATCTTTTCCAGTTCTTTGATAGTTTCCGCGTTGATTATCTCCAACTCCTTAACGGTTCCCTTCAAAGTGGCGACAGTAGCTGTCGACTCTGACAGTTGGGTCCGCGCAGTCTGGAGCTCACCAATCGCTTCATCCATCTTAGCCATGAGCGAGGTTCTCTCCTCGGCCAGAGCCCGAATCTGTGATTCAACTTTCGACATGTCCGTTTCTTGGCTCAATGCGGATCCAATGCCTTTCAGTAACCCGTCGATATCCGCCCTGGCCTTGCTAAGGTCCTCTTCAAGCGCGTGCGTTGAGCTTTCTTTGGCGGCGAGCTCTGCGGTGAGTTTCTCCATCTCCATGACGTGCGACTGTTGCAGGGACTCCAGCCGTTGCTGATGAATGTCAAGGGCTGCCTTATGCTCCTCAACTTGGTTTTCCAGATTGGCAACAAGAGACCTATGCGTGGCCAGCTCCTTCTCGGTGAGCTCTCTCGCCTCAGCATCGGCTTCAACCTGTCTGATGATGCGAGCGTGAGACTCCTCCAGTTCAGCGAGACGAGCTGCATTCTCAATCGCAGTTGATCTGTGTTCGTCTACCTGGGCCTGCAGAGTCTGGACCAACTCCGCGTGCTGCAGTCTCTCCTTCTCAAGGAGTGCTTCGATTTCTACGCCCTTGGCACGCTCCAACTCGTTGATTCGCCAGGCATGGTCGGCTTCCAGAGTCTTGATGGCCGATTCAAGCTCGCTGACCGTCTGAAGGTGTTGCTTCTCTGCAGCTTTCGTGCTTTCGATGGCCTGCACGTGTTTAGACTGCCACAACCTAGCCTCCTCTTGGAGCTTCCTGATTTGTGCCTGTTGCAGATTCTCGCGCTCGGAAGCCTCGTCGCCGAGAGATTCGGCGGCCTCTCCAGATGCAGGAGACGTGACGGCATTGGCCAGCGTTGCGCTGTCCAAGGATGCCTTTAGGCTTGCGATCTCAGCTAGCAACTCCTGCTCCCGTTTCTCATGCGCCTCCTTAAGCTCCTTCATGTCTGCCTCGCTCTGCCTGATCTGATCCTGCATACTTGCAACAATTGAGATATCCAATGGTGAGGATGCTTTCAGACTGGATCGCTCCTTGGCAAGACCAGATATCAAGGTCATCTTTCCCTCCATCTCCTTCCTGACGGAAGCAAGCTCACCCTCGAGAGCTTGCACTCGTTCGGATCGCATGTGCAGCTCGGTCATAATCGCATTGAGGTTGATTTCGAAATTCTGGATGGTATCGGGTTGCTGCTCAAAGTTTTCGAGAGCCAGGTTACGTAGGGAGGCAAAGGCACGATTGGATCGATCGTTTGCGGACATCACGTTCTGGCTCGACTTCCGGCGGATGACGCGAGCCGTAGGCGAGGCAGGACGAGCCATTTGAGCCTTGGTCACCTCCGACTTCAACTCTTCCACATAGTCGAGGGTATCTTGGTGCTTCTCCTGGAGGTCTGTGTAACGATGGCTCAATTCAGCCACTCGTTGCTCCTTCTCGGCATTCAACAACTTCAACGTTTCCAATTCTCGAGCCAAAATAGACTCTGTGTGCGACAGGTCGAATGTAGATTCGGTTGGTGACTGCGGCAGGGGAATGTCTTCGGGAGACACTTCGTCATCAGGAACCTCAGTATTCTCCTCGATCTCGTCGCCAAGATTCGAGGTATTGCCAGATTGCACTGCTAAGGACAATTCCGCAGACAACGTACGCGAGGATGATGGTTGTCCATCCTCTCCCCTGAGTCCATTCACCCCCGCGTTCGCTAAAAAAGACGTCGGCCTTGAAGAAACCGAGATTGATGACCGCCGATGGCGCGCTTCATCTACTGCATCCTGAAGGGCAGCCAGGGTCCGCAGAGCTTCTTGATACTTGCTTTGAAGCCTGTCATAGTCTTCGAGTGTGCCCTCATGCTCTACCTTCAAATCAAAAAGCTCTTGAGTGACTGATTCCAGTTTGTCTTGCACGAACTTGGACTGAGCAGGACTTGCTGGTGTCTCGAGAGCCTCGTCAGCTGGTAGATCTCTGGATACAACAAGGGTGTTGTGCGCATCACCGCGACCCTCATGACCCCCGGCTACAAATGCAGCGCTTGGGTCTGAGGCCCCCGCCGTTGTAGGCCTCTCTGCGTCATTTTCTTCCGCAATGGCATCGATATTGGTGTTGAATTGCCTGGGACCGTTGCTTGCCGATTGAGCGTCCACGATTGAATCACTAAGCTTTTTGGCGTGCCCATTGACGACTGGCTCGTCGCCTTTGGCATCAGCCTGTCGGATATTGTCGAGCTCGTATAACAAGTTGTCCAGCTTTCCGATACTGCGTTGACGTTCCACAACATGTTTCAGCCGCTCGATTTCTCGCTGCATGAGATCCACCTCTTGCTCGTTCTCCGCAAGGCGCTCCTCCAGGGTAGAGATGTATTCCTCGGCGCTAGCCTCGTTCTCCCTGGCTTTCTGCAGTTTCTCGCGCAGCTCTATTATCATGGTGTCGTTCCTTTCAATACCCGAGGCGGAGCTATCGATCTGTGCCTCCAGAGACTTCACGTAGTCCTCATTGCTGGCTTCGCGATCCATTGCTTTTTGTAGTCGGGATTGCAGCTGTTGAGCCTGGCTTTCCAGAAAAGCGATACGCGTCTCCTTCTCCAGCAACTCGCTCTCATTCGCGGAGAGGGAGGAGCGGGTATTCGTGAGGGATGACTCCAGACTCTGGATCGTCTTCTCATATTCAAGGACGACAGACTCGACGGCCTCGGCGAATGAGTTGGACCGCTTCAGTCGCTCAAGTGCGGAATCGCCGATAGCATCCTTGAGCATCGGCGTCTCCGCCGAATCGCTGTCACGAGCTTTTGTGATTTCCGAGATCAACTTCGCGTGCCTTGCACTGAGGGCGTTATAATTCTCCTGGATATCAAGCAGCTGATTGTGCAACTCGAGTTCCCGCTCCTGCTGCCTTTCAGCTCTCTCCTGCGGTGCACCCTTCTTGCGTTCCGTCCTTTCCGAGATTCTGATTTGATCCCGGAGGAATTGGACTTCGGCACGTAGTCGATCGATAATGGCTTGCTTGTCGCTGTCGTCGTGCACCTGCTGGATTTGCGGCTTGATCTGGATGGCTCGCGCTCGTTGCGCATACTGGACGGTGTTCAATGTTTCACTCAGGTGAAATTCGGCGGGGTTGACGCAGGCAATCATGTAGGTTATGGCATTTCCGCCCAGTGAATCCTGCAGCAAGCGGGTGAGTTTCGAATCGCGGTACGAGACGTACGACCCATGTGACCGGGAAGAGAGCTGGGAGATGACCTTGCCCAAGCTAGCAAGGCCGGCATTAATGGAGATTCCTTCCTTTGCCCTTTCCCCCTGCGCCTGAGTGTTTTTCAAGCGCTCGCTTCCGGCAAGGTCGACAAAGTGCAGCTTGCTGTCCACTGTCACCCAGTTCTCGCTCCCACCGGACATGGCCTCGATGGGGACTGACATACGCTTGTCGCGTTTCGTCAGCGGCGCTGTTGAGCTCTTCTTCTGCACCAAGTTCAAGCTGAAGACGGCATGCGAGCGGGAGGACTTTGCATTCACGGCCGTAGCGTCGGTCTGACGAATGGAGGAACCAAAGTTCAGCGCGTTGAGAAGATCTTCGATGGAATTGATTGGCATCTGCGTGAGACCCGTGAGGAGAATGCGGCCTTTGGGGTCTTCGCGAATAGCGACGGCGGGGCGCTCGTGCGCTGCGGTGGACTCGGGAAGGAGCAGGTCGCGCAGTTGCTCATTGTAAATCTGGGACGGTGAGCGAGGAGTTGCACACAGGAGAGAGTCGACTTACTTCGACATAGGTAGCCTTGAGCTGCCAATTCTTATTCAACGAGGTCTTTGCTAGGGGCATGCCGATGCCAGAGATGCGTGATGGAGGCTTTATGCCGGGCCCTGAGGGACGGGCGGGACTGGAGCCATCGAGCTTCTCGAACAACAGTGCGGCTGCCCGAGGAATGATGCCTAGTTTCTGTGAGTGGATTTTGTCTTATGCCAGCAGAGTAATATAGGGCGCGCCTACCCATGACTTTCTCGTCCCCTTGGTCTCGCGGGCCTGTGGTGCCCATTGTATAGGACTTTCCGGCGCCGGACTGGCCGTAGGCGAGGATAGACACATTGTAACCCTGAACAAAAGAAGTGACGCTGTCTGCAACGTATTCAAATATGCCCTCTTGGTCTACATCCTCTCCGAAGACGCGATCGAAGACGAATGTCTTGCGGCCTCCTGCGGCATCTACCACCAAACTGGAGCTTGTGGAAACATGGCAGGTGGAGCCGCGAAAGCGTTGAGGGACGAGGTCAAAGCCGGGATCTCCGTTCTTGAGCGGAGGACGTACGCGGACGGCTGTGGGCGGCAGAGGTTAGCTTTTCGAGGCTCTCGAGGCAGCTTGGCTTTGTGTGTAAACATACCGACTTTGACAGCGGTACGCGAGTCCTCGTCGGAGGCGCGACTGCCACCGCCGGCTCTACTGCTCATGCTCATCCGGCTGGAGCTTCGGTTTGGGCGGATCATGGCACTGAGGGGTCGCGGGACAGAGGCCGCAGCTGGAGATCCAGGAGGTGAAGCCATTGTTCGGGCCGCTCACGGGAGCTCCCTGAGTATGTGGTAGGGCCGTGCGCGGCGTGCAATGCGGCGAGGGACGACGTTTGGGAGTCGAGCGAGTGTTAGAGCCGTAGAGGCAGTCGAGGATATAGTATGCGGAGGCTCTAGGCCCTGGTCGTCATGCGAATGGGGTCGGGTGGAGTTTGCAATGGTTGGCGCAGCGGGAGAAACGGTGAGGGAGGGCGCGATTTAGCCAGAGAGCTTCATCCAGAAAACGCGACAGCGACGCAGCGGAGGCGAAATGCGGGGAGGCAGTCCAGCGGAGGAAATGGGTGGGGAGGGGAAGTGAATAATAATGGGTGAATGGGGGTGTCGTGGGTGTAGGTGGTTTTTTTCCACAGCGCAGACGAGAGAGAAGATGGGGATGGGCGGAGCGATCCAGGGACTCCCGCACCTGGCACCAGCAGACGCGCCCCTGGACTGGCTGCCGAGGCGGGTGCAACCAAGCCAGGGCCCGGCACCTGGGCAACATTGAAACTTCAAGGCACGCTTTCACCTCTGCGGTTCGCCCGCCGATGTCAACTCTCAGGTCGACTCTCGCCACGCCCGGGGCAGCCTGTCGCCAGTGCCAGTGTGTGCTTCCAAGGTTTGTGTCGTGCTGAAGTGCTCCTCCTGCGTCGCCCATGGCAGCATCTATCTATTATTGTGTCTCCTTTTCCTCTGTTCAGGCACTGGAACCCCTATTCCAGCAGCGGTGAATGTACGCGAACACCAGAGGTGCAACAAGAGCAGCAACACTTTGATGGACAAGAGCTGGAAGAAGCAAAGAGTGCATCGGAGTATCGTACGATCCAGTCCCTAACACTCTGCTGCGTCCTGGTCCCCATACCCACCAGTTAAAGCACTTGCATGGAGTGGCCTTGCCGAGTAAAAAAGGGGCATACTTTAGTGCCCGTAGTCGTCTGCTTCTAGAGACTGCCCCTTCGACGCTGGACTGCGCCATGTTTCCCGTATGGCATCAGAATTGGCAGATCATTCATGCTCTTGCATCGACACAAGGTTTGCCTGCCAAATCCCCTTTGTCTTCTCTTCGTCTGTCTCTTCATGGGAGATTACCGTTCATGCCGTCTGGAGCATCAGACGTGGTCTGTGCGTATCCCATCAACTGACCTCCGTCACCTCACATCAACGAACCCCACCTCTAAGGCCAGCCCTATTGCCGTATATTCGGATGGCGTCTCTTCGTCCGATGAGGCATAACGGCCTCACTTCCCTTTCCATCTGCTCCATCACAAGTCTCAAGGTTTTTATACTACAGAACCCCCTTCGCCTTCAATACCCGAGTCACCGCTCCGTCACGAATACCCAGGATTATTACCTGACAACTCTTTCCCTTGATCATGCGCTTCATGCCATTGGGCTAATGGCCCTACTCTCCGATCATCTACCTTGTCAATTCCTTGAGAGATACCACGGGGTGCCCTCGTTACTGGAAAGCTTCGGAAGCACTCGACCAAGAAGGAACACCCAGATATGCAGGCGACCATGTCTTCACACAGCAGTAGGCTGAAGCGATATCTAGCCCAACTTACGGAGTACGGAGTACTGAATGTCAAGCTCGCCAAAGCACTCGAGGAGTACTACTACCCCACCCATCACTAGTCCACTGCTCTGCCCTTCGCCTTCTTGCTCGCAGGACTATTCGTCCATCATGATGCCCCGCTCAGATTTACCCGCTCGCCAACGACTTTACACGGCGCATCCCGCAAACTTTACATCTCTCCGTTCCAACTTCGGGCTCGTGTTCCAGCAGAATTGCGGGGGAATACGGACCCTCTACGTCCAGGCACACGCCTATCGATTAGGACCCGCATACCCTCTGCTGCTCTGACCGCACCTTCAACTGCACTTCGGATCCTTACACCGGTCGTCGAGTTTTCTCTCTGTAGGCTATACATGACCTGCAGGAACGTGTGACCCGAGTCAAGTCTTGCATGTCGCCAGCCGATCATGAACGGAGCAACACCAAATCCAGCAAGTTTCGTTTCGAAGATCTACCTATGGCCCAACGCTTTGTTTCATCACGCACACGATCCTCATGACCACGCGAGTGACGCGATTGCCATGCATGCAGCTACATCTCCCAATGCGTTCTGGTCGGCTATGCAGAGTACCTCAGATCCACAGCTTGCCATTGTCATGCCGTTGACCATGTTCTGTTGAGTCTGCCAGACCGCCTTTCGGCCCTCTTCTCAAGTTATCCTTATCCAACTGCAACTGTAATGCGCAGACACGTCTACACAGCACTAATTTGGCTCGTCTAGGTGCTTCTGTTCATACCAAGAATCATTCTAGTCTAGACGCGCAACATGAGGCAATAGATCTCCGTTGCGATTTCAGCGATCTCTGCGTTGCGGTCGCTCGAAGCCCACGGTATACAGAGCTTTCCATCCTTTCACCTGCTGTCCTTTCTGCTCTCCCGTTTCTTCTTATACCTATTCCTGCTCTGTGCCGTCTGCTTCATGTCCATATACATAGCAGTGACTCTACTCTTCACCGAACTATCCTCGCTTTCCAGTTCGTCTCCTCCCGACACTCAATTTCAATTATCCGTACAATCACCTTCCTCGGAAGAAAAAGCGAATTCGTCTCTCCTCTCGATACCACGACGTCAAAAGCTCAACCGAGTGTCCGGAGCCGAGAGTGGAGGGCGGCATTGACGATCAGGCACTTCATGTATAACGTAGCAGCTATTGCATAGTGGCGTCGGCTATCTGGTATGCATAACGAAGCGGCGAAACATCATGGATAACAGAAACATTCAGGCGGCGTTAATAACACGATTAGTTGAATTCGAGACCATGGGCACTCGTATCCGCAGGCGTTTGACGGTTTTAGAGGATGTGCACAGGTTTGACCGTTCTGATAGAACTTTTCTGGTAAAATGATTTGACTGCCGAGGAATGTCATGCGTGTTCCTACCGTCTTATTACCACCCGTAGACTCTTTCGAATAGGCATGACTACTACTCTCCTTGGTCGCCGCACTTTTGCTTCTTCATTGACCGCTGGCCTAGGCTTTCTGACTGTGTATAGAGCACCAGAAGCCGTAACGCACGAGAGCGTCAAATCCCTTATCAGTTGTAGCATTTTTTAATCCTTTGGTGAAACAGAATCCGTAAAGAAGTTTCAAGCAACAACAGAGTTTGATATATGGCCCTCGTCAGGCTACAGCATGAATATCGCTCATCTTGCTGAAAGGATTGACCTGATTGTGCTCCGTTCAAGGCATCTACATGGCCATATTTCACACCAGCATTAAGTCCTCATCTAGCTACAACCGGAATAAGTTCAAACCACGTTGACTACACTGGTACTTACCCACCTACCACCGAGCGAAAACATAATCAATCTTAATTCCATCTCACTCCTTCCAGGTACACTACCGCCACGCAGTCGACACCAGGTAGAAGAGATTCAATTCCGTTTTAGAAGCACTACTACTGCCTGAAAACCATAATCGCAAGTCTCTCCTTGCTTCCTTAAACCACACTTTCTCCTTTCAACTGATAATCGCCCCACTTCCCTAAAACCCATGCTATTACGGTACTCTCGCTGCGAACCGCTAGCAGCTGGGTACCGCATCCCCGTCTGCAGCGCCGACAACAACATCACAATCCTCCCTATGCTCTTTTATTATCCTTAAAATAATCAACCTCTCGAAACCCATGGTCCACATCTTCCAATTCACGTCCTTCGTACTCCATACTTGGGGTAACGCAGACGGCCCGGAGTCGGTAATTAGAAAAAGCAAAACAGCGCCAACACGACATGAAACACCAACGCCTAGAAGAAAAAAAGAAAAAAGAAAACAAACGAAAAAGAAGCAGTGCTTGGAGCGTCCTCTTCCATCCAATACATCGTGCATGCATGTGTGGTTGCGGCGTAGATACTCACCGGTAGAGCGCCGGCCATCCATCGCTTGCGAGCCGAACCGCCTCGCGGTGTTGGGTGGGTGTGCTCGATCCACAACGGTTACGGTTACGGCGAACGACGGTAACGGACGCGGAATCAAAGGTGCGGAGTCACCGATGAGGGTAGGGCGTAGTTGGATTTCTTTTTTCCTTTTTTTAATAACTATGTATTTTTGTTTTGCTTTTCCCAAGGCTGTCCTACCTACCACTACGCCTTGTGTGTATTACTGGGTTACATGGTAGACTAGGTTTCCTGACTCGTGGGAGGTGCATATGCGCATGCGGGATGCTGGATAGGGAAGGGCTGGGGATATATCGAGGCGTTGGATATAGCTGCTTGTAGTACGGTGTAGTCGGGATGACGGTTTGGGTGCGTGGTTCCTATTCGCGGCTAAGCTGGTGCTCGCTGGGAGCGAAAAAAAAGGAAAGTGAGGGGGTATAATATAGAGACTATAGTTCTGATATCGTACTGTACCATTCGTCAATATCGAGCAATGCGCTCGGAAAATAAGAAGAAGAATTAAAAATTGTTTTCGAGTATTGGTATACGGCAAGGAGTACAGCTACAGTATACACGGTATACCAATCAAAGGCACACAATCCTTACATTTAGACTCCAATACCAATGCACTAGATAGTACCGCCTAGATCCCGCTTCAGCACATCTAGTATTTTCTTCTCGTCTACTTCTTCCTCGCCCGTCAGGCCGGGCATACCGCTCCCATCGTCCACTCCTCCGTCTCCTACTCCCACCTGCCCCTTCACTGCTCCTAGTACCTTGACTAGTTCTTTCTCTTCCCCTGCGTCCTTGGTAAGATACTCCTCCTCCAACATAAATTCTCCCGCAGGTGGTGATGCGGTGGAGAAGACGTAGATAGTGGGAAACTCGAGGATCGTCCGGCCCTGCAGTAGAGTAGAAAGGGAGAGTGAGGGGTCGAGCGGGATGAGGACGGGATTGGGGTGGCGGGACAGGGGCCGGTGGAGGAAGAAGTAGAGGGATGGGGAGTCGGAGTCTGTTGCTGTTTCTTGTCGTTGTGGTTGTTGTGGTTGCTGAGTTTGTGACAGCTGCGATGATGGGCCCTGCTCCAAGGAAGCCGTCGTAGAAGCTGATGGTTCTGTTGCGTTCGGGTCTCCAGAGTTCGTTGTGATTTCCGCTGCAGGAATATCTGGGGTGTCGTCATCTGGTTTTGCCGGCGATGCTTCGGGTACTATCTCCTCGTCACGGCTCATTGCCAGGCTCACAGTGTCCTCAGGGCATCGGCCCTCAATCTCTTTGGAGGCAAGGGCTCTTTGCCGTTTCACGTCGCCATTTGCGTCGGTTTCGGGACCTGTAGTCGTTTGGGCTGAGGTTTGGTTCTGATCTCCAACATCCAGCTTCCTCTTCTTTTCTCTCCTTGGGTTAAAGAGGTATTGATATACCTGCACGAGAGGCTGTGTCTCGGGCACTTCGCGGACCGAACGTGTCTTGTCCGGAAATATCCACTCAACCGTCCATATGATATTCTTCCTTCACAATCACAGTTAGCACTGCAGCAGACTTCAGTAAATCTAACAAATCCATACATACCTCTTATTGCGGTGCGAGGTATTCTCTCTCTGCCTACTCAGCCCCTTGGGCGCCTGGATCAACGTCACACCCGCCCTCTCCAAATCCTTCGGATGCAACCCCGCCTTCTTCGACTTGGAGAAATACACATTCCCCGTTGCCTCTCCCTCAACCGTCCCGTCGATCCCCCTCTGACTCACCTCCTGCTCGACCCGTTCCAACTTCCTCTCTATCCCGGTGAGGAAGTTGAAGTCGTGGTCGATGCCGGCTGGAGTGGCGAGTTGGGATTTCTTGACGAAGGCGGTGGGGTCCCGCTTCCCGCTGCACTGCGCCCATTGCTGGTGTCTCTTGTAGCACGGGAGAGAGCAGGTGCGGGCGGAGCAGCCGGGACAGCGGTATTTGAACTTTTGGGCGTTGCTGGGTAGGTCAGATGATGTGCGGTTGAGAGAGAGGGTAGGGGAGGAATTATGGAGAAGGCAAATATGGAAGCGTTTGGGAATACGATAAAACATACCAAATGCTGCAGAGGTCGCTGAGCAGTGTTTCATCCGCCATTATTATTATTTAGTGGATATATCGGGTATTTCAAGTTGCTGGCGCGAGATTGCAAATTCTGTTTGGTTTGGGGATTAAGACGGGAATATATCGCAGTCGAAGTCAAAATATGAGCAGAATATCGTATGTGCAGCTCTCAAAGATAATGTTTAGTTAGGGAGGCATGGTACTAGTATTGCTAGAAATCGAGACTAGAGTTCGAATTGTATCTGCAGGCGGGGACCAGCCAAGTTGATGCCAAGCCGTATCACGTGAAATGGCTTGGCAATCTCCACATCAGAACACTGACGACCTTTAACATGTCTCAACACTCCCCACCGCTCGACGGCCGCTCGAAGCTTGGGAGCCTCAAACAATGCGAGTTGACTGACAATGCAGAAGAGAGAGTTGACTTGTTGCCAGACACCTGACAGCTTGATGAGATGGCATTATACATAACGGGTTTGCCGTGCACCTCCTCGGTCGTTTAGTACAAAATCAGGCTAGGACGACGCCGCGTCGTCCGCCTCGGGTCCGGGCGCCGCTGCAGAGATTCGATTTCGATGTGTGGAGAAGCCATATTGCATGCAGATGTGCATGGTTGGATCTCTCTTCTGTGCGGAGAATCTTGATGTTCTCGTTCGGTGGCACAAACAAGAGACGGGTCTTCAGTTTCATCAGGTCTCCCTAACTTTGTCAGGTTATTTTCAGACCCACGCTCCCAAGCCCCAGACCTGCTTCAAAAATTCCGATGGTCCCGTAACCATGATCGCCGCCGTTGGATGCTTTCTGGGATCCTGTGTTTAATAAGTACACTCGCCGCTCCGGCTCTCCCTTGCTGGCTGCATGAGGGTGGCAGATGTCGATTACTTTTCTCGAGGACTATTCTGAGAGCACGGAAACCGCCACATGATGTGCGCCATTATGACGACGAGGAGGATACGAAGAAGAAAGAAGTCTGATGTCGCAAATGTCGCCGGAGAGTCGTTACTCGCAGCTTGCAACAACCCGTGGCAGCCAGGACCAAGGTGATTTGATGAGGCCCCGCTCGAGAAATGGGCGGAAGCGCGTTCCTGAGTGATAGTCAGGGGCGGCTCTCGTTTGAGCTGGCTCCTCCTGTTCACGAGTGGGCTGCAGCCCGCACGGCCCAGGAACTGAACAAGGGAGGTCGGCACACTGCAGATGGCCTGGCTCATCCACGGCTCCCACTCCTGCACCATGCACAAGAACTTAGAGCCTTCACACTGATTGCACGCCGCTTTGTTTACCAGACGTCCCAACAAGCCAGAGAAAAGTCGACGCTGAAGACTCGTATTATTGCGGAGCCTCTGACCTGAAACCGTCCCTCGTCGGGGGCACCTGCTTTCCGGTCGGAGCAGCCGCAAGTTGGGGATGCTCACTGCTGCTGTGTCAGAAGAAATCATTTGTTCGAGTCGATGGACCAAGGAAACGGTGCTGGGACGCGGGCGTGTATCCCACTGTGGAAAAAGAACGGTGGCCCATACGACTCGGTCTCGCGCCTCCTCATCACCTCACACGGCCCGCCCAACGCAATTTGGCCGTCTGCATAACTGTTGGTTTCGCGTCCCGAAGGTTGGCAGTCTGCTGCGAGGGACCAAGAGGCACGCTCCGCGTCGATATTGGAGGTCAGTCACAGACATACTGAAGGTACAGTACCTACATAGACAGTACAGTAGTGCCCGCCGTGCATGCCCAATACTCCCCAGCAAGGCACCGTAACCCAGGAGCACTCCGTACACAGTACGGCGTACCTAAGAGCAAACTCATGCAGGAATAATAATGTGCATCCAGATTCTCTGACGACTATCTCGTCCGTCCGCCTTCGCCAACGCTCCACCACCGGCGCTCGTGGGCTTGGGATGCTCCACGATTCAACACCCCATCAGCATCCAGGGCTGGCCCCTTGTCCTTACGCGGATTGGCAAGGAACAAGGGCCTCATTTCCTGTGTTACCGAGTCTTGCGAAAACCCACACGGTCCACCTCTGGGCACACTCCCCCCAAGCCCTCCCTGCATGGCGCCACTTCGGGGTGTGCCAGGGGTCCCACTCCCCAAGCTCCCAAAAGCTCTCCGAGCTCTTTGGCACCGACCCTCCACCTTCCACGCCGCACGGCCGGACGGTCCTTGCCGCACCCTCACCCAAAAGGAACTCCCCATCCCGCCCTTCACTTCCGCTCCTTTCCCTTGCTGCGACAACTCCCTCGCTGCAGTCTGCCACTCTCGCGCGCCAAGGGCATCAATCTCAAGTACTTGCTTCCTAAGCACTCGTTGTGTGAAGCCTGTCCTCACCGTCTGCCGTCTGCCCCTATTCCCTCCCTTCGCTCCCTACGCCCTCTTTCGAATGTTCGTCTCTTCGTCGTAGCGCGCGTTTCAATTGCCTCGTAGCTCTACGATTCCCGTCCTCCGCATAGCCGCCTCCATCGCAAACGCACCATCGACTTCACTTCTCGAGAATGGCTCCGTCCCTCAGCCTCCGCCCTCGTACTAGCGATCGGCCCTCCACCAGCCAGGGCGACCATAGCCTCATCATTCCCAGCCGGACCTCTTCCCTTCACTCGAGGATCACGCAGCCGCTCCCTTCAACGCTGAACATCAAGCAAGGCCAGAGGGGTCCCAAGACATTGACCCACGCTTACATGGTATGCGGTGTGGGCAGGGAGCCTTCGCAATGGGTCAAGGCACCGCCGCCGAGCCAGGGCAAGATTGGCCATATGAAGGGTGCTGTCGGCGCCTTCTGGCTGCCGGAGATTCTGGGAAGCAGCCCCAGGCTGGAGCAGGACAATGAAATTGCCCGGTCTCTGCACGCCGCCATGCGGGTGAGCATACCATGCACACCAGAGAGAATGGCGTTGATGCTAACGAGGATTGCAGGCGTGTTTCCCTCACGATGTCGAAATCTGCACGGGCAGGACCCAACCGCATTGTGTTCATCATTCTTTCGTTTTGCAGCAGGATTCTTCCCATACCCTGTACGGCATTGCTCTGCGCGTCTGGTCGCGAGCCGACGAGAAGAGGGCCGAAACCATTCGTGAGCTTCGCAAGCGCATCGAGCCTGACTTCTTCGATAACCCCGAGGAAACCTATTGGATCCCCTATTGCTTAAGCTTCCTCTCGCGCTATCCCCTCTACAACCTCCTAGGTGATTACCTCCGAGGCATGTGGATTCACTGGAACAAGGCCACCAATCTGTTCCACGCTGAGGAGGTATCGAGGATCCTGAGCTTCCCTGCCCCGCGTCTCAACGACCTGGTGCGAATCGACATGAAGGACTACGCATTGTGCTACCAGTTCCCCTCTTCTCCAACAGGATTCCAGAACTTCGCCATGTGGCCCCTGTTTTCCTGTCTCTCGATTCCCAACATAGTCGGTGTCATCGAAGCAGCCGTTTCTCCCACCCGGAGAATCATCTTCGTCAGCCACTATCCAGCCATGCTCACCATCGCGGCTGAAACTGTGCGCTTCTGCGTCCGTGTGTACGAGTGGAGCGGACTGTATGTTCCCGTGGTTCATGCACGCCACGTCAAGGATCTTGTCGAGGAACCGGGCCCTTATATCCTTGGTGTAACCTCCGAGTGCAAGTCGCTCTTCACGGCTCCCACGGACGCTCTCGTCGTCGACCTGGACCGCAACTTCGTTCTGACATCCAGCCCGCCGAGTGTTCTTACCGCTGGCCAGAGGACGAAAATGATCACCCGTCTTACTCAGGCGCTGAATAGTGAGGTGGCGCCTACAGGCGTTCCACAACATCTGCGATCAGCCTACGGAGGCGGCAAACTGATACCAGCTGGTCAAATCATTGTGATGCGTGGTGAGGTGGAGAGCATCCAAGATCCCGACTGGTGGAACCAGGATGCAGTCATGGCCGTCATGGACCACGTGTGCGAGAAATTGGTAAGCCCCACGTTTGACGCGAGTTTCGTGTGCCGTTCTGACATCGTACAACAGGGTCGTAATACGGGAATGAAGGCAGTGTTCGGCGGTTCTGTCAAGAAGCCCCTGATGACCAAGGTCTCGATGCGTCACCTGAATGAGATTGTCAGGGAACGCAACCAGTACTCGCGTGACGCCATGGAAGCCTGGCAGGACTTCATCAATCTCAAGGGTCGCATGGACACGGAATTGTCCAAGGTCACCAAGAGGAACAACTTCCTGGTCGAGGAGCTGGAGAGCTGGAAGCAGCAGTTCCTCAAGTTCCAGGCCTTCGCCGAACAGCTCACCAAGGAGACCCAAGAGCTCAAGGTCAAGATTGAGAACCATAAGAGGGAGAATCGTCGTCTTACTAGCCTCATTGACCAGCAGAAGGACGATGCCGCTCGTCTTACCGTCCGCCTCTCCGGCACAGAGAAGCAGCGTGATGATGCATTGGAGGCACTCGTTCTCCAGCAAGAGATTGCGGAAGAATTGGAACGCGAGAGGAAGAGGAACAAGAAGGAGATCGCTGCCCTTCAACACACTCAGCAAGGGCTCATCCGCCAGCGTGATGAGGCGCAACGTGTCGTTCTGCACCTTCGCGCTTTGATCGAAGGCCAAACTCACCACATGGAGCACATCGTGAAATCGCTCAATAGCCCGGACTTCGCCAACTTCATCGAGGAGGAATTCCAAGATGTGCCCGAAGAGGACGAAGATCATGTGGAGGAGAGCATCGCTGCAGGGAAGGCAAAGTCCCAAGCCGGCACCATCCGTGGTGCTGATGGTCTTGTCGAGCGGAACGAGTCGAGAGCCAGCACGGTGGACGGGAAGCACCTGGACGGTGAGGATGTCACTCCAGACATGGAAAGCCGCCTGCTGCACAGCCCAGTTGGCCGCAATTCGAAGCGGTACTCGAATCTGTCCCTGGTCGACGTTGCCGATCGCCACCTGCGCGACAAGACTGATGCGATCGCGTACATCATCCGAAACATCTCGGAGCAATGCGCCGCAGCTGTGGAAGGCCTTCAGCTGGCCCAGCAAGCGGACACAGAGGACGGCGATAACGAAAGTGAGCGCAGAGCCAGCGTCGCTCTCTCTTCCACTGCCGACGGGCGTCCTGTCTCCACTCAAAGTAGCGACTATGGCGAAGATGACATGAGTCTACGACCTGGGCGCCACTCGAGCATTCCTCCTACTCCAGACCTCACCCATCGGTCCAGCACGTCCATGTCCATGGCCAGTGCGTCCACAACGCCAGACCGGTATAGCCTTCAGCATCGGGCACATGACGACGGCTCCGGAGTTCCCACTCGCATTGTTGAGCATGATGATGAAGATCTGGCTGCAGAGATGCACTCTGATATGGTCCCCGTGTCCAAATACGCCCAGCCATTGTCGCAACCTACTCAACAGACGCGCGCAGTGCAGTAGTGGTGCCATGATCCCCTTGCGCTGTCGGTTGTTGCCATTGTTGTACTTGGACATTCCTTTCTTCGCCTCTGATATGTCTTACTGAATCGAGCTTGGTTTCGGTGTTACGGATATACCTCACGTTTCCTTGAGTCTTCAAAGGCGCTTTTGTTGTTTTCCTTTTCCCTTCTCACCATCTCACCTGGATTGTCGAAGGATCGTGCCGGACGTCCCGGGAACGGACGAGGCTGCAGAGGAAGAGACAAGCTGCTTGCTTGAACCGGTCTGGCCTGGCGGGCTGACACAGCGCAGGACCGTTTTTGCGTGAGGAGTGGTCGTGGTCTGCCCTTCACCGTCTGTTGCGCCGTGTCGGGGGCCGGCCTCCATGCCTGTAACTATCTATCTTTTATGTAAACTTTGGATATAATACCAATTTCCTTTTGTGTTTTTGGAGTAACACTGCGCGGGGATTTGTTGGCCCGAACTTGCCATAGTATAGTATACGGAGTACACAGGTGGTGTGGCACCGACGCTAAAAGGTGACGGATCACAGCACGCCATCCGCCCGAATGGGCTAGTCCAGGGGCTTAGCTGTCCAAAAATGGAACTCCTCTATCGACTTCGAATATCGCGGTCCGCAGCCGCAGGCCTTTAACGAAAAGCTCCCATAGTGTTTTCTGTTGCATGAGCTGACGGTTGGGCTGTGCATCCGGGGTCCGATGCTTGTTTAAGGAGAAGCTTTTTCTCTGAGTTCTTGTACACCACTGCAAGGCAAAACAACGTCGTTTTATGTATGGGTGTGGTCTGACGAGGACCGTCTTCCAGCCATTAGCTTTTCCTCTCTCGTTTTTCTAGGTCTGCATTCGTTCTGTGTTCTGTACAGAGTAGTTTCTCCTTCTTATCTGTCGACCACGATTTTTGTCTTCTTCCTCTCGTTATAGCAGAGCATGGTGTTCTCAATATCCTATATCCTTCCCCTCTCCCTCTCCCTCCTTCTACATTCCCACCCTGCCCTTTCGGCGTACACCAGCACAACCGACAACTCGGACGTCCACGACCCATCCAAATCCTGCTCCTGCTACGTCATATCCTCTGATTCTTCTTCACCCTCCTCCTCCTCCTCCACCACCACCCCAACCTACTTCCTCCACCACCGCTTCTTCGACTTCCGCAACCTCGCCGACGGCCAACCAGGGAAATACGTGTCGGACCCACCCCTCCTCAACAGCACCCAAGACAACGGCACCGAATCCGTCTGGTCCCCCGACGTCCTCGACACGGACGCATGGACCACCGACTGGGCCATCCAAAACTGGAGCAAACCCTCGTCGGACAAATTCCCCGTGCGAATGGTCAACTCGCCCGCAAACATCTACATCTCGCAGGACCCCTCAAACGTGTCCGACGCCTCGACGTGGCTCACGCTGCGCACCTCGCGCCTCGACGACTTCCAGTCGGCCGCCGAGATGGAGAGCACGCAGAAGAACGTGCTGTTCGCGAGTCTGAGGATGTATGCGCGGGTTCGGGGGGATCGGGGGGCGGTGGCGGGGTTCTTCTCCTTTTATAACGACACGAATGAGTCCGATGTCGAGATCCTGACGCGGGATCCCAGGGATAGGATAAGGTATACGAATCAGCCTGCGGTAGATGATGAGGGGGACGAGGTACCTGGGGCGTCGGTTGCGGTGTCGGGGTTAGGGTCGTGGACGGAGTGGGCGGAGCATCGGATCGATTGGGTTGAGGGGAGGAGTTTTTGGTTCAGGGATGGGAGGAAAGTGGCGGAGAATACGTACAGTGTGCCTAGTGTGCCGAGTTATCTGGTGCTGAATATGTGGGGGGATGGCGGGGAGTGGAGTGGGGAGATGGAGGTGGGTGGGAGTGCGGTGTTGGAGGTGAGGTGGATTGAGATGGTGTTTAATACGAGTGGGCCGGTTGAGGGGGTGGATGGTGGGGACGACGGGAGTAGGAGGAGGAAAAGGGGGGAAGGGGGTGGGAAGGACGGGTGTAAGGTTGTGTGTAAAGTGGATGGGGTCAAGACGGCGGGGTCGCCCGAGGTGGTGAGTTGGGCGGTGAAGGCGACAGTTTCGTGGTGGGTAGGTGTGGGAGTCGGGCTTGGGTGGTTTGCTTTGGCGCTGGGGTTCTGAGCAGCTCCTTTACTTCTCTATCACGGATAATGATATTGGCAGGGGGTATTGTACAAAGTGAACATATGACTGGTTCCTGGATATGGATTGCGCCCCGGCGTTGCGAACATCGAGTGCGATAGCTCACTTCATCAATGTATTAGAACAATTGATGGAATATTCAATACTCTTGACTAGTCGCTGGCCTGAAGTTCCGTTTTGACTGTTAACTTCCAAGAGTCATAGTGCTAGGTTTATGGTCGAAATTCAAAGATCATCAAAGTTTCCGATGCCTGAGGAAAAGCTTCCTTCGTCTAGTTGTAGGCAAAAGTTTCGGCGCGTTTCCTTCCTGATCTGCTTGGCCATGCTCTTTAACGATTTCCAGCCGATCGAGTACTTGGTTATTGTTGACATTGTTGTCGTCTTTGCCTTTGAGGTAGAGGAGCGATACGTGGTCGCGGCTTCTTGGGACAGCATTGTGCGTAGGAGACTCGAGTAGCTTCCGGCCTCATCGCTTTTGACAGCTCTCGGCCTTTCCCCAAGTGGATTTTCTTTCCAGCTCTGGTGTTGTTGGTGGTTTGCATCGTCAGTACTAGCAGCTAAACACGCGATACTACGTTCAGCTCGCCATAGAAGCTCCAAGCTAATCTCCGACACAATCTGGATTTGCAGGCTGCGATGTCTCGACAGGGAGAACCCGTCCAAGGTAACTCCGGGAAGAGCACTCGGGAGAATCGCGTTCGCTATATTTCCGACATAACCACCTTGATATCCGTCTAACATGTGGCGACATGGAGCGTTCGAGAACAACTCTTCCTGTCTCAAAGTGAGGGTATGAAGGGCAGAGAGAGTCGTCTGCAGCCAGTTGCGGTGTAAGCGCACGAGGGACGAGTACGCTGTAATGAGCGCGATCATGATTGGATATTCGATTGACGACATGGTTGGTCTGTCCTGGGCGCTGAAGCTGCTGGATGCATCAGAGCTTTCTGAGCCAGGTGCATCATCATCAGTATCCAGGGAACAGAACACAACATCGTCGTCGTCGTCAGTCTCAGATTCAGTAGTGACGGTCCCAGTCGCCAAAGACGGTGCCAACGTCAGTGGCACAGCTAGCATGAAGTGTCTGGTGATTTGCAGGTATTCTTGGGCGAAACGCAGAAGCTGCCCAGCCATGGGACATGTTGTTGGTCGGTTTCCTCCAGCGGTAGCAGCGCTGTCTGAGGCGGTGAATTTCCGGGTAAGAGCGGCATTCAACCTGGCAAGGCGGTCCAAGTAGTAGTCTGTCGATTTGTGGGGGGCCGGGCATGCTTGGATTCCTTCCAGAGCCAGGTAACTGGGGCTGTTAGATGCAAGCTGGTCCAAGAAGACTCCAAGATCCTCTGTCGGTGGCCACTGGGAAAGCTGATCGTTGAAGGTGCTCCAGAGAAACGGCTCGGAGTCTAAGAGTTGTCTTGATGGTGGTAGCAAAGGAAGATGAAGATCGGACTGGCATGCGGATGGTATGAAGGCATTTTTATTAGCATTCACGCCTGGTCCTGGCGTGAAAGATTGCTCTGCATACCCCGAGGCCATGTCTGAGCGTTCAACTGGCGCGGCTGCTTCCGTAGTTGTGGCTGATGGAGACGACTGCGTGCCCGTAGGATAGCTCGGCCTGATGTCTGCTTGGAAACTCTGCGCCTCCGCTATTCCTTGCTGCTGCTGCTGCAACGGGCGAGATGTTTTTGCCAATGCGATTCTCCTTGCCAGCCGTGGTCTGCCAACTGGTAGCATCGGGGTCTTCGTACACACCAGACCAGACTTTGTGCAACGATCACATCGAGCCCCTTCTTGAAACGACGACCACTGGCACCTTGCCTTCTTTTGCCGACAGTGCTCGCACGAGGTGCGCGTTCCTCTGCTTCCTTCGGGAGACATTCTGTTCTTAGCTTCCGCTACAGTTGCCAGGTGCTTGGATTCTGTCGGGATCGCATTGCAGGTCAAAGGGTGAACTGACAAAGGGACTGATGAGCATAACCAAAGCATGAAACAATGCCCTCTACTATCGTGACGGTTCGATTCCAACCGTCATCACAAGCCAAGCATCAGGGACCTCGGTCCCGAAACAGACAATCCTGACACGCGCTGACCAAGGTTGAAGGATTAGTCGTCCGTCCGGTATTCGGGAGCATCCGTTAACGCCGGACCGTTTTGCGCTTGCTGATAGGCAGAAATACTGCGCTACTCTGCGCTGCGACCTCATGCTTCCTGTGTAAGCTTCGGGCGTACCCTCCCAGGGCTACACCCTGAATATCTAGGTATTGTGAGTGAGTGTAAGAATTGTTCACAAAAGAAAAATCACTTCAGAGTAGAATTATTAGTATTCGTTGAGTACATCTGACTATTACATGACTCCCAAAAAAAAGCATTTCTTTTGCAAAGTCCTGATAAGTTGATGAGCGATTACAGCTAAATGCGGTGCGTTGAAACAATCTCTTCTAACCTTCCTTGATGGGAGGTTAAAGCAAAAGAGTCCCGTCTTGAAATTGATTTCAGGCCCTTTGCAGGTTCCCTAACATTCCCTGTACAATATAATCGACCTAAGATGGAGGAAAGGTCCCAATACCCGGAAGAGTTACGGGTCCAGAACCACCTGTGCCGTCCCCCTTTTCCGAATTCGCAAGCAGAGGAACATACGGCTCTGCATCCACAAACTCATGTGTCGCCTCTCCATGTCTGCCAGCGAGCCCAGTGCCGTTCCGTGGATCCAATGACAGTTTTTTCACCGTGCCACGAGGGCTTAGGTCTAAGGCGTTAAGACTAACCCACAGGGAGACAGGGTCAGTGGCGCTCTCAAAGAAATATCGGCCATCTTTCGTATCGGCCATGGTCCTCGAGACTGTGGCTGCATTCGACACCGAGGCAGTTTGGCTTCGCAGAGTGGTGCTGATGGTCCTGAGGAGGCTTTGGACGATGGTTATAGCTTCCGTCATGGTGGAGGCCACAGGCGCCTGCCGTAGATTATCTGCCATTCGTGCAAAGCGATCTATGGGGCTGGGGGTCCCCGGAAGGGTGGTGTTTGCCATGGTTTTCAAGTATCGTTGAATCATAAGCTGCTCATCGTATGGTGGCTCGTTCGTCATGACTTGATAATCATGGGAGTGATACAGTTGAAGCTTGCCGTCCAGGTATTCCATGACCAGGTTATCCCCAGATGCATCACCAAGAACCAGATGTCCCACGGTCGGTAACCCCGGAATCACACCCCGAGACCTGACTTGGAAACGGGGAGCGCCAGAAGTATTCATCAGATCAGCTTTCGCCTCGGCCACAGTGCGATAATTATCAAGGAAGTACTGGAGCCAAAGGCTGATGGACAATCCCGGCAGCGAGCTATTCCTGGTACCAAAGTCGGTACCGGCGAGATAGAGGAATCCGCCATGCAAACCCTCAGTGTTTACACCATCCATAGTGAGGATATCATAGATGGTAGTGATTACCGATCCATATTTGCTGACCCATTCCAGAGAGTTCTCTCCTGCGCTACCGTTCCGCTGTAACCCGGCGGGAAAGGCATACATGGATGAGAAAGGGGGCATACTCCAGTCCAGGGTTCGGCCAATGACAACGCGGGAGCCATCTTTTTCACCACTGGTGTAACTGACCCGAGTACAGGCATAGCTGAGGTCGGCGAAGAGTAGGAGCGGCAGGCAGACCGTAGAGGTAGCTGAACGAAACATGATGGGATAAAAGATAAAAACCGGTGCGTTTTTGTGTGTAGTGGCTTTGGCGTCGAGAGTTAGGGGAAGGAAGTGTCAAGATTTATACTTCTAAGATGGATGGCCACACGGGGTCTTTCTGTGAATAGTCGGACATTTTCCAGCTGCTCGTTATGTAGCAAATCCCCCGTACATTGTTGGGTCTCAGAGCCAATACCAATATGATATCGGCCTGACAACCCGGGCTTCGAGGTGCCCTTGGATTCGCAAATCATCTTTGGGGTCAAGGATCTCGAACCTTGCACGACCGGGCCTTTGTCGTCCTCTTGTGGCTCTGGCCCATTTGATATTGGTTATTACTCTCCGGCAATAGTGGGGCTAACCTGAGAGGCTTCTCGATGCTCGTGTAAATGCCCATTTGGATATCAAAGCTGACAGTATTACTTCAAAGGAGCTTCATCTCGCTAAAAACTATGACGTGAATCTTTTTGGCTTCTGCTGGACGGAGCAAGAAAGCAATGACTATCACTGTACAGATGTTGACTTCGATTGGGCTTCGCACTCCCTAAACATCACTGCCTCTGAGAATCTTCGCTCTCCTTCTGGTGTTAGGATACAGATTCCAGAGGAGCTTAATAGTGCCGTAAGGGTCTTCATCATTGTCTCTATCTAGATATACCCAGGTCTCTTTCGTCATAGCACTTCTCGCTCTAGGCATTGAGCTCGTCGTTGGTGCTCTGTCCAACTTTTCTCGCTTACTTTCGTGCCTCACATGGTTCATTGCGGCGACTGCTGCTATTTGCGTTTGCATCGCCGCTTCGCTGGCGACCGCGCAGGCGGCCATTATCGTTGGCGCCGTGGAAGCAACGACCGAATGGTACGGCGTTCACGGACGGATCAATGGCAGTTTCATCGCCACTGTCTGGATCAGCTTCGTCTTCGCCGTAAGCTCTGGCTTCTTCTGGCTATTAACTATCTGCTGTTGCAAACCTGCGCGGAGCAGTAGCAAGACGGAATAGAGCTGCTTCTAACAAATGATCTACTACGGCATGCTAGACTCAGACTTTATTGATACTGAATCCATAATCTGCTTCAAAATAACAGGGCAGAATATGAAGAACGTATGATACGCTTGGTTCCCATCTGAAATGCTGGCCGATGAACTTTTGTGAATTGGATGTAAAGTGCTAGTCTTCTCCCTAAGATCTCTAGAGAGACTGAAAATGGGTGCTCTGCCAGGGGCTCCGCAAAGCTGGTCACCTGTTGAGTTCTCCAGCTGGAGCGTGAGAAAGTATGTACACAACTTCGCTTCAACCGGCCGCTGGTAGTGATTGGACAAATTGCATTGAATCTTCGCCATATGCGCAGTGGCTAGGGTGGGTGGAAATGTGGGTCAGGGTGCATAGAGCGTCTTCATTGGCCTGTTTAACCGCTGGTGCTGAGCCGATTTGGTTGCAAGAAGCCCCGATCGATATTCCACCAAATCCATGGGACTTCCAAGAGGGTTGATCCCTTAGGCAACAAGTGCCTTGATGACAGCCGCTTTTCTGAAAGTAAGGAAGAAAAGAAGGAGACATAGCGACCGTAAAGGGAATCTCGAAGCATAAATGTGCGAATGCTGCTTTCCATCAAACACATCTGGCTAACGGTCTCATAGTGAGCGGTCCGATGGTGAAAATGTCTGACGATCAAGCTACAAATCCGCCAATGCAGCCGGTCATCTTGTCCATGGAAGTGGACGATGACGATTGTTTTGAAAGCGAATACAGATTGCGAATCGCAAACCAAGTCAAATATCTCATCGTCTCCCCTAGAACCTTTGACAGAGATACGCTTTCATTTCCTATCCGGTCTCTGCCCCCTCTTCCCTACAACGAGGAATGGACCGTAGCCCACATCTCCACAGACGAAACCAGCGGCCACTTGAAAACTTCCATCTCGAACCGAACACTAGCTGGCGTCAGGTGTCAATGGCATCATACTCGAGTTGATTGCCTAGAGTTGGCGAAGACCAAACAGCTCACGGCAATGGCCTCGAGGCCATCGCACATTCGATTCTTCCACTCTCCTCCTTATCACCAGGCACTGTAATTGCCAAAATAGCCCGTTTCGAATGGGAACTACCTCGTATCGAACAGGAAACAAGAGCATACCAGTTGCTTGAGGGTTCCGGACTAGCCCCCCGCTTCCTCGGCCATGTCCACGAGAATGGACGCATCATGGGGTTTCTCATAGAAAAACTAGAGGGACGCTCTGCCTCTTTCCAAGATCTGAGCATCTGCGAAACAGCTCTAGGGAAGCTCCACGAATTGGGACTTGTACATGGGGATGTGAACCGATACAACTTTCTCATCACGGAAGAAGGGGTAAAACTACTCGACTTTGAATGCCTTCAAGAAAATGCTAGCCCTGAGTCAATGCGCAGGGAGTTGAACAATGTACGTGCCGAATTGGCTCACGAGTCAGGACGCGGTGGAGGTTTCATTTTCCATGGCGATAGCAATTGATATTGTCGTAGGAACTATGTACCATTCCGGTCGCTGGGAGCTACAGGTGGCCCATGTTTTTCCATAGATAGCCATGCTGCCATCACCACTTGTAGATAGCATCATCCATCCACTCGGCAGTTTCCACCTGTGGCTAGTGTGTGCCTTCTGAAGGATATTGAAGCTCAGGACGGTGCGGGTATACATGCAGTGGGTCTGAGAAGTGTCAACTGCAGAAGCAACACGACATGCCCGGTCGATAGTAAGAAACCTGGAACAAGAGTCATCTACGATGGAGAGGAGGGAGAGCGGGGATCTAATTTCGACTATCTCCTGCAGGGACCCAGGGTCTTGGGCAACAAACTGTGCGGGCTCAATGTCGCCGGCGCGATGTTCAGTTCAGAGTCGTTGTACCTCCTCGCGATATCACGTCGCAAGACTATATCGACAGGGTAGTCAAGTTCCGTCAGTGGACAGAAACGAGCTTGTATGGCCTATGAGTAACATAGTAGAGGTTTATTAACTATCTACACTTACCTTGTTGTGCCCTCTATGTCACGATAGAATCTGAAGCTCGTGTTTCCACCTTCACCTAATATACCGAGTGGGTCAGTTTTAAACTACCCTCTACTAGCCATTATACCAGCACGCAGACACAGCCTTCTTAATGTCTAAAGCCACTTAGCGTCTTACTGGGAGCCGTGGACGATGAGAATATTATCTTTCCCTACTCCACTCAATGTTCCTGCAAATACGAGTGCTTCGAATGCCTATGTTATTTCGCGCTATGTCCACCCTGTGCCAAGTAAGATGGCTAAGATGGAAACTTGGAGGTAAGGTGTCTGACCTTACGTGTTGATGCTACTGACATACGGAAAAACACATCTCAGCCATGGCCTTCGCCTGAATGTGTGTACCATTCGAGATTGCAAGACACCCGAACAGCTATATGACACTTTCCGAAAGTGGAATCAGCATGAAATATCTGAGCACAATTGCTTCTGTGGTGACGTTAAGAAATGCTGCACCAAAGACTGACTAGAGCAGATTGAGGGCTCCGCTTGGGCATGTCCCGTATTTTCAATTTCAATGAGCACCACAGAGCCGTACCGCCCACATTAATGTTGCCAGCGTCGAGGATGTTCAGGCGTCGGGTAACGTCCCAGGATATACGCAACCCGCTCCCCCGGAACAGGGACGTCTCACCTAACCCGTCGGTCCCACGCAGACAAGTGAGTTTTCGATTAAAAGTTCGATGATTCGACAACCGTCACAACTGCGTACCCAGACCGGAAGCACAGATGCTAGTGTTGAAGAACCAGGACGCGGAATCGATGGCACCCTGCAGAAAAAAGGCTGCTCAGAGCATGAACACGGCTCTTAGGGAGAAGACGGAGTAGACGATGTAGAATGAACGGGTTTGATGAAGGCGACATATTCCGAGACTACCTCACAGGTGGTTATATCGCCATGTCTATACAGCAGCGGCCGCCCTTTCTAGTCACCAAGACTACCGCAATTAGTAGAGCTTCAAATAAGAATGGGATTGTAAAATAAGCCAATCGAACTGGTTAGGACCATTCCCTCAGATTTTAGAGTGTCCTATGTGTGGTTCTTTTAAATTTGCGCTTGAAGGATAGCCTACCCACTTTTACCGCCCATCGTACCCCAACCCCTTTGCCACCCCGTACTTACCAGCACCTCTGGCGGCAGCAAGAGTCTCACCGAAGTAAGAGGGAATCGCAATCATGTCCGCTGCAATGCTAATCATGTCGAATCCAGCTTCAGCAAATTCCCTCGCCTGCTCGCCACTGGTGCAGTAAATTCCGACCTTCTTTCCTTCCGCATGCGCCGCCTCTTTGATCTTGGTAATGGCTTTCTTCAAATCGTCATGCATACCGGATTCCAGAATGGGCCGTCCGATGTTGTTTCCAAGGTCGAAAGGTCCAATGAGCAAGCAATCCACGCCTGGGATGGCCGCAATCTCGGCAACGCTTTCCAGTGCAGATGCCGTCTCTATCTGGACGATGGTGAGGAGAGACTCATTTGCATGTTGCAAATAGTACGTCAAGGGCTCGTTTGCGAAGGTCTGCGGCGAAAACGGTGAGCCGAAACCGCGGTGTCCTTGGGGAGGGAATTTGGCCGAAGCAACAAGGCGCTTCGCGTCGTCCACGGTATATATCAGCGGCACGACTATCCCATGAGCGCCGGCATCGAGGGCGCCTGGCCATGTCAGATGAGGTTCTGGCGGATGTAGCTGTACTTGCGTTTGACCATCCAGGCTTCATTTGCCGCGATGCGGACGATGGGGCTTACACCGGTGGCGGCGATTGCAGCCACGGCCTCATGCATTTGGCCATCTTTTCGAGATATCAACCTTAAGCAACTCGTTGACGGAACTTGACCCACCGTCGATATTACCGTGTTCACAGTCAACACATATCCAGTCGACGCCTGAACGAGCAATAGCCCTAGAGATGTTCGTCCCGGGTAGCATCTAATCAAACCTTAGAAGTCAAGAGTTGGCACTTGGTATGGGTTCCCGCACCTGCCATGCTCCAAAGCTAGGCTTCTCGCTTTTAAGGGCCCTGAATATCTTGCTAGCCTCTTGCAGAGTGTTCATGTTTCTGATATTGCGGCAGAGTGATCTTTTGTATAGGTATGACGTGAAATGTGAAGTTGGGATTCTTCGTAGTAGGGTGCTACCCAACACTGATTGCATCGTCATCGACAGCATACACAGTAAGCGGTTTGTTAAGTACCCCTCTCTTCCACAAAGAACTAGTTGCCCCACATTAGATACGCAGATCAACAGTTCTCCGAGGTCGGAACTTTTGCCGACGTTATGAACGTTCCACCTCCTCAATGAGTCTCGAGACCTCCTCTTCCTTGAATCGGTGCATCAGCTTACGAGCTGATGATGTTGTTTCTCCCGAGCTGGCTTTCTCGACATGGATCTATACATTTACTCACTCAACACTCGGACTTCATCAGATACATCCATTGATTCATACCACTGGCGTATCAAACTCATAAACGGCTCTCCATTTCTCCTGCCCGGGTTCCATCACATTGACCTCCTGGTATTTGAATGGAGTTGTTTTTCCCACAGTTGCAACCACGGATTTTGCTGTATCACACAGAGAGCAATTCTCTCTGGTGAATAGCGTAATTCGACATTTCAAGAGGCGTGAAGTGGCTCGAAACATATCGAGATGATGCAAGCAAAAGAATCTCGAGAACTCTCCGAGAAACTTTGTTGAAGTTCACCACTGCTGCTGCTGCCAAGGGATACCGAAAGGGGTAAGGTGGCTGTTCCTCACCGCCCGCCACTTTAGCTTGCTTTCTGCCAGCAAGTGGTCAATTCCAGAATATTCCGATGTCATTCAGCAGCAAACAATTAAAATCAACACACTGTTTACCGCTGGTTTCGTAAACATTCTGCTGCACCTGATAGGGCTTCCGTGACACCACAATGGCGAGGAAATGTGTTCACAAAGGGTGTGGGAAAACATATGAGGACGAGAACGAAGCATGCGTTTACCACCCCGGTCCGCCCGTCTTTCATGAGGGCCAGAAAGGTACGAGCTACCGAGCAATTCGCGAGGACCAACAACTGTGTCCGCAGCTGTCTGATACTGTTCCATAGGCTGGAAATGCTGCAAACCGAGAGTGCTGACGTTCGACGAATTCCTCACTATCCCACCCTGCACGACTGGCAAACACTCCGACGTCGATGACACGCCTGCGCCGGAACCAGCACAATCAGTAGATGTCCCCAACAACACTCATGTCTCACTAGGTAGTCTCAAGGAATCATTACCGACGCCGGCGCCACGACTACCCACAGCAGAAGCTCCTTCCGCTCCGCCCTCAGCACCCCAAGCGCCTCCCGAATCAGAAGACGATGATCCAAGCATAGCGATACCAGACGGTCAGGAATGTAGAAGGCGGGGCTGTGGAGCGAAATATAATGAGGGTTCGACCAGGGAAGGCGAGAAGTGCGTACATCACCCTGGCGTGCCCATCTTCCACGAAGGATCCAAGGGCTACTCTTGCTGCAAGAGGCGCGTGTTAGAGTTCGACCAGTTCTTGAAGCTCGAAGGGTGCAAGACCAAAGACAGGCATCTATTTGTGGGTAGCGGAAAGAAGAAGGACGAGGAGAAGGTGGACACAGTTCGGTAAGCATGAGGTTAGGAGACTTCGGCGGATACTCGACTGACATTTTGGTAGCCACGACTACTATCAGACCGCGACAACGGTCGTCGCATCGATTTTCCTCAAGAAGATCGATAAAGACAACGCCAAGGTCGACTTCCAGGAAAGGTCACTAAAGCTTGATCTGCGAACGTCAGATAGCAAGCGGTACAAAGCCGAGTTCCCGCTATACGCAAGCATCAAGCCAGAGCAAAGCAAATACAGGATATTGGGGACCAAGATAGAATTCACGCTGGTAAAGGCGGATGGTACCAGTTGGCCTGTCTTGAGATCAGACGAAAAGCCAACAGGAGAACGGATTCAGGTGGGACAGGCCGGTCGAGTCTAGACAGCTGACGTCGGTAGAGAATAACAAGTCATTGCGATGTCCCGTCGCCGTCGGTTGTTTTGGCCGTCGAATATTTGCGCTTGCCGTCTGCGGCACTGTAATTTTGCTCCCAGTCTTGATCGCCCTTCGCAACTATCATTGACAATCCTCACAACGCATTTTGCGGCTTTGGTTTGTGGGGAATCGGAGTGTCCAAGATATAGCGAGAAGAGTATTTCCCTCGTCTATAAAGGAGGCCCATGTGCTCGCAATATCTTGGACATATTGAACAGGCGTTGCGGCCATGGGGATGCAGGCGCTCGGATTCGCTTTCTTCCCAGGGACTTGGCGTTAGCATTTGCGGGAAATGCTTGGTATGGTTCACGATTCCTTCGGCAATAATAATGCAGCTTGGGATCGGAGAGTTAGCTATAGGGAGTACATGTTGTTCTGTCACGGACGGCATCCTCTCGGCCCAGGTTTGGTATCATGACGGCGTCTCCTTTTCCATCTGAGGGGAGCTTCACATGGGAGACCACTACTGCCATGGGAACAATTAATCAAAAGGATTTCCGAACGTTCCTCCATCGAACCTCGTCAGCTGCCGGGGTTTTGCAACAAGGCCGTCCAAAAGCTGGATATCAGCCGATGATTCGTCCAAGCCGAGGCGAACCCATTCCCCGGAGTCATGGCTTTCCGTTCGGTTAGAGATTGGGAGCGGTTCGACATGCCATGATCAGAAGCCAGGCCATGGGCGCTCACTCTGGAAATTGGTCTCGAGTGCATTCCGTGCGTCCCCAGTGTTTGCAGATTTTGATTTCCTCTGTTTTCCTCGTCGAACAATTGTTCATCTTCCGTTGTATGTCCTCACCCACATCTAACGACGGGATCAAGCAATTCCGCCCAGAGATTTAATCGATCGCCGGTCCGTTGGTAACGCCATCTGACGGAACTACCCACAGTGAACCCACTCCCCGGGCCGCCGACGGCAAGTTCCATCCGCACCCCTGCGGCGAGATCTATATTTCATGCACGACAAATCTCTCGAGGCCACTGAGGGGACGCAAGAGGGAAGGGTCACGTCAGAGGGAAATGACGTCCGTGACAATGAAGAAGCGTTTGGTGATGCTTTCCCTGAGAAAAAAGAAGTGGATCTGAACACCCAAAGCACCCCGCCCATTCATACCACTGCGTCGAGACCGGGCAGCGCACATAAATCAACAGGAGGTGGGGAAGACAAGGACATCGTTGAAACCGAGAAGCGGCCCTCAAGAAGAAGCGGAGAGCATACCGGAGATGATGCCCCCGCAGAAGACGAGGAAGATGAATCGAAATACTTGAGTGGCATCAAGCTTGCCATTCTCTCCCTGGGCCTCTGTCTGACGACATTCGTCATTGCACTCGACAATACAATCATTGCGACCGCCATCCCCAAGATCACGACTGTCTTCAACAGTCTCGAGGATGTCGGTTGGTACGGGTCTGCCTACCTCCTCACAACATGCTCCCTGCAGCCATCGTTTGGCAAAGTGTACACTTATTTCGACGTCAAGTACACCTACCTTTTTGCCTTGTTGCTCTTCGAGGTCGGCTCCGTCATTTGTGCTGCAGCGACTTCGTCGCCCATGTTCATTGTGGGGCGAGCCGTCGCTGGGGCTGGTGCTGCGGCACTTTTCTCTGGAGGCATGACCATCATTGGGTACTCAGTGCCACTTAGAAAACGTCCGATATACATTGCTGCTCTTTCGAGCATGTTCGGCATAGCCTCGGTGGTCGGTCCAATCCTGGGGGGCGCTTTTACAGACAACGTGTCTTGGAGATGGTACGTTTTGGGCTGCACTCTTGCGCTTTATCGAATTACGCTAATACAGCCTGGAGGTGCTTCTGGATCAATCTACCTTTCGGTGGCGTGTCACTGGCCGTGGTATTCTTCTTCTTTTCCAATCCCGAACGCCAGTACAGCCACATTCCAGTAAAGGCGCGATTAAAGGAAGTGGATCTCGTTGGAGCGACCTTTCTCATCTGCGCCATCGTATCCTTGCTTTTGGCGCTGCAGTGGGGCGGTCAGACGTATCCGTGGAAGAACTCGAAAGTCTGGGGCACGCTTCTCGGATTCGGCTTGATCATCCTCGTCTTCATCGCCATACAAATCTATCAGAAGGATCGGGCGACCATCCCCCTGCGGGTGTTGAAGAAGAGGACCGTGCTGGTTAGCTGCCTTTTCACTGCCTTCTTGTCCATGGCCCTTTACACGTAAGCATGAAAGCTCCAGTCAGGACATGTCGGTTACTGACTTCTGTTCTAAAGACATATTTTCTACCTTCCCTTCTACTTCCAGGCTTCAAAAGGCACCTCGGCTGAGGAAAGCGGCATCCGAACCATTGCTTATCTTGTCAGCATCACGGTAGCCTCGCTGATCGTGGGCGGCGCCATCACCTTCGTCGGTTACTACTCGCCATTCATGTGGCTTGGATCCGCCCTCTTCTGCATAGGTTGCGGTCTGCTCTACACGCTCAAAGTCGCCTCTCCTCCAGGACAGTGGATCGGCTACCAGATCCTTGCCGGAGCTGGCGCAGGTGCGTCTGTGCAAATCCCCTTTATCGCGGTCCAAGTCGTTACCAACGAAAAGGATATGCCCACCGCCAACGCTTGCGTCATGTTCTTCAACTCGCTCGGCGGCGCCATCGCCATTTCCATTGCGCAAAACATCTTCGTCAACTCCCTAGCGAGGGAGATTCCAAGGTATGCGCCCGGTATGGACCCCAGAGTCGTCATCCATGCGGGGGCAACGTATGTGAGGGATGTGGTTCCGCCTGAACTACTGCCAGGCGTGCTGGAGGCTTATACGCATGCGATTGTGAGTGCGTTTATACTGGCGATTGCCACGTCTGGGCTTGGCTTCTTCATTAGCTTTGGGATGGAGTGGAAGAGTGTGAAGGGGAAGAAGATTATGGCTGCTGGGGCGGCTTGAGATTATTTGAATTGACGTTGTGCTTCATTTGGGGAGGATTTTGTTGTGCATATTTTGTTTCTCTACTGGCTCTGTAAGATAGTATATGGTTGAGCGGCGCACGTAAGGCATGGAGACGGCGCCTGCGTATCTACGCATAATACTGTATAGAATCTCATTTAATGTGTAACTCTTTTCGCCAGTCCGCCAATGCTTGGTCAAGAGGAATCGAAAGATTCCTCTCAACTTCATAACTGAGCCAGAGCCATTGGCCATTCTGTTGACCCGCACCATCGTTGAACCAGCAATGTCTGTGGACTCTCACTAAAGTTTGGGTTATACGGCTATAGGCGGACTTATTACAATCTCTTACGGTCTTATCAGTTATGCAGCCTCAATAATACTCCGGCTAGATTGGATCCCAAAATTCCCCGCGACATATATTGCAATAAATTTCCCGGACGATCCCCCGGCGGCAACAGTGCAACATCACTGCCCAAAAAGAACTCAACAACACAGCTGTAAGAAGTCCAAATATTATAGAAAGAGAATACATCGGGGACGCAATAGTTCAATCCACATATCCCATCTCGCACTGTTTCCCATCGACGCCCTTTCATCGATATTGAAGAATGCTCCTACCGATAGTTCTCCCCCTTCTCCTCCCCGCCACTGCCCTCTCATCTTCCACTCCTCCACCACAACCCTACTCAACCTGGCTCGCTACCTCGTTCCTCAGCAAATCCCCACCGATTGACAGATACTACGTCTCCGCCGTGCTTCACCAAGGCCTCCACGCCGCAGGCACCCAGCACAACAACACCGCCCTCCTAACCCACGTCTCCACTGCCCTCTCCTCCCTCGTCTCCACCAACGGCATAGTGATAGGATGGAAGCCAACCTACTACTCCCTCGACGACCTCCGCATCGGCAACAACCTCCTCACCGCCTACCAGGAAACACCCACCAAAACCCCCGACGCAAACCAGAAATACAAAACCGCAGCCGATAACCTCCGCCGCCAACTCGACAGTTACCCCCGCACGCCCCTCGGCGGGTTCTGGCACCGCGACCCGCAGTACAAGAACCAGATGTGGCTCGACGGCATATACATGGCGAGCGTCTTCTACGCGCGGTGGACGGCGCTGTTCGATGCCGCGAATGGGACTGCGTGGGGGGATGTAGCGCTGCAGTTTGACCTCGTCGAGGCGCACTGTCGGAACGGTACGACGGGGCTTTTGGTGCATGGGTATGACGAGAGTAAGAAAGCGGTGTGGGCGGATAGGAGGACGGGGGCGGCGCCGAATGTGTGGATCAGGGCTGTCGGGTGGTATGCCATGGCGTTGGTGGATGTGTTGGAGGTGTTTCCGAGGGAGCTGCCGGCGTATGCGAAGTTGGTTTCTTATTTCAAAGAGTTGGCGGAGGCGTTGGTGAGGGCGCAGGATGGGGAGTCTGGTGGGTGGTGGTTGGTCATGAATGAGCCGTATCCTGGGAAGAAGGGGAATTATATCGAGTCGAGTGGGACGGCCATGTTTGCGTACGCCATGCTGAAGGGCGTGAGGAGGGGATTGTTGGAGGATGGAGAGAGATATAGGGCGGTGGCTGAGAGGGCGTATGGGTTGTTGGTTGATAGATTTCTGAAGAGAGAGGCGAATGGGACGGTGAGTTGGGAGGGGACGGTTAGGGTGGGGAGTTTGGATGGCGATGGATCGTTTGAGGTGAGTTTGATAATGATCATTGTAAATGATTGTAGTGGCTAACCGGAGCAGTACTATACTAGCGTGCCCTTGAGTGAGAATGACGGGAAGGGAGCTGGACCGTTCATGTTTGCGAGCGTGGAGATGGAAATGTGGAAGGGGTCGAAGAGGTGAATATTGATTATGACACGACGCCGAACCGTCGATGCATTATTACATGATTACGCCCTCCAAGTCAGTACCTAAATGTATAAAAGTTCACCCTCAAACCGAACCCAGTGCTCCTCCAACGCCAATTCATGATTACCCCTAATTTACCTCTGCACGCACGCTCAACATTCCCAGAACACAGAACGTCAGACTCCAACCTCCTCCAACCAAAGCTCTACATCGTCCCAAAAACAGCCGAAACCACCAACATAGCCACAACGCCCAACCCCGCCTTGGAAACACTCTGCCGCACATTCACCACCCCCGCTGCACCCGTCTGCCGCGGCTCCCCCGTCCCCGTAGCACCCCCCGTAGCACCAGCTCCTCCCCCCGTCTTACTCGGCGCCCCCGTCGCCGTCGCGCTCGCCGTATTATTCCCATTGCAAAAGATCCAGCCAGGCTGGATGCCCGCGTCCTGGAAGCAGCGCGTCAGGTCCGCGACGGACTGGTCGATGGAGAGGCAGTAGAGGCCGCAGTCGTTTGCGAATTTCTCGACGGGCGCCTTTTTGCAGCAGGATTCCATGAGCGAGGTGTAGTTGGAGGGGAGGCCTTCGGCGGAGGCGTGGGCGACGGCGCAGGCGACGTCGTTGGTGGGGAGTTGGCTGTAGGGTTGGGTTGCGCAGGTGGCGCCCGTGGGGTTGGAGGCGGCGGAGGAGAGGGTGGAAGTCATGGTGTTGGGTGGGAGGTGGTTCTGGATGAGTGAGTTAGCGGGTGGGTGGTGCCTATGGCAATAATGTATACTTACACTGTGTGTTGGGAATGTGAATCAATCCCAGACAATGATTTCAGGAAATATTAATCACGTTGAAGCTTGGGTGCAATTACGGCGACTCGACTCAGTTATCACAGTAGTAGTCTAGTGAATGTACTTGTATTTATGTTTGCAACCCCTTGGGAGATTCTGCTAGAAAGATACGCTTATTATATTTAGAAACGGTGACGTCCAAGTGGCTTGGGTGTTTGTGGAGCCTTGGTCTGTCGACTGGGAAACTGGACAGACGAACTGAGAACGGAAGGACCGACCAATGGAATTTGATCTCCTCGTAGGGAACAACAAACATTGGAGTACACAGTATAAAAAATCTTCGAAGGATAACCATTAAATCAGCAATCTTGAAGATTTGCGCTCAATACCCATCTCAATACCCGATTCGAATACGTCTGTCCGTTGGTCGCAGTACGTCTCTTGATACCAGGCCTATCAGACCACCTTGAGGCGTCGTTGACATTCCAAGGTTCCCTCCCCCGCAAGTCCGTTCGTTCGCACCAATCCTTTCATTCCTAGGTCCGCATCCGAGTCGCCACCAACCACAAAACTCCTCCCCTCGTCAACCGTCCGTCCCTCCCTCCCCTAGTTTTTCAGACATAGGTCGCTGTTACAATTAGAAATTGTAATATCTATCAAAAGGCGAGATGGCCGAGTGGTCTAAGGCGCTGTGTTTAGGCATATATCTCTCTCCGCGGGGATAAAGCCAAATCCGCAGTCTTCAGGGGCGTGGGTTCGAATCCCACTCTCGTCAAGCGCATTTTTTTTCCTTTTTTTTCTTTTTTTTTTTTTAAATGTTTGTTATCTTTTGCGATCGTTTTTGCTCGTGAATTTTGCTGTGAAGGATTGAAAAGCGTGAAATTGACCCTCTTTTTGCCAACTGGAGCGAGAGGGATGGAAACTACGCGTGCAGCGAGACTGGCGTGATGCAGTCTACGCATATACAGATCTCGAATCTCCGTCTGAGTTTGGACTTCAGTTGAGGTAAAAAGGGAATTTCAAGATAATTTCTGCTGCGGAGGAGACTGGTACATCTTGCTCACTTGAACGACTCATCCACGGCATTCGTTTCTCTCTCTTTGTCCCCCGGTCTTCAAACGATCTCTCGGCCGCCAACATGCCACCCCTCGACTCGCAACAGGCCCAACACCAATACCAACAAGACCACGACCTCCTCCTCTCTGTACGCCTCCCTCTCGCTCTCCTTCCCACTCTCCTCTACACCTCCTCCCCTTCCTTCCTCCTATTCCATAATCTAACTCCTCCCCAGCTCCAGACCTCGCTCCGCAACTGCGCCTACACCTTTGGCGTCCAGAGCCCGCAGTACGCCAGCCTGAAAAGTATACTGGACGAGCATGTCGCCGTGTGCGCTCTGAAGGGTCTGCGTATTATTGATGGTGATGGTCCTGAGGGATCTGGTTCTCGTTCCGGTGAGGGTACTCGGCAAGCTGGGTCGAAGGAGGAAAGGTGAAATAGCGGGAATGGCATGGATACCAACTGGATTCTTGATGGAGACAAGAGTTTTCTTCAGACTTCCTTTTGTTTTGCTTCGGCTGTATGCATCATGTAGGCAGGGAGAACATGGTGGGATTCCCTGCGCAAATACGAAAATGTTGTACTGGAGAGAAGACGATGAGCACTTCCCCCTAACACGCTCCCTTTCACTTTTCACATACCCATCCCCTAGGACCCATACCTTCTCCTTCTTCCCAACCTCACACGCCACACGCACACATACCACCACATCACAAGCACCAAACAGGCTCCTCATAACGGTATTAAAACATGTATTTTTGCTCAATGCCAGTTCTTCATGCACCGAGACAACCAGGCGCAAAGTCTATACCTAACTAAGAAACCCTAACCTTGCTCCCCGCTTTCCGAAGTCATGAAGCGTATTCACTAAGCAGAAAACTCGGGAATGTCCGTCGTGGCACCCTTGAGGGCCAGCGGCACGATACCCGACACGTGCATGTCCGGGCCGTACACGTGCATGTTGAGGCCGAGCTTCTGGCCGGCAGCCTTGATGTTGCGCAGACCCTCTTGGTAGTTGGGGCCTGCACGGCGAACCCAGATCTGGACATTGTGCTCCTTCAGGACGGGCGCCGCCTGCTCGAGTGCTCTGATGACACCCTTGAAGGTGCTAGCGACGTTGGTGAAGTTGGCAATGCCACCTCCGATGAAGAGGACCTTGCCGTCAGGATGCATGGGAGCACGCGAGAGGAGGTTGAGGACGGTTGTGGCGTAGTCGTACGTCTGCTGCTCAGTGGGCGCACCAGAGTATTCGCCGTAGTTGGCTAGCTGATCGGCGAAGCCCGCAGAGGCGATGGCGTCGGCGTAGACGACCGACGCACCACCACCAGCCACCAGAGTCCAGACACGGCCGTTGGGATTCAGGATGGTGAGCTTGAGCGATGCACCCGTCTTTGCGTCCATCTCGGCAATCTTGGCCTCCTCGGGGCTCAGCTCGCGACCGAAAGGCGCAGGGAACTCCATGGGCGGGCCGGCATCGATGTGCGTCTTGCCCTCCTTGGAAGGCGCAACGGGGAGGCCGAGAGCCTGCGCGCTGCGTGCAATAGCCCACTTCGCACCGCACTCGAACTCGGCAGTCTGGTCGAGCTTCGCGGCAAGATCCAGGAAGTGAACCTCAGCTGAGGTCTGATCCGCATTGGGAATGACGACGAGGGGGTTGATTTCGAGGTAACTGAAGGGTCAGCAAGGTTCCTATTCCAAGGTTGGATGTGCATGGTACTCACGTGAACTGGCAGTCAACATAGACGGCATAGAGTCTGGAGATGAAGTCGACAAGGACATTGTGAACACCCTTGGGGACCTTCTTCAGCAACGTCGACGCGATCTCCTCGTTTGAAGGATACTCGCTGAGGTCGACGGGAATGAGGAGCTTTTCAGCCTTCTCGTCGACATCTCCGACGTCAACACCACCTTCGTGGGTGAAGAGGATCCAGTCACCCTAAGCGGAAGTTAGCGTCGGATAGGTCTGATTGGCGGGCCGTGCCGTGCATCTGCGCGGAACCAGCCAGAGAGGGGCAACAACAAAAACAGAACGACAAAATGCGCCGCAAAACAACAATTGCGGTACGGCTAATAATTTAATAGGCGAGCATGTGAAAAATAAGGCTGCTAGAGAGGGCCCTGCGGGTGATGTTCTGCAGCAGTGGGTCTGGAAAAGCGTTCCCCTGTCTCCCTTCGTCCGGTGGTCCCGGCGAACAAAACCAGAGTGTTTTCTGCGCCCTGCCCCGGACCTGAATTTGCACCGCCTTTTTCCATTCCGCAGAATTTGCAAAATCCTGGGGAGAGGGATTTCGTTCCAAAAAAAGTGAAAACGGAATGCAAGAACAGAAATGTAAAGAAAGAGAAGGAGAATTGGTCTACGCACCTCTCGTACCGAGTTGATGTTGATGTAGTACTCGGTATCCTGGGAATGGGGCACAAAGGGCTCGACTAGGAAGTGCCTGAGAATCCCCTCGACCGTCTCGACCTTCTGGGGCTTCCCTGCCCTCGCCTCGACCCAGGCGCGAGCCTCTGGCCATGTCTTGTTGAGGGCCAGAAGACCACTCTTGCCTCGCCTCTTGATCAATTGATCTGGCTTCGCAACGAACTTGGCTCCCGGAGCGAGCAGCCAGGGATAGGTAGCCTCGGCCTGGTCGAGCACGCCCTTGACGTCTGCACCGGCGGGGAAGTACAGCGAAGCTAGCTTGGGAGGCGGGTTGTGGGTTTTGGAGGGAGGAAGAGGGGTGGGCTTGATGACGGGAGCGCGAGTGAGGTGGTAGTTGAGGATGGCCTTGCCGTCAGCCTCGAGGATGGATTTGGCAGACATGGTTAAGAGAAGGAGGGGATGTGAAGTCTGCGAGTTGGTGAGCAATTGCGTTGCTTGCTTGGAGATTGGGCAGGAAAGAGAGGGGAAATGGACAGATGCTCAGCGCAGACGAAGCAGGACTCCGAATCCGACCAGGCCAGCGACATTCCAATTGGGACGGGCTCAGACAGGCCCGACACTGGCAGCACCGATACGATGTGGGATGAGACATACCTAGCTGTGCGGAAAGAGATGGACGAGTGGGAGTTCGCAATGAAGAGATGGAGGTGAGGGCAGGCGAGGTGCTGAAAGACGGAGTTTGAGGCTGAAGGATGGGGCTGGAAGAAGGGCAGAGTGGCGGTCTGGATGCTTTTTTTTCTCTCCCTCTCTCCCTTGGAAGAAGGTCTGCGGAATTATTGAAGCTGGAGCTGGGGGGAGGCGGTCGCTGAGTCGGAAAAGAAAGAGGCCCAGGGGGCAGTGCGGCAGCCCGCCAGCGAGGGGTCGACGCTAGCCCCAACGTGGACCCATAATCGACGACGATAGCGGACCGGGGTGTGGATTGGGCCCCACCCCGCCTCGGAACCTTTCGCAACCTTTCGCAACCTTCGCAGCTTTTCTTTGAGAAGGTCGGGACTCGGCCCAAATCGAAGAGCAAACAATAATAGTAGCGGCGGCGAAAGGTACGGATAACACAACGACGGATCATTGGAACGATTCCCACCGAAGTCCTCTTTCCTCGCCTCTCACCACCGCACCGTACCCATCAGAAGTGAGCATCTGTCGGATCCCCCCTTTTTTTCTCCACCGCAAGAACACAAAAAAATAAAACGTCTCGCAAGCTCTTCCAAAAGCGTTGCCCACCAGCATTCCAGCAATCAATCTAGCCCGCAACGCCAGGCCCCGGCTCCCCATCTCCCCCCATACACCGCCCCGTCTAGTGCTGCGCCCGGGCCCACCAGCGACTATCGGGGAGCTCTCAACCCTCCGCCGCCCAGCCAAGCCAGCCAGAAGCTGCACACTGGGTCAACTTTTTGCTTCGACAACTCTTTTGCGACTTCTGCTGTCGTCCATTCTCTTCCTTCTCCTGCTCCTTCTCCTCCTTCTCCTCCCACCTCACATCCTCATCCTCTCATCTGCATTCTGCACTCGGTGTTGCAGCCTCAATTGTGAGTCTCCTGCCTCGCATTCCTTCGTGTCTGCACCTGCCTCGGACTGCGCCTGCTGCCCTTCGGAATCTTTTCGTCCCTCTGCCTTTCCAGCTCGCTGCTGCCCTCCTCACGTCAGCCACTTCACCCAAGAACTCCATGCCCGAACCCCGTCTCTCTAAAACTCCGGTCTACCTAGGTACCCTAACGCTGACAATCCTCCCCGCTATAGATCTTTCTGCCTCTCCCGTCCCTTCCTACCTGCCCCGCAATGCCTTCTGCAGAGCCCATGAACGGCGTCTCAACGCCGAACAACAAGGGCGGTTTGTCGGCCAACGACAACATCACTCGCTTCTCCGCTCCTAGCCGTCCTTTGAGCCCTCCGGCTGCACACACCCTCTTCCACCCCAAGACGCGATGCCTCGTCTAGTAAGCAGACTGCCTTCCATACCTTTGCCAAACAACTCTAACATGCTGCAATAGCGGCTTGCAGCCCCGCGCCGTGCAGGGCATGCTCGATTTCGACTTCATCTGCCAGCGTAAAACACCCTCGGTCGCTGGCATCATCTACACTTTCGGCGGCCAGTTCGTGAGCAAGATGTGAGCGTCGCCCTGGCAATTGGCTCCATCCCGTGCTAAAACGCGCAATACAGGTACTGGGGAACAAAGGAAACCCTTCTGCCCGTATACCAATCGACCGAGAAGGCAATGGCTCAGCACAGCGATGTCGACACCATTGTCAACTTCGCCTCCTCTCGTTCCGTCTACCAGTCCACCATGGAGCTCATGCAATACCCTCAGATCAAGTGCATCGCCATCATTGCTGAAGGCGTTCCGGAAAGAGTAAGTGCTCGCATGTACACATCTGGGACCTCGCATCGGCACTACTGACTCCCCTCTCCTAGCGCGCCCGAGAGATCCTACACGTCGCTCAGAAGAAGGGTGTCACCATCATTGGCCCTGCTACCGTCGGTGGCATCAAGCCGGGAGCCTTCAAGATCGGCAACACTGGCGGCATGATGGACAACATTGTGGCCTCCAAGCTGTACCGCCCCGGTTCCGTCTCCTACGTCTCCAAGTCGGGCGGTATGTCCAACGAGCTGAACAACATCATTGCCAACACCACCAACGGCGTCCTGGAGGGCATTGCGATCGGTGGTGACAGATACCCCGGTACCTCCTTCATTGACCACATCCTGAGATACCAGGCCGACCCTGATTGCAAGATCATCGTGCTGCTGGGTGAGGTCGGTGGAGTTGAGGAGTATCGTGTCATCGAGGCCGTCAAGTCCGGCCAGGTCACCAAGCCCATCGTTGCATGGGCCATTGGTACCGTCGCTGCTATGCTCAAGACCGAGGTGCAGTTCGGCCATGCTGGTTCCTTTGCCAACTCGCAGCTGGAGACGGCTACAGCCAAGAACGCGCACATGAGGGCGGCTGGTTTCCATGTTCCCGACACCTTCGAAGACATGCCCCGCACACTGGCGAAGGTTTACAATGACCTCGTCCAGGCTGGCACCATCAAGCCGGCGGCTGAGCCCCCGGTCCCCAAGATCCCCATGGACTACGCATGGGCTCAGGAGCTCGGTCTCATTCGAAAGCCCGCTGCCTTCATTTCCACCATCTCCGACGACCGTGGCCAAGAACTTCTGTATGCTGGCATGCCCATCTCTGCCGTTTTCGAGGAGAAGATTGGCATTGGCGGTGTCATGTCGCTTCTGTGGTTCCGTCGCCGTCTCCCTGACTATGCCACCAAGTTCCTCGAGATGGTTCTCATGCTGACTGCCGACCACGGCCCGGCCGTGTCTGGTGCCATGAACACCATCATCACCACCCGTGCAGGCAAAGATCTCATCAGCTCCCTGGTGTCCGGTCTGTTGACCATCGGATCAAGGTTCGGCGGTGCCTTGGACGGTGCGGCAGAGGAGTTCACCAAGGCCTACGACAAGGGCCTCAGCCCGCGTGACTTTGTCGACACGATGAGGAGAGAGAACAAGCTGAGTATGTGTCCACGTCGCATCCAGTCGCCGTCACTGACTTGCTCTAGTTCCCGGTATCGGTCACAGGATCAAGTCCCGCAACAACCCCGATCAGCGTGTCGTCCTCGTCACCAACTATGTCCGGGACAACTTCCCCAGCCACGAACTGCTCGACTACGCTCTTGCTGTCGAGACGGTAACCACGTCGAAGAAGGATAACCTGATCCTCAACGTTGACGGCTGCATTGCCGTGTGCTTTGTTGATTTGATGCGCAATTGCGGCGCCTTCTCCCCCGAGGAGGCCGAGGACTACATGAAGATGGGTGTGCTCAACGGTCTTTTCGTGCTCGGCCGCAGTATTGGTCTGATTGCCCATTTCCTCGACCAGAAGCGGTTGAGGACCGGTCTGTACCGCCATCCATGGGACGACATCACCTACCTTCTTCCTTCCATCCAGCAGGGCAACGCCCCGGGAGCCGAAGGCCGCGTGGAGGTGTCGGTGTAATTATGATGATGCGATATGGATATGGCGTAGGTAGAGCAGCACGCATCCGGCCATTCTTTTTACGGGTTCGGATCGCGCCGCTTCGAATTTCGGGACATTGACTGTCTAGGATCAACGGCCAGGTATTGTGGTAGAGGTATGGCTGCCCCTGCCAAAAGGTTATAGCATTTTAATAGATGGTTCACAACAGCAATAAGATCGTGTCGCTGGAGTTCATCCCCAGCTTCTTCTTGACTGATGATGCTGCTCCATTGCTGAGTGTCTGGCTACTCGAACCTGGGGTAGATTCTTTTGAGGGTCCAGTCTTACAACAGATCAAATGCAGACAAGCTAACGGTCGCATGCTCTAACCGTTGTGAGCTGGACGTTGTGAAATTGATTTTGAGTGGCAGGCTAACGAGAATAGGCTAGCCTGTTTGGGACTGGTTTACACTTTCTGCAGGTGGTTTCTGGCTGTGGGATGCCAGATGGTTTCTTGGAAACTTAGTCCACTTTTGCTTCTTCCCGTGGCTTTTGTCTTCCTCCATTATTCCCTCAGCAGCTTCTTCAACTTTCTTAGTGACGCTGTACCACAATATAAGGGCGCTCGTACATTGACATCATCAGAAAACCTTCGGCGGGAGAGATCTCAAGGTTACGTTGCCTACGTTAGGGTACCCTAGGGTACTATCCGTAGTCATGGGAGGAGGGGTCAACCAGCTAACGTCCTTTGTTGACGTCAAGATGGCATCGTGAATGATGGTGATGATCGCCATGGTCTCATTTGTTGATGTTTTACGACATGGGGTAGGTTCTATGGCGGGGGCCCATCCTTATTCGGGGCATACATGCGGTGAGTTGGAGTTTCGGAGTGGAGCACTCGTAATAGGTAAAGAGACCCTAGAGAAGATCTAGGAGAGAGACCCGAGACGGGAGGGTATTGGGGTACGTACCACCGACTAGCCTGGCAGCTATGTAGTAGCTTACCCCGCTAAACAGACGTGCGAGCTACGTATATACAACTCCCACGCTACCCGGATGGGGTGTATAATCCTTGGATAGGTAGCCTAGCAGCATGTGCGCCTGCAGAGCGCTACCTACCAGGTGAATGGAGCCAAGCTCTCCAGCATCGGCCTTTTGTTCGGGTGCGCTATCCTCAAGCGGGAAAGGTGAGGGGAAGGCAAAGGTCAAGTTTGATGAGCCTTGGGTATGCGCATACATACGTCTCTTATGACGGAGATGCGTGGTAGACTGGTGGGAAAAGGGCCGGAGTGACGCTTTCAGATGCGCGTGGTCAAGTATCTATGTAGTGTAGGTCTTGTCTCCTCTGTTCTCCTCTCTTTCGTCTCTTCACTTTCCTTCTCCTTGGATCTTTTGAAAGAGTTGAGAGACGAGTCCGTCAGGCCTGGTTTCTCTATTCCTTTGACTTCGCCGTCGATACTTCAGTATATAAACCTTTCTCTTTCCTCTGTACAAGATCTCTTCTCCCTTCCCCGTTCCTAGCCATCATACCGACCACACCCTCACCATGCCAGCCCTCCCTCTCCCCATGCTCTTCCCCCTCCTCCTCCTCCCCATCATATCAACCCTCTCCTTCCTCACCCTCGCCCAAGACGACAACAACAACCCATCCACCCGCCACATCCACGCCGCCATAGCCTTCATCCGCACCGGCATCCGGACCCCCCTCCTGGACCCCTCCTCCCCCAAACGCCTCACCCCGCTCGGCGCCCACCAAATGTTCACTCTCGGCCAGCACCTGCGCGGCCGGTACTTGGGCGACTCTGGCTCTGCATTCGACGGGCCGGGCGGCCACGAACCCATTGAGGTGTTCGGTAGGGATGGTGTTATTGATCCGGGTCAGATGGTGCGCGTGCGGACGCTGGATCGAGCGTACTTGATTGCGAGTGCGCAGGCTTGTATGCAGGGCATGTATCCGCCGCGCTCGCTGGTCCAGGCAGCAGAGCACGAGACGGAGACGGAGACAGAGACGACGGGATTGCAATCGCAACTAGCGAACGGGTCCGTGGTCGAGTTTCCCCTGGGTGGGTACCAGTATGTGCCGATTCAGACGTTTGGAGTCAATGACCCTGGGGTGGTGGTGTTGAATGGGGAGAGGAATTGTAAGAGTGCGATTAGGGAGAGTGTGAGGTATCGGAGTACGGAGGCGTATGTGGAGAAGAGGAGGGGGAGTGAGGGGTTTTTTGAGAGGTTGAGGGGGTGGGATGGGGAGGGTGGGGATGGGGGGTTGTTTGGCGGGTTGTTGGGGGGGGAGCAGATGTGTGTATTCCTTCCCCTTCTTGCATGCTCGAGTTTGTGATTGTTCTCGTCTCGGTCTTTTCGCTGTATTCTCTTTTATCCCTTTTCCCATTCCTCCTTGGGGACATCACCTTCTGCTTAGTCCGTTGCAATTCCCCGGATTCCACCTTTTATACATAGCAACAGGCGCATGCTAACCTCACTCCACCCCAGAAACTACTCCAACGCCCTCCTCATCCACGACTACCTCACCCACGGCCTCGCCCACTCCCCCACCATCCGCAACGCCTTCCTCTCCCCCTCGTCCCCCCTCTACGGCTCCCTGCCCACCCTCCAACGCTACGCCGACGAATCCGCCTGGTACGCCTGGGGCAACACCACCATCGACGAAACAGACCAGCAGTCATGGTCCCCACCCCTCCCCCAATCCGATCTACAAGCCATGCCCGGCCGCACCCTCGCCGGCTTCGTCCTGAATTCCTTCCAGGAATTCTTCTTCTTCAAACCGGTCGATGGTGGCGGTGGTAGTGGTGGTAGTGGTGGTCTAGCGAGTGCAGTTCCCGACCCAAGACCCCTGACGTTGCTGTTCGGAGAGTACGAGCCTTTGGTCGCTTTATCCTCGCTGCTGGTGCTGGATTATGCGGACCCTGGGTTTAGGGGTGTGCCCCCGTTTGGTTCGGCGTTGGTGTTTGAGGTGTTTAGTAAGGGAGGCTCTGCGTCGGGGGCTGCGGAGACTAATAAGGATGGTCTTCGTGAGGGGGAGGATCTCTGGGTTAATGTCTTTTTTCTGAACGGCACGGCTTTTTATGACGACGGTGATGATACGGGAAACGGAGCGAGGTGGCAAGCGTATCCCATGTTCGCGGATGAACGTAGCGGGATCGATATGCCATGGCCCGAGTTCGAGAGACGGATGAGTCGTATCTCGACGGCGGGCGTGGCCGAGTGGTGCGGGCTGTGCAATGCCACGACGGTGTTTTGCCAGGGCGTTGTTGGTGACGGCGTGGATGGGAATGCAGGCGGGGCGCCGCTGGATATAGATGGCGCGAGTGGTGGGCACAAGAAGACGAAGGTCGTCCCGTTGAGTAGCGCTTGGGCTGCGCTGGGTATCGTGCTTGGTCTGCAGCTGGCTATGGTAATGGTGCTTATGGTGCTCGTGGTGTGCTGTGGGTACCAGTTCCGCAGGGGGGATCCGGATGATGCGTGGCTTTGCGGCGGGAGGAGGAGGAGGAGAGGTAGTGGGTTCAAAGGGTCGGCGAAGCTGGCGAGTGATCCTGATTTGAGTCTTGCTGGGGATGCGGGTGTGTCTGCGGGAGCTACGGTGTTGAAGGGTGGGCATGGGAGGGTGGAGAGTTGGGAGTTGAGGCAGAAGGGGGTTGGTTGTGGGGAAAGCGCGGGAGGGGAGGGGAGTGATAGGTCGAGTTTTGATGTCCTCGACGAGTCGGAGGCGGATCTGGCGGGTGCGAGGAGGGTGGAGGTGGTGGAGATTGTGTGAGCGGGCTGTTTTGCTGGGTCGGCATATATAGAATGATAGTAGATATAGGTTCCAGGGAGGATCACGGAAACAAAAACACCTTCACTTATTTAGCCTTTGTGAAGGAAAGCCAATCATTCTGGGAGTCTGGTATATATTCGTCTCCCTATGACACTGTGACAGCTGTAGCAGTTTTAGCCCAACACATCGTATGGTCTCCCACCGTATCACGCAGGTGCATCGAATGCCATATCACAGCCCGTAGACCTGGGCTTGGGCTAACAGGCGAAGAGATTGCTGGCAAACTCACTGACGAAGACCTGGCAACGATGCCAAATCTAACCTTTTCCACTGCCACTCTCCGTCCTCGCTGGACTGAAGACTACCAAACTCTAGCCTTTGGAGTCTCCACTCTGCTGTGTATATGACGCGAACGCGGCCTGTGACTTGATTACGACTGCGCGACTGAGGCATCCTCGCAGTCATCAGTAGGCAGAATATCGGTTGGCGGATACTCATGACCCAGGATTAGCGTCTCGCATATATCGAGTCTCCGAATTCAAGAATCATCTCAAAGATTGTGCTACGCAGTGAAGATAGGAGTCGTACGGGCCTCTAAGGCGAGGAATACCGTATTGGGTCCTGGGGCAGTGAGTACATCCTGCCTCTGGTGGATCAAAATGGGAGATGAGCCATGCGTAGTGGTTGAGTGATGGAGGGGAGCTTGGAATAAAGTGGTTGGATTGAGCGGTGTCGAAGCCGCAGACATTAGGGGTCGCTTACTTACTTATTTGGTGGGCGCCGGGAAGAATCAATAGGTAATGCATGTATGCCGTGGATCAAAAATCTCCTGATCTATCTTAGATACTGTGTCTCCTTTGCCGAGTTTTTCGTTGGATTGATGATGTATTGTAATACTTCTGCCTTGTACTGCGTAGTGAATAGATATAATCACATGATTTCGCGTTGCCAAGAAGGACTGGTCCCTGCTTGTTGACATGGACGCGACGCGCCGCCGCCACCTGCGCCTCGTCTTCTATCTTCTTGCCTTCTCCACCCCGAATCCATTTTCCACTCCATAAAACTACCCCGCAGCTTGACAATATCTGAAAATATGAGTACCGAACAGGAACAGATGGATGACGGCTCCATGGGAGCACCAGGCGCGCCTACACCTATCAGTGCACTGGAGGTATGCGTTGTGCGAAGCGCGCATTCACGTTCAGTGCTGATGGATTGGTTAGGGTGTCAATGGTTTGACGGCTCGGGATATCAAGCTTGTCATGGATGGAGGTTATAATACCGTGGAGAGCATCGCCTATACGTAGGTTGTGCTTGCTGCGACCAGGCATCTGTCGCTCATACAAGATACAGGCCGAGAAGGACATTAGAGCAAATCAAGGGCATATCCGAGCAGAAAGCATCTAAATTACTCGCGGAGGGTAAGTAGTCTCATTCGTACCAGGAAGAGGGCTTACACTAACGATTCCAGCGGCGAAGCTCGTCCCCATGGGATTTACGACTGCGACCGAGATGCACCAAAGACGCAGCGAATTGATATCCATCACCACCGGCTCGAAACAACTAGACACACTACTCGCCGGTGGGATCGAAACCGGCTCAATAACCGAGATATTCGGGGAGTTTCGAACGGGAAAGAGCCAGATATGCCACACCCTTGCTGTGACTTGCCAACTACCGTTCGACATGGGCGGCGGAGAGGGGAAATGCCTGTACATCGATACTGAAGGTACATTCAGACCCATACGTCTACTTGCCGTGGCAAATCGCTACGGTCTGTCTGGCGAGGAGGTGCTGGATAACGTCGCGTACGCCCGAGCGTACAATTCGGATCATCAGCTGGACCTTCTCAATCAAGCAGCCCAGATGATGACTGAAACTCGCTTCTCCTTACTCATAGTCGATTCCGCAACTTCGCTATACCGGACGGATTTCTCAGGCCGAGGAGAGCTTTCCAGCCGTCAAACTCACCTCGCCAAGTTCATGCGCACCCTGCAGAGGCTAGCAGACGAGTTCGGCATTGCCGTGGTCATCACCAACCAAGTTGTCGCGCAAGTGGACGGAGGACCGAGTGCGATGTTTAACCCTGACCCGAAAAAACCAATCGGCGGCAACATTATTGCACACGCCAGTACCACTCGTCTGAGTCTGCGGAAGGGCAGAGGTGAGACTCGGGTTTGCAAGATTTATGACAGTCCGTGTCTGCCAGAAAGCGACTGTCTGTTCGCAATCAATGAGGACGGGATAGGAGATCCCAAGGAGAAGGATCTGGAGAACCACTAGTGAGGGCTTCGTGGCGGTTAGAGTTACGGCGTGTTTCTTTTGGCTTTGGACGCTTGAGCATTTGCATGGCGCTGGGTGACTTGAGCAAGCGTAAGGCGTAGTGCGAATTATGGTGGTGCATGGTGGGCTAGCTTCGATGATATAGGTTTATAATGCAATAACCTTTTCACTAAGAGAGTTCTACCCCTCTTGCTGCTGCAGGAGAGTAACATCCATGGATACTATGTATATGCTCAGATGCGCTGGTGCTGTCTGAGTGGTCCGAGCTCAGGCCTGATCCCTGTCGCGATGGGAGCTTCAATGTATCCGAACTTTTGTTTGCGACGCGACCTACTAACCACACCACCTTCACCTCTCTGCGCGCAAGCACTTGCGGACTGTTATCTGCGGTTCTTGTGCGGCGCATTCCCCCCTGCATGGGACAATCAACATGAGTCAGAGCAGAGGAACCTGCCTCTACAGAGAGGCGCGGTTGAACGTCGAACCCACGTACCCTGGCTCCACCATCGCCTTTACGCTACCCTATGGAGTTGTCGGCACCTTCGACACCGCAGTCGAACCTAAGCGCACCGTACTTCCAGAGGACCATACAGACAAGGACGAAGACGGATTTGCCAAGCGCAATCTGGCCTGTGACGGTTCCATTTTCTTCCGAAGACACCATGAGTACCCGCGAAGCTTCCTTTGGCGCCTTCTGAACAACAGGAAGATACTCGAAGTACAGTCCGTCGATCTCGATCATGACGTGAATCACGACGTAGAAGCCAACTTGACGCTGCTGCTCCATTTCCCCACGCCGGTCCGCCCGTTCTGCCTCGCCATCGCCGAACCAGAAGAGCATGATGCTTTGACCGTTTTCGCAATTACCACCAGAAACGACCTTTATACAATCACTTTGCATCGAGACTTTTTCAGCAGACCGGCTGCCTCTGAGTTAGAGATTGCAGAATGGTGTAAACGGTCGGCGCCGAGCCTCTTCAGTAATCGGATACCCTACCGGCTCGTGGCTACGAGCAGTACCGAACTGCTGGTAACGCTTGACGACGGAGGGATAGTACGCTTGGTGAAACGGAGCTGCGGCGATGGCTCTTGGGAGGAGTCTCTGTATAAGGAAACGTCGTGGTCGGTCAAGAACCTGTTAAAATGGAAAGGGGAGCAGACGGTGCGGTTTGACAATGGAGATCTGGATTTGTCTGCTGCTGCGGCAGTTGATCTGTCCCCGGACAGGAATCATATACTCTCAGTATGCCTCAACCACAGGCTAAGAGCTTGGAATGTTGCATCTGGTAAACCAGGCATATCCACGGACCTCTTGGGGGAGCCTGATCATCCGAATGAGAAGGGGGCGTCCTACATCATCGATCCTTCGCAATCTACCCATATGGCCGTCCTCAATGTCCCGGGCGGAGTTGATGGCGCACTTTATCATGTTGTGACCTACTCTTCGAAGCAGCACCAGTTCAAGTTCTGGGGTGTACGGGATGCGGATACGCCGGATCAGGGTATCTTCGACGTCAAACCCGAGGTTGAGCTCATACCCCCCGTCGATGAGCTTATGGACACCACTGCCTGGACATTATCGGAATTCGTGATCAATCCTGGACCTTCAGGTTGGAGAGGAACCGAGCTGTGGATTCGTGTCCGCTCTGGTCCAAGCACCAGAGTATTCGCCTTGAAATTCAACCTGAATAACTCGCCAGCAGAGTTGAGAAATACCTGGAGACACGATTGGGTATCCGTGGACCCTGGGCCTCTTTCATTGGAGCAATTGAAACAAAACACTGCAAACCCGGCCGAATTCGATCTGGATGCGTCTGAGCTGTTTGAGGTGGATCTAGTGGAAAATTGGTTGGAGTTCTTGTTTTACCCTGGCCGTTTCAGCGTAGCTGCATTGGAGATCGCGTTGAACACATACCGACGTGGACTCCAACGGTCAGGAGCGACACAGCTCGCGGCCAAAGCCTCACTGAAAGAGCGCATCTGCTCAACAGTCACCGCATTCGCTGCGCTGGAGCAGAACGGGGTTGTTAACCAAATCGAGTTCCACAACCGTCTCGCCGCTCAGTGGCAGGCGTTTTACAGCTTGGTGAAGGATCTGCACAAGCGCAGAGGAGAATACTTGGGGCTGGCCTTTGACTACACCTCAGGGACCCCGTGGATAATATCAAGCGACTATCTTTCTCCTATACGGAGCTGCAGTGTTCCTGAGATCGTCTCGCTGAACTCCCAGGCTATGATCAGCTCAGAGGCTCTGTCGGGACGGTTAGGCAAAGTTCTTGCCGCAGAAGATCGCGATGTGGCCAGGCTCATGTGTGCGGCTTCTTCGTTCCGCAAAAGTCTCCCACGCACTTTCCAGACCAGCTTGGAACGCGAGATTGAGAGCGAAATCCTCCAGAGCCGATCCCTTTCTGTCGTCGACCGGATGGAGCTCATGGAAGCAAACTGTAGTCTTTCCCAGCAGGTTTCGGACGATGACCTTTCCGCATTGGTGGAAGACCTAGGGACCAGCATAAAGGACATAACATCCGAGACCTTCATGAGGGTCATCGACTCGCTGGGCCCAGACGAAGAAGGCCAATTGCAGCGCAAGCAAGCGGCACGGTATGGGCTTAGCGCCCTAATGCGGGTGTCTCAAGAAACAATAGAATTGAGCAAGAGTATCCTGCTGGATCTTCTGGTTCTGGTACTCTACATGCAATATGAAGAGGATCTCTCAGAAGATTTCGACGCCTCGGAAGTTTTCGTCCAGATCATCGACGAACTCAAACACTATGCAATCCTCAGCTGGATGTCCCAAACTGTGTGGTCGCATCAATCCTCTACCGGCCCGGCTTCAGCGCATCTTTTGAAGACCCTGTCGGAAATGTCAAAGAATAGCAAACAGTTTCCTATTACTCAGACCGTCATTGAGGGGATCCTGGGGCATCGTGCCTTCGCTGCAGAAATACCTACGGGTCTCAGGACACAGCTGTTAACTTACTGGAGTCGCGTATGGCTAGCACGGACATTCAAGGACACAGACTTGGACACTGCGATCGAGCGTATCATGGCCATCCTCCTGCAGCAGAAGGAATATGGCTTGGCCTTCGAGTTTTCGAGGTATTTGCCTGAGTCTCCCTGGGCGACATACTTGAAAGGAAGCATGCACTTGGCGCTCGGTGAGAATGATCTGGCTTCGATCTGCTTCAAGAAGGCTGCGCACAACCTGGGTGAGCCAGACATCTTGGGAATTCGTGTACCATCACTAACTATTGCAGCTACTCCATCGTTCAGTCTTGATGATGTTGATGACAGCTTCATCCCTCTCGATCAGCGAGATTCGTTCTCCGGTGGCCTACCTAGGTACTACAGCCACGTGCTCTCCCTCTTCGAGAAGTACAAGGCCTACTCCTTCGTTGCCGACTTTGCTCGCCTGGGCCTCCGCTCTCTCTCTCCTAAGAAAGACGAAGAACTGAAGACCGACCTGCTGTCTAGACTATTCAATGCCTCCATTCAAACCTGCAGAATCGACGACGCCTACTCCGCCATGATGCGGCACACAAACACCGTTCTGTAAGTCACCACCTCCCGTGTCCTCGCCACCACAGCTATGCTAACCCCTTCAGCCGCTCCGCTGCCCTGCAAACCCTGCTCACCACTCTAATCTCCCACTCCCAAACCCCCAAACTCTTCTCCTACTCCTTCCTCGATCTAACCTCCGAAGTCGACGCCCTCCTCCTCTCCCACTGCCACAAACAGCTCAACCTCTCCTCGGGCCCTCCATATCACAACATCCTCTACGCCTTCCGCATCGCGCGCAACGACTTCCGAGGCGCGGCGAGTATCCTGCACGATAAGCTGGTGCGTTTGAAGAACTCATCCAGCCAGAAAGTGCAGGACCCGAAGGACCAGACGTTGGCGAGGACGTACCTCATGGTGCTGAACGCGTTGGCGTGCGTGAGCAAAGATGATGCCTATGTGCTGGCGGAGGTAAGGGGATTGGATGTCGTTCGTGGCGGGGGTGCTGCTGTCCCGGGAGGTAGTAGTAGTCTCAATGGTTCCAGGGGGGGCTCATCAGCGATCGGGGGCGTTACGGCGGCAGCACCAGCGCCGGCACCGCCGCAATGGGGGATCGGCAAGGCGAAGAAGTTGCTCAAGCGGAGGGTGGTTACGCTCGATATGCTCCGGAAGGAGTATCAGGCCGAGCTGGATCGGGTCGAGGCGATTGAGACGGGGAATTATCCGTTTGTGGAGGCGGGCGATGAGATGGATATCCTTTAGATGGGTGGGGATTATTTCTCGTTTTGGGGGGATTCGGTACATGTGAAGGACTTTTTTGTAGTCGTATCTCTTGATATGGGTTCCTTTAGCGGGATAGAGGAAACCGGAAATATGATGTCTTCGTTTTCTGAGTTGGACCATAGCACATTTAATCAGGCGAAGGTAGGTGATGGGTGGACCAAGCGACTAGATCGCACATGGATTAAGACACACATTCCTGCCGAGTATCTATTCGTAGCAATGGCGACCGGTTCCATCCAAGGAGAGGAAACATGTGCCTTGAAAAAGAGCCCGGCCATAGAAGTTCATTATCATATGCGCCAGCTTCGATCAGGGCCGCAGACTCGCGCAACAGCTAGGACCCGCAAGAGATGCAGCATAGAGACGGAAATCGACCACCACATCCAGCGCGTATACCGTTAATCATCCTTCCCCCTCGCCCTCCTCTGTCGGGTAGGCTTCTTGCCCTGCACCGCGGTATCATCCTCCTCCTCATCTCTGCCCTTGGCCAAATCCTCCGTCAACCCCCACTCGTCGCGGTCGTACCAATCCTCGCCGTCGCTCATCTCGCCGACATGGCCCTCGGCTACGCACCATCGGTACACCTCCTTCCGCATACGTTCTCCCTGGGCGATACCATCGTAGAGCTCGCTGGTAGCTCGCGCTATCTCTTCCTGCTTCTGGAGGAACGCAAGGAGAAGCATGCGCGTGTCCTCTGCTTCGGCCGCCGGAAGGCCCATGTCGCGGTCGGGAAGGAGGTCGGTTGGAAAGGTGAACCATGGATGTACGTAAGGTGCGGCGCTCGAAGGTGAAGGTGGTGGAGACTGATCCGACGCGGCTTGCGCGCGTGCACGCGTCGTCATGCGGTGTGAGGCTGCCTCGGAGGCGTCATCGACTGGCGGGGATGGCGGACGTTCGCCGTTGGGCTGTTCGCCGTTCGTGTGTTTGTTCGCCTCTCCGTTCTGGGTGGGCAGTGCCGAGTCTGTGCCATTCTGCCGTTCTACCGTGGTTGAAGAAGTACCTTCAGCTACCGTAGAATCTTCCATGACGACATCTTGCTGGTGTAACAATTCTTGTGCGTTCCCAACCTGTATGACCTCTGGCTCCTCACGCTTCGCTTGCCCATTCGTCTGTGGTCTGCTGAGCGGTTCCGGGAGTGCCCAAGAGTCTTGTAGATTCTCGGTAAACGCGGGGTCCTCGGTGGGGTAGGGAATGAAGGATGGCTCTCCCATTAGCTTTGTGGAGAGCCTCTTTGCTTGTGCTAGCAAGATCTGTTCTCTACGCGAGAGAGCGGCAGCCGCGGCTGTGAGGTTCGTCAAGTGCTTGGACGTGTAGATGGGAGCAAAGCCCGGATGGTTGGGCAGGTCGGCCGCAGAGGTAAGCGGTGCGAGCAATTCTAAGTTCTCGGATTAGTCCCGCGACATGGCCCCGTACAGGAAGTTGAGGCTCAACGCATACCCTCTAACCTGATATCTGCATATGGGTTCTCCTCTACCGACGAAAGCTCGCTCTCGTCTTCATATTCGTCGCCGGGCTCCACGACGTCGCCATCTGGGTCGTATTTTGGGGGATTGCGCTGAAGAATGTATCTCTGGTATCCGGCGTGCACGATGCGCTGCGTCGCGTAGACAGTTAGGATAGTCCAGTATGCATGGAAAGAAGAGAACACACCTTTTTGTACGGAGGGGGTGCTGCAGGGTCCTCGGCTCTCCCATATCGTGTATACCGGGACTTCCGCTTCAGGCTCTGCCTGTGGTTGCTGTCGAGAGGGTTGTCGCTCTCATCGTCGTCGGTCGCTGGGCAGAGGTCAGTGGGAAGCGTCGAGGAAAGGAAGCCGAGCGTACAGTCTTCGCTCCTGAGCAGCCGCCTTTTCAGGGAGTATATTGCGTCTTGGATCTGATGTTGCTGTCCGGCCATGGTAACAGTGTGTATTCGGTGTGGGAAGAGGTGAGGATTCGGCACAGAAAGGCAATGGTTGGAGTGTACGAGATGTGGGAGCGCGGAGCTCATGCAGGCGGTTCGCTCCGTTCGAGGGTCCGTGCACCACGCCGTCACTCACCTCCCTCCATCGACCCTGGCCGCTCATCTTTCCGTCTCAAGTGCTTGTGAACATCCACAGCATGGACAACTTCATGCCCAACGCCGCACGCTGGAGGAGTCAAACGGGCCGGGCGCTGTGAACGTTTATCCTACGCCATAGGAGCCGACCACGACACGTACCCTCTGCCTGGACCGACTCCCACCCCATCCCCACCTACATGGAGAGGTAGCTCCCTCGCGCAGTTATGGATGCATATCCGCCAGATTACGTGGCCCATAACCTGCCTCTGATCGTTCTTTCTGGCTTGGAAACGGCCGACGAGCGGAATGCGCCTCCGCCTGTTCAACATGTGCTCCCTGGTAGAGCGACTACAACTATCAGCTCGGAGCTTCCCCCAGTGACGGGTGAGCGTGCCCAGCAGCTGCTCCAGCAGTTCTTGGACGCCGACGGCAGCCATGCGCCTTGGAACGGCCGGAACCTCGACCGAAGAGCAAACCTCATCGGGTTTAGAGTTCGGGCAGTCGGGAGGGTAGGTCAGGGAGACCTGCTGGCCCAGCGCAGCAAGCAGCATGGGCGCCTGCTGATGGGACTATAGGAATTCAAATTGCCCCCTAGGAAAGCTGATGCGCCGTCGCAGTCTAGCACAACACCTCCCTCTTCGCCAGGCCTTGCACCCTCGTGGATACTGCACTCGCCCATTTCTCCCCTCTCGCCTGAGTCGAGCATCTTTCCCGATGGTGTTATAGCTCCCTCATGGGTTGCAAAACATCAGCATTACATCCCGTCTTTCTTCATATCTTTTTTTACATTTGGCTCAGACCCCACCAAGAACACCTTACATGACAATCAGCTCAAGAATGAGATCCTCAGAATCAAGGGACAGTTGCAAAAGTCCGAATACCGCACGCGATATGCTGTCATTCTCCTGAGTGAAAAGACTGTTTTGGAAGCGCCCGATATTGACGAACGGCTGGCAAATATTCGGAGAGCGACGGGCCTCGATCCCAAGAGCTCCCTCTTTTTCCTCCCGCCGAACATCTCTCAAGTCGAACTCTGCGCCTTCGTCGTGTCTGTATTATCAACGCTCCAGCCCATGTGCATTGAGTATTATAGAGAGCTCACGAAGCATACTCGGCGGAAGAAGGCCCGCGGCTCAGCCCCGCCCCCAACAGCTCCTCCGACAAGGGGAACAAGCCATCCTCTCTCGCAAGCAGGCTGGGCTGTACGCTATGAGTTCAAACTCGGAGTCTTTGCCGAGTTCCGTCAAGAAATGGACGCTGCCCAAAGGCACTACAGCATCGCCCTCGATGCTCTGTTTGGCTCTGACGGCATCTTTGAGACCACAGCGAGCTGGTCACCGAGGTGGGACGAGATACGGTTGCTTGCCGATTCTATATCCATACGGCTCATCCGCTGTCATCTGTGGAACTTATGTCCCACCTCGGCTGTGCAATCGTGGCTAAGGTATCGAAACAAGTTGAGGGATCTTATAGATCGTCGCGGTAAGGGCTCATCGAACTATGGCTGGGAGGCGTGGGAGTCGAGGTGGTCGCAGATCATGGCTCAGCTCATCCACCGTGCTGAACTCCCGGTCTTCAAGATTAAGCATCCTGTATCCGAGGCGGACCCGCTTGTAGATGGAACGTACGCAATCTTCTCTCCTCCTGAGAAGCAGTTCCTGATGGGAGAGCGTTTAGGGCCGTGGGAGCTGCTCCATCATGCTGGGTACTGGTATGCATTATCCGCCCAACACGCCAGGAGGCGGTTTCTGCTGGCACAAGATATTCCGGAAGAAGACCGCACTCCGCCTGGCCTCTCTCCTGCGACCCGAGTGTCCAATAGAAACCAGATGTATGACTACTACCTTGTCCCGGAACCACATCTAGAGATGCCCCTTGAAGGAGTGGGTGGAGGGTTCGAACATTGGAAAGACATAGTCACCAAGCTCGAAATGGCTATACCGGAGTTCGAAGCGCGTGGCCAGTCGCGCAAGCTAGACCAGCTCAAACTAGAGATATCGAGAACTTTACTGCAAGCACAGAGGTATGACGATGCGTTCAAGATATTGAAGCCTCTTTGGAAAAGTATGTCATGGAGACGTGAGGGCTGGTGGAATGTCGCTTCCGACGTCTTGTGGGCAATTCACGAATGCGCAAAAAAAGTTTCAGACCAGGAGACATATGTGCTTACCGAGTGGGAACTCCACTCTCCAGGTAAGTAAACCACACACGGCGGAAGCTCGTCATCATGAGGAGTGCACTGTCTCCCTATCTTCAAAACGCTGACATCGGCAGTCTACGCGACCAGGTCTAAATACAAATACGACCTCATGAAATGTCTAGACGACCTGCCTCAGGCGAAAGACTCTGACATCAGGCCTAGTATAAGCTTCAGCGCTGATGAACTCCAATCATGTCGTAAGTTAGACCAGCTAAAGTTTCCCAGACTTTCTAACTCTATTCAGTCTTCATCGGTTTCACATTTGCAGAAGCAGAGGGTAACGTCGGCGAGTCGCTTCGTGCACAAATAGTTCTTACATCCGGGGCCAGATCGCAATCCGCTCCAGTCACGTTGTCCAAACTGGGCTTTCAGTTCAAGGGGTGTCTCTATGAAATTCAGATAAGCCATAAAGCCGAGGAGCACACAAACGCGACCGCAGCGCGACTCTCAAACATCACACTTGAGGAAACGAACGCCGCCCCGTATAAACCGAAATGGAGCGGCTATGGAGACTTAAGGATAGCACCCGGCCAAACTCGAGTGTACGGTTTTCCGATTACGTTTCGTGAGGCTGGAGAGGTAGAGGCTGTAACCAGCAGTTTCGAGATCAACGCTGATCGCTTTGACCTGATATGTACAAAGAATGTCCAGCGGAGTGAGGGTGAAGCGCGGCCGATATGGTGGCTGGAAGCAGGTCCCAAACTCAAACTCCGAAGTCTAAACCGCGATTCGGGCAGTGTAGTTAAAGTCTTGCCCAAACCGCCAAAGATGGAGATACGGCCGGATGTGCGCCCAATCTACTATACGAATGAGCCTGTCACGATCGCTATCGAAGTGCTCAACATGGAGGAAGAGGAAACAGAGGCTGTGCTCGAAGTCAGGCTGTTAGGCCGTGCCAAAGATACTCTAGGATTCTCCTGGGTGGGCAGAGAAGCCTCCTCGCCGACAAAGGTAGCGCCACTGCCAGCCGATGCGTCTACCGATGTAGACCTGCCAGGACATGTGATAGGCCGCCTTGCGCCAGGCGCAAAGATCACAGAAAGGATCCAGTTCAATGCTCCGTCCGAGCCGTCGGATTACGCTCTTGAGGTTAAGGTGCTCTATCACTTGCTCAGTGATCGCGATATTCCCGTCTCGAAAACGATCGCTGTTGATCTCATCTTCAACTCTCCGTTCGAAGCAAGTTACGATCTCACAGCCAGAGTGCACCCGGAACCATGGCCAAGTTACTTCCATGTTCCTGGAACGACCTTTGATCATCAGGAAGCTCCTCCTGCAACGGGCATTGCGCAGAGATGGCAGCTGCTGGCGAGAATAGCTTCGTTCGCCGACGACACGCTCGCCATCAAGGACGCTAGGGTGGAGACACTGGAAGTTCGCGGGGGTGCCATTTGCACAATAACGAAGGAGTTTGACGACACGGACCTACTCATGGACCCTCGGGATGTAAAGGAGCGGTCTTTCTGCCTTGATGCCCGCAAACTCAGCTTAGAGGAGCGCCGTCCGACAGGCCTGGATTTGAATCTCACCTTGACATGGCAGCGTTCAGGATCTCCTGGTAACCCTATAGTCACCTGCACGCTTCCCATTCCGCGGATTACCATTCCCATAAGTGAGCCGAGAGTCCTGGCAACAGCACTCCGCTCGCCCTCCGTCCCCAACCTCATTCATATGGACTACGTCCTGGAGAACCCCACCATGCATCTCCTCGCCTTTGAGCTGAGCATGGAGGCGAGCGAGGAGTTTGGCTTCTCGGGACCGAAACTGCGGACGCTGCACGTGCTGCCTATGGGCAGGCAGACTGTGCGATTCAATCTGTATCCGTTAGTCACTGGGGCGTGGATCAACCCGCAGTTAAAGGTGCATGATCGGTATTTCAATCAGACGCTGAAGGTGGTGCCGACGGAGGGATTACGGGCGGAGAAGAAGGGCGTGGGTGTGTGGGTGCCTGCTGATGAGGATGATGAGGGAAGTAGTGCCGTGGATGAAGCATCGGGCTAGGAGCTTGTTGCTTTATTGGCAGGAGACGAGATGCTTGAGTTTTGAGGGGAAGACGTGCTCGGGTCGATGATGGGAAGGGTACTGCGGTTGTATGCGAACTTCAAGGGTTAGGAGATATACCATAGAATAGAATATTCCGTATCATCCAGGGGCCTACAGGGTATGCTGGTATACACTTTTAAGTTGCTGCATTGGTACGGAGTTTATAGTTGTGAGGTTGTACATCTCCTAAGTAGTGATTCTAGTGATGCCTTCTTGCCTTGAAGATGGAGATGAATGCTGCAAGTGCTTGCTAGTCCCGTCATCCAGGTGGTCGGTATCCTACCCCAGCGGGGAGAATAGAAGCTAGCCATGCAAGTGTAAACAAGGTACGGAGACGCGAGTCTATCGATGTACTCAGAAGTCCCTAACCATGCGTCTGACGGGTCTACTATGTATACCTAGTTGCGCGAGTTGTAAAAACCGCCTTATCTGTTTTCTTCTGCGCCATTCTGCGCGATTGTGAAACACCTCGCCCATCGTTTCTTGAATCTGTCGTATGTCTTTGAGGAGGTCTTCAGAACAATTCGCCTAATATCCCTCAATCCTTCTGAGCGCAGCGTGCGGTTAGACAAGCAACCCAGAGGGGGGGGTTCTGGGAACCAATCGAGACTCAGCTACGCTGCAACTTTCAAGACACGAGCCCGAGACTCAGTCAGTAGTCACGTTTAGTAGCAGCGTAGGGGTTAGAGGTAACGTTCTATAAATAACCTCCTAGCCTATTGTCAGATTTGATGGTATCTGAAGATGTCACGGTGAC